CTGCTGATCTCACTATAAAGACAGCAGCTGACGCCCTGAACGGTCTCTGCGCCCCCCCTATGAAGTCTGCCTTGTCAGACTGGCGCATGGACGAAGGCATCCTTTATTTCAAGGACCGAGCCTACGTTCCCCCTGACCTCCGGAAGCGTATTCTGGAGCTCCACCACGATCACCCGACTGCCGGGCACCCCGGACGTTCCAATACCGAATGGAACGTCAAGAAAAGCTATTGGTGGCCCGGCATGGGCACCTTCATCCGACAATACGTTGATGGCTGCACTATGTGCCAGCAGATGAAATCCGACACTCATCCCACCACACCTCCCCTGATGCCCATTCCCTCCACCTGTACTCGACCGTTCTCCCAAGTTTCAGTCGATCTTATCACTGATCTTCCGGAGAGCGCCGGCTATGATTCCATTATGGTCGTGGTCGACCATGGGCTTACGAAGGGGGTAATTTTCTCGCCTTGCAAGAAAACCATCACTGCAGAAGGCGTTGCTGAATTATTTTACAAAAAGGTGTTTATGCGATTCGGACTATACGACAAGATCATCTCCGATCGAGGCCCACAATTCGCCTCGAAGCTAGCAAAAGAACTCGGACGGCTCCTGGACTACCAGGTAGCCCTCTCCACTGCCTATCATCCCTCAGACGGATGGGCAGACAGAACGAATGAACCAGGAGCTGGAGACATACCTTCGGATCTATTGTAGGACAACTCCTAACGATTGGGCCAAACACCTTCCCATGGCCGAATTCGTCCACAATTCCAGACGACACTCCGCTCGGAACGCATCCCCGTTCTACCTCATGATGGGTTATGAACCCAAAGGCATACCTTACGCCTTCCCCGACTCAGCTCTGCCAGCAGCAGAAGATCGAGTCAAGAGACTCGCGAAGATCCGTGAAGAAGCCCTCGCATGTCCATAGCCTTGCGCAGCAACGCATGGCAGAACGCACGTTCGGGCGAAAGTACCAACCATTGGAAGGTTGGGGACAAGGTGTGGCTGTCTGCTGCGCATTTGATCACCCACTTCCCTTCAAAGAAACTCGCAGCCGAAACGATACGGACCCTTTACCGTTAAACAGGTCCTATCCCCTATCACGTTCACCCTCGAACTCCCTGCCACCTGGCGTGTTCATCCCACGTTCCATGCATCAGAATTATCCTCCTATCAGGAAACGGACGTGCATGGCCCAAACTATACTGAACCGCCACCGGACCTGATCGACGGGGAAGAACATTACGAAATAGAAGCGATCCTCCAACACAGGGGTACCGGAACGAAACGCCGATACCTGGTCTCCTGGGTTGGCTTATCCACCCTCCGAACGAACGTGGATCCCAGAGAAGGACTTGAAGTCCGCAGCGGAGATGCTCAAGGACTATAAGAAGAGACTCAAGCTGACAACAAAGCTCCTCAGTTGTTAACCAGCTACCATCATCTCCATGTCTACCACTTCGTCCAATGCCTCCTCCATCTCTCTCGGTTCCACACCCTCCATCGTCGAACTCATCCACGAGTTCACCGTTCCTTTCACGCAGACCCCGGACTCTCAGAAGGCATTCTGGGAGGCCATTATTCTCGACGCGCAGTACGCGCTTAGACTCGACAGCTATATTGACCGTACCAAAGACACGGTTCTCCTGGAGCTTGTCAACGCGTTTCGGGCAGTTGACACTGTCGCTTTCACAACCGGACCATATGGCATCCTTCCCCATAGTCCGATCACTCGATACTCCGTCACGAAGGCCAAGAGGGCCCTCTTGAACCTTCTCGCATCCAGGAATTTCGGCGACGTAGTCGTCAAAATAGAAGAAGAAATTGCATACAACCAACCGCCTGTACAGGCAACCGTTGTCGAGCGTACTGCCGAGCGCAGTGCTCCAACTCCCCCTCCTGAACGATCCAACCTTATCCCCACCAACCTCACATCCGAAGAAATCGACAAACTGTTCGCAGAACACGAAGAAGAGCAGTACAGGATGATGACTAGCGACGAGCTCGAAGAACTCCGAGCCTGCCATCATCAATGACGAGGTCGTAGCCAACGACCCGTTACCTGCTCCCTATAAAGGGAAGAAGAAGCACGAAGAAGAAAAGTCGAGTAAGGAAACTCGCACACCACCTTGGAGAAAGACGAACGAAGAAGACAAACCGAGCTTGGAAGCTCGTCTTACCACTCCCCCTCCAGGGTTCACCTCTACCGATGACATACCGATATTATCTATCGGGTCACCTATCATCAGGGACGATACCCCTGTCCCTGTTCCTCCACCCACACGTAGACCTCGACGAAGTCGCCGATTGAATACCGAGCGCATCCTTGCACTCGGATTACCCACCACTCGACATGTACCGGGCCAAGATCCCACCAGGCAACAGATACTTAACGAAACGCACACTAGGACGACCCCACAACCCTACCAGTGTAACTTTAAGTGCAGGGTCTGCCACCAGTACGGCCACAAACAGAAACAATGCGAGCGATACTTCTGCCGCATTTGTGGACTGTTCGCCCCCGGACATCTCACTCCCTTCTGCCCTCGCCTTCACGGCAAGAAGATCCTTCGTCGAGGAATATCCTCAGAAACGTTCTACACTGACATGCGTCAGTTAGAAGCAGCATATGATCACGATGCTGCACGACTCGAACAAGATAGAGAAGAGAATGCTTTGGAAGCCATGGACATACTCCGTGACCTCGACTGCGACCCCTCCTGGTATGACAACATGGATAACTGAACTCGTTGATTTCAGTCCTAGAAACCGGGGTAATGTTACAAGAACATCTAGACTGCTTGGGCCCCTACTATTTTTCTCCTGATCCTCCTCGTATCAGCCCTCGCATCATACCCTTACCCCGACCTTACCCTTGTCATCCTCGTCATCCTCGCATTCCCTTTCGCCCTCTACCTGTCGCTTCAGCAAAGCCAGTACATTTGGCCGGATCCTTTCGCTGACGAAGCATACCCATGCTCCGTTTCACCACCTGACTGATCCTGCGGACAGTCCCCTTGCCCTTACCAGTCTGGATGGTAACCTATGACACGATGCATGACGCATCCCCTTTGCCCTATTTTCCTTTCTTGATCTCTGACTCGGTGCGCAGTCGCACATGCGACTTATACTTAGATCCGCAGTTGCACGATCGTGCCCCTGCGTGTTTCACTTCTCATTCTGATCTTTGACTCACTTTCTTATCCAGCACGTTCTACCTAGATCGAACGTGCCTTCCTATTATGGTCTTACCCTTTACCGATTGCCTCTCCCGGTAGTACGAGTTATCATCCACTAATACGTCCCTGTCCTCTATATAAACTCGCTACCATGTACCATATTCCCTAACTTGAATCTACTTGGTTCTTGACCTCCTACTCTCACCAGAGTGATCCTTCTGCCTCGCCAGCAGTCTATATTCTATCTTCTTATCTGCTCTTCGCGGATAAGCCTATAGTCTCGACCTTTACTCATCGACTTCGTCGACGAGCAAAGCCCCTGTTAACTAGTCGGACTTCTGTCCTTCTAATTAACGACGATCCTTACGATTAACCTTCGGGTGTCGTAAGCCTAGGCCGATATAGCTTATCGTCTCGCACCCGCGTGACATAAGCTACCCGATTTGGACATAGGCGTCAAATCGTACTTGCCGAAGACACGCCAAGTACGACCCCTAACCTTGGGCTAGCCCAAGGACGTCCACAGACCGTTGACGACACAAGCTCTGTTTGAGCGTCGCCAACAGATACCATCCAAGTCGTAACAGCCTGGTACTTGTTCTCGAGTGCCTTCCATACAAGAGCAGGGTCTGAGATGCCCGTAAAGTGAATTAAATTGCTGGAATGAACAGCCATGCCCAGGAGACCCTTTGTGATGCTCTGTCGCTCACGGAAAGCGATGACATCCACACTTGCGTCATGAGCAGCAACATGTTGCTGAAAAGATGCATCGGTCTCATTTGCGAGTTTGACTGGGGGCTGCGGCTCCTTTTCGTCGCTGATGAGAAGGCGCCAAAGGTTGAACAACGAGAGCCAGAGGTCCATAGAAGTAACCCATGACGAATAGTTGTATCCATTTGCATCTAGCAGAGGATGAGGAAACAAAGAAGGAATTCGGATATTGGAAGACATCTTGGATGATAACAAAAAGAGCGTCGGCGATGGCGACAATTGAGAAGGCGGAACGGGCAGTCTGAACGTAGAATGAGAGGAAAAGGTGGGTGTCAACGGTGGTGATGGAGGTAATAGGATGGATAAGATCCGCAGGTCAAGCGGTGATGGAGGGCAGCCTTGTTCCAGTTCGAAAAGATTTTGAAAAGGCTCAAATGTCGAACGAGTGGAAGCGAAAACGAGTGAATGTCCTAGTTTGAGCCAGGGCTCATAACCTGTTACGAGGTGACGAGACTCGGACTAGGAAACGAGTAAGTGAGAGCTCAGTCTTTAGTTTGGAAAGACTCAGTATGACTAATACATACCTAGGAAACGAGTAAGTGAGAGCTAAGTACCGTTCGTAAGTATGTATATATGTAGAGGCATAATCAGTAGGCTCACCTCAGTCTTTAGTTTGGAAAGACTGAGGGATGGAAACAATGGACGCGCAGTATTAGAGGATCATTGAGACGGAGAACGAAAAGTAACAAAACATGTATAACAGGTGTATAAGTATGTAAAATAGATACGTACGAAGAGTGTATCGTGATAAACGACAGCATGCCTTGTCGAATAAACAAGTGGTAGACCATCAGAAGACGAAGCAAACAATCGAAGAGGGTGGTTAAAATTTTAAGCTGGGGCCATAGACTATGCACGAGACTCACTCTACAAGATGACAAAAATTCTCAAAGGTGAGAATAGCACTGTCCCAAAGACGCTGTAAAGTTAATGCAGAGTACACCAAGTTTTCCTACTACCGTTATGGTGCACACAAGTATTGGCTGTCTTCGTGATCTGAGAACGTGTGATTATCTGCGAGGAACTTGAATAATTTGACATTGGATAATACGCAAGATCTCACTTCCTGTACGTAACTCGGCCTTGGTGTCCCTTGCAGCCCGTGCCCGTTCCATCATTGACTCCCAGTGAAAACGCGCTCTGATGGGAAAGGTTCAGAGATGCTGAAGTACAAAATATGTTGTACTGTACTATTGAGACATGCCCCCGGACGCTCCCTATGATGCTTGGCCGAAAATTTGCCTATTTGAGGCCCAAATTTTGCTGTCCGTTTCTGCCTGATAATTTGGTGCCTTGGGAAGCTACTCCAGTGCTCCAAACACGCCATAAATCATTATGCATTAGCTTGGCAATTACATACACAGTACTTACTTTTCTGTATGCTGCACGAAATAAGCCAAATCATTCGAATTCTCACTTGCGAGTATCGTATTTGATAGTTCGCCTCAGACAACCTTTTGGCGCATTTTGCTATTGCGACGGAGAATTCAAGAAGATCGCACAGGATCATAATATCATTGACAATATAAACATAGGGCTTTTATTAGCTACACGTGATAGACTTGCATCAGGATTGGAGCTGTATGAATCTTGTAAAAAATCTCACATCTGGGAGACCATTATCATCATCCACTTCAAGATATCATAGCTCGAGTGAACTAGTTTTCCAAATTGTCCACCTACAATCTCGGTTGAGAGCCTATCTCAGGGAGTCGGGCATCGGGGTGGAAGCCAGGGAATCTTTGATGTGTTGAGAGTGCAGTGCGGTAGTGTGACAAGGTACGCCTTAAACATCGATCGGACTTGTAAATAAGTCGCGGCAAATCAGCATATCGAACCGTGTCAGATAGTTTTGAGAGGAGCTGCATGACGTTAATTATTTGGGTGGAGATAGTAAAGGTATATGACGAGGACTTATACGGAGAGAATGCTCTGGAATTAGCAGCATAAGCCAGTGGTTAAAATTCGAAGAAAGCTCGAATGACCTCTATACAGATTGAGAGGGCACAGGTATTCTAGCCGTGAAGTTGACTCACAGACAGTCTATGTCAGGGTAGTACCCTCGACGTGGTCGGCGCAAGCTCCACCCTGGGAACCTTCAACGGCGTATCTTCAAACTCTGCCCACCCGCCTCGAAGCCCTATCTCCACCACCCGCTCAACAATCCTCGCCAGCTCATTATTCCGTGCACGTTCGGATTCGACATCCCCCAAGCTTTCTTGAATTCTCTCCAGACGCTCTGTGAGTGATGTAACATTCGCAGAGAGCTCCTCAATTCGTTCGTTAACGTCATCTCGCTGTTTAGACTGACTTCGAGACGATCGCCATGTTTCGCCTATTATTAACAGTGCGGCGACTGAAAATAAGAAACCTTCTGCTAATGAGTTGGCACCGTTTTCGATTGCTCTGAGACGCCAATGAAAAAGAACCGGATATGGGAATGATACAATGCACACCTCATTTCTGATAATGGCTTGACATGTTGCCTGGCCGGTTCACCGAGGATATTTGTCCTCAGCTTAATTTCGGCCATATGCATCCTCTGAGCAAGGGAAATACATATCGAACGGAAGGTTTCGTGCCTAGAAAAATCTCAGAATCAGAATCAACAAAAGTTTAACCACTACACATACTGCTTTGCCTGGTTCTTTATCTGCGAGGAGATGGGCTTCGCAAGTGTCTGTCACATCTAAACTGAGACCTCAAGTCAATGCAGGAATTTGGCTCGACTCACTCGAATAACAAGGGTAGCAAGTTTGACTGTAGCCATGTCGCTGTATGGTACTGGTCCAGAGTTTTGCTAGTCAGAGCAGAGAAAAGTCAAAGATACTGGTCTAGACACGATGCCGAATCCGCGCGTCAGCTCAGAGCCGTCGGACCTGGACCAACTTGCTTGAACACCCCAGAACTGTCAAGTAGACTACCAGAAGAGATGTAAAACAAGCAGAACGAGACGTCTTCAACGAGTAGAACAGCGCAAATTACACGTTTTGATAGTCTCAGCAGTAACTTGCGGGTTGTTGACTCGGAATCAAACCTTCTCACTCTCCGTAGTTGCCGACCGCTTCTCGAGGGGTCGAGGCTCAACCGCATTATTATGTAATCCCCATTTAGCGCTGAAGACCGTTGGTCTTGCCAGTGTGGGTCTTAGTACTTATTGACTTGTTATTGACAGCGCTTTCTTGTCCACTAACCACGATGAGCTCAACGACGAACTCAGATCCGCTATTGGCTCTACGCCATGCAATCAAAACCAAATCTCCAATAACGTATGTCGCAAATTCTGAGCCTACAACTTCCCTTCTCGCAGCATCCCACATCGTTCTGTCTCCAACTCTTTCGCTTCCAAAATCAACTACAACACGCTATTCGAAACCTGGGACTTCTGCATCTTCACCGTCGGATTTCTTTACCCTTGAAGCCGTATATTTGGCATGGCTCCTCCGTGATGCGCCTGTTGCAGAATACATGAAACAGGCTCGAGACAACGGTCTTGCGGTGGGCTTCGTGAGCGTTACAGAGAGGAAAAGCATTGTAGAATGGCTGGAAGGCAAGGTACATGACTTAAAAAGAATAGTATCACTCGCAGGTACGTGGACTTGTAATTTCGACCTGGAGTTGACATCGAGCTTCCTGCAGCATCAGAGTCAACAACACCTCCAGGCACACCTACCCACCCCGGTGCAACCACGATACCCCTCATTACTCCGAAGCGCGCAGCTCATACTGCGGATACCACCACCACTCCCTCAAAACGACGTTACGTTGCCGATCAACAAGATGTTGAAGTTGTAAAACGGATCAAGCAGAACGAGGTTGAGCTGCGCGACAGGAATACTGTTCTACGAGGCACAAAACCAAATGTAAGTCTGAATCCCATCTCGTATTTGTTTCACCAACCACGTTTTCCAGAACTTCTCTGCCTTACAATCTGTATACTCTGAAAAATTGAAGAAGCTTAAAGAGACAAAACCTGGGGCTACCCCAGTTCCTGCGCCAACTGCTGGTCCTCACATGCAGTCCCGCAAAGCTAGTAGGTCCTCATCTAAAACATATTACTCAAAACTTTAAATTTTCTGCAGAAAATCTATACCCTATCATCATGATTTCTTCCTCTCCGACTGCCCTTATAACTATGCATAATGTCAAACGTTTCCTTCAAGAATCACTGTACGTTCGAGTCCGTAAACCAAATAGTTCTCTCAACTAATGTCTTGCTCTTGTAGATTTGAGTCTTCCGTGTCGGCACGTGAACGTGCTGCGGCTGCAGGCAACTCCCGTGCTGAGGATGTCATTCACATTGACAGGCGGCGTGTACCGCCTTCCTCATCCTCACAACCTACATCTTCATCTCGCGGGGACATCCAACGGTACTTTGTTGTTGATAGCACTGACGCTTTGCAGAAATTTGGTGCTGATGCATGGGAACGTGTTGTCTGCGTGATGACCACTGGGCAAGCATGGCAGTTCCGACCATACCGGTGGAGTGAGCCCCGAACTCTGTTCCATCACGGTAGGCGGTTCTCGTCTAGCTAATTCCAATCGCTGATTATTGTGGGCTGCTCTAGTGAAAGGCGTGTACGTTTCGTGGGCAAATGACCCGCCTAACACAAAAATTAAAGACTGGAATGTCACAGAACTGAAGGTGGGCCTTAGCCTTCCCCTCTTTTCATTTGGGCTTATAAAACATCGCACTAGATTGATCCTCACAGACGACACATTGACAAGTCTGTTGTGGCGCATTTTTGGCAGCTCATCGATGACTGGACAATCGCCAACAAACCGTGGTTGATCAAGTCATGATGTTCTGCTCTCGATCCGTTATTAGTAGCGGCGAGCTGCTGAAACAAGGATCAGCTTTGTCACTCCGTTTTGCACTGGTTTGTACCTTTTCGAGCCTCCCTTTACCGGAGACGCTCACTTATGTATCGGAATTACATTTCTTGTACTCAACATGGCGTGTAAGAGCCGGCGACCTACAGGTGAATCTGTGGGCGATTATAAGCCAAACATAGAGAATGTGAAAATAAGAACAGGAAGTGTTCATGCAAGTTTGCTATTGTCAAGGATCACAGCGAGAGTCTCGCCTGGATGACACTATGATGAGCAGCCTCGTCATGACTATGACAATATGCTCGCAGCTGCATGTAGCTAAATCTGCAACAGGTTATAAGGTGAGTGGACACTGCTTGAATGCCGTATATGTATTAGAGTCGAATCAAAGCGTGGGCGAGAACCAGTCTCCCGTAGTCAAACCATGCACGACCGAAGACGGTCGTTCTTTCTCGCCTTCGTCCCTTAATCATTCCTTGACGTCCACAATCTGCCACTCAATCTGTCTGTTTGCCCAGAAAGGCACGACTGTTTTCCCCTCACTACTATATTCAGCCTGCACGCTCACCCCTTGCACCTTCTCGACAAGAACCTTCGGAGCGTTTGGATGCGCCGGAATCTGATAAAATCCGCGTCCAAAATTACTCGTAAAATCAGCCAACCTGTCGATCGCTCCGAACGAATCGAGGAGGTGTGCAACCAGAGGAAGAAGGATAGGAGAAGTATAAACCCCCGCCGCACACCCGCTCGTCGCCGTCGCCGTCGATTTCGAAAGGCTCGGGTGCGGTGCAGAATCAGACCCGAGGAAGAATTTCTTGTTGCCTGATTTGATAGCGTCTTGAAGAGCGCGACGATCGTCTGGAAATTTGGCGACGGGTTTGCAGAAGTGGAAAGATTGGCCCGCCCAGTCATCGACTGTGAGGGAGAGGTGGTGCGCTGTGATCGTGCATGCGACATTGTCGCCGCAGGCTTTGACGGCGTTGACGGCAGCTGCAGTCGTTGCATGTTCTAGGACGATGCGCAGCTTGGGATATTTGTTGGCTAGGTTTGCGAGGACGGGAAGGAAACGTTCCTCAGCGTTGAGGACGCAGATATTTTTTGAGTGGTCGGATGGAATTTCTCCGTGGAGGTTGAGCACGATGCCGTGCGCCTCCATCGCTTTGAATAACTCGTCGTATTTATCATAACTCTCGATTCCCTCGTCCGAATTCGTAGTTACGCCACGAGGATATGATTTGACGCCCACGATACCCGCAGCCTTCCAATTCTTGACGTCGTTGGGATGGAGAGCGTCGGAAAGATAGAGCGTCATGAGGAACTCCACTTTGGACGATCCGGAGTAATCTTTTAATCTTTTTTTGTATTCGATTGCCATCTCTGTCGTGGTAATCGGGGGCACGAGATTTGGCTGTGATCGTCGAATTGATCGTTGTCCTATGAACCGAGGGATGATTGGTACGTACCATGACATAGGCAAGATAGAAACCACCCTTGTGGACGTGGGGGGTGACGAGCTTTGATAGTTCACCATCCCTGAGGTGAACATGAAAATCAGCGGGGGCGGTTACTTCTATTGTGTCTCCGTAGTTTGCAGTGGACATGATCGTGATGAGAGAGCTTTATCTAGCCAAGATCTAGTCATCATATCCGGTCCGTTCCAGTCCGTTCCGAGGCGATCAATGCTGTCGACCGCCGGGCACAAGTATGCACTATAGATGAAATACTTCAAAGCGTCGTTAAAGACACAAGACAAAATGCATTCCGGTTCTGACAGCACTGGCGTTCCTGCCGTGCACTTCAGACTGACCACAGAACTTTTTGATAAAAAATGTACTACTCCGACTTTCAACATATTTATATCATGTACTATATCTATGTACAGGTGAATATGATAGTCAGTGTCCACGAGATCCCTAATCACATAATCGAACATCCTTCGCACCATCCTTCGCTCAGTAACCCTGCCTGCTCCAACCATCCTGCGCACCCATCTCTTGCTCTACTCTCACTGGTATACCCAAGTCCGAGTGCGGTGGCTTTGATGGCGCCCGGTGAACGGCGCACCTCTATCGTTAGTTCCCTGTCCTCCTTCTCATCCATTGACACACTATAAAACCAAAGAAGCTTCTGCTCCGACGCAAGAAGCTCCACTCGGCCCTCGGATGCAATGACAGTAATGTCGTACCAGCCGTCCTTGAATATGACTGGCGAGAGCGCCGCTTGAGAAGTCAGAGGAAGGGTGAGAGTGGATGATGTAGGTACGCGAGGTGTTGTCGTTCCTGATGTACTGCGGCTGCTCCCTTCTTGCCCGACATCCATGGAATCATCATCTCCGTCCTGAACGTTAGAACCAAGTGCTTTACCCAAGCAAGCATCTGAGGCAAAATGGACGAGAGGCAAGAATATTTCAGTGGGCAAGGAACTATCCTTGCACAATCCTTTCTTTCTGGATACTAGGTCATCATCATCATCATCAATAGGTATATCTTCTGCGTTAACCTTGAGAGTAAGACGGAAGGTCGCTTTGGATATATCGAACTGGATGTTCGTAGGAGTGCCAACGACCGCTATTGGCCATGGGCGACAGAAAGCGCGTACGGCACGAGCGCCGTTTGTAAGGAACGACAGGAGTGAGGCAGGTTCGTAAGGTTCGACTTCTTCCACGCTAGAGCTCGCATAAGGGGAAGAATAAGCCGGAAGAGTTGATATCGTCAATGTCGACGCTCGTGCTGGCGCTAATGAACCCATCGACATTTTGGAGGGTATCCGCAGGGTTGGAACCCTTTCCGCTTCTCCTGTGCGTAGGTCGTCGCTACACCATAAACTGAGATCCTCCATATTCCACCCATCCCCCCACGGGTGCGAATTATCGGGGCAGTATGTCCATACTGTCCAGTTCAAACAGTTCTCTCCATCCGCCGCGTTTAAACTTGCATCAAGTGCACGCTCTTGTCGCGAGTAGTCACCTTTGTACTTGCCACCATCTGTGTATCCATACGAGCGCTTGGCATCCATATCGAAAGGGGTCCCAATCTCTCCAATGATAGTTGGGTATCGCGCTGGACCGGTGGATGGAAGCGCACCGAGTTGCGTTGCGTCTGCCTTGAGATAGCCGAGCTGGGTTTGAAGGCTACTTCGTATGGCGCGTTCACCTATGCGCAAAGCTTGTATCTGTGTTGAATACTTTCCCCGTATGAGACCAAGGGCATCCGCGTTAAACCAGTTCCAGTGGCGTGTCACAAGCGTCAGGCCATCGTAATAATGCGTCGAATAGCATGCCCTACCCTGCAACAGCTCCTCGGGTATCGAAGGAGGCTGTGCAAACACGGGCGGCTGCACGAACGCGATGGCTTGTGGGTGGTGCGCTCTAATTGCTTTCAGGTAAAGAGTGTATTGGGGAAGGAAAAAGGCGTGTAGAAAATGAACAGGTTCTTCCGTTCCTGGAATATGTGCGAAATAATCGGGCTGCAGAACGTATCCACTCTGCACATCCCATACATTGTGCAAAGCCCATATGCATTTGCCGAGCGTCCATCCAGCGTCACGTCTCCAGCCCCAGCGCGGGTGAATGTTTCCTGGCTCCGTTGAGGGGTCGGCCCATGCCTTGACACCATTCGGGTCGATGGTGACACTGCCATCACGCTTTGGACCCGTTGAGCTAAAAGCATAGTTATCAAGCGTCTGGACCTGACCCATACCAAGACGGAAACTCTGCACTGGAGAGGAAACGGCGCCCTTCTTCAGTGTAGAACCCTGTTGCTGCGGATATGCGTTAAGGTCATCCCATGAAATGAGCCCTTCTGCTGGCTCATTCATGCTGTCCCAACCGATGACAACTTCATCAAGAAGGTCCCCTGCTGCCGCCACTCGCTCCGCTAACTTTGCAAAAGCATTTGCGAAATGCGTCTGGAGGTATTCCTGGATGTTGACTCCATCAATGATGCATTTTGGCGCGAATGTTGAGCCGCCGAAAAAGAGCGCGAACATGGTTTGCGAGACAAGTTTTCCGTAATTTGTTGACCATATCATAGCAGGCATTTCTGCGGGGTTGCGGGATGCGGGAGTGGGATATTCGCAATGGATTATGGCTGCTTGGGTGGCACTGAATGCATTCGGATTAAAACCGCATGCAACGAGTGTCCAATAAGGCGCACCCGACCCGCCTGAAAAACGGGACCACTGAATGGCGACGTTAAGAAAACATGACAATGTTTTTGCAAGGAAGCTTACGGTGTCTTGATGAGGATTCAAATAAACTTTGAACCCGTGTGCTTTGCATTTCCGTAGTATTTTTATTGTATAATCCATAAAATCATAGTCATATTTCCCTCTAGTGAAACCACTGTCACCACAGGTTGGAGACCACGTTGATTGAGCACTCACGGTCCTTCGTGTTCTAGGGCTTCCCAGGTTACAGGAAAGCGCAACATATTGAAGCCCCAGCCCCGCAGGCGGGCGAGGTGCTCGTCTGCGTCATCTAGCTGTAGCGGTCGACCTATGAAGCTCTCACTGCCAATCTTGGCTTCTTCCCAAAATCCATCTAGGGCCTGGGAAGGTTGATTCACGGGTGCCTTGGAAGAGCCGGATAGGTTTACTCCGCGTAGCAGAAGGGTACGACCAGCGTTATCGACGAAATTACCATCAAGCGTATGGATAAATGAGGCGTCCCCAGACGGTACACGAGGCATGATTGCGACGGCAGAAATCTTATTCAATCCGAAATTCTTAATTTTCTAGAGATTTCGCCGTCGTGTCAAGCGTAGTGGTGGTAGTAAGGATACTGGTGTGGTTAAGGAACTGGGGAAGTGGCAGCTCCAATCATCGTACCACAAGAAACAAAGGTACACACAATTAATTTATATATACACTTACCGCCGGCATTGTCATTTATGGTAACATCTACGGCACTAACGGCAGTCCTATGCGGAAGCACTTCTTATCTCGGTCAAAATAGCTTCGAACGAACGTGGACCTTTACTAGTATAACAAGTAGCTAGTGGCAAAATACCGCGAGTCTGCTGTCATGACAGGAGCTGCCATGCGCTTCAGCGACGCAGGCTCCACCCTCCTTCCCATCAGGTCAAGAACGCATCCGTCGACGGTTGTGAACGCATACTACTTGCCGCATCAAGTGACCCTTCCGCTTGGAAAACACGAATTCGTGGGATTAACCACTTTAGAAATAACTCAATTCAACCTAACCTTGTTTCCCCGATAATCGCAGTCAGAGTCAGACAATGGATTTAGGGCTGAAAAACATTCATGTCCTCGTAACAGGTGCAGTCATTCCTTCCCCAGCCATGATTTCCTCACCCTCGTTCCAGGCGCAAGTGGAGGCATCGGTCTTGAGACCGTCAAACTCTATCTATGTAATTCCATCCTCTTGTGTCCCCCAACGATGTGACTGACATCTATTCTCAGCCCTAGGCGCAAATGTGACTGCACATTACAACTCTAACTCCAAACCCATCCAGGATCTCCAAGTCAACTTCCCTGCACTTCAATGCGCACAAGCAGATCTCTCCTCTGAGTCTGCCGTGAAGAGTATGTTCGATACGCTCACAGGATCGCCGTTCGGCCCTGTGGCAGTAATCGTGGTCAACCATGCCATATGGACCGCCGAGGACGTACCCATCATCGATATGACCATCGAACAATGGGACCATACTCTCAGTGCAAACCTCACCTCAAGCTTCCTGGTCTGCCGCGAGTTCTTGCGCCACTTGCGTATAGCAACAGAAGGCGTGAAAGATAAGGCCTCGATTGTGCTCATCGGGAGCACGTCAGGCAAATATGGCGACAAGGATCACGCAGATTATGCTGTCAGCAAGAGCGGTGAGTTTTCATTTTTGTCGTCCATCAGCTATGTGCTGAACGCTGACATGGGCAGCGATGATGTATGGTTTGACGACGACACTCAAAAGCGAGATTGTGAAAATCGCACCGAGGGGACGCGTGAATTGTATTGCACCTGGATGGGTTCTGACGCCTATGACACAAGAGGCGCTGAATGATCCTGCCATCAGCGGACCCCTATTAGCTGCGTGAGTCACGCTCATTCTCTTCACTGTGAGAGGTATCTATTACTTGCTGTGGCTTATCTCCTATAACAGCACTCCGTTGAAAAAACTTGGGACGCCTCTCGACGTTGCAAACCAAATAGTGATAGTGTCTTCATCAGTGGTCTCGGGACATGTAACTGGGCAAGTTATCTTCGTAGAAGGCGGTTGCGTAGGGGACATTTTATGTTGCGAGTGAGTGAAAGTAGGATCATAGTTAGTCAGCTGGTAATAGTTCTCGAGTGTTACGATAATTCGATCATGGCACAATCCCAATCGTTGGCGACTCCTAGCCCATCTATAAGGTCCGTGTCCCGACACGAGCTGGTCTAAATTCTACGTACCTCGGTTCGCTTAGAAACCCAACTTAGCGGTACCGGATCCTTCCGAGCAATCAGGAACCGTCGACCGAATGAATTACTGCCAGCCTATTTCCGCAACCTCCATCAGTTGATCCAATCCAAATATTTACCTCCTTCGTAATAACTGAATACTATGGCCAAAGACGACAGTGGCCGGCGATGGTCATTTAATGTCAATATTTCCACACGGAGAAACAGCCATATCTGATTGAATCTTATTCCGTTGGTGTGTATTATGGTTTAACTTTCGTGTTCTGTGGCGAATGACTCGGAGCTTAAGCTTCAAGGGTGAACGTTTGATTGTGCAACCTCGGCGCAGTTCCGAGTCCTGATTGGTTATATACTTTTATTGACTCGATGATCATGCTTATCACATTCAGGTGGCATACTAGGGAATACAGCTTCGAGAATATCTAATCAACTGTCAAAATTGAAGCGGTAAGGTTGGGCGTGCGTATGCACGCATGATCATATTGAATGAAGAATCTTCATAAAAAAAATCTAGGGATTTTCGCATTTGGCTCGACGGATATGGTCCTCCAACATGTACGGACGTGCGAACCCTTTTCCACAGCCAGCACATCGAGCCTTAACCTTCCGCTCATGCACCTCGTTGATATGACGAGTGAGGCAATTCTTGTTGACGACACTCGAGCACCCAGGCCGAGTGCACTGTACTTTGTCCTGCATAATACAGGGTTCGTCGCGTCTGGTTGAAGAACTCGATAGGGTCTGCCTCTCGGAGTACATGCCATGCTGAGGCATGATGTTGTGTACCCCCGTATTATAGCCGTCAGAACTGGAAGAGCTCCAGGGCAATACGTCTGATCGTATATGGTGAGTTCGCAAAGGAAAAGATGCGAGTGATGGGAAACTTACCTTGGGGAATTTGACTGAGGGGAGGAGCTACACCCTCTAACCCAGTGATCCCGACAGATACTAAAGGATTGTCCGAGAGCTGGTCATAGAATGCTAATGGCTCTGGAAAGAGGGTGGGGAGATTTGATGGCCATGCAATAGCATTAATCTCATCGAGCGCACTTGGAGCAATGGTCTGAGGCTCATGGACCATCGCTTGGATGTCAACGGTGCCATCCAATGTACCCTCGATGACGTCTGATCGGTCGCTGGAAAGAAGTTCTGTAATGCAGGCACGGATCTCCAGCATTTCCCTGTAAGTGTTCATCATCCTTTCGCTGTGTCGGTCAAGGCATTCGAGATACGATTGCAGTAGTGTCGGTCTGGACCTTAAAGGTAATAAAGTCATGTTTCGTCTCGAGTTCACGAAATATAACCTTACATATGTGAAGGAAGCTTCAGTCTGAATACTGAAAATTTCCCTTGCAGTTTCTGGTTGACACGGGAAGTCGTATACCCGCCAGCCTTTGCGTGGTTTTATACATTCCTGTTTTGGGCCCCAGGGTGACTGTATATTGGGTTGTCGTTCTCTAACTCATACCTGTGGCAGTTCAACGTAACGTTGGAAGGTGCATTTTCCGTTTTCGTAATCTCACAAAAATTGAATTGCATTTCATGCATACGGTCACTACTAGTCGCAAACGCTTCGAGGTACATCGGATTGACGGAAAACTGATCGCACTTTATTATCCATCACCAACCACGAGAAGAAGTCTAAGACTGCATCAAACCTTATGATCAATTAAAGTTTAGGGCTCCACTGGCACCATCGAAGGAGCGCTCAACAGACGCCTACCACCAAATCTAGACATGTCGTACAATTTTTATTTCTCATAGCCGTATACTAGAAATTACAACATTTTAGCACGCAGCTACCTCGTGTTCAAGATGCCAAGATTATTGCCGGAATAGAGCCTTGGCTGTTCATGTATCATAAACCTTAGTCGTGCAAGTCCCGACCCGAGTTGACAGGTAACTTCTGGTGATTTCAGATTCCGGAGCCGTGTATAACGGAAATTTGGAGAGGATCCTTCGCGTCGGATTGCTCTAACTATATGTGTAGGGGCGTTTCATACTAGTGAAATTAAATGAATGAAATAAAACAGTATCAAAATCACTGACACCTGAGGATAACTTGAAGAATGACGAACGGTCTGAATTTTGGACAGTGGAAGCGTTCCGTTTGAAGTCGTGTGCTACGAGCTAGAATGAAGATATAAAATGGTCAGCTCGTACAACTACATGATCATGCACGGATGGCATGCATCAACATGCGGAGGCAAACGGGATTTAGGAAATGGCCGAGTGGTGCTACTAGTAGCCCACCTTATTGTCATCAGTGGCAGCGGCGGGAGCAGTAGAATTATCACATATATACGTCGTAGGACATAGATACCTTGTATACAAAGATTTATTTTTCTCACCCAGCGCACGCTATCTGATGTGACAGCGGTGCTCGATTCTTACGTCTTACCGTGCCTTGGAGACAAACAAAATAAGCAACTGACAAGACTCCATTTGGGCTGTGAAGGTTCACGGACCTCTCACCTTTGCTGCATAACCAGGATAATGTGTTGTGCAACGAGTCGGATGTGTTGATAAGGCGGAGTGAGCTTCGAGCCTTCGACAGCGATCGGCTATTTTGTTTGGCTCTAAGGCACAATAGGACATGGAGTTGACACGTGACACCGTAAGAGTTGAACACGCCTGGGTCTGTGCAGCGAGGAACCCGGCGGGAAGGAAAGGAAACGCGTGTGGTCATCATGAAAACAAAAAACAACCACAAATGCGCTACCAGAATAGTTTTGAGAAAGAAAAAAGCTACTTCTTGAAGCAAAATGCCCCCATGATGTGCATGAGATACTAAACTCGGACATAGTGTTGGTCGTGGAGGCAAGACAAATTGACAATGAGAAGGCCCGCAATAACGCTGTTGTAGTAAAGGCGGGCATCTCGGGGCTTACATAAAGCTTAAAGGAGCAATTCCTCGTACCTTGAAGTGACGCAAGCATGGTACATGAATTTTGACACTCCGTCCAAACGCCGCCCAAACACTTTTTCAACTCGACGGCAATTAACCTCGAGCAAATCACTTCCCTAAGCCCTTCTGCAGCCACGTGCCTCTTGGAGTTGAGTACCCCCATGGGTCAAAGACGGATCACCAGTATGTCTCAATCCAGCAGCATGCTCTCCCTCCATGTCTGTACGAGAAGTAGTCATATCAAATTTCATTTGTATTGGTGCACTATCTAAGTTCTCGTGCTTTCGAGGACTTCGTATCGTGGAGCTTTCAGCGACCTATCAAAACCGAAGCGGCACCATTCAGCGAGTGCGTAATATCTAGGCTTGACAGATATGCTCATTCAGCATATAAGGGCGTGCGAACCCCTTTCCACAGCCAGTGCAGGTGGCCTTAACCTTCCGCCGATGCATCTCGTTCACATGGCGAGTGAGGTTATCCTTCCTGACAGCTCTCGAGCATCCAGGCCAGGAGCAATTTACTCTATCTTGGCTGCCCTGCGCAATCGACCGGGGAACATGTCGTTTGTCTTGACTTGTGGAAGACTCGGACAAAGTCTTCGCAGCAGAGTAGATGTCATACTCAGGTAGCAATACAGGTACATCGAGCCCATGGCTGACGATACCAGAGGTGCCACTGAGCAACAGGTCTGGTCATACACGGTAAGTATTTCAAAGAAAGGCTGCGTATATGGCGAACTTACCTTGGGGAAGTTTACTGTCGCGCAGGCCTTCCGACAAGGTCCTAGTCAACCCTAAAGGATCGTACTTCAGGTCTACAAATTGGCCCTGGAATGCCAGCGGCTCTTCCGAGATGGAGAGCTTTGGAAGGGCCAACGACGGTGGAACGACATTGAGCTCATCATGCGCAAGTGGCATGACAGTCTGAGGCTCATCATCACTGATTGCCTGGAAGTCCATGCTACTATCCAACGTGCCTTCACCGCCCATGGTGATTTCCGACTGACAGGTGAGAAGAAGCTCTGTAATGCGGGTGCGGATTTCCAGGACTTCCTGGTGAACACAGTTCATTGTGTCATGGACTCGGTCCAGGTACTTGAGACATGATTGCAGGTTTGATCTCATTGAGTCTTGATCCGGGGCATGACTTAACGGTGAAGACGACGTCAACTGGGGGATTGTTCCTGACAATTCGGGCCTTTAACGGTAAGCTCATAAGTTGATCTCTAATCCACAAAGCGTAGAACAACCTTACCTTTGCAGATACGTGCTCATTTTAAAAATCTGAGTTGCAGGTTCTGGATGGCACGGGAAGTTGTATGAATGTAAGAGAATGTAATATTGCGGCCTTTATATTCCCATTGATTTGTGAACTGAATTTTGATTATTCGGCCATGGCAAGCCAATGTAACGCAATACTGTACTAATGTCGTATGAACGAGCACTGCCCTTGAACCGAGCTCGGAATTTATTGAGACCTTGGCTGGTCACGTAAACTTCTGTCGAGAACCCAGGGCCCGTCGCACACATAGAAAAGGAAATTGGGTTGAGCGCTTTTGGCTCTCGGTTACATGGCTCTCTCACCTGAGACCCAGTCAAGTAAGAGTCCGTAACAGATGCTGCTCAAATTGGGGAACATATTCGAAATCAATACAGTTACAGATATGTTTCGGGATATGTATCGCATCTGTTCATAGAACTTTTCTGACCGTGTCTCAGGTGTCTTCATAACCTCATTGCAAAGGATCATTACGGTCATCTAGCGCTCATAATGGGCCATATACCATCAAGTCAGAATATTGGGTGTGACGTTTCTAGTTTCGGATGCATTTCCATCCTGTACCCTAGAAGGCCACCAGTATGATTTTGCCGAATCGGTTCGTGGCATCGCCCGCTCCAGTGGATCAATGGAGCCAGCTTATATCGGCGCCAACTTCACAGTCCAATTAGACTCTCCAGCTGTTCAAGGTTATAAATGTTACAATGCGAATTCTACCGCACTGAGGTCACTGTGTTGACATGTCAACATACGAACGTTTGAATTTCGGAGCAAACACGTCGATATCGCGAGGTTAACAGAGACCCTAGACTGTGAGCTGGACCGTTCTGAGAAAATTCCGAAAACTTGAAGCGGAGTGTACAGTACAGTACAGGTTCACGTTAACCCGTCAAGGGTATAGGCTATCACCAATTTAAATTCCTAAAATTTCGGCTCGGCAAGTGTAGTACAATTACCTTGGCCTGTCGATTCAGGGTCATTCGCTCCAGGGCAAATTCAGCCCTTAGAAATTGAAGAAAAAATAAGGAAAATAAGTTTACACTGCATGGAATCAGGACGATTACATGAATTTACCTAGAATTTAGATTCAAGGTCTGGGTTGAAACCTGCCAAGGCCGTCTTCGTGGTTAGGACATGCCGCTGAGAAGACCCAATGGAATCAACCACCGACCTGCATTCGAAGAATAGATGGTACTCACGTATGAATGTCCCGCTACCCACACCTTCCCGCCAGGAAACAATACCGCGGCTTGCTTACGGTGCGCCTTCTCCGTCTCGCCAATCTTACCCTATCTTGTCACCACTGCTCGAGTTCCATACTCGCAAGTCGCCACTTGAACAAGCTATAATTCGATGTTCGCCTGGCAGGTGAGACGAGTTGCGTTATCCGAATTTCTGGTGGGTGTTATTGCTGATACCTCATCAGGTGCTGCCGCAGTACGTGGTTACCCAAATTTGATTGCGCATCGAACCAATGTTAAAATAATGGCCCACGGAGAATGCGTCTAGCGTCTGCGTGTAAATGAACGTTGCAGCCGAGATCTGATGAAATGTGATGAGGAGCACAAAGTACGTATCCTTCACAGGATGACTAAATCACATGCTGTGCAGCCTGAGGTCAAAGATTTAGCCTCATGTGAAAGCCTGAGATGATGGAAACTAGTACCGTTACATATGTGTGAAAATTGCCATTGGCACCCAAGACTCTACAGAGTTGCAGAAGTTTGAAGACGACCAAGTAATAACTTGAAAATTGGGGCCCTGATAGACGCAAGATTACGCAAATTGTGTACTGGGTGCATATTTATGAAGTCGGCGCCGTCAAAGAGGAATTTTATTCGAATAGATCCGAAAGGTTGACAGATCGGTTGAAGTAATAGGGTGATGGGGGATAATCAGATGTACCGGTGCGTGTGATATTGATATTCTTCGTTGGGTGAGCAGAAGTTTCATGTAACTTACTAGTACTTATGGTTGATTACTCGGAGAGAGCCCGTACGTATCATCGGCAGCAGTACCTGATTGTCAATAACCGGAAATCGTTTTCCACGCGTATGCATATGGGTGCTTTGATCCAGGTTCGTGCTGCGGCTTGGAAGAACTTTTAACGCTTTCAGAACTGGCAGAACCTGATATGCGCAGGAGTTTTGCCACATTCTGCAAGAAAGGTTCTGCCATCTGCCTGGCCCCATTGGATCTGCCCACAATAGTACTAGCGACATACCAATGTGCTGGCATTAATCGTAAATATGTACATTTGAAGGCACATCGACACAACAGTAATTCCGGAAAACAATATAAAGCCAGCCGTCTTCCTACAATCGCCTTCAGAATTCCCTGATCCCCCCACACGAGTCTGCGGCAAACAATGCATTTCTTCTCTACAATTGTCCTCGCCGTCATTGCTGCTTTAGTATCATCAAGCTCTGCCATGCCCACTACTAGTGATGCAGCTGGACTCGACGTTCGCGAGGCTGATAAATGTCCCTACAAATGCAAAAGGAACTTTGACTGCTGGTGGCATTCATGCCAACAGGGGGTATGCGTGAGTATCAGCATTTTCCTGGACCTGATAACATGACTCACCTGCATGACAGACCAATGCAGGCTACTGCACGGTGAGTGATATTCTTGCTTTCACATCGGTAGAGTATGGCCGTTGACACTGACGCGCGAGTTACTAGTGATTTGCAGAGTTGAATGACACACACTGCATGTAGAAGTGTATCGCCGCACTGGTGGAGCAAAGTTTTGGTCAGGGAGTAGTATGTGGGGAAAGCGTCAAATAATAAGCGAGACTTGATATATACGAGAAACAATGACCTTGCTTTTTGTTCAAGCTATGCGATCGAGAGATTTCCGACATACACCTGCAAAAACTTCGAAGGTTGCTCGAGGTTCGGTTCGGAAAGATTCAGGTTCGAACCGAGCGGACTGCGGCAGCACTACCTACAGGCGGCATATGCAAGATGGGACTGGGCAAGACGACTCGGACTCGGAAAGCTGCAATGTCTGTTTAAACAGAAAATTCATATTACCTATATACGGCTCGCGAGCCTATCAGGGAAAGACGAACGTCGAGGCGCTGATGAGGAAACGGGAGTGCCAAAAGTAGAATTCGAGGATGCAGTCACATGGGCTATTAGTCACGCGAATTGCTTCCACGTCGGGATCAGCCGCTTCCACGAGTACTCTCTGTCCAAACACTTTTTCAACTCGACCGCTAATTGAAATGATCAATAAATTCGGCAAATCACATTCCTTCCTCAGCCACGTGCATTTTGGGGTTGAGTATCACCGTGGGCCACAAGATCACAGATCATCGACATCACCGGCAAGCTTCAACTCAGCGCTATGCTCTCCCTCCAGCCCGTACGAGAGGTAACCGTATGGAATCGTGTTTGTACTGACACACATTACCTGACTTTCTGCGCCTTCGAGGACTCCATATCATGGGGATTTGTCAAAATTCGAAGTAGTGCAATTCGGGGTTGAGTAATATGTATAGCAAAATATCTATGACTTTCTACATTTTCCCTGACAGATATGGTCCCTTAGCATGTATGGGCGCGCGAATCCCTTTCCACAGTGAGCGCAGGCAGCCTTGACCTTCCGCCAATGCACCTCATTCACATGACGAGTGAGGTTATCCTGGTTGACGGCTCTTGAGCATCCAGGCCAGGTACAAATCACTCTATTTTGACTGCCCTTCGAAATAGAAAGAGGTTCCTGTTGGTCGTGACTTCCTGAAGACTTGGACAAGGTCTTCGCATCAGAGGACCAAGGCAGGAACCCGGGTGCATCGAGCCCATGGCTGACGACAACACCAGAGGTTCCACTGAGCAACAGGTCTGGTCGCGCACTGTAAGTATTTCTATTTCAAGGAATGACTGTTTATATTCCGAACTTACCTTGGGGAACGTTATCGTCAGGAAGGTCTGGCAGGGTATTAAACCCTGAAGGACCATACTCTAGGTTCAAAGGCTGGTTTTGGAATGCTGATTGCTCTGCCGAGATAGGGAGCACTGGTGTAATCAATGACGGTGAAACAGCATGTAGCCCGTCCTGCGCAATTGGCACGATAGTCTGAGGCTCATTCTCGACGATTGCCTGGAGACCCATGCTGCTATCCAACATGCCCTCATCCCCCATGGTAATTTCCGATTGACAGGTGCGAAGAAGCCCTGTAATTTGGGCGCGGATTTCCAGGACTTCCTGGTAAACACAGTTCATCCTATCATGAACTCGGTCAAGGTGCTCGAGACATGATTGCAGGCCTGATCTCATTGAGTCTTGATCCGAGGCATGCCCTGACGTTGAAGACGGCATCAACCTGGGGGCGTTCAGTGACGATTTAGGCCTTGAACGTATATCCATGGTAAGCTGGTGTTCTGATCTTGAATCTACTAAGCGTTGAGCAACCTTACCTTTGCAAATAATGTTAAAACCTTGAGTCGCAAGTTTTGGATGGCACAGGAGGTTGTATGAATGTAGGAGTGATGGACTAGTGTCTCTTCTTTTATATTGTACACTGGAGTTTGACTACTATGCCATGGCAGGCCAACGTAACACATACTGCACTATGATTGAGCGTTTTCACGTAAACTTACACCGGCCATACTTCTGTCAGAACGGTGGCACACAAGCTCAGGAGGAGGGGCAGGCCCGCAGACATGTGCACAAATAGAAAAAGGAAATTGGGTTGAGCGTGACTTTTATTTTCATTCAATCCATCAGCGCTCATAATGAGGCGTGTGACGTTTCCACGTGCACGTATTTCCTTACCTAGATGTTCCTGATTCGAACAACGGCCCATCCCGGCTTCGCAAAGTCCAACTAGACTGCCAATATTAATGGTAACCGGTGACCCTATGCTATGTACATGACTTTGTGAGAAAACCGCCCGAAAGAAGCGGAGTGTACGGTACACTCCAAGTTCACGTTACCCTGTCAAGAGCATAAACCGATTTTGATTCTTGAAATTTCCGCTCAGAAAATGTACTATGTAGTCGTTCCCCCGAAGCGTGCAACCAAAGACGTAGTTTGCAAAATAGTGTTTCACGGAGGGGTTGTGTCTAGCAGGTTCATGTAAATAAATAGTGCGGCCGAGAAGATGCGACAAAGAACACAGTACGTATCTTTCATGGGATGACCAAATCATATGCTGCGCAGCCGGAGATAAACGGGTCAGAAATTAGGCTTCATTTGCAAGCCAGTGACAATGGACACTACCGTGACTGAATACGCGTGAAAATTGCCATTGGTACTCAGGATTCTCTAGAGAAGCTAGGTACTTGAGGAAATGGCCGTGTTGCATCAAAAATTCGAAGACAGCCAAGTTGTAATTTGAACATTGGAGCCTGATAGATCCAAGATTACGCAAATTGTGTGGCGGGTGTGTCTTCCATAGAGTTGGCGCCGTTAAAGAGGGAATTTCCCCCAAATAAATCCGAAAGTACCGGTGCATACAACGTTCTTCGTGCAGGTAAGCTAATTGAGTGAGCAAAAGTTTCACGGTGTAGGTGCGAAAAGGCTGAATAAACGGATACCGTAACAGGGTGAATAAACGTTGCGCAACCAAATAGTGCAACCTGGGCGTCGGCCGTCTTAGAGCTGAGATGCGATGCCGGCAGTTCCAGCTCGTGGTAGGCGCTCTATTCGTAAATGATGTATCTCCCTGAAAACGTGTTACGGATGCGTCAGCAAGCCGCAGTTCCATGGTAACCTGGTAGACGCTCCATTTGTGAAAAATGGCATGTCTCCCCGAAAATGTATATTAAATATGTCAGCAAGTCATTTGGCCAGTACAGACGCACCAGCAGCACCACTAAATATTTGAGAAACTTTATGATTGAGTTATCACGGTCCACTGTCAAGGCTCTTCAACATATGTGTGATGAAATATATCAGGGAGCTCGAGTGGAAAAAAGGACTTTGAGTGAAATCTCCACCTAACAATTTTGTCGAGGATTGTTGCAATTTGATAGGGTTCCGCACGGGTAACACCGCGAGTCGGAAACTCAACACCGTACCTGCACCTACCTGCACCCGCCAACTCCGCACCTGCCGCGGGTACGTGTACAAAGTTCAAACCGACTCGTAAGTATATACATTCAAGTTAACGAGAAGCGTGCAGCCTGCGAAAGATTGTCATCCAGGTCGGTCGGTCATTGTTAGTCTCCAGGTCCATCAACCCTGTCCTATTTCCATGTGGACAGAGCCAAAGAAGGTTGTTACAAGTAACATAATAGCGAGAGCATGAAACCTCAAAGCCAAGTAACCGGACCGAGAGCAATTTACATGCTGGTAAATGCTGTGTGGTTGTATTTGGTTTGGCTGTTGGCTATTAGGATAAGGCTCTTTACACACCGCCGACTGGGTAGGAGTCTGTAGCATAAGGTTGCCGGAGTCCACCGTGTGAGGGATCGCTAGGCACCCGAACAATTAATCCTTTGCAGTCGACGCTGCGCTTTTAGTCACCGTGACCAAGGTGGCATTGTACCAAGCAAACACTAGCATTCCCCCTAGATCACTGAGTCACATCTACTTTACGAGGAATCACGTCAACAATTATTGTGAGTACTTCTGGACAGCGCCCGATATATATTAGCACGATCATGGCTACTTTGTTGTACAAGGTCATGATAACAATCTATGCCCATATTCCACATCCAGTCCGAAGGATGTGCTCATTCACTTGATACTGACGCTTGAACTTTCTTCCACAGCCTGTACAAACAGCCTTAATCCTCTCCTCGTGTACCTCTTCTATGTGACGAGTGAGGTTATCTTTGTTAACAAATGCCCAGCACCCATCCCAGGTACATTGTACCTTTTCCTTTGCTTGGCTATCCTGCACAACAGGCATAGACAATTGCACGCCGGGTCTGGCTGAAGAACTTAATGTGACATGTTCTCCGAAATAAACGTTCTCGAAGGGTTGCGCAGTGGGCGCATGGACGGAATCGGACGTCCTATGGAGTGATACATCTAGAATACATTGTAAGCGCTTAAAGGAAAGGCTGTGAATGATAGCGAATTAACCGAGGTGAGGATCTACAACATCTGATGATGATCTCGTGACACGCGGGTCATAGCATGCCAGAAGTCCTTCAGAGTACATGCTGTGCTGGGGCCAAGTCGCGGTGACATGGTCGACAAAACTGCGGGTGCCGTGGGGAAATAACCCTGTACACTGTAAGTGTTCAAATAGAAGGCTTCGTATACAGCAACTTACCTTTGGGGGAACCTGATAAAGACAGTTCAATGTCATCGAGGTCATCGAGTCCAGATTGGGAGTCGACAACGCTATCATGTCTGCTCGAACTCTCCGTCGTGACATCTGACTGACAGTTGTCAAGGAGATTTATAAAGAGGCTGCGGATCTTTTTGGTTTCCTCGTGCACATGATGCTCGAACCTGTCGAGGTGCTTAAGACCTGACTGCAGGGCTAATCTTATTGAATGTTGGTCAAGGGCCTGCCCTGACCCTGAGGACAATGGACTTCGTAGTGTCAATCTGGATGAACTTATGGTGCGCTCGCGTCTTTGTCTGCGATTCGCGCGTGACCTATCCATCATTAGACTCTAGGTGGTAGGTGAAGCAAGCGGTGCGAATGCAGGAGATTATTTGGTATCCTTTGGGGGAGTTGGGAATTTGAACACAAAATTGAACACTGCCGCGAAGCCTTTATACTATATTCTCCACACCCATGGCATATATGGCAGCTCTGATCTGGGCTGGACCATGATCCAATGGATAAATCTTTGTAGCTGTTGTGTGGGATTAATTGGCAGGACGTTGCAGAGTAAAAGTCTTATTTACCACTTTGCATCAATACTGATTAGTATCGTCATTCACGATTCCAAGTTGAGAAGAGTTGCATTACGTACAGTGGCCCGCTTCCAAAGATAGTCTCATTCCCCTGGAAAACGCGGTACGACCTCTATCCTGTATATTAGCCAGGTTCACAGTAGTGTTTTCGAGTCGGTTTCGTCGTTGTTTTCGAATTTGTTTTCATGTTTCTGTCAAAAACGAGTCGTTTTCCAGTCAGTCGTTTCGTTCGTCGTTTCCGTTCGGCATGAACGGCACAGCATCGGAATGTGAAATTCGGTAGAATCCGAGCCACGGCGAGTCGGTGACATCATGGCTGCGAAGGAATCTGCAATGGCCAAAGCCAGCAAGGGCCGCCGTCCTCCGAAATCCCACACCAATCTCACAGTTAGTGATCAAACGCCCATAGTGCTTTGTCGATGATTGCATCGAGGAAGGTTACTGGTTAGTGCATCTTTGCCTGCACTGCAACACGAATGCCATTTCGCTGGAGTGAAATTTAGCTTACTTTGACGCAATTGTGGGGGGCTAATGTATTGGGCAGGATCACAAATTGATCCCTTGTGCATCTACAAAGAAAAAAAAAATAGTTGTGACTGGCTGATACTCAGCAAATAGCCTTTCAATGGTTTCAACCATTAGGAACCATCCATCATCACTGCGTGCATTCCTTCTATATGTATAAATGCATGTCCATGCACAAGTATATGCGGTTTTGACTGGGCATTTCAGCAACTATTTCGGGGCAGGTCAGATCATCATCAAATATTGATGAACACAGGTTCAGGCTCATGCCAGTGACCTTTTCGTATGGGTACATAAAATTGCGGTCTACGGTCACAGACTCAAAGCGATCTTCATTTATATGTCCGAGAAATGAAACGCTAAATTCGGTTTTTTCTGAATCTCTTAGCCCTATGAGTTTCCCACCTGACAAGGTCAGCTAGAGTTTCCACAGCCCATGGACTAAATCAGGTTGCGCTGGCGACGGGCACTCGTATAGATAGAGTTTAGGGCGAGCTGGTACCTCCGGTTCAATGCTCGGAGGACCTGCATAAATTTTAACTGACAGCTTGTACATGCAAAAGAAAACCTCGCTGACTATATCATACACTACCAGCCGCCGAGAACGAAACTTGTGAGGTAACCAGAACAGATCAAGGGAAAGACATAGAGGGAGACCTCGGGGGGCGGGTGGGTAGCTAAAATAGACAGGCGAAGAATGTGCGCAAGCAGAGGAATGGTCAACGCTGAGAGATAATAAAGACAAATGGTCGAGACTCAGGTTGTCTAAACGTTATCTAAGCATCTGCGCGGGGGGAGACGGACGGAGAGGTGCCGACAAGGAAACAGGAGTGCCAAAGGTAGAGTTCGGATTCGAAAACGTAGTTAACTCTTGTGTATTGCTCCGAGAGGCATTGATGAACTGGGTGTCGAGTGAGTAAGGAATGTTTCGTGAGTGAGCAGGATGCAGGTACACTGGCGGGTATTGGAAAGTGTGCTTGTGTCATTGCAAACAGTGTGAAAGGCTGCATATGATCAGATAAGGGGATAGAGTGAAGGGAAAGACATACCTGCAAGCGATGCTCTCATTGTGCTCAGCCTTTGCGCCGGTCTTGAAATCCATGCTGGACCGCCTGATGGTAGGTAGCGCTTAGGAGTAGGTTGAAGTACATTTGGTGAGTATTGAGTCCCATTGTTGTTTGACGTCAATGCAAACAACGACGGGAAACGTCGCACCCACCCGAGTGCACACCGTGGGGGCTTTGCCTCCGCGGGATTTGCGCGGGATCCACCGTTGATTTTGACACTCCGTCCAAACTCCGTTTTAAAACTATCGATCGATCGAAATGATCAACCACTCGCAAATCACATCCCTTCCTCGGTCATGTGCCTTTTGGGGCTGAGTACTACCGTGGGTCAAAGACAAATCACAAGATCACAGATCGTCATCAGCAAACTTCGACTCAGCGCTATGCTCTCTGTACACGAAGTAATCATGTTGATTCTTGTTTGTATTGACGCGCTGCATTGCCTGATTTCTATGTCTTTGAGAACTTCATATTGTAGGTCTTTCAATACGGCGCAATTCGGGTTTAGTAATATGTATAGCAAAACATCTATGCCTTTCTACGTTTTCCCCGACAGATATGGTCCCTTAGCATGTAAGGGCGCGCGAATCCCTTTCCACAGTGAGCACAGGCAGCCTTGACCTTCCGCCAATGCACCTCATTCACATGACGAGTGAGGTTATCCTGGTTGACGGCTCTTGAGCATCCAAGCCAGGTACAAATTACTCTATCTTGGCTGCCCTTTGCGATAGAAAGAGGTTTTTGTTGGTCGTGACTTCCTGAAGACTTGGACAAGGTCTTCGCATTAGAGGACCGAGGCAGGAACCCGGGTGCATCGAGCCCATGGCTGACGACAACACCAGAGGTTCCACTGAGCAACAGGTCTGGTCGCGCACTGTAAGTATTTTAAGGAATGACTGTTTACATTCCGAACTTACCTTGGGGAACATTATCGTCGGGAAGATCTGGCGGGGCACTAAACCCTAAAGGACCATACTCTAGGTTCAAAGGCTGGTTTTGGAATGCTGATTGCTCTGCCGAGATAGGGAGCACTGGTGGAATCAGCGACGGTGAAACAGCATGTAGCTCATCTTGCGCAGTTTGCAAGATGGTCTGAGGCTCATTCTCGACGATTGCCTGGAAATCCATGCTGTTATCTAATATACCCCCGCCCCCCATGACGATCTCCGTTTGACAGGTGAGAAGAAGCCCTGTAATGCGGGCGCGGATCTCTAGGACTTCCTGGTAGACACAGTTCATCCTATCATGAACTCGGTCAAGGTGCTCGAGACATGATTGCAGGCCTGATCTCATCGAGTCTTGATCCGAGACATGCCCGGACGTTGAAGGCGGCGTTAACTGAGGGGTGTTTGGTGAATATTGAGGCCTTAAATGTACATCCATGGTAAGCTCATGTTTTGTATGAAGCGTAGAACAACCTTACCTTTGCAGATACGTGTTCATTTTAAATCCTTGAGTAACAAGTTCTGGATAGCACGGGAGGTTGTATGAATGTAGGAGTGATGGAATAGTGTTCTTTTATATCAATCTGGCCATGGTGGCGCGCCAAATAATGTAGTCGTACTCCGTTGCGACATGACAGGCCAAAAGCCGTACTCTTTGAAGCAATCATTTACGTCAGGAACTTCCCGGGTTTTGCATACTTGTCCACAAATAGAAAAGAAACTTAGGTTGAGCACTTTTTCCAGACGCTAGGATGTCTTTATCATGGTTCATGATTGCCAGGTATCATTCCAGTCACATCCGCTGGCGGTCATAACAGGCCATATGATTATACCGGATCAGGATGCCCTCAGCACGCATCTCATATCTTCACAAAGTCCAATTAGACTGCCGACGAACCATATGCTACATGTATAAGGTTCTTGCGCACAACAAAAATTTGGTCAGGGATTTAGGTTCGTGGAAAATCGGTGAATCTGGGCGTTATCAAGCAGATGCCGAGACGAGCCAGAGATTGCCGTGTAGCCCAATCCGGCAGTTTGTGTAAAGACCGAAGTCGCGTGGAAGTAGCAACAATTTTGACATGATGGCTTCCGGGAGACGATGTCAAGCGGGACACTGGAATGTGTGAACTTCCTGGCCCGTTCTGAGAAAACCGCCCGGAACTTCGAAGTAGGGCCAAGTCGGGATATAGGGAGAAATTTACGATTAGCTAATGTAAACCCTATTAAGGAGAGAATTCGTTAATAATTTGTTCATGGATCCTACATATCACGTGACACGTAGTTGGCGTGAGCTTACCATTCGAAGTCGAGGACGTCCGGGAAATGGAAACTCTAGGTCTAGTCTACGTAGAGTCTATTATGGGTCCTGTCTGGGGGTGTGCCAGCCACCCGGCCAGATTGAAGCGGAGTTCAATTCCAAATCAGGAAGATGTGAGTCAGCTTGGAAGTCACGCGTCACGACTCACGCCCAGTGAGTACTCACACACACGCACGACGACTGCGCCAGCCCCTAGCTCGTCTAGACTCGTAACTAGTCTGTTTGTGCGTCAATTTGAGATGGTGAGAATTTATTGACGTAGTCAGACTGGTCGAACTCAGAGTGATTTGGCAGGCCAAGCGAGGAATTTGAAATTTGGCAGATGCCGATATGCCGCTTTGGGTAGCATTATGATCGGGACTACCACGGTGCGGCACGACCGCTGAGCACCAGGCCTAATATAGCTCCTCGACATTCACCGCGATGACCACGCACCCGGCGGGGCCATGGATGTCGTCACTCTCTTTGCGGGACTCTCCAATGAAGCCGAACTCGCAGGCCTGTTATATTTGTCTTTAACCCGCTTCATTAACTCAGCCAGTATGATCAAAGATGACATCCTCCTTCCTCAGCCTTATGGAATTTCTACCTCCTTGGCGCCTCATTTTCTACCACCCAGCACCACCAGATTTCTAGGCGAATCTTTTGGTCTTTCTCAACATAGGAAACAGCAAGCGGGAGGCGGCGGGTGGTATACCGTAGGCGTTACAAGCTGACTCGCCCCGATTTGGAATTGAACTCCGCTTCAATCTGGCCGGGCGGCTGGCACACCCCCAGACAGGACCCATAATAGACTCTACGTAGACTAGACCTAGAGTTTCCATAAACCTTACATTCACTCGAAATCGGGATTGAAACCCGCCGAGACTGTTTTCGGGGTTAGGGCATGAGAAGGCCTCATGGAGTCTACCACTGGTCCGAGTTTGAAGAATAGATAATTGTACTCACATAGAAATGTCCCACTACCCCAGGCGACAAGGTCGTGGTTTACTTACGGTGTGCTTTCTCCGTCTCGCTAGTCTTACCCTATCTGGTCACCACTACTCAAGATCCATACTCGCAAGTTGCCACTTGTATAAGCGATGATCCGATGTTCGCCTGGTATTGTGAGACGAGTTGTGTTCTCCAAATGTTGGAGTTTAGGCGAGGGGCGGAGTACCAGCGGGTAACAACGTAGCTTAGTCTGAGCCAGCCACTCAGTGTCCTTCGGGCTTAGTCGTAGCGTAGAGCTCTTCGCCACTTTTTGCCTCGCTCGTGACACGCAGGCACCCAGTCGCAGATACACCGCTCCAGTGTTATGGCTGACATCCCATGCGCTGCATTACGTGATTTTTACCTGGAGCGTGTAACTAAAACGCATCGAACCGATGTTTGTCCCAATTAGTGGCGTCTAACGGGGACAATGCGACGAAGAGCGCCAAGCACGTATCATCCACAACATGACCAAAGCATATGCTGCGCAGCCTGAGATAGACGGGTCAGATTTAAGCTTCATTTACAAGCCAATAATAACGGATACGCAAAATTGCCATTGACATCTCTGGTCAGGGCAGCCGGTTAACCAAGGAAAGAGCCGCAACTGCGGAAGTTTGAAGACGGCCAAGAACATCGGAGTCCTGATAGATTTAAGATTACACGAATTGTGTGGCGGGTGCACCTTTATGGAGAGTCAAGGGGCATAACCAAAAATGCACCGGCGCGTGTAAAGTTCTTTGGGGCAGGTAAATTTGGGTAAGTAAAATTATCTTGCAGGTGTGTACAAAAGGGCTGAATGAACGGATGCCGTGACACGTTGAACAAATGTCAGAGTGCACGTGCACCAGCATCCAGGTTTTACAGCTGATGATGTGATGCCGGTAGTTCCAACTCGTGTTGGCACTGTTGGGGCCCCACTCGTGAAAAACGGCATGTCTCACCAAATTGTAGATTTTCATAGATAAAGCTGCTTTCAACACGCGCACCCCTTAATTCTCCTGCTTCACGGAATCTGTGCTAAGAAATTTGTGAGCCAAAATTAGTGCGGAGAACTCGAAAGGCACTAACAATTTGTGATGCAGATCAATGGGCATAGATGCCGCTGAGTTACCGCTCGCTGGTGAGCTTGTCGTTGGCGTACTCAACTCTCTCACCTCCAAGGACCATCTCAAGGAGAGTGCTAGAGTACTTACTAGTTGTGGAAACATGTAGTCCCGGCGTGTCAGCGTTCTCACAGGGCATCAGTCACCGGTCACGCGTCACGTCAGGCCAACGTTGCTTCCATTGAAGTTCCAAACTTTTTAAATTTTGGCCACCAACTTGAAGCTGGGCTTGTAGCAAGCAAACACTAGAGCACGTATAAGGAACCACTTCAACAAATATTAAGTGAGTACATTACCCAGTCCATATTACATATAAATAACACAATCATGATCAACTAGCGACGATATGAGATAATCTATCAACCTAAGGATCTTCCACAGCTGGTATGACGGATATGCTCATCCATCTGATACGAACGCTTAAACATCTTCCCACAGTTTGTACAAGTAGCCTTAATCTTGCCCTCGTGCACCTCTTCGACATGACGAGCAAGGCTATCCTTGTTGAGGAGTGCCGAGCACCCGTCCCGAGTGCATCTTACTTTATCCTTTGCTCGGTTAGCCCGCACAACGGGGACAGACAGCTGCGCGTCGGGTCTGGCTGAAGAATTTGATGGGATAGGCTCCTCCACATAAATGCCCTGGAAGGGTTGCGCAGCGGGCTCATCATAGATGGAATCTGATGATACATTAAGTAAGCATTTTAATGACCAGCTGCAAATGAAGACGAATTTACCGAGGCGAATATCCGCACCCCCTGATGAAGATTCCGCGATATGCGGGTCATGGAATGCTAGAACGTCAACGTCTTCGGAGTATATGCTTTGTTGAGGCCAATTTGCATAGTCGGCAAAAGTGTGGGCGCCGTCGGGCAATATACCTGTACACAGTAAGTATTCAATGAAAAGACTCCGTATACAGCAACTTACAGGCTTCTGTACCTTCTGACAGCGATCCCATGACACCAAAAGATGTTTCATGAGGTACAGGCTGTGACACAAAGTGGGAGTCGTTCCAAGATACAAACGGTGGCGTAGTATTGAGGCCAGCTTGGGAGTCGACGGTGTTTTCATATCCACCCGAATTCTCCATTGCGACATCTGGCTGGTAGTCATCGAGGCGATCCATAAAGAGACTGCGAATCTCCTGTATTTCCTTGCGCAGAAGATGCTCCAACCTGTCGAGGCGGTCGAGGCACTGCAGGACTAGTCTCCCCGAATTTTGGTCAGGAACCTGCCCCGTCCATGAGAACGACGGGTTTTGTAGCAATCTGGATGAACTCACGGTGCGCTCATGCCTTTGTCTATAATGTGCGCGCAAGTTATTCATATGTACAGGTGAAGTGGATGCAGGAGAGTGCTTGTTATTCCTTGCAAGTTGGAAAATTGAACAGAAAATGGAACATCATCTCGAAGCCTTTTATCCCTTCATGCCTATGGCACGTCTGGCAGGCGTAACCTGGATAATTCTATCTCTTGCCTCGCGTTGTCGGTGATTCATTGGCAAGTTCTTGCGGAAATGAAACACACAAAGTGCACTACCATAGGTGCTATTATGAACTTGCTGCGTGTCGGGATGTCTAGCTATCGTGAACGGTCTCCGCCTTCTTACATAACCAAATCCTATTGTGGCAAGACTTTGGTACTCACGCCTCTTGATATTAACAAGGGAAGGCCTGTTCTTGCAGGTATGGCAGGTGTTGGTTCATCGTACGGTCTTTACCGCGATGTCACCGGCCATAAAATTCAATGCTCCTTGGCGCTTTAATTAATTTCGCTAGGCGCCTGACCTGCCAGTATGAGGCCACCTCTACTTTATAGCACATACATTGAAAAAAAAAAACATTATTAACTTGCCAACACTGCCTTTTCATCATGTGCGCCATCGATCGTGGCCTTTTCTGAGTTTCCATCGCTGGAGGGGTTATGCTCTAGCGGCAGCAAGTTAGAATGTATTTCACGCATTAGGAAGGTGTGCCACTTCACAGGTTAGTTCAACGGGGGTAAACACTGCCTTTCGAGGACTCACACCCCGTGAGAACCAAACCTCACCGTATCGACGGAAAACGACGGATATATTTACAAAGCTACGCAAATCGTGAATTTAACAATATGTATTTTCGAGAAAGATGACGCACGTTGTGTTGATCAAACAAAGCAAACACAATTTTGTCAATGTCTTGCACACTAGCAGGCATTGATACCAGAAACCAGCGATGGTGCGAACACAACGAAATTCGAATGACCTGTTCGTATTGCTTTTAATTTGTGAAGACCATGGCGTACACTGCAAGTTCTGTTTCATTAGTCAGAATGTTGTGCCATCCAGATGTCATGCGAAATGGCCTCTGGACCAGTTCCGAGGAGTCCGAAGTTATCCAAGCTCGCCTTCAAGCATATCATATCCGGATCCGTGCCTTTCCTTCATCATATCGCGGACAGCCTTTATTATATGCACATTTTACTAGCATGTTGTCTTTCACAGCTTGTGGATATAGTTTTAATTTGGATACGTTTGTAGTAGTCTGAAGCCTGAGCCACTGCCTTCCATCTTATCTACCGGCCAACGTCGCAGCTTATCACCGTTAGCGACATTCCTAGACCAGTCAATTCAGACTTCAGATGCGAAGCGGCTCTTTCCTTGACTACTGACTTCTCTAAAGAGTCCTGGATGTCTGGTAATTTTTACGGGTATGTGCGCCGCGACAGCATATGCATCATCCTGTGAGGCTGTGAAGGATACGTACTTCAAGTTCGTGCTCTTTACTGCATTAGCTCGGCCGCACCATTCATTTACATAAACCCGCTAAATGTACTCTTCCGTGAGCCGTTATATCTAATTCTCACAGCTATACAGTTTCTGTCGAACCTGCCTGAACGTTTGAACCTCGATTTTTGTGCAGTTCAGTGTACCAATCATTTTATGTTGCTATGTCGTTAGTGAAGACACGGTAAGAAGTTTGATGGCATGTTCAATTCAAGTTGCATGCAGTTGCCGCATGTAGTTTATACAAGGGTGGTGCTATTTATAAGATCTGGGACTGGGATATGCTAGTAGGCTATATCGGTCGCTCGCATGCTGACACGTCGACAGTGTACTTCCGTCTCAGCCTGAGTGTGGTAGCATTCGAATGCACGGAAATTTCGAAAATGATCTTATATACGTACATGTAGCATAGCCTACCAAGTCACGTCGGCGGCCATTAATCGAAATTTCCGTACTGAGACTGAGATGCTGAGAGGGGCCCGTTCGGATGATGCCATGAACCGGCAACCTTATTCCCGATTCAATGAACTGGATAATACCTGTAATATTTGTGCCCGTGTCCAGTCAAGGTCTTAACGTGTTCCCCTCTGGGTCAAATTTAGATCGCTCGAAGCTCAGTTAAATAATCCAACTCACAAAATATAAAAGCAACAATCAATCTTGCAAAGCATTCTTTTACATTCCATACCATCCAGAACCTACGACTCAAGCTTTAAATATGAGCATGTAGCTGCAAAGGTAAGGTTGAATGCGACAATATCAAGAGACCCTGCACTGTGAAATTCTCCTTGACCGTTTGAAGAAAACATCTCGAAACTGCAGAGTGCGTTCGGTACAGTCCAAGTTCGCGTTGACCTGTACAGGCCATAAGCTGCGCCCAGAGAATGTAGTAGAGTGTTGAGTTACCTTGGCCTGCGAATTCAGGCTCATTCACTTCAGTGTTCAGAATTTGAAAATAATAAGTTTACGCTTCGTAGAATCAGGATCATATGAACCTACCATGAATTTACATTTGGGGTTCGTATTGACGCTAGCAACCGTGTGAGACCGTCTTCGCGGTTAGGGCATGCCGCTGAGAAGATCTAATGGAACCAACGACTGCCAGTGGAGTACGTTTTTTGAGGAACAGATGACTGTAGTACTCACGTAGGAATGTCCTGTCTCGAAGGATTCTCTACATCCCACGCCCTTGCTATGCCATCGTTTAGCGAATCCACTCACCACCAGTGTTCCGGGTGAATATCTGCCCTCTATATTTTCTATCACTACTACCTAGTACGTCTTCCCCATCAGGAGACAAGGCCGTGGCTTACTTACGGTACGCCTTCTCCGTCTCGCTAGTCTCACCCTATCTGGTCACCACTGCTCAAGTTCGATACTCGCACGTCGCGACTTGAACAAGCGATAATCCGATGCTCGCCTCGCAGGTGAGACGAGCAAATTTCTGGCGGACGTTATTGCCATCAGGTGCTGCAGTACGTGATTATTACCCGAAGCGTGCAACCAAGAACGCATCGAACCAACCCAAAATAGTGGCTCACGGAGGGGTGCGTTTAGCGGCTTTATGTAAATGAACGGTGCGGCCGAGACGATGCGACGAAATACGATGAAGAGCACAAAGTATGTATCATTCACAGGATGACCAAAGCATGTGCTGCGCAGGCTGAGATGAACAGGTCAGAAGTTATCTTCACACGAAGGCTAGCGATTATGGACATTACCGTGACTATATGCGTGAAAATTGCCATTGACATCCAGGACTCTCGAGAAATCAGGTGGTGAAGGAAAGAGCCGTAACTGCGGAAGTTTGAAGACGGCTAAGTCGTAACCTGAAGATTGGGCCCTGACAGATTCAAGATTACGCAAATTGTGTACCGGGTGCATCCTTATGAGGTCGGCGCTGTCAAAAAGTAAGTTCATTCGAATAGATTCGAAAGCTTGACAGATCTTTTGAGGGGCACGTGACTCTACTTAGAGTTTCAGGTTTGCTTACGCAGGTGCGTTTAGCAGGTTTATGTAAATGAATGGACGACCCATTGGGCATCCAGGACTCTCCAGAGAAGCCAGGTAGTTAAGGAAAGAGCCGCCTCGCATCAGAAGTTTGATGATCGCCAAGGCGTGACTTGAAGTTCGGCGCCCTACTAATGGACTCAAGATTACGCAAATCATGTAGCGGGTGTATCTTTATGAGGTCGGCGCCGTGAATAATCCGAAAGCTTTAAAGGTCTTTTGAAGCCCGGGATGAAACGTTTTTCGTGCAGGTAAGCTGATTGGGTGAGCAAATTTTCCACCGTGTATGCTGAATGAACAAATGCCGTGACACGCTGAACAAACGTCTGACAGAGTACACGTGCAACCTCGGCATCCACCTCCATCCAGGTTTTATAGCCGATGATGTGATGCCGGTAGTTCAACGTGAAACTCGTGTTGGGGCCCCACTCGTGGAAAATGGCAAGTCTCCCTAAAAATTGTTCTATATGCGTAAGCGAGTCATCTGGCCAACAAGGACGCACCATAGCGGATTTCGAATAATGTATGATTGCTGTCATGGTCCACTTTCAAGGTCCATCTTCACATGCATGACGAAATATGTCAAATCTTGAGTGGAAAAAGTCCTTAAATACAGGATGACTCTAGTCTTTCGATTTTCCTCGACAAGAATGATCTTCCGCCTAACAATTTTGTTGAGAATCAAGTTGCTGCGAAAGACTTTCACTAGAACCGCCCAGTTAGTCTTCGGGCCCATCAGCCCTGTCCGATTACCATGCGGACAGGGCCAAAGAAGGTTGTTACCAGTAACATAATAGCGAGAGCGTGAAGCCTCGAGGCCAAGTAACCGGACCGAGCAATTTACATTGCTTGCCCTAAAGTAGATCTTGTTTGAATCCAGCTGTGCATTGATTGTGCTTATATCCTTGATCTTCTCCCTCCACCGACAGTCTCTTGTGAGGCATTCACTTGCTTCGTTCTCGCCCCCTCCGTCTTCTCAGCACAAAAAAATGGCCTCCCAGCTCTCCCAGCAATATGCATGTTCGTTAAAATATTTATCCAGACCGCAGCATGTTTGTTGATCTAACGTAATTGGAATCTTATAGTCCGCGCGCAGAAGAGCATGGGCCTCGTCGGCGGCACGCCTACATACTTGCCGATAGAAGGGTTCGCTGTCCCCGATGTTCCAGCTCGCACATACCACTACAGCCCCGATGGCCGCCTCTTCGCCTATGCGCTCCCCACTGCGTACGGTTTCCTTCGTGCTGGCGCGATTCACCCGGCTGACTTATTTTGATCCTCGCAGTGTGCGGATCTTTCTTGCCGAAGGGGCGCAGATGCTCCAAGAACTGAGCGTTCCAAATATCATCGAACTGAAGTTCTCCCCGCGCGGAACGTACCTCTCTACATGGGAGCGGCCAGGTACGCCTCGTGTCTGTCGTCTAGGCTATCAGTAGAATCTCACTTCACACGCCTCTTTGCAGTAAAGCTGGAAGATGGCGCACAGCACAAGAATCTCCGCGTCTTCTCCGCTTCTACCGGCGAGGAGCTCATCTCATTCACACAAAAGTCGCAGGAGAACTGGGACCTTCAGTACACCATATCTGAGTCGCATGCCATTCGTCTTGTTGCTCAAGAGATTCAGGTCTACCGTCCTGCTGAGTGGGGGAAGGGCATTACCGATAAGCTGCGCGTTGAAGGCGCATCGATGGTCTCCTTGAGTCCTGGACTGAACCCATCCATTGCGGTGTTTGTTGCTGAGAAGAAGGTATAATTCTTCTCTCCTCATCATGCGTACATTCTTTTGCTAAAGTTTACTCTTTTCAGGGCGCCCCTGCGGTTGTCAAGATCTTCGGCCTTTCCACCCTCTCTGGCGCTCCGACCTGTTCTAAAACTTTCTACAAGGCTGATCGCGCCCAGATCAAGTGGAACGATCTTGGCACGCAGGCACTTGTCCTTACACAAACGGAGGTCGACAACTCGAACATGAGCTACTACGGTGAGACTGGTATGTACCTACTCAGCGCAGCAGGCAATTTCGACTGCCGGGTCACCCTGGATAAGGAGGGACCGATTCATGACGTGTCGTGGAGCCCGAACTCGAAAGAATTTGGCGTTGTCTATGGATGTTAGTTGTTTCCTTCCCTAGATCACGAACTATACTAACAACCGGCATTTTTTGTCATTAGACATGCCTGCTAAAACTACACTTTTTGATCAACGCGTGCGGACGCTTCACGATTTTGGATCCTCTCCTCATAACTTTATCTCATTCAATCCGCAAGGTCGCCTTGTCGCACTTGCCGGCTTCGGTAACCTGGCAGGCAAAATCGACATCTTCGACAGAAGAACGTTGACGAAGATTTGTACCATCGACGCACCGAACACTTCTTATTGCGAGTGGTCGCCCTGCGGCAGGTTCCTTTTGACAGCTACCCTGTCGCCTCGTCTTCGTGTGGACAACGGAATTAAGGTCTGGCATTGCACTGGTGGACTTGTACACGTCCAGCTGGTAGAGGAATTATATCAGGCGTCGTGGAGACCTACGCCACTCGATCAAGCACCTCCGTTTGGTTCGACTATCCCTGCTGCACCCCAGCCCTCAATCAGTGTATTGACTGCGGCTCTGACCGCTAAACCCGCCACACCCAAAGCTGCAGGAGCTTACAGACCGCCTGGTGCACGTGGCCTTGCAACGCCAGCGATTTTCAAGCGCGAGGATGAGGGCGGTGCTCCTCGTATGCCCACCGGCAGCGGCAGCGCAACACCTCCGCGGGGCTACAACCGCTCACCGAATCCTCCCGGTAGCATGGGCCATGCTAACGGCGCCACTCCTACCAACGGAAATGGCCACTACCAGAATGGGAACGGGGGACGGAGGCATGTACCTGGTGCCGCGTCTAAGACGCCCTCGACTGGGCCTGCGCCAGGGGCAGAGGGTGGTGACAAGAAGCCGAAGAAAAAGGGGAAGAAGAAAGAGAAAGGACCTGGGGAAGCGGGCTCGGGAGCTGCAACACCAACTGGGGAGGCGTCTGTGCGACCGTCTATTGATGTGACCGTAGGAGGGACGCAGACTCCTGGCCATAGTTCCGTTCCGCCAACGCCGGGAGCAGAGTCATTGGACCCCGTCGCGAAGAAGGTCCGGAATCTTAATAAGAAGGTCGGTGTTTGCTTTTCTGATTGTCGTTGCATCGTGTTGATGGTCATTGACATGTAGCTGAAGGCTATCGATGAACTCAAGGAGAAAGCGAACCGCGGAGAGCGACTAGAAGCGACGCAGCTCAAGAAAATGGAGGGGGAAGCTGAGATCCGCAAGGAACTGTCTAGTCTCGGGATCACAGCCTAGACATTTCGGCACCATCAGTATATCACGACACATGCCATTTCTCGAGTAATGGGTTTTGTGGAACACATGGCTATCGTTATGCGTCGTCTGTCATTCAAGTTTAGATTGACATTGCATTGTGCGAGGGCTGGGGTCGGATATCTGGATAATCAGTAGATGTTACAGTATGTATGTATGGGATTTTGATCTGCACTATGGTTGTTAGATATATGGGAGTATGAACAGTATGTCTTTAGTGATCGGGGATCTTCGGAATATTTTGACGTGATTAGGGGTGCAACGCTTGTCACAGTTTGTTACCACGTGACTACCACTCATTCACCACCAAGCAATCCACGTCGGCATCTAACAGAACTTGAAATGATCTGGTCCTTGGTCGACTCGAAAGGGACCATCAGCAGCTGACAACGATAATAGTGTCAATGCAGCAGATCATCTGCATTGGTAACACATGGAGGCAGGCCGCAGCTTAGGGTCGTCCGGAATTCTCAAACCCTTTCGATTTTTAATTACTATCTCAGATGGCGAATTTCCTTTCCTTAAGCTTGTCATTGATACTGCCGCCAGCGACGTGGTTCTAGGTGGGCTCGAGAAGTGTCGGTCGTCATTGTTTGTTGCATCTCTCAAGGATACTATTCATGCTGCGGGAGAAGATAATACGTGTTTTCGTGCCGATCTAGTTTGTTTCTTATTTTTGATGTTCATGTGCACAGGACAGCGCAAACTATCAAACACGTCACAAGTGAAATCAAACACAGAGACTTCGATGAAAGCCATAATTTGGACCTCGTCGATCGTCTATTTTACAACACATCACATCTCTAAAGCATCTTCATTCAACGAGACAGCGCGATCATGACCCCCTCAACCTTCGCTCTCCTTCACGCCATCCTACAGGTATCACGCTAATTGTTTTACATGTTCTAGAAAGTGCAAGTGCAAGTGCATCAGCAACTCGGACTCGGGAAGACAACGAGAAAAGACAGACTCACCAAGACACTGTCGCGTTGTTAGAGCAAGTCAAACGCTCATAAAGGGTCGGGAATGAGGTCATCCAAGCTGGGAATGACGTCCCCCAAATCGGGAAAAATGTCCCCCAAGTCGGGAATGATGTCCGCTAAGTCGGGAATGATGTCCGTGGTAGAGGAATTGGTGTCCCTCAAGCTCAGGTTAGGGGTCACGGTGTCCCCCAACTTTGGAATGATGGGGATGACGCCTGCGATGGCTACACTAGCCAGCGTTGTAGCGGTAATGATGACACTGGTGACTGAAGTGAATTTCATGGTTGGAATGTTGAAACTTGATGGTATTTTCTGAGCCGAGTACGTTGGCTTTTATACACAAGTGGTACAAGTCCCAGCTAAACCATTTGCATGTGCTTGCATCATAAAACAGATGCTGGCTCACGCACCATGAAATAATTTCCGTGAAGGCCTCAAATTTTGTGCCGGAGCCTCGCGTTCCACAGGTGCTTTTGGTGCGGTTTAGTGAACGTTAGTCCATGACGATGATGATTTGTTCATCCAATCCACATTTTCAGGGATGAGCAGCTCGAATTATTGATCATGTAGGTATAAACGCTCGATAGGGTGCTCACATGGTTTTGCCACCAATCAGAGCATACTAGTAGCCAGGTCAACGGTTGCAATGTAAATCGCGACGGTGAGCGCTTCCCGAAGACGTTAAAGAGATGTTGCTGATACTATTAGTTGTGGAATACGCGCATAAAACCCTTGGATATCACGGGTTACGAATTGTATTCGAATCCCAGGGTAAATTGTGAAATACTCCAATGAACACACACCATGATTAACACCGCCAGCACTGGGTAACAGGAGCAGGCTTATTATGTGATGTGCAGGCTCTGTTATGGACGATGTGGCTTGACTGCGGTACCACAGACCTTGATGAATCTTTCGCATACTGTTACCCCTTAACAAATGACTGCAGACTCGGCAGCAATCGCCGTTAATTACAACTCCGCGATCATTTTCCAAGGTCGCCAAGTGGTGCTTTGACTTAAACTCGTTAACATTTTCGCAGAGGAATCAGCGGACAAAGTACCCGAATGTCCGTGAGATCGAGAACCAGAGTTGTTGCACAAGGAGCAAACGGCAGAATTCCTGACCCGACTGATATCCGAAACACATTAACAGTAAGGCCTTTCAGAAGCAGCGCTAGATTCAATGTCGCATGTAGGATGGGATGAAGGAAGCATGTGACAGGTATGCATACCCTTGAAACTGGGAACCCGGGCGTTGCAGCATGATATTACTCGGCCTAACGCTGATTCGCCGTAGCGTGAATCGTGTCATGCGGACAACCCTGAATCACCCATGTGGAACGCCGCGGTTTAACGCTTAAGCATTTGTTGAGTCTGTAGAATGAATCTGGAGAAAGAGCGTACGGGTTAGGTTGACATGCTGCTTGAACTTGGAGCCATGATTTGCCTTGCAGCATGTATTTAGGATAAAGGAAGCACATGAATATGCAGGCACGCACTTGAAACCAGGGACCTAGTTGCAAGCGATGATTAATTAAGGATAATCAATATGTGCTATGACGATTGCATCGTCCCCGTCGAAAGACAACCAGTCCCTCCAGCCCAAATCGTGGTGCAACCACAGTACGGAAGACACAGTACGGAAGATCGAACAAGGAAGACCAGAGAAATAAAGATACACGCCTATTGATGCTACAACAGTACTAGTGGGTTTTGTGGTTTGCATCAGTAAAAAAGGTGCCTCCTTGGTTCGGAATAAGTTTCATGACCGGGATAAGTATGAGCTCGTTTTCTGCTATATCATATCTAGCTGCTTGAGCTCGTTCTGCCTTGGATGAGAAAATGTCCCGCGGTAGTCAGGGAGAATTCTCGGGTCATATGGTGCTCCCTGAGTGACTTTACCGGAGTCAGCGAGTCTTTGAAAGTGTGTGAAGATTAGTACTTTCATTAGGTCAGAACGTTTGCGCTCATGCTCAAGCCTGGAAGATCATGTTTTCTGCAAAAATCATGTGAGCTCGATCACCAACCCGAAAGTTCATTAAACACGTACCTCCAACTGCAACCCGAAAAAGCTGATCGACTTCTGAATCTCCAAAGGGCATTAAGATCGTGACCAACGAACCTCGCATTTACAAATGCGAGCCAATCACGGCGTCGCACACATTGAAATAAAAGGGATGAAAAGTCTGTCGAGAACTTAACAGTAGGAACACGGGTGAGGCTCCTGCGCCTGCCGCTCCTACCTGAAGCTCGGGCACGCCATCGAATGAGGCGCGCCGTACTATAAGTCAATTTCACAGCCACCCCCAGTATGGTTGGAAACAGAACGCGGCACTGGCAATTGTGCAAGAAAGACGACGACACGATGGAATCATGACTCGCACTGTTGACACGAATGAGAGCAAGAACATCAGCGAGAAATCCAAGGATGTCTAGACAAAGCAAAGACTTAAGGAAGATCGATATTTGGCCCTACATGACCATGTGAACAAAACCAAAATACCATTCAAAGCAGAGATGCGTTCTCCGAAGTTTTATCGGCAGTCCTCGGGAGTTAGGCATTGGCAGGAGCTCTGGCTAGTCGGTAGTATCTGGCAGTAGCAGTATTGGCTCGTAGGTAGTCTCTCGTGGTTTTGTAGTCAGATCCTCGATAAATTGAGTCGTATAAAGGGTTGGTCGTCGGTATCTCTTGCGGTCCGTGCTCGTCCTAGCGGGCCCTCAAATCGGACTTGAAAAGGTGGGGGCCAATTAAAACTTATATGGGCCGCACGAAATCGAATGGCAAACAAGATCATCAAGACATAGTGGCAAAAGCGGAGATCGACCTGGAGATCGGTGCGAAATGGTAGACAGAAAAATCTAAGAGCCATCCCGAACCAATGATGGAGAAAGAACAGACATGCTCCTCTTGGTCGCACGAAGCCCGGCCTTGTGAAAGCGAGTTTTGTTAGCTCCAAGTCACATACTTCGTACCAAGTTTTCGGATCTGAGCCGCGAAATCGAATACCACAGAGGAATTGTTGAAGAGATGAGCAAGGAAAAATTTGAAAAATTTGAGCAAAATGTTGAATGACCACACGTGATAACCTTTAGCTGGGCGACGTTCGATCAGATCAGCTCGAATGAGACTCGGAAAATATTCAGATCCAAGGACTAATCGATCGTGATCTTGAACCCATACAAGGTGACGGGGCTGATTCGGTAAACTCGAGCATGGGAATTAGTGAGATCCGTCGAAAAAGTATATACTCGTTGGTGATCAGCGATTGGGTCGGCCAAGTGTCTAGTATCCAAAGCACTTGAAATGACAGAGGACAGTAGGGGCGAGAGCCCTTATGGTCGGATTTCAGAAACTGGCCAGATAAACTAGATCGTCAGAATCGGGTCTCCTACATATGCGGAGATCGGTTAGGAGATCGACATGGAGGAGATTATCGGTTAGGCGAGACTCGAGATCCAGTCGATTCCAAGAGGCGCTACCGCAGAAAAGAGGTTTCTAAAGCCAACTATTGTGAAGGCCCAGCTGAGAGTAAGTTCGAATCCAGGCAATCGTGTAGTATGCTCGAGACTTGTTGGATCATGCGAAGTTCGTGTTGTGGGTTTGTTCCAATCGAATATCACAAACTTTATGTGAAGCTGGAGTTCTGAACGAGTGAAGCAAGTGGAAGTCAAAAGTAGGCGAGGTTAATTCGGACAGGGGCCTTATATATAGTGAAAGAGCACTTGTGAGACATCCGAATGCTGCGGAACACAATCCTTGATGATGTAAGATGATGTCATTTCGATTCCGACCAGATCTTACCGTCTTGTCTGTCGCCTGCGACATGCTTGTCGCAGAATTCGTGAACACAATAATCGACAATGATCCTCCGGACTCTGATGATCCTACAACCAACGTTCCTCATCGTAGTACAAGCGTGTCAATATCACAAGAGAGATCATAGAATGAGCCTACATGAGTACCTAGATCTATTTATCTGGCTGTACTGTAAACAGATTTCTGAATGCGAGGCAGTCAAGAATCATTGAGATCTGTATAGCAAAGAAAATTCATTCCTGATCGCTTCGTCAGCTCCCTCCGCCGAGGGACGGCTCCAAGGATTAGTAGACCAACATTGCTCGATAAACTGCCAGTATGGTTCAGGGAGCTCAGCATGACGGGATCGGGAAGGCGTTTGCGACTTCTGCATCGCCCAGATGATGGCAGCATCATTCCGAAGGTAATAATAGGGAGTGTTATTGGTGAGTCCCTAGTACAAGCAAAGCTCGGGTCATCAATGAGAGGCCGAAATTAACCCAGACGAACCTGCAGCATGACACCGCCAAACGAATACATGTCGCTCTGCTTGTTTGGCCGAACTTGAGAGCCATTCTCCCGCTCTACGAACAGTTCAGGAGCCATCCATCGCACGTTTCCTTTGAGCGTGGACATGTAGGAAGCCTGAGAGGCGCTTATGAACTCGGGAATACATCAAGGAAAGACCAAAGTCAGCAATACATGCAGTGCCATCACCATGGATCAACACGTTAGGCTGAAGCTCGCGTTTCAATGAAATTGGAACGATCGATGGAGAAAATCGAACCCACCCCATTAAAGTCGCCATGGATGACATTGATGGCGTGAACTGTGAAGAGTAGTTACAGCTCGGTCCGGCAACAATAAAGTCTATCACATACGATATTGCAGACCAGCTATGATATCTCTTAACTAAGACTTTTATCAGGTTTGTGGCTTGCATGAAGAGAGACTTGCCAGTTTGAATCGTCGAACAAGAGTTAGAGTTGCACCCTCACGCTCCAAATAGAGCGTCAAGTTTCCATTCTCCGCCCAAAGACTGACTAATGCTGGAAATGGGAGAAAGACTTTGTCCCTCGAGAATCATAGCATCATGCAACGCCATTGAACTAGCGGCAATTCTACTTCATCTTTGGTTCATGTCCGAATCCTGCTACACGACCAGTTTCATGGCCAACGAGAACTGTCGTATAGTGGTGGCCGCAGTACCATTGGTGGGCTACTTGCAATTGCCAGTGCAGGGAGGTTTCAGCAGTTCAAACTTGCGTCTTACGGTAAATGAATCTACACTTATAAGAGTTTCTTACAACACTTATATATAGACTGTGAGACGTGGTCTAGAACTCGTACACAGTTGACGTCAGGAACATCTGACTCAACGCGTGTATCGATGGTCGGACACCTAAGCTCAATAGCGATGGCCAGTAGCTGGATGCGGCTGATATCTGAATAATCACGAAATGGTGTGCATATTCTTTCATGTCCTCACCGTCGCCTCACACGATGCCAGTCAGCATCATGTCACCAACTCCTCGTACTCGTACTCGTACTCCCTGCCGCGTGCAATCAGAATCCCTCAATCCACACACACTAGATGAGTTGGCTCATGATGTGAGTGGTACTCTCTTGTTTACTTTCAACCTTGCTTACATCAAGCTTTCGCCCGACCAGACACATCTGAATCGCTGAAAAGCACACTTGAGCGCCACCGTTCTTCCTACTCTTACTCTCCATCCGCTCAAGTCATGCCCGCTACGACAGACATACATTCCTATCCACGAGCGCCTTCATCTCTGCCTTCATCCCCTATATCTTCCATAATATTCCTCCCATGCCGCACACATGCCCTCCCAAACGAAGTATCGACCTTCTAGAAGAGGTGGAGTTGTTGCCAGCGGGCGTTGATAGGGGTAATGCTCAGGTTTCGTTCGGCTGGAACGCATCTTGTTCAAGCTCACAAGTCACAACAAGATCAGTAGTACGTCGTGTGTACTTTCGTATATTATGTGTTCAAGTCAAGATCATACTTTGAGTTTTTGTTCCTCTACTATATTCTAATGCCTCCATTGCTCAAGTGGCACTGAACTTTTCCCAAAGCAAGCATCTCTGTCAAACCATGGCAACGAGCAATCTATGTATCGTGCATCAACCACACTACACCAACACGAAACCAGGAACACGGCTCACTGTCGCGACTTGCCACTCGGGCTTGGTTTACTATGTCGCACAAATGTTTATAAATTGGTCCTACCACGCCGGTGAGTTTTGAGGATATAGTGAATGCAAGCTACTCATACTCACACTGCTGGGGATGTATATCGACTTACATGTCTGACCGAGGCAGCAATCCACATTCTCGTTGCAATAAGTTTGGCATGCCCTGACAGATACACATGCTGTCAAAGCAGCGGCAACGGTGAAGACGAAGGGGAAATGCATGGTGCGACACAGGATCAATAAATGTGGGTGGGTACGGGCACAGTAAGAGGACTGCTACTTTTATAAGTATCGTGTTTGGTACTTCACGACTGACCCGTTATTCAAATAGACGTCGCATGCCAGCAGGCTCAAATTTTCCTTGCTCTGTTACCGATATTGTGAGCGTAGGAATTTGCATGCTGCCGTGCTTCTTTCCGTGTATTATGTGTTCAAGTCAAGATCATATATTGAGTGTTTGTTCCTCTACTACATTCTAATGCCTCCATTGCTCAAGCGGCCCTGAACTTTTCCAGAAGCAAGCATCTCGGTCAAACCATGGCAACGAGCAATCTATGTATCGTGCATCAACCACACTACACCGACACGAAATCAGGAACACGGCTCACTGTCGCGACTTGCCACTTGGGCTTGACCTAATATGGCACACACATGTTTATAAATTGTTCCTACCACGCCGATGAGTCTTGAGTATATACTGAATGCATGCTGCTCATACTCACACTGCTGGGGATGTATACCGACTTACATGTATGAGCAAGGCAGCAATCCACGGTCTCGTCGCAATAAACTCGGCATGCACTGACAGATACAGATCCTGTCAAAGCAGCAATGACGGTGAAGACGAAGGGAGAAATGCATGGTGCGACACAGGGTCAATAAATGTGGGTGGGCACAGTAGGAAGACTGCTACTTTTATAAGTATCCTGTTCGGAACTTCATGACTAACCTGTTATTCAAATAGACGTGATTTGCGTCATGCCAGCAGGCTCAAATTTGACTTGCTCCATCATTGATATTGTGAACCTAACAATTTGCGTGCTGCCGTGCTTCTTTCTGATGGGTGATACTGAGCATAGCTCGAAACCACATGTAAACCTAACGAATGATAAACTACTCTGCCTAAACGCATGCTTCTCAGTCTACATAGTTTCCACCAAGTCCTTCACGGGACAGCAGCAGCGCCGATACCACGTAAACCCTTGAGTCTGTCGAATTCTTGGCACCCGTGATATCCAACCTGAGTTCGTGTCAGCGAAAATCGGGATTTACAGACGGGTGTACTGCGGGGGCAGTATACGTTACACCTGATGGACTTCAGCCCGCTAGCTGTGACGAATGGGCAGGGTCTTGTGAACGCTGAGCCCGCTGGCAGGTCTCTGACAACGGCTGCCTTGTGTCGAGATCATTCCAGACAGGAAGTTGCCGAGTTAGGTGATATGTGTGACTTCATCAGACTGCCACCCGCGCATAACTGTTACACCAAAAGGTGGAATACTGAAAGCTAAGCTTTCAGTAACGGCGACGGTACAGTCTTAACTACTTACAGAAATCTACAGTTCGAGATCATTGACTTTTAGCGCAAAGCCTGTTTCCCTTAGATAGACGAATGAAGATAGTTGAAATGATCGATGACGGTTTTATATATATATAAAAACAACCATTCACTGATCAGCCTCTACCGTGACTCACAGTTATCCACGTTGCTTGGAAAGTTATCTTGGTGTCACATGTAAATGTGAAAACTGGAGAAAAGGAAAAGGATCGGGCGAGCATTTGAACCTATTTGAACTCGCCGTCCTTGACAGCGAGCTCGAGCGTTGTCGTTGCGGGATTATCAAACCGTGGGAAGTCACCTAAAGCAACTGTACGTGCTATATTTGGCCGTAAATCCGTTTCTAGTCGGCAGAACATGACCTCGAAGTTCAAAATAGCTCTGCTCACAACACTATCGACAGCCAAAAACGCGTGATGGATGCAATAGTTATCGTGCGACTCGCATATGGCAGGAGCAGGTTTCTAGCGCGTGGCCTTTAACCTCGGGCAGAGGCTGACATCAGAGAACTGAGAGAAACCTGAGAATGACATATATCATAATATATAGTCGATAATCACCATCATCAGTATAATCATGCTATGGGTTATGCCATTGCCATGCTTGACTTTATAGAGGAAAGCGGTGTTCCTGTTAAACATGCGCAAGCTTGCAAATTGGCAAAAAATCATGCATCAGTTCACCTCAAAATCGAGTAGCACATGGGGCTAAAGCTAATTAATCTGTATCAAGGTTCAAACATTCCCGGACGATATCAAAAGTCGATTTCTTGTGGACACCCCTTATTTTGTTGCGCAATCAGACAAGATAGTGCTGCCGCAGTCTGGTCCAGAACCTAGGTTCGAACCCGAACCTTTGCGGACTAGACCCATGGTTCGGTCACAGGTCCAGACTTTCTCTTGGACCGAACCCCTTGGTAGGTTTGGGGTTCGGAGTGTCGTCGATAAATCCGGACCGGTTCTGAACTCATGCGGACCGGTTCGAACCTATCATTTTGCTGGCTTTGTCTTATGATTTTCGAAGTCGAAGCCTCGTATTTTTGGTGAGGCTTTCTGTTTAAGTATCATCCTTGCCCTTCTGTTCACTGTCTTCTCCTACTTCTGCTGTGTTCTAGTAGGCAAGGCGATCTCTCGGCGACTTCAGTAATGCAGCAACTCATTCAGGTGCCAGTGAGTTCGCAACGATTCTACTGTCTGTCCCAATTAACTTAAAATGCGATTTATTTCAGAACATACCTACTGTTGGGATCCACCACTGTACTCGCCATCTGCCATGGGTTCTCATTTTGGTGGTTCATGGTGCGCAACAGTTTTAAAACTAGTTTAAATATATTCACTTGGTACCTAGGGACATATATGCCTCCTGCTGCTATGTCTGAGTCCTCTGCGCGTCACGCTGACGGTCAAATCACATGTCGTCAATGACACAGCTGCATGAAGGCCTTGTCAAGAGCTTGAGGACTACCTCGATGCACCGCTCGAGGACATTGACAACATAGTGGGCTGATGGGGGGTATGTATCATTGTTTGATTGTTGTTACTTGCATACCAATTTTCCAGCACCATTCTATCCAGTACCCAACCATCTCTCACATCGCCAAGGATTATCTCGCTATTCAAGGTTCAGCTGTTGCATCGGAGCGTGCATTTTCAAGTGGCGGCATTACCGGTGTCTTAATAACCGAGGGTCTTATATAAAGTCGTGTAAATGACACCACAATTACACTTTGGATAAGACTGCTTGCCAGTCCTCGATTAACACGGTCTACGGCTTTTCCTATTTCGTGGTAGATAACGTGTGAGTTCTTGGGAGGCTCACTAAACTAATCTTTTTATAAAGATCAACCTAGCCGGAGCTTTACTTTTCTTTATTGAAACTCAAATCTCTTGTCTAGGAATAAGCTTCTAGACACGTAATTCAGTTTCTGGAATGTCTTTGCATAGGAAATCTCCTTCTAGGCTCTGGACTTGGATACTGGAACTAGTGAGATGTGGTCTCAAATATATGAAATATGACCAAGATCGCTTGGTCTATGGACACCTGACTGTGAGACAATGGTCTCAAATATACAATATATGTTCAAGATCGCTTGAACAAAGGGGACTATAACTTGACCAAGATCGCTTGGTCTATGGGACAACTAGTGAGACGTGGTCTCAACAATATGATAGATGACTAAGATCGCTTAGTCAAAGGGCACAGAGCAATGAGACAAAGGGGTCTCAAAGACAATATATATGACCAAGAATGCTTGGTCTATAGCACTAAATAAGTTTCTAAGGTAAGAAACTTATAATCTCAAGGGAATTCTTTTCCCTGCACTTGTCTCACTTCAAAGGGACTAACTTTGCAAGTGAAATATCTGATAGGCAGATTGCTACAAATGGGAGATCATATTTTTTTTGGGGGAGAATGGGCTCTCCTTATATACATTTTGTGTGGGAAAGTAACCTAGGTTCACAAACAATAAAAAATAAGGAGGACCAATCAAAATATTGGGTCAAACCCAATAAAAGAATAAAATACAAGTGAAAGATGGAGCTATGACATCATTGTGGAGCAAAAGATTCCAGAACCTTCCATGAGTGAGTCAGAGTGAGTCATTGTGGAGCAGAATATTCTAGAAGGAAATGACATCATGGATGATGTCATTGTGGAGTAGAATAATCTAGAGCTTGATGACATAATATCTTTCAACAGAATACCTGCAGGAGTATCTGTGGAGTCTTATGACATCATAATGACATCATACCCTATGGGTACAATTTTATGAAGTGTCAGGTGAGTCAAAGCATCCTAATGAAAAAGTAAAGTAAAGAAACACTAGAGAAAAGTAGGTAGCAAAAATAAGACAGTTGGCAGGAATTGAAACACAAGTCAAAAAAATAATGCAGTTGGCAGGAATTGAAACACGGTCTTTTTGGATAGGTTTTTTATTGGCTTTGTACTTTTCTCTATGGTTTTCTCTAGCCAAAGTGAATAAGCCAAAGGCAAGGCTATACCTTAACCTTCATTTTCCTTCTCACATCAACTAGGTCTAAATGTGATTTCCCATCTCATATTAGACTTTTTCCATCAAAACATATTCAGATCATGAAACTTGGGGAAAACTGGAAATATGAACCATGGTTTGAAACCAAGGTATGGGTTGACTAGTCTGAGGACTAAGCTAACAGACTTTATCTTTTGAGGGTCACCTAGTATTCATGTCCATGCATGATTCCCACATCATGCAGGACACCAGCACAGCACGTCGTAGCTGTTTGCAACCAGCAACGTTCGAAGCTCTTCAGTTACTCAAGAGCGCGTACTGTCAAGGCCATATCTCTGCAACTGTCTAGGCCAAATTTTCGGCTCCTTATGATAACCATGTTGTGCACAATGAGTAAATTTGGTAGCTATTTGTACAGTACAATGTTGTTGTCATCTTCTGGTAATTGAAACAATGGTTCGAAGGTTCGAACCTGTTCTGAACCTGGACCGAACTCTTGCGAACACGTTCGAAGGCGTCTGGTTCGAGGTTCGGCCATCTTGCCTGAACCTGACCACTGGTCGAGTTCGGGGTTCGCAAATATGAGGTGACGAACCCGCCTGAACCGGACTTCGGCAGCACTAAGACAAGAAGGAACAAGGTCCAAATTTTCAAAAGTAAGACCGAAAGACAATGTTTTGTAGGCACCCGTAATTTGTCCCTCGATTGAACGCAAATGGATTTTTAGGCTCTTCCTTATCTTTCCACTGTCTGCTCTTGATGTAGAGCATGGCTCGCTTGCGTATTCATGTCTACTTCATGCAGAATTATTCCAGCTCTCCGGGGATGTGGCAGTTTGTGCACGGATGCAAGTGGAAATCAATATATGTGCTACTCCGGATCCTTGGACTGTCTAATCTAGTTTGTAATCTCGCTCAGTTGGGCTTTAGTGGCTACTCATTACAGAATTGCTTTACATTGGCATTGACACTGCATTTTCATAACACATTCACTTGGCTAGACACTTGAAAACGGTGGGTCACAATTCATATCAGCCCCCAACTTACCAATTAATCGATGTCTTACTGATTATGCTATGGTCAGTAAAACTGATGGTCTTTATTCTCTACTTTAGTGATTTTGATCAGGGCAAAAGCCAAGTGAATATTCTGAGTATCCCATGAGGGATGAGTAGGCTGTGATGTCAGTACATTTCACCCATTGTTGTGATCTCGTATGACCTTGTCAAATTGCGTGTCTTTGCACAATGCTTAAGTAATTGTTTGCATGTGCATTTGGAAGCCTTGGTTATTCCATTGGGAAATAGAGCAATGAAGCTATTGCTGTGTAACACTAAGGATTCCTGCCAACCTCCCAATACGCAATACTTTTTGTCCTGTAAGTGGAATGAACACTATGAAATACACACAGCATCCGTTGTTGCATTGCTTTTTGTCCTGTCATGCTTCTATATTTAATGCTGGAGATAGGAATGGTGAGCAGGATTTTTCATCACCTCGCAATTATATATTGTCTACCATGGGAGGAGAATGAAAGCGAGGAAACACATAAATTACTGCCGTCGCACTGCATTTTGTCTTTTAACAGGTCTGCACTTTCCATGTGAGGGTGGTGATGATCAGTGGGATTTCGTCACTTCGAATATGAATGATTTTGTATTCAATCAAAAAGTATACTAGGAGTTACATATATTGCCACTATCACACTGCTTGTTGTGACCACGCACATATATACTTTCTGTTTTTGATTGGAATAATGAGCAGGGCATACAGACATCATGACTGTCATGCTATATTTTTGCAATTTAGCTTGTGGACATTCGAGCACAAAGATCTGATAACCGTAACTTTACTCAGATTGCTCATAAACATGTTTTTAAATTGTGACATTCGAAAACAGCAAACTTAGCAACTACTACCAAGAGGCGTGCAAAAGGGAAATGCTGAACATACAGCCCACCATTAGATAAGCTTTTAAACCTCAATGCACAGCCACTTGAAGTTGCCAGCAGACCATTCCCAAGAGGGGGGTTTTTTTGCTAGCGTAGAACACATCTTGATAGTTAAATTAATGAAAAATGCGTGTTAAAGGGTGCTGCTCACTAAAATCCAGTATTTTGGATGTCATGTGTGAGAACATGTGACTTTGATATCAAGTCGTGTCTGATATCAATAACGTGCATCTTATTACAACTCTTATGCCCTCGCTGTCCTGTCAGCCCACCAACTCTCATTTGCAAAGACACACTTTTATTCATTATGTATTCTAACACTCGTCCATCGCATGCAGGCCAGTTCCCGTTAATTTACGACACTTCAGCTCCCAGCATCAGTAATGATTCACACAAAATTTTGCAACACGAATCAGATTACACGTCTCATAGCATTAATAATTCTGATTCATCTGGACATTCTCACAGTCCCATCATAGATTTTCAAGTAGAACTACAGCCTGAGGATTCAGATGGGTATTATTCACTATCTTATACTTCGCCTGATACACTGTCCGATCACTGGGATTCTGACGGATATGCCAGGGATTCCCAAGAGTCAGAATCCCCACATATACCATCAATTGCCTTACCCGCAGACTTCAACATTGATACAGCACTCAAAGTCAATACTGCCGAGGTGCTGTATGATGTATTCAGGGCACACAGCCTTGAGGTTGACGGCACCAGTCCAAGATGGACCCTCTGTTGTCCTGACTGCAAGGAATGGTGCCAGACTAGCATACCCTTGGGCCTTATGCTCTGGCATGAAGGCCAATTCAGTTCCTTGGTCAGCCATCGAGGCAGCAAGCGATGCATTCAGGCTAAATGACGGACTGAGCAAGCTCAATCATTATTGCATTCCGATACCCTTATCACTACCCGGTCTCTCATTACCTCAGATGACAGGTATTTTCATTTCAGCTCTAGCTAATTACTTAATTTTGTACTTACTACTACTTGATCCTTTTAAGTCGTCTTTCTCCCTCCCTTCATCTTGACGACTGTCCTGGAATTGCTGTTGTCTGGCCAGATGACCTACGTCCATTCCTCATGCTTTTCCCCTGGAGCTGGTATCATAATGGCCCAGATGCTTTGCCTTTTACCATCGATAGTATGCAGCCGAGTGCTCCCCGTGCTCACTCAAAGCATTGCAGCCATACTTGTTTCCAGGGTTCACCATGTGGCAAGTGTTTTGATGTGCACAGACACATTGTGCACCTTTCTGAAATAGCCCGGGATCCCAAGCACCATACTAATTACAAGTTTCTCAGCCTTGGACACATGCAAGACATTGTGAAGACATATGCCGACCAAATCAAGCAGCTAAAATTGCAGGTACGTTGACATAGCCTTTGATAAGTATCTTGACTAACATTGAACAGCAACTCAATCATTCTTGCAATTATATGTGTTCGCTCACCCAATTAGACGACTACAATTGCCTACTTATGGCCATATCTGAAAAAGATATCCCCCGCATCCAACAAATTGTAGATGTTGCTCTACTGTCATGGTTCCAGCGTGCAGGAGGTCGTCAACAAGCTCGAGGATGCTCTTGTGGGCGCATATACCCCTCGAGGTTATGGCGCTGATGACTTGGACATTGCGACACTTGTATTTAGGCTTGGCGGGCGCCAGCTCCTTTTTGCACTTAATCAATCACTTGGTCTCCCTTCTCTCCGTACCCTCCATACTAAGTCCACCTTCACCTCCATTGTGCCAACCATCGGTCCAATACAAGACGGACAGTTTGACCAGAATATTCAGAACATTGTCATTCACACACGTGCACACTCGTCACTCGCATCATTACGTGGCATCAGTCTTATGATTGGCGAAATCGCCCTTGAAGAGATGGCGGTTCACTTTGGTAAATATAACAAAGTCGGAGGTCTCTGTTTGAAGCATTCTCACACTATAGAACCTGTCCTTCGCACATACGAGTCTGCCGTGAACATTGCTCAAAAAATTCACAATGGTGAACTTCACCTTGGGAAGGAGCTCACTGTTATAGGTGCATCCTGCTTTGGTGAGGATGAGATATATCCTATTTTGGCGGCACCCACCTGCAAGACTGAAGACGCCACTGATATGGAACATATCCTTTCCTATGCCATTGGGAGTTGGAATAGGACTGGCACATCTACATTGGTTGGGCCAATCTGGTCATTAGCAACAGATGGTGATGCAACTAGGTGTGCTGCTGGTCACAAATTATTCGTCAAGTTTCCACTACCTCCCGAATCACCCTTGTATGGCACGCTCATCAACTTACAGGGCCTCAATCTATTCACCGGTGAAGGTAAAATTACGCTTGATTTTGACTTCAAGCATATTTTTAAACGTAAGTATTTCTTTCTGTTATGAGCTGACATTTATTGATTTGAATCTAGGCCTTTGTACGCTTATTCGAGCACCTGGAGGAATTGTCATAAACAATGGCCGTGTCATTAATTCAATGATGCTCGCACACTATCTTGTATGATTGCCTGCGTATGACGAGGCAGCAGTGACAAAGCTCCTTCACCCTGATGACCCCCAAGATGACCCCCGTGCCATTGAACTCATGTTGGCTATCATCGGGTTCTCACAATCTCAACATCATGTCTTGAATGACTCGTTTTCCCTCGAAGTCAACACTCGTGCCGACCTTATTTCAATTTCTCTCCTCAGCACACTACTTGAATCAATTCTTACTCCTTTCATTAATGTCTCTCTCTCTCTCTCTCTCTCTGAGCAGTTCCAATACCTAAGTCGTTATGCGCACTTGGCTTATGCGTTCTTTCATGCTCATCAGCGCTCATTCATGTCCTATCCACTATATTACGACACTCAAACCATGGTGAAGAATACTGCCTTCTCTCTTTCCAAACAGCAGTCACTGGATCCACATGCTTGCTTCTACCTTGGCAACGTTGGGGATGATCCACTTGAGATCCTCTTTGGTTGCATGTGTATGATTGGAGGCCACAACTCTGCATGCTCTTATGCTCAAGCTATCGATCGTCTCGATGCTGCTAAGGACATCAATGGTCTTTTTAAATGCCATCCAGAGCTTGATCCAGGTCATCGGTGTCTCAAACTCACGCACCATGAGGGAGTTGATCATATCAACCGAGATATTTGGAAGGGTGATATCATTGCCGACAGATGTGATCTTCCATTGGCATGGCGCAATGGTCGTGATTCTGCACTTTCCATTCTTACCACATCACAACTGGATCCAATTCATTATTCCTTCGCCGACTATTTCAAGAACCCTGATGTCAACATGCTGTGTCCATTCAGACAGAATAAATACTTCGGCATCACAATGGAAGAGGAACTTGAAGACACGAGCCGTGTACCATCCGAACTGCCACCTGCCAGTGTCATGCACTCACCACCATTGCAGTGTTTGGAGACCATCTTGTCAAATGAGGATGGTGATATGCTTCAGCTAGACGAGTCTGACGTACATGAAGAAGAAGACAAGATCATGCTAACATTTCAAGAGGCACTGATCAATGAGTCTCCTGCTGATGCTCCTTCTCAGCCTTCCAGTGGACCCCCTCCTGCAGATGCACTTTCACCGCCATTGCCGCATGGCCCTGGGATACGCCCAGATGACTATCTATTATATGATGGATGCTGGATTCACAAGCAGACTGTATGTCGGCTTGTAATCAACAAAGACTTTGTTTCAAAGTCTCTCAATCGACTCGAACGTGTCCAGGAAGGCTATACAAAGGTCAACAAATGAATCAACATGTCAGCAGGATGGATCACAAACCAGAACTTATTTCTTGTTGGGGATATATTTCTTATCATCCTTCACTCCAGCCATAACCTTTCCATTGGCGTCCTTCACTCCATGTCGGCAACCCTTAACGGGGTATCTTGCGCATCCATCAATGTCACTATCATGAGATCTTTGCGCTCTACCATGAAGATCACAGGACAGCTCCTAAGTGTCATTCCAACTGACACTTTACCTGATGCTGCTCAGATGTTCTTGTGGGACGGGGGATACATCACTGCTTGATCAGTCATCCAAGGAACATCTGACTCTACAGCACATGTCATTGTTGTCACCGTTCCTGGCGCTCTTGTGGAACCTGTAAATCCTGAACCAACCTTCCTTTGTCTATGTGAGGACATCAATAATGACAAGTTTTCTCAAGTCAACGGTGGCCAAAGCACTTGGCAGATCCCTCAAGATGCCTTGCAAGCTGCCTGTAATCTCATCTGGGTGAAAGCTGTTGAAATGAAGCTGTTGCTCAGGTCTATTGAGTCAGTTATGCCATTAGACACGAAGTCCTTCCTGTTACAACTTGGATGGTATCTGTTGGTGACGCTCAAACAGAGCGTGTGTCGTCAACGGTCGAGGACGTCCTTGGGCTAGCCCAAGGTTAGGGGTCTTACTTGGCGAGGCTTTGGCAAGTAAGATTTGACAGCCTATGTCCAAATCGGGTAGCTTATGTCACGCGGGTGCGAGACGATAAGCTATATCAGGCCTAGGCTTATGACACCCGAAGGTTAATCGTAAGGATCGTCGTTAATTAGAAGGACAGAAGTCCAACTAGTTAACAGGGGCTTTGCTCGTCGACGAAGTCGATGAGTAAAGATCGAGACTATAGGCTTATCTGCGAAGAGCAGATAAGAAGATAGAATATAGACTGCTGGCGAGGCAGAAAGGATCACTCTGGTGAGAGTAGGAGGTCAAGAACCAAGTAGATTCAAGTTAGGGAATATAGTACATGGTAGCAAGTTTATATAGAGGACAGGAGATGTATTAGTGGGTGATAACTCGTACTACTGGGAGAGGTAATCGGTAAAGGGTATAACCATAACAGGAAGGCACGTTCGGTCGAGGTAGAACGTGCTAGATAAGAAAGTGAGTCAAAGATCGAAATAAGAAGTGAAACGCGCAGGGGCACGATCGTGCAGCTGCAGGATCTAAGTATAAGTCGCATGTGCGACTGCGCATTGAGTCAGAGATCAAGAAAGGGAAAAGGGCAAAAGGGATGCATCGTGCATCAGATCATAGGTTACCGTCCTGGACAGGTAAGGGCAAGGGGACTGTCCGCAGGATCAGTCAGGTGGTGGAACGGAGCATGGGTATGCTTCGTCAGCGAAAAGGATCCGGCCAGATGTACTGGCTCTGCTGAAGCGACAGGTAGAGAGCAAAAGGGAATGCGAGAATGACAAGGATGACCAGGGTAAGGTCGGGGTAAGGGTATGATGCAAGGGCTGATACGAGGAGGATCAGAAGAAAAATGGTTGGGGCCCAAGCGTCTAGATGTTCTTGTAACACTTCCCTTATCAACTCTCGGACGGTAAATATCACTTACTTTTATGTTGTGTATCATCTCTAATGATACTTTTATATCTCAGGGACTGTCACAATTTTTTCAGTTGAGGGGAACAGCCTGTTAGCAGCATCGAAAGGAGAGCGTGTTGTGACATGTCTACTGTGTGAAGCCAAGGTACCAGACATGCGCTGTCATATGGGTCAACACATCCTTCACGCATTGTGCAATACACCTGAGGTCATTGATATGAAAGAATAGGTACATATTTTTGATACTATTTATTTACAATGTTGATTATTCTCAATAGGTTGGAGAGGAATATCTGTGTGGATTCTGTGGGCGTTCAGAATGGCCCGAGTGCGCCATCACAATCACAGTTACTGCAAGCAGTGCACCTACCTGGACGACACAATGTACATATCAGCACACCTTCAAATACGGAGCTGTCGACAACGGATCGAAAAACAAGCCTTGCCGAAACCTCCCTCTCAAATGCACACTGTGCCATCCAGTACTCCCTCCTGAGCCTGGAAGATCTTCATGAAAGGCACCTGTCCTCGCTGTTGAAGCTATCTGGCGCTACAACATGCTGGAGCATATAATGAAAGAACATGAGGAATACTCAGTTCCTGGATGGAGATCAGAGGGTGTCGAGCTGCCTGCAAGCATCCACAATGATATGATGCTGACAGACCTCGAGCAGAGCACCTCACGCATCCCGAAGGAGCGCTGGATCACCCCACCAAATGTTTCATCTGGGTTGGACAAGGAGAATATCCCTGCATCAAGTTCCCATCCTCTTAAGCGGTCCATGACCGCATCTACTACCTACAAGCCTGCAAAATGTACTCGCATTGCTCATGCTTTACTTCAGCAGCCTACTGCCTCACTTGCTTGATGTTCTCTTCATTTGCATTCATTTTGTATCACTACTCTCTCGTATTGCTCATTATGTCTCTATTGCTTTAGAACAAATGCTCTCTATTAGTTTGTACGTACTCTACAGCATGCACTGGAAGCTACAGTAGTTCTTGTTGTCGTGTACTCGAACCGTTCCCTTGCAATCAATTGTTAACATTGTTTTTCTCTTGTGCGCCCGGATGAAAATGATCGAACGGTCACCATATATGGATATATTGGTGTTACTGTCACTGTGACAGAGGGGTGGGGGGGGGGGGGGGGGCCTCTGAAGTTGCGAGAGGTGTATATCCTATATTGCAAATTTGCACACCTCTTGACTACTACTATTCTGAACCAAAAGTAGCATCATCTGCTTGCTGCTCTCTGCCTTGCGAGAGCATTTACAGACTTGCCCCGTCACTAATTTCTGCATGGCAACTTGTACCGAAGACTTTCCTAAGAAATATAAATCAGTTAAGGCTATTAAGTATGTAAAAAAATGCACCTCATCCACCATGCTAGAAGCCGGTTGACTTTTTGCTGTGCTAGTCGACCAGGAGGCTTTTCAAAGAAATCTACAATATTTGCCAGAACAGTATGTAGTTGAAATCTCCATCAACCAAACACCACGAGGTCACAGAAGAAAGTGTGAATTGTAACTTGTCGCATATTGTTAGCACTCAGTAAAGAAGCTCGAAAAAACCACCTACTTGACAAGATACATATGCAATTGAGCAGGGTGTGACTCTGTGCATCTTAGTGATATGCGCAACATGTGTTTTTACTTTTTTGCCAGAATAGACATCCCTTCCTGCATGTCGGTTATTTTCGATGACATCCGCACCATCACCATCACCGGCAACCTCCTTTGCGGAGGAGGGAGACGTAAATATGGCCTTGAAGGCCTGCTAAAGTAAGATCTTTCGAGTTTTCAACCTATTTGTATATGACTAACCTGCAGCAAAATAGTGCTTTTGAAAAGGCCTTCCTCTAGATTGTCCTGATCAGCCATGTACTTGTCGTACAGGAATGCTGGTCAGGACATTTCGGTCACAACAAAGCCATCTGCACAATCCCTGATCCCTGCTCTGACTCTGACAGACTGACGTTAGTGTTGTGTAGAACACTGAGTGAGATAGTTACATTGCCTTGTTCCAGTCCAGCTCAGTTGGACAGAGGAGTCTACCGCATGCATCGTTGATGAATCCATGACAGTTTTTATCATTGGGGTTGACGGAGGGATCAGGCTTGAATTCACGATTGACCCAGTCAACAACGAGATTCTTGAGCTTTGAGGTATCATCCCCTCGAGCACCATCAGCACCCTGTCTAAGCTGAATAACACCTAAGCAGAAGGCAAACTGTTTACACTGGAAAATCACACCTTTTTTAGCATTTGCACATAATCATTGTATTCCATTTCCAAAGCCTTCTGGTGAAACCATGGGAGGGCATGATTAAGGGCAATGTAGCTGCTTTGTAAACAATCTTGACTGTGATGATCAACCAATGACTAGCAATCATAAGATGCAGGTAAAAGAATTACTCAATAGTCAAATTTTCATCCAACTCGTCATTCTCACACCTCCTGTTATTCTCAGCTATTAGGTCTTCAATATTATTAAATAATGCCACTATGCATCTGATGCCTCTTCCTTTCAACATGAAGTACTTTGACTCCCTGACAATAATAGTGAATAAACTGAACTAGATGTAATCAATATCTGTACCTTTGTTTGATCGCTTGGCCTGACTCCAACTCCTGTAACCTTTCTTCCAAGGTTGTGATCTTTCACTTCTGGAGAGCACTATCAGATGTTGCTACTGTTAGTGACTGTGACGATGCTGGGGGATGGGAGGCAGCATCCATGGTCTCAGACATGATCTTACACAGCGAGGAGGGGAAGGGAGAGCGATTGGGAAGAGTGGGACATAGGTCAGGACTGACTTTATCCTGTTCCTGCTTTATATGATACAGTTATCTGGCAGCATCAGCAAAGATCCCAAAACGTGTATATGCTGATAAGGGAAAGGCTTAGGAGTAATGTTAGCCAAACACATTTGATGCATTGCCTAAACACATACGTACCATTTTGGGACGGCCTACGGCATACTGTATGCAAACCAAGCGATGTCTAACCTTATGAACTATATGCTGGCATGACTGCATAGTGTTTGACCTGAGTGTAGTTAGGTATGGAATGCAAGCCGCTGGGTGGCGAGACTTCCGTTCACCTGTTATCATAATAGATTTTAGCAATGTCATCGTGTTTACTCACATTAATACCAGCAAGAATATCTGTCTTGTTTCAGACGAACTAGTAGAAAAGGCACTTGCTTCCTCGGTAGCAAAATTCATGATCTCCAAGACGGTCACATCTGGTTGATTATTGACTCCGGTGTATCGTTGATGAGTAGTACATTGTAGTAGTACTTGGCACCAAGATCTTTATTCACCAAAGGCAATCAACGTCACAAATAGCAGCAAACACAAGTGCTTGCCTTCCCACTTAGCATGAGCATCATGACAATGATAGCTTCAATACAACTCATGCAGCTTTCAACGACAGGGCCAAAACCATGTATCCAATATACCTAGGAGGCAGCATGTTCCTCAATGGACCCAGTCACGGCTCAAAGCTGTATGAGAGCTGTTGAACCTGTGTTAGGTGCACTTGCACTTAGTAATAGCCTGAACAGACCGACCGATGCTAGGCGGAACCACCAACTTGTCAGTGAAAGTTGCAAAACTCTCGCTTGTCCACTTGCTAATGTTTAAAATAAACTTGGTCTATTTCTGTCCTACTTATGTGTAGATTCAACTTTAGGTATAGGCGGTCCACTAAATATGAGGAGGCGGTGAAATATGAGAAGGCAGTGTGGGCCACAAGAGTGTCTGCAAGTGGCTTGGCACTAACATTAGGCATGTCATTCTGTTTGAGGGAGCATTTACGAGCAGGTATATGCGAGTACTGTGAAAGAGCAGTGTGAGATGTCGCAATTAATGAGGGTGGCTGCTAGTGGACTAGGTAGGGTGAGTATTGAAAAGAAGAATAAGAACAAAAAACTCATGACTAGGGAGCACATGGAGGCATGACAGCGCTGAATCCAGACCATCTGCATCATATTGTTGATTCTTCATAGGGGCGTTGAGTGAGACGCATGCCAGGCAACTAAAACAGACACACCTCATAGATGTGCCAGGTAGAATGCATCATGATAGAAATCCCACTGAGATGTCATGTGTGGCCACAGCGAGGTCCAGAAAGAATGTGGTAGAGATGAGTCAGAACTTGAGATGACTCAGAGTCCAAACATTATGTGTGCTAACATTTGTGTGAATGGTGGGTGGCACATGGCGTACACGAAACAGACACTCTAATGATTCTCAGTGAGGATCACAATGAGAATCATGTCCTCAGCCCTCAGCGAAGTAAGAGGTGGAAAAAAAGTGTTGCATTGACTGCAGGCAGATACTAGAGTATCTAGAGTATGTGTCATAAGATAATTACACAGTGGTGCTCAGGGTAAGTGTCACATACCTTCTCTGCTTTGAAGCTCTGTGAATTGCCAGTAGCTTCCTAGAAAAGCTTTGGGCCAATGGTTTGCGATAATAGAGTAGAAACTCCAAAAGGGCCTGACGGCTTTGAACCAAACAGTTACTACAGGTGGTGTTGGAGCAGAAGCGCCAAAATTGGACCAGATGGCCTCAGTTCATGGTGTTAGAGCAGAAGCTCAACAATTTGGGCCAGATGGCCTCAGTTCATGGTATTAGATAGAGCAGTAGTTCCAAAATTTGGACCAGATGGCCTCAATCCTAACAGCTTGTGGTTGTGGAGCAAAAGGGCCTGACAGCGGAATGAACCAGATTCAAGATGTGGTGCATGTGATTATTATTACATAACATTGTTATGCCAAAGTTCGTTCTGGTCTAAGCTATGCCCGCAGAATCCAATATCAGTTCATTCACTGAAATATCTCGAACCCTGTAGTCAACAATATCTTGATGGACATATCTGAAATTGTATAGTATTATGATCTATCATGAATCATGATGCTTGAAGATGTGGTAAGTCCATGGGTCTCTCGATAAACTGTCTTCGTGCTAACTTAGTATCTGAGTCTAGTTTGTTAAGTATTATTGTGTCCCTCTTCATCTGTCATGGCAACACATTTTGTTGACGTACCATCCCTCTCGTGCCAGGGTCAATGTTTGTACAGCTATCGTGATAGTTAGATGTGTGACGTGAACAAAACTTGCTCCTCACATGACACAGCTCATCAATGGTCTTGCCAGGAGCTCGAGCATTATCTGGCTATGCTACTGGAGGATGTCGAGAATCTAGTGGCATGGTGGAGCCCCTGTGAGTTCATTTCCCTCGTATTCTTATTCCTTGCAACATGATAAATATTTCTTCAAAGTATTGCATGCATCCCTCAGTTCTGTGTCTTCTGTGTTTTTTGAGGGGCGCGTTGCTTTTCCTTTAGATTTCCAAAACTTTTACAAGTGTATTCCTGCTCAAGTTGTTCTGTGTATCCACATACTTATCATGCAATTGCACAATCAGAATATGTATTGAGTCTTTTCGCAGGCGTGATCACTGTAATAGACAAATCATTGATGGAAATTCAATCTGTCTCAGAGCACAAAGAAAGCAGAGAGAATTATATGTATCTGTCCGATAATGACCCTTCCCTCATTACTACATGGGAGTTGGGAATGATTTCCTGGTGCTTTTAGTTGTCTGTAATCACCAGTCCTATAAATCCGATAGAAATTGAAAGCACATCTTCTAGTGACAAACAAGACTTCATTTAAAACAAGAGGAGGTCATCAAACATGTCATCATCTTCCCCATCCTGGGGGGGAGCTAGATGACTGGGAAGAGTACTACATTGGAATGTGAGTATGGATATCCCTTTCTATGTTGTGTTAATACTCAACCTTTGAGTCAGATTTGTTGACTGTGATATGTTCATGTGATATACTCACTTTGGTGTTGGCCAGAATAGGGATTCTGACTGGCAATATGTCATGGATATTGTTGAGGATGCAGACCACGAAGAGGTCAGTGATGATGAGGGTCACAAAGAATGTAATGATGAGTTTAGTGACAAGGAGCTAGAAGATGAACATGATAGTGCAGATGAAGGAGAAGAAGATGGGCTAGTGATTCACCATAGCGAAGGGAGCTTGTACCATGTCCTGATGCAAACACAGGAATCAGATGAGCTCCTCGGATCACCTGCCTTGGATTGAGAAACCCAAATGTGTCAGGGTCTACTTCCTCTACAAAGGCAACCTTGGGAAGATGAGCATGCTTCATGCCGGACATATGGGTCTGCAATGGTGCTAGCCACCTCACAAAGAGAACTTCGAGGTGCTGCTTCACAGGTGAACCTCCATCATTCAGCCATGTTTCTACATGATAGATGCCCAGTATGTGGGCATACCAATATGGATGGCTGGGTGTTGTTTCCCCCGAAAGCACCATAACATCAGCATGTGTCTGAGGGCTGATGGTATCATACTTGCGTCTGAGATCATATATTGTGTAATTGACCTGCATGGTCTGGACTGAATAGATCATGTTGTTAGGAATGATTACTGAGTTGTGATCTTCATCCATGAATGTGTGGTCACAATAGGTAATGTCAAGTTCCCGAAGCCTGTAAAGGATGTGGTCCTTGAGTCTCAGTACAAAATCCTGACAATCATTGTGAAAGGCGTGTGAGGTGCATTCCACTTGTAGTATTGTGCCTACCTTAACTGCTGGATCGCCACCATGTTCTCGAAGGAATGTGAATAAATTGATTGTATTGCTTTGAGTGGTCACAATATGGTGGTGGCTTCTAGAGGACATGGAAGGGGGGACATCGGTGGGTGAATGGCTATCAAGGCCGGAGGTTACACCCCCAATTTCTGCTATGCGTCGAAGCACACGGCGTCTGCATTCGTGCTTTGCTAACTGTCCTGGGGTATATAATTTGCTTGTCAGTGGATAAAAGGCCTTGAGAGTTCTGTGTGCAAGTTCTCCCTGGCCAAACCTCATGTCAGGTGGATAGCGGAAGTGTAACATGTACATACCATTTGAGTAGTGAAAGAATCTGTTGTCCCAAAGAGCTTAATGGTTCTCACGTAATCACCCATTGCAGTGAAACTTGTAGGTGTTGAGATTGAACTTCTTTACTCTTGGACTACTTGATTCTGTAGAGGAGGTATTTTCAGAACGCCAAGCAAGCCTCCGTAGTTGAGCTGCTTTTTCTCTTGGTAACTTGATCATAGCGAAAGCAGCACAAGTGTCGCATTGAAATTTCCGCAACCTCTGAGAGAGCTTCTTGAATATATCTTCAAGAAAGATTACTGTAGAGTCTGAGTGCATCCTGAGCTTGGCGAGCGCATGCCACTGTGCAAACTGATATAGCAGAGACTGCACAGCTGCATTGTGGTCAGTGGGGAACAGCCCCTCGAAAACTGGAATAGAACACTAATGATAGGGATGAGCGCAATGATAATAATGATAAAATAACAGAAAAAACCTGTAAGATGTCTTCGAAGTCACGCGCTGCCAATCTTTTCATCTCCGAGGTCTTATTTGCAAACTTTCGAATGACGCCATTGCCAAATGTAGGGACCTGGCGAAATCTACGGTAAAATTAGAAGTTGTTATAACACCAATTCTATATGAACTCCCCGCACCTGTGATCGAGGGTGGAGACTAGCTGACTACCCTGAGCAAGAGCATACAGAAGCCTAATTAGATGGGTGAAGAGTGACTTCCAGGTGCCCAACTCGCACTCATGCATGAAGTTAACAACAAGCATTCAGAATGAGTCGAGGCTGAGTGGACCAAGCTTCTTGACAAATCGATTCTATGAGCAGGTAGTTTTAAGTGTATCGGAAATGATGAGGAAGTATCTACGCATACCAAGGTGGGTACCCAAGAACCCTCTCCAAGAGTGTCTTCAACCTTCGAACCATCGACAGTATTTCCCCACTTGTGAATATACTCACGGGCCTTAACATGCTCTTACTATATGTAACACCTTCTGGATTTGGTTCAGAAACTTCATGTCACCAACATTGTTTACCCTGTTTGGACACGACATATTAGGCTATATTATGATGCCATGTGGCGAACATGTGTCAATGCGGGACTTGGGTGGACTTGTACCTGGTGATATGAACTTACAACACATTGCGCAGCTCTAGTGCTGATTATAGACATCCATACGTCGAAGGTCCAATGCTGCTGCAAATGTTTGTGTTTAAGCGCTGCTGTTCTGTTGGTAGCAGCACCTACACAGATCTAAAGTTTTTCCTGGTGAAAGGGAAAATGCTGATAAGAAGTATTTATAAAAAGCTGGCGAGTTAGTACCCTTCAAACTCCATCCCTCTGTCTCTCTGTCCCTCCGCTATCTGAATCCTCTGCGTTGCACCTAGTACTACCCAGCCTGGAGCTCACCTGAATATGAGCATGCCACATTCCCATCTTGCTTCTCCTCTAAGCTCCACGAGAGGGGCTGATCCCAACTATGGCAGGAAAAACATACCAGAAGAGGGTTTAGACAGCGCTCCGACTCTCAACAGACCCCTGTCGTCATATTTCACACCAGAAACTTCACCATTCATCATCACCATCAACCACTGGAAATTTTTCATCAGGAGATGGAATTAATGCCCCTATATCATCCCCTTCAATACTTACCCATCTATCTTCTTATACAAGATGTGCAAGAGAAAAACCCAAGCCATATCAAAGAAGTGGTCTCACGTTAGCAGAGCACCTTGTCGGTGGGAGTGTTCATGGGTGCAAAGGTTCCAAGAATCTGTTGGATGTTCAAAAGGTATGTTAGTCTATGATCCACAGATTACTTATTGTCAAATATCATTTTAGAACAAAGATATACTTGGGCATACCTTGAAGAATCTGTCTTTGGAGGCTCTCGCTCAGGCTGTCGTCACCCAGCATGCTGAGGTTGAATGGAGGTGCTTGTGCGCTCTGACAACAGCTTGGCATATTGAGGCCATTGAGCAACACTCAAAGCTTCTGCACATGATTCTCGAGCGTGAAGCACAAACATATGCTAATGCAGCTTCAGAGTCACTCAACACCTTGTTTAAGCAACTTGTAAGTTGTACAACAAAGGAAGGGCTTGAAGAACAAAAGGAGTGTACTGTCAATGTATATGATGATGATGCAACATCGTTTGCTGTGGTGGATGAAGAGCTTAATGATATCGAGGCATATGCTTGTGCACATTTCCATCCGCCTGCAAATAATGTTGTTGCTAAAGATTCCTTGCAAGCAATTCATATAGAATCAGATGCTAGTGCTACAAGTTTGGATGAAGACCATAGTTTTGGATCTATGCATGGAACTTCAAGGAATTCCACAGAGTCTGATGACTGAGGTGATTGAAATCTTCCTGTGTAATGAAGCTTGGACTAATTCTGCTTACCAGGTAGATCCGGTCAAATTTGTGCATATACTTAATTCCTTCACCTTTCATGTCAATCCACATTATGTATATACTGTTTTATTTAGTGTCAAATCAATGTCTTCTATGTCGTACCAACCAAATCCTTGCATCACTGGGACCTGGCATATATCATCTAAAATACAACAATAATTACCAGGTACCTGCTGAGCCTTGGGTTGTTACCTCATTACAAACAACACGCACTTGTCCTCTGACGGAACTTGAATGCCATGCATGGAGTGTGCTTCAAGTTTTGGTGGGCCGTGCCTGACGTTCAGCAGGCACCTGGCATCCGTCAATACTCACAAATAACGAGCACTCTGTTGTGTTGATAATCAAAAGTCATTCAGTGCAGGGGAAACCATCACTAGCGGCCCAGGTAAGATTTATTTGAACAGCGAGAACGTGAGTTGATACCCATAATAGCTGCTTTCTGATGGCTTGGGAATCTGATGAGTATGCACAAGCTCTGCTTGCTGTAACTGTAGCTCGTTTTTTAAGATCAGACTTGGACTAATTTACACTATTACTAGCTTGCACGTTCGCAGCCATCCAACTCGCCAACTCCACTTAGTACTCCTGGCGTCTCGTGTTCTCCCAACACCTCATTTGTGCCACAACCACATACCTATTGTGGGCAGCACATGTGGGGAGATCCAGCATATGGCACTATGCAACACCGGCCACTGGCACACTCGACAACCATCAACAGCACTTCAGGAACCAGCGCTTGGGGCAGGGATGACCATAATGTAGGCCTGGACTACTATGGTAGCCACAGGTAAGTTTTTTGGTGCTCAGCAATATCATTTTTGACTAATTTCAACTTAGGTCCACTGCCCCACACCCACAACATTTTCTCCCAACCAAATACTACAACACCTCTTCTCTTTGGGCTCCCTCCCAATCCATAAGGCCAAGTCCCTTTGAGAAGTGCAATCTGTATATCACAAATTTCGTCAACTATTTTCTCTTTTCTGTCTGACACCACAAACTGAGGCCATCTGGCCCAAATTGTTGAGCTTCTGCTCTAACACCATGAACTGAGGCCATCTGGTCCAATTTTGGCGCTTCTGCTCCAACACCACCTGTAGTAACTGTTTGGTTCAAAGCCGTCAGGCCCTTTTGGAGTTTCTACTCTATTATCGCAAACCATTGGCCCAAAGCTTTTCTAGGAAGCTACTGGCAATTCACAGAGCTTCAAAGCAGAGAAGGTATGTGACACTTACCCTGAGCACCACTGTAATTATCTTATGACACATACTCTAGATACTCTAGTATCTGCCCTGCAGTCAATGCAACATTTTTTTTCCGCCTCTTACTTCACTGAGGGCTGAGGACATGATTCTCATTGTGATTCTCACTGAGAATCATCAGAGTGTCTGTTTCGTGTACGCCATGTGCCGCCCACCATTCACACAAATGTTAGCGCACATAATGTTTGGACTCTGAGTCATCTCAAGTTCCGACTCATCTCTATCACGTTCTTTCTGGACCTCGTTGTGGTCATACATGACATCTCAGTGGGATTTCTATCATGATGCATTCTACCTGGCACGTCTACGAGGTGTCTGTTTTAGTTGCCTGGCATGCATCTCACTCAATGCCCCTATGAAGAATTAACAATATGATGCAGATGGTCTGGATTCAGTCACGGTGTCCGACCCTAAGTTTGTATATGATTTGCTCTTGTCCACGTCGCACTGACAGGCAATGGATCTAGATAGGGGTCGGGCGCCAGTGTTGCATCCACTAGCATGGACATGTTAAGCCCGCTGTTAAGGCTGGCTTAGCACAGACTACTAGCAAGACATGGGATGACATTCTTGAGTACTACATCGTACTTTTTTTCATCTTATGTAAGTTTAGTTCTATGCTGACAGTAGAGAAACAGGCTTACAGAATGTTCGCCCCACCAGACAATCCAGTCCAGTAGGGATGAAATATCGTACATCTAGGCTAGTACTATGAACATCTACTGTTTGGCTGTTCAGTCCCCTCGTGCACTGAGTTCGATTTGTCACATCTGCGAAGTGGGAATCTAATTTTTTCTGGATTTAATAGTGCTTAGCGCTGAGCTGGATGAGTTCGGAGTTCAAATGGGCTGCTGTGACGGTGTGTGACACTGATTGGAAAACTGGGAAAACTGGGACCATCCTCCAGATGGCAGTCACACAGTGACTTCCAGATCACACAATCAAGCCTAGGGTGGGAGTGTCATTGGTAACTTACAAGATTGGATCTGGTGTGGAAGAAGGATGCACAGGCTAAAGGACATAAAGATAAGCGGCATTATTATGTATTTGAATCAGCTGTACTCAGGCTGTAGTATTAGTTACTAGCTCAATTCAGAACTGACTGGCTGCAGCCGGACTTTGTATGTTATTCGGGATCAGCGATTGAACCCTAAAGTTGAGCACTGAGCGGGAATTAATATTTGAATGGTTGCCATTTTGAGCTACTGACTAGAACAGAATTTGAAAGTAATCACTGCAAAAAAATGGACGGTCTTGCACGAGATTGGAAAAGGGTTCAGGGGCCACTGCGGCTGATAGGAAGGCCTTGAGGTAGGTCAAACAGATCATGACAACTAATATGTAGTTAAGCGATAGGATGCATCAGCCGACCAGTAAGAGCCGGCCTGGCCACGATGGAACAGTTTTCAGGTTCTTCAAGCTCTTCAACTCAACGATCCACCATCCTACTGAGTTTAAGTCATTCACCAAGTGAACAATGTCCCAAAGAGGCTGGTATCAGCACACACCTCCGAGTCTGTCCAGCCTCAACCCAAGTCACGGTCATCCCGACTACTCTCATTCGCATGCTGTAGCGCTGCAGGACATCACACACTCACAAGACTTGGAATCTCTCACTGGGGTGCATGACCTGCCACACCCAGAATCTTATCTCTCCAGATCAACTCTGAATTTGAACGATCCTAAGGTGTCTTGCTCTACATATCCCTCCAATATGCACCAGTCTGTCGGTGATGGCAGCTACTCATACTTGCATGCAGGATCACACTCTGCCACATTGTCTAGCCTGAGTGGGAGCCAAGGAAACATGTCCTGGCACCATCACTATGACGGTGTGGTAGCCCAGCAGCCAAACATCACAGCACACTTGCAGGAGCTGACCTCTTTTCATAGGGAGCAACTGGTACCTCAGGTCACAGAGCCAACATTCGCTGATGATCTTGGGCCAGGCTCCAGCTCCAGCTCCTATGACCACCACCATTCATATCCCTCCTACACTCAGGTGTCCACAAGTAGCAACAGCTGCACAGACTTACACACACAGCTGCATCTCAGCTCGGTTTCAGAGCGGCAGGTGTTTCGCCAAGGTGCTGGGCCAGAATTACCTATTTACAATCCAAGCCTGAGCACCTTCCATAATCATAGCATGGGCACTACTGCACCAGCTCTACTCCCAGCTTTGAGACCCGTTGATTTCTCTTCTGAGCATAGCCTGAGCCAGGTAGCTCCAACCCTATCAGATCAATCAGGTTTGGGCGTTTCCGGCTCGATCATTCTTGATTCTACATCTGAGTCTTTCGTGAATATGTTGGGCCAGAGGAGGATGATGGACGATGTGTACCCTCAGGTGGCGAAGCAGCAAAAGTTTCTTGGTTCCGAGGTTCTCCCTACTAGTATACCCACCATAACTTCATCAGAGTCACCGATGGTCTTTGTACCATTTTTGTTGATCAAAAATGTAAAGGCAAATACGTGGGAACACTTGATGAATTTTGTGTTCCAGAACTCGCTATTTCCCTCCCAGCTACAACTAAATACATGGGCAAAGGATTCACTTAACCATGTGGTCAATTCTTGCGCAAACAGCATGTATTTGTTATATAACTGTTTCATACTAACTCACGTTTGCAACAACAGAGGAATTAACAAAGTGGAAGTCGAGGATAGAGGGCAAACACAAAATCAAGAGGTTGAAGGGCATCCTAAAATCAATTCATGATGGCTTTGAGGACTTCAACCAAGTGTTCATAATAGGCATCTATGACATATCACTCTGAGTATCCGCCACAGGGAGCACCATTTCCTTGCAGATTACAAGGGTGGTCTCATTACTGATTGATTTTTGATATCTAGATGAAATGGTGCAGGTTTGTATGCTACTCTATGATATCTCACTCGACTCTAATATTACTTCAGTGACAGACAGACAGTGGGCAAGTTGAACTTGTTCGAGTTCCATTCGGGCATTGTGCGATCATGACATTTCTGGAGTATTTTCTTCTACAGAGGCAATTCATCCGTTACATGTCGTTCAATACATCTGGTTGGGAAGATCAGCTCATCACCACCATGGCACTTGGAGGAACTTTTTGTAGCTGGGGGTTGAGGTGGTGCATCAATGGGTGGTTTGTAGATGGTGAATTCGACACACCTGACAATGAGCTTTGCTATAAATCTTTGATAGAGAGAACAGGTTCACTGACCAGTGTTCAGAAGGCATTATTTTATGAGCATCTTAATCATACTTGTCATACTTTTGAGTAGCTATCTCATGTCGACACGTTCATGGTGCATTATACATTACAGTAGACTTAGTAGGTGATCTTGATTTCAAGCCAATCATGATATCATGACAAGTTCTGATATATCAATGTTCTTTACATAGAACAAGCAATACGCTCGCCTGCAGACATCTTTTATTTTCTCACTCTCTCGGCTCTCTTGACAGCAGTCACAAAGAGTAAACTACATTCTCCGCATCCCTTTCCTCGTTCGTGTGTGGCTGCAATGCTCGAATGTTGCATCCATTCTGGAATCCGAACTCTTGACAGTGCAGTGTACTATTAACCATATGTAAATACATCAGTGCGAAGTGCTCATCAGAGAGTGAGACCTTCAAGCAAGCCATCCAAGTCATTGAACATTGTTGCATATGCAGGCCGCAACAGAAATTGACTTTGGTTCACAGGCACACAATCACCCAAAGCCGCGTGCAAAACTGTTTGAGAACACATCAGCAAAAGGCGGCAGTCAAGGTTAAATGGAGCATCAAGATTCAAAGGGGCTCGAGAATACTTTACCCACCCAGTTGCCATGAAGACAGATGTCCAGAACTTCGAAGTTGGAGCAGAAGCTCCAAATTTAGGGCCAGATGGCTTCCAACTTCCAAGTGAGAGCGAGGAGATCCTCTGCTGTAGGTCTGTACCCACCATGATGCGGTGCCGGTTGTAGGATCAGAAGCAGATGCTTCAACAGGGCCAGATAGCCCCAATGACTCAGTTAGAGGTTGCAGGACAGCCTAGTTGTGCCACAGTGCCACTTGGGTGATTCTCGCTAAAAATCTAGTGTATCAGTCTAATCAGAATGTAATAGGCACTTTCAATGACGCTGGTGGAGACACAATTGTAATACGACAAAGTGAAGATCAACCACAGAACATGATCTTGTAAGTACATCAAAATTGTCATTGATCGCACCTAAATTTATGGCGCACATCTAAATCTTCTTGATATTTCGGCATCACAGTACCTTCCATAACTGGGAAGGCAGATGACGATGGCAGAAGGTGCCAAGCCATATGGCCATCACTGAGCATTGTCAACTGCCATCTTATATTTGAAATGGGACCCAATGTCAACTAGAAGTCGGGTAATATGTCTATGTCTTGATGCGCACTGCTAGTAGGCACTGGGAAAGTATCCATTGTTGTTGTCATCATATGTGATGACAGCAGGAACTGGTCAAGAGCAGTGTACAGTGGTCACGTGAGTTATTTCACATCTTATTTACACGTTGTTTTTACAACCAAATAAGTTTGACTTTCTGGAAGGCCGCGGTGAAGATAGAGGGGGCTCTTGTCTCTTTTGTGTGCAAGTTCAAGTTGTCACTGTAAGTCATCTTTTGTCGCCTAGGTATGTACTTATCCTCTAGACAAGAAATATATTGCTCAATTGACTACTAATGTCTGCTAGATTTCGTTTCATCTGCTATGTAATTCAGGTCACCAACAAATTTAATTGCTCTCAGAAAACCATCAAGACTTCAAGACCATGACGATCTCATTAAACAACTAATCAAGTTAAACCAACATAGATCACATAACGACCCATGCACTTTCTCTTACCTCGACATCACACACAATTGCCTCTATCACTCCATCCACACGTCACTCACATAGTCGTGTTCTCACTGCATTATCTTTCGATACCCTATTCACACTTTCACCTGCTGTGCTGCTGAACAAATCAGCTGCGGCCATGCGCCACTGACCACGATTCTCGATGACTCAAGACACCTTTTCATTTTCTACTTTGCTTGCTTCATCATTTCGGATCTCAACGACTTGTTTTAATATGCCCACAACTGCATATAACATTTTCAAGACCGTTTCTTCATATTATCAATTTTACTTGCACATGAGACCAGATGCCTTTGCAACTCCTCTCACGACCAACTGACACCATTTGCACCCGCTCACCATCACCCTTCGAAACACCTGCAACAAAGCCTGATATCCCCACCATCCACCTTATTGCTGCAACACCCTCATTAGTCAATTCCTCCGTTGCTCCATGGTCTGAACCTCAGCCCGCACTTGCACTCATGCCCAAAGCCTCGTCCTCAGATGCAACACCTCATAGGCGTCTCACATCTCTCTGGACGCAACCCAATTCATCTTTCAATCCTGCATCCTGTGCACAGTGCAACTCTTGCCTCAAGCTAAACTAATCAAGGCAGCAACATTATCCTTATACTTTTCACGACATCCGACTTGTGTCACAACCCAAATAATGAATTAATGCTTGGGCAGAGACTAGGACTCGATCTAAGGTTATCGGACAAAGAGAGAGGAGCAAGTACAGTCTTGGATTGCTACAATGTAGATACAAGAGGTTTGAACTAAGGAACTATCGACCAAGACATGCTAACTATATACAACTATTGAAACAGGAGATTGAAACTGAGTTACAACTACTAGCCAATCATAAAATAGAAAAGAGAATCGTACCATAGAACATCGTAGAATATTAAAGAAGCATCACGTGACCATATCTTATCTTATCGTATCTAATCTAATCTATTCACAATCAAAGAACTCGTCTTCTTCATCAGTCACATCGAAGACACGTGTCGTGGGCGTTAAAGGTATTTCAGGAATGATAGACACTTTCAAGGTAGGGTTAGGGTTTGATTTAGGCGCTGTGTATTGACACTTAGGAAGATTCAAGAAAGAATAATGATTTGTTAAAGGTACTCGTGACAACTTGTAGGCATCAGACAATTCTTAACAGCCATAAGCCCCATACAAGCTTTTTATTTTGGTAGAGTCGAGAACAAACAAGTGTGCTTTTATCCTATTTTTATCACATGCACACTGCTTACCGACAAAATTGATACAGCTTTGTCTGGCTCAGGAAGAATCAGAGACACGACCTGATGTGTTGGGCTGGTCCATGCATCAGCTTGGGGAGGGACGCAAGCAGGTGGAGCTGCTGGGTCACATATTACAGTGACATATTTCCGTATTATATGGGTCACCCAACCTACATAATATCCCGTATAAGACGGGCCAGCGGACTATGGGCCGATGTTATGTATATCCCCAATGTTGATGGATGGGCCGGGAGGGATATTATGTCCGATGGAGATGGGTGGGCCCATCTATGCTGATATTATATATATCCTCGAAGATGTCGGGTGGGCTGAGGGAGTGGTGGAATATGTATTATATAGATGGGTGGGCACATGTAAGAGTTTATTGTATAGACGGGTGGGCCAATGGAGGGGGATGTTATATAGACGGGTGGGCCGAGGTAGTGAGATATCTGTCTGACATTCACAGATTACTGAGTCCCAGATGCCCAAAAACCGAATCCCATTGTGCAACATCCATTCCAGACACCCAAACACCCCAAGCTCGAGACTGGAAACTGGAAACTGGTGAAAATGTGTGAAATTTCTATTTCCTTACACCAAACACATGAACACCTGAACACCCAAAGCCTGAAACTTAAAAGTCCAGTTATCAAATCACCAAGTGCCGAGTCCTGATAGACCCGAAGCCTGAGACCCAAAATCCAAAGCCCGGAACCCAAAAACATGTATGCAAAATGTCCATTTTTCATTCATTGCACAAATCACCGAGTGTCAAGTGACAAAACCCGAAGCTCGAGACCCAGTACACAAATCACCAAGTACCGAGTGCCGAGGGCCGAACCCCAAAGTCCGAAACTTGAAAACATGTATATAACATATCCATTTTTCAGTCATTGCACAAATCACCGAGTGTCGAGTGCCAAAACCCAAAACTTGAAACCCGGTATGCAACATGCCCATTTTCTATTTACATTAAACAAATCATCGAATGCTGAGTGCTGAGGCCCGAAGCCCAAAAATATGTATACAACATATCCATATTTCCCTCACTGCACAAATCACTGGGTGTCGAGTACCGAAACCCAAAACTTGACACCTGGTACACAAATCACCAAGTGCCGAGTGCTGAGGCCTGCGCCCCAATGTCCGAAGTCCGAAACCCGAAGCCTGAAACCCAAAAATATGTATACAACATATCAATATTTCACTCATTGCACAAATCACTGAGTGTCGAGTACTGAAACCCAAAACTCAACACCCGGTACACAAATCACCAAGTGCTGAGTGCCGAGTGCCGAGGCCCGATGTCCGAAGCCCGAAACCCGAAGCATAACACCCGAAAATATGTATATAACATATCCATATTTTCCTCACTGCACAAATCACCGAGTGTCAAGTGCCAAAACCCGAAACTCAAAGCATGGTACAAAAATCACCAAGTGCCAAGTGTCAAGTGCCAAGGCCTGAACCCCGATGTCCAAAGCCCGAAACCTGAAGCCTGAAACCCGAAAATATGTATATAACATATCCATATTTCCCTCACTGCACCACTCACCAAGTGTCAAGTACCGAAACCCGAAACTCGACACCCGGTACACAAATCACCAAGTGCCGCAACATTCATTGGACTACAACATTCATTTTTCATTCTCGCCAATGTTTCAGATTTCTTTAGCTTATATCTTGGTCAAATGATAACCAATGGACAAGAAAAGACTACCAATACACTCACCTAGACTCGGACAACAACTTCCATGTTTTCATTATCTTTGTGTATTGCACACTGGGTTTTGAGTTTTGGGTTTTGGCACTTGACACTCGGTGATTTGTGCAATGAGTAAAAAATGGAAATATTGCATACATGTTTTTGGGTTTCGGGCTTCGGAATTTGGGCTTCAGATGTCAGGTTTTGGGCCTTGGCACTTGGCACTCTGCACTTGGTGATTTGTGTACCGGGTCTCAAGTTTTGGGTTTTGGTACTCGACACTCAGTGAGTTGTGCAATGAGGGAAAAATGGATATGTTGCATACATATTATCAGGTTTCAGGCTTTGGGTTTTGGGCTTCAGACATCAGGCTTTGGGCCTTGGACATTGGAGCTCAGGCCTCAGCACTCAGCACTTGGTGATTTGTGTACCAGGTGTCAAGTTTCAGGTTTCGGTACTCGACACCCAGTGATTTGTGCAGTGAGGGAAATATGAATATGTTGTATACATATTTTCGGGTTTTGGGTTTTGGGCTTCGGACATCGGGGTGCAGGCCTTGTCACTCAGCACTTGGTGGGGTGTTCAGGGTGTCTGGAATGGATGTTGCACAATGGGATTTGGTTTTTGGGCATCTGGGACTCGGTAATCCGTGAATGTCAGGCAGATATCTCACTACCTCGGCCCACCCGTCTATATAACATCCCCCTCCATCAGTCCACCCGTCTATATAATAAATATTCCACCATTCCCTTGGCCCATCTGTCTACAAAACAATTCCAGTATGTCAATCCACCCGTCTATATAATAAACCCTTACATCGGCCCACCCGTCTATATAATACATATTCCACCACTCCCTCGGCCCACCCATCTATACAATAAACCATTACATCGGCCCACCCGACATCTTCGAGGACTATATATAATATCAGCATAGATGGGCCCACCTGTCTCCATCGGAAATAATATCCCTCCCGGCCCATAGTCCACTGGCCCATCTTATACGGGATATTATGTAGGTTGGGTGACCCATATAATATGGAATTTGTCACTGAAGGGGCTCTGGTTCTGCGGAACCAATGTTAACATGTTAATCAATCTGAGTTGAATCTGAGCCACGTGGAATCAACAAACTCATTTGGTATATATAGAGGCTACAGTGTCCAGTCCTTTTCTTATTTTCAACCAAACCAACCAACCGACTTCCAAACACCCAGTTCACCCAGTTCCTGGCCATGGGCCGCACAAAGACAACTCCACTGGAGGACCTGCAAAGTGTGCTGAATTACCGCAATTCAAGAAAGTCTCCCTCAATATTGGCATAGCACATAGTATCAAACATAACTTTTCAAAGTTGACCCTATCACATGAGATGCCCAAGCCTTTGTCCCATAATGTAGTAAGTACTTCGAGTTGCATCTCTGTTCTGTAGCTCATGGACAGCTGGTACACAGGCTATGAAAACCATGTTTCCAACTCAGAAGGCAACCTTACTGCGCAAGAAGCCCATGCCTCTCTCTCATAACATAGTAAGTATCTGGCTCTCTTAGCTCTGTTCTGTTGCTCATGAACAGATCACTAGTACTGCTTCTTTTGTCGAGATGGTGGCGATCTTTATGATTGCTTCTGCTGCTCACGGTTGGTGTGCAATGCTTGTGTTGTTGTTCCTGCAGAATTTCAGGCACAGGTCAAAGACAGCGAAGTTCTTTTTATTTGTGCAGGCTGTCACAAAATACACAGAAAGCATAGCAGGAATGATGGCATAAGGCCATACTTTGTAAGTTGTGTTCGCCCATCTTTCAAAACCCTCTCAACACCCTCTCTCGCTCTTAGGGATTTGAGGACATCAAATGGAATCCAATCTTGGGTGCTCCTGTCACCATCCATGGGCACTCTGAAATGACGAGTTGGTCGCAAATATGTAGTGACCCCATCCTGATCCTCCATTTTGTCCTTCAGACCATCGACCCTCTTGGGTCTCCTGCAGGCATCATGCAGGAGATTTTGCGGCCGTATAAGCCCAATGACAAACTCCAATACCATGAAATAGTGTTCGATATTGGAACAATGGAGAAGGCTGAGAAGCACAGGTTGTCAATGTCAAAACTGGTCACAGAATTGGAACACCTCCCTATCAAGTTTGAACATGTAGAAGTCATCGTCTATTCTCACTCAGAAACCACATGAGGAGATATCTGGGGAGGATTTGATGATGCCGGGCCTCTGGGAAGGGGAAGGAAGAAAGTCACAAAACAGGGCAAACCTATCGCATATACCGTTGACAATGTATCCACACTGGATGAGATCTGATTCGCTTGCCAGAAATGCAAGCATGAAATCACCTATACAAAGCAACAGGGGACGAAAATAATCTTGTATTCGCAAGGCTATCATGGAACTAGTAGCGGAAGTGGTCAGTTAGTGAGGAAGGGCAACACCACTGGGTCGGGCTGGTTAGTTTCTGTAACAACCGAGCTTGCAGCACTGGTAAATAGTATTCATCCTCCTTCTACTGGTTTGTTGAACCACCAGTAGCGCATCCTACATTTTGTTATTTGTAATACACTACTACCAGGGTTTCGTCTTAGGTGCTTCTACAGAGGTGTCAGAGGTCTTCATTGGGTATTGTAGGTCCTTTGTACTAGCCATAGAGTCCAACACCCACATCACCAAAAGTCCAAAAAGTAGATATGGTAAGCTAAGATAAGCTCATGTGACAACATTCCCCAGCACATCCGTCATGACAGCCAGGTACTAACAGGTTCAATGTTGTGCTGATATTGTCCGCTCCTAAAACTGACTTTGCACTCAACAGCCATCATGCTGCTGAATATCTCGTCATATGCTGGATACATCTCAGTTCTGCTGTGCTGATAGCATACACCTGGCACCTTATCAGACTGATTATACAATATTTAAATAAGATATCATTATTAAGCTGCTACTAGTAGTACTACAGTAACAAGACAAAAGTAGGTAACAAGAGGCAAACTAGAATACCTCCTGCGCATGGCCCAAAGATGGGGTGACTAAACCCCTGGGTAGCAGAAGTCATACCTGCACCCATATTCAGGGAAAACCTATACACGCACCCGCAGGTACTACCTAAAATTTTGTAGTTACAAATGAAAAAAAAAATAGGATATATAAAATCCATACCTTTGCACAGTGAGAATAAGTGAAAACAAAATATCAAAGACAAGGTCATCCACATCCTGCGAGTGGAACATGACCGCAGCAGCATCAGTGTCAGGTAAGCAGGTCAAAAAATGAGATCATGCACATCCTGAGAGCAAGATACAGCCACAGCACCATCAGTGGCAGGTAAGCGGGCCAAAGGACGAGGTCACACACAGACTGAAAGCGAGACACAGCTGTAGAATCATTAGCATCAGGTAAGCAGGTCAAAAGATGGATCACACACATCAGGTTTACTAAAAAAACATGGTGCAAAGCAAATACTACTCATACCCACAGAATTAGCGAGTCAGCGTAGACATGAACCATTAAAGATGCTGTATGTGCCATGTGGTGCAGGCTGAAAGACTTGTGGCTCCTCCAGCGCTTGAACTCAGGCATGAGGGGTCAAAAGATCTAGCAGGGCCATGGTGGTAAGGATGGTGGATATGAACAATGAACAGCAAGCAGAAGAGTTGTTGAGGGCAAGGTAGTCGAAGTTGCAGCAGATTTTGGCGTCAATTGGTGATGATAGTAAAATTGTGGAGCATTTGATGATTTTTTCAGTTCATTTCAGCATCGACCAAACAAATAATAACACAGGACTTCAAAAAAAATCAAAGCAATAACACAAGGCAAATAACTTGCTTGCGAAATCCACCCAAATTTTATTGTGATGGATCTGGATCTGTTGAATCATGTGTAAGGAATGGTAACAAGCCTTTATGATAACAATTATTGTAAGATATGTGAGTCATACCAGGCACTGTGTGTAGCATATCGTAGTATATCATGCTGATATGGTATGATCATGATTGACCTATTCTTCCACTCCCTGAGTTGGCCTGCTGAGCCTTGCTTGGGGGTTGTATTTAGTGATCTATGCCTGTCATATCTGAGCTACCAAATTGTGTGACCAGAGACCTAATCAGGCAGTATCAGGTTTTTGGACTTTTGGTGATGCATTGTGTCTCCGGCACAGGAAGTCATAAAGGAATGCGAAAAGAAATTTAGTTCGTGTAACTCAGTCTTAGATAGTGTTGTGGTGCGGTAGAAATATTATGCTTACTTACAATAGTAATCCAAGGACTAGTCGGTATATTGATGCTCAATGAGGTTAGCGCACTTTGGGTGGTATCTCTGGTCTTGTGTGATGGTAGCATATCACGCCCTCGTTGAAAATTAGCATAGTACTCCAGTTCTGTCAACCTGTGCAAAAGCCGCTTTCCATCAGAAAGCCTTGAATAGTCATACAATTCCAAGCAAAAATCAGGGACAACAACGACCTTCAATGAGGCTGGTGCATTTTGGGCGGTATCTCTGGTCTTGTGTGATGGTAGCATGTCATTGTGTCACGCCCTCGTTGAAAATTAGCACAGTACTCTAGTTCTGTCAACCTGTGCAAAAGCCGCTTTCCATCGGAAAGCCTTGAATAGTCATACAATTCCAAGCAAAAATTGGAGACAAATCAGCACCCCAACAAGGTACACCAATGGTGCACTGCTATCCCTTCGCTACCATGGTCGTGCAATTCCACAGTGCCATGATAAATTCCAAATATACACCTTTATTTGTGTAATATTGATATCTATTTCCTCATGAATAAACTTTTTTGTTAGATGAATGGTGTTACAGTGCGGTAGTGTAATTACACTGCATTACATTGCCATCCCTACAATATCAAGGTAGCGACAAACAAAAACTCACCACAAGGTTGAGACAAGTGTACTACTATCACTTTGCTACTGTCGTTGCACTCCCCTACACGCTCGTGACAAACCTCAGTTGTACATCTATATTTTTGTACCATCCATGTCTATTTCATTGTAAAGCAAGTTTACTTGTGTTTCTACAGCGTTGGAGAGCGGTAGCATTATCATACTTCATTACCATAGCAATCCCTACCATGTCAAGGACTCATTGGGTTACTGATGGAGTAGGCTTGTGAAATACTATTGTACTGGACCAAACAGCAAATAGTAAGGCTAAATAGTGAGTTTGTGTCATTTTGGGTCCCAACAGATGGTTGCTGGCAAAGTGGCAGTTCTACGCATTCATTCATTTCAGAACACCTTCTTCCAGAAGATCTTCAACTCTACCTGAGTCAGCCACCGACAAAAGGATTTGACCACGTAGTATAGTGAGGATCTATGTGGAGCTGACATCATAAGATATCTTTTGCATCTTGCTTTAGTGAATTTTTAACAATTGTTAGCCCGGTAGGACAGTATCATCTTGACATCTTTTATTCTGGCAATGCTACTCTATCCCAAGGTACAGAATATGCACAGGCAGAAATTGATGCTGTCCAGTGTTGTAACTTGTGGGCCAGGACCAATCTCCTGCGTTCAAGAACAGAGAAAAGTTTCCTAGCACATGCGCTCCTCCACTGGGCACCTGTCCTAGCTGCCACTCAGTCACAATGATGCAGGGCTCCCGCACCATGCAATGAGTGTACTCTGGTAGGTCATCCCTCTTTGAGCTTGAAACACATTTATACACACTCAAAGGCACCCTAAAACATCTCAGTACAGGTTCATCTCAAGGGACAACATCAGTGAATTGAGGGAGCCCTGAGAAAGATATATATTACATTATATAGCAGGTAATCACCAGCTTCAGTATAATTCTGCTACTGGTGATCACATTGTCATATTTGACCTTTTAGAGGAAAGCAGAGTTCTTACTTGATGCGCACAGGTGTTCGAACAGCCAAAAACACATAAATTAATGCGGCTCACTGTTACGACTTGGATAGTATCTGTTGGCGATGCTCAAACAGAGCGTGTGTCGTCAACGGTCGAGGACATCCTTGGGCTAGCCCAAGGTTAGGGGTCTTACTTGGTGAGGCTTCGGCAAGTAAGATTTGACACCTATGTCCAAATCGGGTAGCTTACGTCAAGCGGGTGCTAGACGATGAGCTGTATCTGCCAAGGCTTACGACACCCGAAGGTTAATCGTAAGATCGTCGTTAATTAGAAGGATAGAAGTCCAACTAGTTAACAGGGGCTTTGCTCAACGACGAAGTCGATGAGTAAAGATCGAGACTAAGGACTTATCCGCGAAGAGCAGATAAGAAGATAGAATATAGACTGCTGGCTAGGCAGAAAGGATCACTCTGGTGAGAGTAGGAGGTCAAGAACCAAGTAGATTCAAGTTAGGGAATATAGTACATGGTAGCGAGTTTATATAGAGGACAGGAGAAGTATTAGTGGGTGATAACTTGTACTACCAAGAGAAGCAATCGGTAAAGGGCATAACCATAAAAGGAAAGCACGTTCGCATTGAGACATGGGCGAGGCAGAACGTGCTAGATAAGAAAGTGAGTCAAAGGTCGAAATAAGAAGTGAAACGCGCAGGGGCACGATCGTGCAGCTGCGGAGCTATCTATAAGTTGCATGTGCGACTGCGCACTGAGTCAGGGATCAAGAAAGGGAAGAGGGCAAAGGGGATGTGTCATGCATCATATCATAGGTTACTGTCCGGACGGTAAGGGCAAGGGGACTGTCCACAGGATCAGTCAGGTGGTGGAATGGAGCATGGGTATGCTTCATCAGCGAAAGGATCCGGCCAGATGTACTGGCTCTGCTGAAGCGACAGGTAGAGAGCGAAGGGGAATGCGAGGATGACAAGGATGACCAGGGTAAGGTCGGGGTAAGGGTATGATGCAAGGGCCGATACGAGGAGGATTAGGAGAAAAATGGTAGGGGCCCAAGCGTCTAGATGTTCTTGTAACACTCATGATTGAGCCAGCAAGTGAGGCGAAGTCTCATGGTTGATATCAACAAGCCACAGGCGCCCCATTGGGACTAAGGTCCACGGTTTGGGAGGTATGTTCAAAAGTCAGTATCTCGCAGACACCAATGATCTGTGCATCAATCAGATGAGAACAAGTTGATATGCTCCTTCAGAACTTCTGACCGCCTGTTTTACATGGATAGTTTTGCTCTCCCCAAGAATTTTATGACCACTCCATACAAAATTGTGTGTTCTCTTGTGGAAATGACAATTTGCACCCTGGTTGGCTGAGAATCGATAATTTGCTGCTGCAGATTTTTAATCATTTGCTCTGACCATCCCATGCAAGAGGAACACGAAAGCAGTGCCAGTACATTTCACCCTTTCTTAGATTCTCTAATGGTAGTCTGCTTTATATTGGTTGGCAAGCTGTGGGAAAATGTGATACCTTGATGCATCAACTGAGATGTGCTTGTCAATCGAGCAACAATTAACCTATTTCCTGCTTCGACTTTCCACACAACCTATTCATGAGTCTCTAATGGTTGACTGCTGTAATCCATTTGTGCTATTTACCAGGAATTTGTAGCTTGGCACGAATGCTGTATCTTTATCATTTAGTATCTTGGCCTGGGGCTTGTCAACAATTGGTCATAACTTGCCATGAGATACCACTTATTCTCCAGTAAGTATCTTACACATCGTGTCACTTGTCGATATAATCGAGTATTTTTTCCCTATATAGGAGCATTCCTGTACATGTACATTTGCGACTATTGTGACATAGTTCCTCCATTCAATGACAAAGTCATGGCTTGGCACAATTAGGTATTTGGATCAGCCTATTAGCAATGTGTGTTCTACGTTTGATATGAAGCACACACCAATAGAGCTGAGCAATCCGTATCCTAGGACTTGAACAGTGATATGCAGGTCGTTAGTATTTGTGATATATGTCGAGCCATTTTCTGCTAAATCGGGTGTCATTATACTCTGTTTCAGTGATTACTGAGGTTTGCATAGATTGAGGTAATACCTTGATTTACCAAATCTCGTGAAGCACGACTGTCATTTCGCTATGTTTCACACTTGCTGTCGCTTCACAGTCTACTTCAGTGATTCTCAATGTGTGCGTGGACAGAGGATCTGGCCTTTTTCCTGTGTCACAAGTGGGGCCATTATTCTGGGCATATTGCAAGGTCACCAGCGCCTCGCAGTTCTCTGCTAATTGTGTGCCGTGGAACCATGCTTCAGCAATCATCGGATGTGCCATAGACAAAGAGAATGTTGTAACTATGCCACATGCCATAATTGGGTCTGTCGTTTCAATATGTTTTACAGTGGATGTTATCTCACATTGTCGGTCAAATGGTATGTTTAGTGCTCATCACGAGGTGTTTCCTCTATTCATCCCATGAAACACAAATACGGGAATTCACCAGCTATAGCTTGTTTTGTAATTTGTAAATTAATCATCACAGTGCCCTGGAACGCTCTAGGCTAGGTCCGGAATGATCTATCCAGGTCCAGAACTGCTTTTGATTGAAATGCAACAGGTAAAACATTGAAACCCCCAATGTGTGAGGTATATACAACTTCATATCTTGTTGTCTTATCATGCGAGTGCAAGGCTCAAACATCATGACATTATGATAAGCTAATACTAGTCTATGACCGGCAAACATCTGAACTAGTCTGAATCAAACAGGGCATCATCTAGTTGCGCCCTCTGCTTCATGAGAGCATTTACAGACATCTGAGCCTTGGCTGTCTCACTGAGTTCTGCACGATGACTTGTTCTGAAAACTTTCCTAACAAATAAAAATCAGCTAACACCTTAGAAAAAAGGCTAACCCTATACCTCGTCCACCATGTAAGGAGTCAGTTGATATTGCGCTGCGCTGTTCAGCCAGGGGCCTTTTCAAAGAAATCCACAATATTACACCAGAACTGTACATAGTCGAAGTCACCGTCAACTGAGTGCCATGAGTTCACAGACAAAAGTGAGAATTGTAACTACAAGATTGAGATATTGTTAATGCTGGGAAACCAACGAAAATAGCAATAACTTACCTGACATGCTACATATGCAATGGAACAAGGTGAGACTTTCTGCATCTTGATGATTTGGGCCACATGTGTTTTTACTTTCTTGCCAGAAAAATCCTTCTTTGCGCGTCTGTTATTTTCAATGACGTTGGCCCCATCACCATCGCCGGATACCTCCTTTGCAGAAGAAGGAGATGTAAATATCGCTTTGAAGGCTTGTAAAACATGAGATCTCATTTCAGCTATAGAGGTAAGGAGGCATGACAAACCTGAACCAAAAGCTTGCTTTTGAACAGGCCTTCCTCCAGCTTGTTCAGATCAGCAGTGTATCCTTCGTAAAGGAAGGCTGGCCAGGACATTTCCGTTACTACACAGCCATCTGTGTGATCCCTAATTCCTGCTCTAATGCTGATGGATAGTTAGTACTGGGAAAGATCCAGTGCATGCAATACTTATGTTGGATTAGTCCAGTCCAGCTCAGTTAGACAGAGTAGTCTGCCAGATGCATCGTTGACAAATCCACAGGTATACTTATCCTCAGGGTCTATCAAGGGATTGGGCTTCAATTCGTGATTGACCCAATCAGCAATGAGAGTCTTGAGCTTCGACGTGTCATTTCCTCGAGCGCTGTTGGCCCCCTGCCTAAGCTGAACAACAATTCAATACAATGACTGTTACGGACTTGGATAGTATCTGTTGGCGACGCTCACACAGAGTGTGTGTCATCAATGGTCAAGGACATCTCTGGGCTAGCCCAAAGTTAGGAGTCTTGCTTGGCGAGGCTTCGGCAAGCAAGGTTTAACGCCTATGTCCAAATCGGGTAGCTTATGTCAAGCGGGGCTCGACGATAAGCGTATCTGCCAAGGCTTACAACATCCGAAGGTTAATCATAAGATCTGTGTTAATTAGAAGGACAGAAGTCCGACTAGTTAACAGGGGCTTTGCTCAACGACGAAGTCGATGAGTAAAGACCGAGACTATAGACTTATCTGCGATGAGCAGATAAGAAGGTAGAATATAGACAGCTGGCTAGGCTGCAGGAATCACTCTTGTTAAAATTAGGAGGTGAAGAACCAAGTAGATTCAAGTTAGGGGATTAGATACATGGTAGCAAGTTTATATAGAGGAGAGGACACATATTAGTGGGTGATAACTCGTACTACCGGAAAGGGAGTTGGTCAAAGGGTGATACTAGAAAAGGAAGGCACATTTGAGGTGAGTCACAGGCGAACTGGAACATGCAGATAAGGACTGAGTCAAAGAACAGAAACAGGAAGTGAAACAAGCAGGGGCACAACCGTGCAACTGCAGAGCTAAATATAAGCAGAACATGCAACTGTGCACTGAGTCATAGATCAAGAAAGGGAACAGGGTAAAGGGGATGTGGTGTGCATCGTATCATAGGTTACTGTCCAGGTGGTAAAGGCAAAGGGGACTATCTACAGGATTAGTCAGGAGGTGGAACGGAGCATGGGTATGCTTCATCAGAGAAAGGGTCCGGCCAGATGTACTGGCTCTGCTGGAGTGACAGGTAGAGGGTGAAGGGGAATGCGAGGATGACGAGGATAATGAGAGTAAGGTCGGGGTAAGGGTGTGATGCGAGGGCAGAGACGAGGAGGATGAGGAGAAAAATGGTAGGGGCCCAAGCATCTAGATGTTCTTGTAACAATGACATTGATTGAGAATGGTGAAGCGTACCTGTTTCAACATGCGAGCATAATCGTCAAACTCCATCTCTGAAGCCCTTGGGTGAAACCAAGGGAGGGCGATGTTAAGAGCCACATATCCATTTTGCAAATGATCCTGCCTTTGTCAAAAAATCCGTAAGTAACATTCACAAAACAGAAATGAAACAGACTCAGGAGTCACATCAGTTGTCGCATCTCCTGTCGTTCTCGCAGATCAAATCTTCGATGCTATCAAATAGTATCACTATCTGTCTGATAGCTCTTCCTTTCGACATATAGTAATTAGTTTCTCTGACAATGGTAAGCGCACCAGATTGGATGTAACGATGAGCGGTGGCACTATACCTTTGTTTCATTACCTGCTCCTGACTCAAGAACTTGCAACTTCTCCTCTAATTCAGCAATTTTACACTTCTGGCAAACAATCTCACACGTCGGCACTGCCAGGGATGATGCAGGAGGTCGCAGGTTTCCCTCCACCTGGGACGACACTGAAGGTAGTGGGTTTCCCTCTGCCTGGGATGACACTGGAGGTTGCGAGTTATCTTCCACCTGGGACATGAGTTTCGATGACGAGCCTAAGGAAGGGAAGAAAAAATCAAGGGGAAGCAGTGAGAGACGAGGGATAGTCGGATGACTTCAGGCTGCAGCTTTCGCTTTATTTAATGGCTGCCAGGTACCGGAAAACACAGCTGCCTAAAACATTGCATACACCAATAAAGGAAAGCATCAGAGTCAAGAAATAACTAAAAAAATGGTGACACTCACCTTATAGACTAGAACAACTTACAATATAGTATCAACATTAGCGATGGACATTGGACACTTAAAATAGCAATTACCTAAAAACATACGAGTAGTTCAATGATGGCATATCGGGCCACCGGGAAAACTCAACCGAGGATCTTGTGCACGACCTTGGTAGTCACGGTGTTAATAGCAATTAACCTAGCAAAGTGATGTGAAAGGTTAGAAAGAGGGCCGTTTGAGTAATTTAAACGACAAGCTCACCTAGCAAGGCGACAGGAAAGGTTAAAGAGAAGGAAGACCTCAGAAACCTAAGTTGCCTGCTAAGTAAGCCCTACTCCACTATAGGAGCAACCAGAGCCCAAAACATGGACCCTAACACGTGAATAAAACACACTGGTCACGGCTGCCAACGACCAGCGCAAGTCATGCCCACTCAACATGGAAGTATTTGAGACATACTCAAACTCAATTGTCATGTCGTTCATAACGACGCTGGGAATCACACGACCCATTAGCTTAGTATAAATAAAAATACACCCAAGTTAATAGCAATTAACATACAACCGGGGTTCCAAGCATTGATAGAACAAATTTACAATACAAAGTGTACATCAAGGTGAAAGAGCCTGACAGACCCCATCTAATAACTGCTCGAACATCCACTTGTCTGCTTCAGACAATAAGGACATGCGCTGTACGAAAAGTAGATATTGTGTGTCATCTGGGGCACCAGCCTCAATCCAGCCCGAGTCACCTTTGAATTTCAGCAACGCTGAATGATACACTGTCGATATAGCAGTGATGGTGTTTTGGAGACGTTTTTGCCAGCCGCTTTCGCCAAAGGAAATTGACCAGGAATATCCCATGGTCACCAACATGTATTCAATCAAGGCGACAACCACACCATGCCCAAATGGAACACAAAACCACTTGAATTGCCCACTCTTGTTGTCCAACAGCTGAAACAGAATCAATGAGAGTAATGTGGGCAGTAATCAACTAACCATAATCCATGCATCGAGAAATGTGTGATTAGTCAAGAGAGTTTCAGTGTGAGCGATATGCAATGTGGCATTCTGTTCCTTGCTGTGCATTGGGTTTAGAGATAGCTCATATGCGGGCAAGACGAAGATGTTAGTGGACTTCTCGAAGTCTGCCCAAATCGTTTTGGAGATGCACTTCAATTTGTTGATAAAGCTTGTGCCATCCTGAGACGTCTTCCACCTATCAAGGTTCCCTATCATATTTCCTTGGTGAGTCATGGAATAAAGTTGTAGTACAAACGAAATACCCCCGGGGTGTTTAACAGCAGCAGCAGCTAGTGCTTTGTTAGCCATATCAGAGACTTCAACTTCAGTTCAAAAAAAGCCATTCTGAAAGGTAAGCATGGACATATGGTTGTGAGAATATGCCTTCATTTCATCGAGTGTCGCCACTGCCACCATGATTGATTCCAACACCGGTTCCGTGTATAGTGGTATTTCGCGTGGAGCAGCATGTTTGAACAGAATAAATTTCAGGGGTTTCGAGGTGGGCTTCTTATATTTTACATTCGCGCACCTGGCATGACCTAATTTTTCAGTTATGGTGTCCTGGATGGCGGTGAAGTTCATGTCACTGGAGCCTGGCAATGGAGAGAACCGGTGTTTCTGAATGTCTACAGTGCGACGGCCGCTGCTGCCTGCTAATGGGCCGTCTGAGCCTGTATTCTGAACATTGAGCTCATGCGCCAATGTAAGTGATGATGACGGAATACGAGGTAGCAACTCGAAATTGAAGCTGTTGTTGCTCGTTGGTGCCTGTGAAAAGTTCTGAAAATGAAACTCCTGCAGCAGCCTGGGTGGCACCTCGAAGTTTGGGGTGCTGGTGCCTAAGAGCGCTTTCCACTGCAGTGAAGGGCCAGTATGCAAAGAGTGGATGTGATTCGACTCGAGAGACACCGGAAGGGGGACAACGTGGCTGCTGGAGGCGATGCATTGATCATTAGAGTTGGAGTATGAGTTTGGACCTGGGAATGATGGTAGTGACTGTATTTCGGAGATAATATGCCTGGTACCCATGGGTGCCTGCGACTGCGACAGCGTAGCAGACACAGCATGTTGAGAATTAAAGTGCTGTGAATTAGAGAACAGTGATGGAAGTGGTGTTTCTGAGGCAATTTGACTTGTGCCTGGCACAGGCGCCTGTGACTCAAGGAATAGGGATTGTTGAACATGGCTATTCAATGGATATCGGAACGATGATGGTGGGGGTGTTGCAAAGACAACAGCCTGCCTATTCATCATGGCGGGGGGCTGGCCCTGTGGCCAGTGCGACAGCCTGGGTGACATGTCAAAGTTGACATGGTCGCTGCTGCCTCCTCCAAATGTCATGGCATGGTCATCTAACGCTATATATTGAGAGATTTGAATGAGAACAACAGAAATATCACAATGAGATCTAAACTTACTGTCATGTGTGCTCACACTGCTTCTAACATCTACTGATATGCCAAGCTCTTGAGGCACGGAGTTAGATGGTTGGCCCAGCGGTGGGGGTGGCAATCGGTTTGCATACAATGATTGATACCAATCATCGAATACGGGCTCTATGGAGTTGGAGGTTGGCGGGGACCAGCTTGGCAAGTCAGACTCGGATGACTCAGATGGGTCTGCCATTGATACTAGTGCTTCGAGTCAGGCTGTTGACCTGACTCACATTAGACTGTTGCTCATTTGACCGGAGTAGGATAGAACTTTCACCTACTAGTAGTAGTAACTTTTGTAACCTGTGATGTTTCAAGTTGGAGGGCGAGCCACGCTAGCGATAGTGGAAATGTCGTAGAGTTGCGAGACTACGACTCAGAGTGGGAGGCCTAACAGGATTTCTATGTTAGCCCCAGGCTCAGATTGAACTTCAGTTTTGATGGGACCTCGCGCGTGTTGGCCAATAATGAAATGCTGGACACTATTACTAGATATTAGTTGTCATGGCTCCTTCAAGGCTCTGCATCAGTTTACTTCACACAACTTAACTTCTGTCGAACCCCTGTAGAAAGATTGCATTCTGATGGACGGGAAGCATTCACTTGCCTAAATTCCCATTTGACATAGCTCAAAAGGGCGGTCTTTGAGATTGATCGCCGCTACTTACCTTGAGGTAAGTGAGCTTGCGGTCATGGTGCGGTTGAGATGGCTCTCTACGAAGTCAATGCAATGTATGTATTGAATAACGATGATAAACCTTACCTACTAGTCTGGGCGCATTTGCAAAATTTACCGAGCGATCAACAATGTGACTTTTGCACAGCATTGATGCTTGGTATTTGCCCTTTTGAGAAATGTTCGAGAATGGGGACATGCCACATATCCTTAGTGGGGCTGGGAGATTTTGAGAGCGAGGGGCAGAATGCCGATAAATTGAATTTGAGCCTCAATGCATGTGGCTGGAATTAGTGGCAATTAGCAAGACCCCGGGTCTGTAAATATTTCATTTTCAAGGCCAATCTAGGGAAAAGGACTTTTGAGGCGTCCCTCAGAAAAGGCAAATTTCCAAATGCATACTGACCGTCATATTGAGGTAACTTTCCCACTACCATTCTTGAAGTTCCTGTGATGCTGTGTTCCAGTTCAATCCAGTTCTACCGAAATAGATGGTTCAACCCTGAATCAAAGTTTGCGAACAGTGTGGAGCATTGAGGTCCATTTTTGGGTGGGGTTGTATCGTGAACCAAACAGGAATTGTAGCTAGCCACACATTTGAAGATTGTGACTCGGAAGCAGAGAACTGTTCACAATACACGTAGGGTACAATAAGAGATAATGGCAGATTGTTGAGAGTGCAAGAGGCAACAAATACTAATTGTGACTGATAAAAAAAGCCTGAGTCCGAGGCTAGTGACTGCATACACCGGCGAGCATACTACTAGTATGAGTACGTGGCTGACCCTGAGTTCGGTAATGGAAATGACCGAAAAATATGGGTCCTCGAAGAGAGGGAACTTGAATATGAACCATGCTCGAGTCCGAGTCATTGTGCCCACGCCTGAATAGATGTGTGCTTAGGAATGAAATTCAATGATAAATGCAATGCATACCGTGACAGTGACTCTCTGAGATGGTCCAATAAGACAAATCATTCAAAGTTTTGGACTTCAAATTGAAACTTGGAGTTAAATAAATTTGATGCCCATTGAACGCAGTGCATCATGCTGAAGCCAGACTAGCAGTCACCTCCCCTGGCAGTCATCACGCTGGTAGCGAGTAGGCTGGAAGTCCTAAACCTGCAAACTACGTGATGTGACAAAACTTGAGCTTCTGCAGGCGCATATGCATGCTGAAGCCGAGAACACTGCCGATAAGCATGCCCAAGAGTCCACTCTTCACCTAGTAAATGTTAGGATAACATTAGTAGAAAATACGCATTCAGAATGGAAGATTCGTAAATTCACCATGGTTGCAGATGATGAGTAGTACAATGTTTTGAGATTGCCTGAGGGAGTGATGATGAAGTGAATGTGTGAAAGCAAAGTGTCACACGGTCACGCTAGGTCTGATTTGAATATGGCAGTACAAGTTGGCGGTGACCGTGCTGGTAGGACTTAAGTTTAACAGTACTATTTGTCCAACAGACAATGGTTGACAGTTTGAGGCAATATTAACAAGTGAGTAATGAGTCCGTGTCATTACTGTAGACTCAGTCGAATGACTCAGATACGAACACACCAGTACGTCACAAATGACACCGTGACAGGCTGCCATAAGTCTTTCAAGGTCACTTGTCTTAACTGATTAGTACTCTCAGTCATGATGCTTTGATGAATGATACCATACATCCATTCAGGTTTTTAGAATAAATAACTAGTACTGTAACATGAATTGCTGGTAACTAATGATAGTAGATGAGCCTACGACTACCTACCATGATGTAGACAGTGTAGAAACAAGCACACAAGCACAATAAAACTATTACAGGGAAAGCTAGAAGAGAAGTGTATGACTTGTGTGTAGCCCATACCCTACTGCAAATCCCAATCTGTCATAGAAAATCAGCACACACTTATGCTATCATGGGAAAGATAATAATTACTTACGCTATTGATCAAACTGGGGGGAATTCAGCAACATCCTACTACTACACGAAAATGTGGAACCATCGACACTCGAGCGTTCCTCTGAATCATCACCAAAATGAGCACAAGCAATGTCCTCGACGAGATCCAACTGGCTATCTCCGACAGTGAATGACATGGCATCAGGGCCATATGTGGCCTTGCAGTATTCTATGCAACTTTGGAGGTCCTCTGTGCTGTAATTAGAGAACTCTTGAATGGAGGTAATCAGAGGTTCTGAAACAGTGTTGGCATAAGTTTGACTGTCGTCCTCAAGAACCAAGTAAAGAAATTTTTGGTATTGTTCCATGGCGTGAATTTCCCACGCTGTTGTTAGAGCATGCAAGTGCCTCCATTCAACATCAGCTTCCTTCATGACCAGAGCTTTGTTACAATAACATTTAACCCTACTTATTTTTCTCTTTCTGTAACCATAGCGCCAATTCTAGACTCATCTAGACTTGGCTATTCTCTTATCAAGCGGGCCATCCGCATTCCCTTCTTCTTGATTGTAACCTAACTAGTGGATAGATATTTCGCAATACAATCAAGTACTACTAATATCCAATGACTTCCATCCTACTACTGAGTAGGGAAAAGTAAGTAATGCAATAGGTAGGAAGTACTAGATATTAAATAGTGACCATGTAGAAATTCGGACTGCTATAGGCGAGAGTAGTAGCGATATTTCGGGTCCGAAATCCTATGTAATAGGACATGTGGTACTGCGGACCATGAGAAAACATGTAATAACACTGTATACAATGCTTAGCAAGTCAAAAGGAGTAAATGCGCACCTAGTGGGGATAGATGGGACTGGACAGGACATAGGGAGGACTGGTCCGATGTGCGGGAATGTTGGGTCGGGATTGGACATGCGTTGGACTGTTGGAAAGTGCGTCGGGTCGGGATCGGACTGTCGGACTCAGGTCAGGGTAGTCGGAAGTGCATCGGACAAATACTGTTTGACATCAGTATCAAAATAGTTGGTTCCGAGCCCAGCGCTGCGACCATTGTTACACCGTTCAAGTGAACTTTTGCCCTGTATTGTGTTCATTAATAAGCAGCAACCCGTACATTGATCGACATACCTTCTGAACGTCCGCCAAAGTCATAGAATCATGCGGGCAAAGTTGACTTGCAGCATAGCGGCGGTCTAATGTGGTAGGACCATCCCTTTGGTAAAGCTTTTGCCATGTTGTTTCATGTTGCACGTAATGAGATAGACAGCGGATTATTGGGAGAGGAGTTATAGGAGCATTCATACTGTCATCGGATGAACTGTTACTGTGGGCACTAGTGTCAGATAATGACAATGACCTAGCACGGTGTTTGGTACGCATGCTTCATGAGACAGGATGACCTGTATTGCAAAAAGGAGTCGTCCCGTTGGTGAGGGTTAGAGGCCCTCTAGCAAAACTTGAAGGACCAGTGAAAGCTTGCATTCTGGTAGTAGTGATTGTAGACACACCGTGACTGAGTTCGAAATGCCGAGGTACTTTTATAACAATGTTGTATGCTAATTTGGGTTATCATTTTGAGAGACACTGAATCATCATTTGAAAATACCACTTTGAATTCGAGTCATCCTCGTATATGATACTGCCACAGCTAATCTACGTGAATACTTCCACGTGAGATTGAATGGTACATGGAGTCCTTGCCAAGTTCCATCAAGCTGCAAATTATAGGGACCTTGATTGATAAGGTGCGTTTTTCTACCCATTTTTGATATATAGCGAAAAAGGAATTGTTGGCGACGAAGTCAGACTCAGACACTCTGAGTCAATATCAATTAATGACTGTCGTATCAGGAATACTGAAGGAGTTCAGAGAATGCCCCACTGACCATTTCAGGTTACTCGAACCCCAACTCTGAGTTACCATCCACAGTCACTCGATATGCTCTCAGGTTGAGCCACACTGCGTAATTCATGCGGCTCTCACGAGTTTTGTTCTTGATCTTCCTGCTCTTTTTGATGGTATCTTGCGGATCCCCAGGCTGCTTTTGGGAGAGGGCAACCGGTGAGCCCCTTCAGTGACAAATTCCATATTATACGGGTCACCCGACCTACATAATATCCCGTATAAGATGGGCCAGCGGACTATGGGCTGATGTGATGTATATCCCCGATGTTGATGGATGGGCCGGGGGGAATATTATTTCCGATGGAGACAGGTGGGCCCATCTATGCCAATGTTATATATATGCTCGATGATGTCGGATGGGCCGGGATGAATATTTTTACCGATGGAGATGGGTGGGCCCATCCGGGGAATATGTACAGTAGGATGGACATGTATATTATAGACAGCTAGGCTGAAGGGAGATGAGAGGCAATCATTGTTATATAGATGTGTGGGCTGATGTAAAGGTACATTGTATAGATGGGTGGGCCGATGTAAAGGTACATTGCATAGCCAGGTGGGCTGACATACAGGAATAATTTTGTAGACGGGTGGGCCGAGAAAGCGGTGGAATATTTACTGTATAGATGGTGGAACGGTGACAGAAGTGCCCTGATGCACCTGTGATATGGTAGAGGTAATGTATCTCTATGTACTTCAATGGTTCAAGTCTGCTCTCGGCAACTCCCGAACTCCTAACAACTCCAAACACCCCTAATCTCTACAACCCCTAAGTCCTATAACCTCGCAGTTACAGTCCCCTCAAGCCCTACCCAACCAGATAGATCAAGCCCAAACCAAGCCCAAACCAAGCCCAAACCAAACCCAACCACCACAAATACCCCCCCAGGACTTGCGACACCCCGGGGTCGCACACTCGAAGCGTTGTTGATGAAACGCGCCATCAAAGTGTCTTCTAGTCTTCCTCATCCCGTTCTTCGTCGTCCTCGCCATCCATCCCGATATCTGCCACCTCTATGTCGCTCTCTGTTGATTCTCTCTCTCCATCCTGCTCTCGCTCTCTCTCCATCTCATCCAACATGGATCCTGTGCGCGGTATGAAAAGACATAGTCTTTGAGCAGTGAAACCATCCGGCTATGGGGTAGCCTTCAAGTGTAGATAGCTGATATGAGTTGGCCCTTCGTGTTACTACACATCGAGGTGCGGACCAACGAGGTAGGATCTTCTGCGCAGTGGCAAAGTTTCCTTCAATTTCGCTTGTGTAACTTTGTACTAGTTGACCTGCTTTGAATGTCACTTCTCCTGCGACCGATCCTAGTACTGCGACAATTGAATATGGCTTTGCGTCGGATGGCGTGTGCGATGTTGCTGGCTAACGCGTCTGTGCGCTGTTGCGCTACATACGCTGCATGAATCTGTACATGTGAATTAGTGATAGGTTCAAGCAAATGAGAGAAAGGTGTGCGCGGTGTATTGTGCATGGGCTATTCCTAGCCTGGGATTAAGTAAGGTGTCGCGCAGGGCCTGGCAGTCCATCTCAATCTCCACAGGTGTGCCCCAGATTGTGTCTGAGAACTGATCTAGTGCGAACTTTAGCGCAGCGAATTCTAGAATATATGGTTTGTACTTAGCTTCGGTTGGAGATGTGCACTTGGATGCATATGTGATTGGGTGCAGTGCTGTGACGACTTTACCTGATGGCAAGGTGGATGTGTGCTTCTGTGCTAGAATAGCACCATATCCGTCCTTGCAACCGTCTGTGGTCACTACAAAGGGAGTTCCGTCAAAGTGAGGGCCTTTGAGGACAGGCTCGGACGTTAGGATTTTCTTGAGCGCCATAAAGGCTTGGTGTGTCGTGGCCCCCAGTGTTGATATAGCTTCGTTAGTCGAAGATGTTGTCGGTACTTGCGATTGCCCACTTGAGGCCCTCCCGGTGGAATTCCCAGTTTCCATACTAAGTCTGTCAATGGGGCTGCAATTCTCGCGTAATCCTTGATGAGGGACCTGAAATAGCCAGTTAGCCCTAAGAACTGCATAAGATTGTGAACGGTATTGGGTATTTCCCACTAGACTACCGCTGCCAGCTTAGCCTTGTCTGGTTTGATGCCATCTGTTCCTACCCGAGCTCCTGCAAACACGACCTCGCTCATGAATAGTTGTGTCTTGGATGGTGATAGTGACAACCTCATTTTCCTGACTCGCTCGAAGAACTTACAGAGTCTCTTCAGTTTATCATCAAGTCGCTGCCTGCCATCCCCGAGTCGTCAACGTATAGCTCGTAGAGTAGCCCGATTTGATCCTTAAGACTGATGGCCGCCATGTCTCCAAACATTGTGGGTGCTCCTGTTAGTCCAAAAGGAATTCTGCAGTAACATTCATACCCTCTTCCTTCTGTGTAGAACGACAGATAGGGCTGTGTATCCTCGTCCACTGGTATCGCATAGAAGCCAGCCGTGAAGTTGATGATACTTACCCATCAATGGCCACATAATCTCTGCTGTTTCGCCCTGATGTCCCCTTGTGGCACTGGTGGAATCTGGGACACTTGATTGATCTCTGCAAAGTTTTGGCACACCCTCCATTTGGGCGGTGCGGTTGCTCTGGTCTTGCCTTCTTCCATTGGGGGTGGTCTTGGAGGTAAGTCGTCCCATACTGGTAGACCGTGTTGTCAACATTGATCGTTGACTTGGTGAAGTAGTTCCTCGAAAGACGGTCCTTCCGAGTCATGCACCTTCTGGGCCAACACCGTTGGGCTTGCGGCCTTAACGTCTTCTGGGGCTATCCTCCATATGATACCGGCCACTTCAAGCTTGTTGAGTCATTCATAGAGATATTCTCATTGTGGGGGCGTTAATAGATGTTGGTTGACCTTAGTGGAAAAGGTGGTGCCTTCTGGGAAGGTAAGTTTGAAGGTCTTGAAGGTCACCGGGTAGACTTCGCTAACTGCCAGAGCAAATGTGTCAGCGAATTCCTCACATAGAGCATGCACCTGTTGTCTCTGTTCTTCTGACAAATCCTCTCCTATCGTGATGGATCGCATCACTTCTGCTACCCGCTCCAGTTTGAATGGGTCCAAATGACGAGTGAACACATTGGTGGTTTGTGTTGACTTCGGAAAGTCAGGGATTTCACCCAGGACTTCGTTGGTGTCCACGTGTACCTGCCAGACATTATTTTCCTTGTCGTCTTGTGTGTTCGGTGTGGACTCTGGAGGGAACGAGACTGGTGAACATGGTGTGTCTGATAAGGGTGTGGTTGCCATGGATATTACTGGGCGTTTGTTGGCTACCACGATGTGCGCTCCTGCGTTTGATAAGGCCGTCGTGTATGCGTCCAGTTGATGTTGGGTTACCTGTGGGGTTAGTTCAAAGACATACTGTTTGTTAGCCCATGTGTTGTACATGTTAGTAATGATAACTGGGATAGGAGAAGAAGGAAGAGAAATCTGGTCTGTTGCGTAGTCGTGTACCGCGCTGAGTTGTTCCAACAGAGGATTGCCAATTAACATCTTCCATACACCTCCACTGTCAAAAACCTCGAATGATGTGGCGACCAGGCCTCGACTCGGCACTCGGTGAATCAATAAGTCAATGATAACAAAGGTAACATTGATTGAAAACATCGCATATACATCTATGACTATTTAATTATGTAGTCATGTCAACATCCTCACCAGAAGGTTCACCCTTCACTTGAACATCCATCTCTTCAACTGAATCATACTCTGGTAAAAGATTGCCCAGATCATCCAGTTTCACAATTTTGCCAGGCATCTGTGAAACCTCAGGATGAATTTGGTTGAGCTCAAATATGAGTCCGTCAATGACAGACTCATCCTGGAGGCTGGGGGGGTTGGGCTCCATCCCTTCCATAGACAGGTCAATGAGAGGAGGAAGTGCGGATGCAGGGGTTGACATGGCCGGAGGGATGGGTTGATGAAGCAAAAATGATGTTGCATCACCTTGGGCATCTGGAAGTGGAAATGTTGGGTGCTGGAGGATGATTTCACGTCGAAGGCCTTCATGAAGGTGTTGCAGGGTGTCAATCTTAGCATCCTGCTCAACAACACGCTCCTCGATAGTGGCAATTCAAGCTGCACCCTCCCAAATTGCCATTGCCATGGCATGCAAATCCGGCATTGGCACATTGAGTGCCGAACGAGGAACTCTGGAAGTCGAAGATGGGACTGCTACAGGTGGAACATTATGTCAGATGGACATAGAAAATTCGGGTGACTTACGAGCTGGTGCAGGTGTAGGTTCCTTGGCAGCAGTGACAGTCTTGCTGCGACCGCGTATTTGCACCTTTGGTGTTTGGGCACCAGATGGACTGGGAGTGACGGAAGAGACCCGAGATTGACTCTGCATCCGGCCAGTGGTTTGCGAGGTGGCCGGAGCTTTGGAGGGAGCTTTGGAAGGGGTCCTGGATCTGGTCCTCCTGGTGGTCCAGGTGACAGATTGACCTCGAACACATTTCAGTGGGGTTCCCATACTCACGGAGATGCACTTGATCTTCTTGGTGGTGCAGTAGACACAGGACATGCATGGGGCACCGGTCCTCTTGTCAAACCGAGTTGCGCAGGGCCATTCCATCTTGTGGCAAGCCTGGCAAGGGTTATTCTGTGCAAGACATCAGTTCATAGACACACCAAGTCTCAATGGTGTACTTACGGGTCCGGGAATGAGTATATCACCAGCGTCGATGACTGGGGGTGCCTCTACCGGAGGTTCGGGAGTTGCCTGAGGGGGCTCGATGACCTCTGGACATTTGCCGGCAATTGCCTGGCACATTGTAAGGACTCACCCGAGTGCCGGATGCAAATGTGCGACTTACCATAGCAGGCCCGAAGGGTTTCTTCTTTGGGCTCCGGGGTGACCGAGGTGATCCAGATGTCCTTGCAACATCTGGGGAGAGCCGGGGGAGGACGACCTCCGGAACCCCACATGAAATCGGCTACAAAATGAGTAAGACAATGAAACAATGAACCAGAGGACATACCTGAGTGACTGAGTCCTCCTCATCTTCTGACTCAACAAACACCTTGAATTTGGCAAGGCCGGTGGTCTTCGCCCGCTTCCAAGTCTTCATAGTGGACTTCGGGGGTTGGGAGGGAAGTGCCAGAATCATTGGAGACTTCCTCTTCCGACTCCCTTCCACTTCTGGTTCCGGGTCCGGGACAACTGCCTTACCTTTTCCCTTCTCCTGGGACTCGGAGGCAGGGTTGGTAGAAGGCCCGGTGATGACAGGTGAGGGTGGAAGATCCACAGGAATTGGACCTACTGAAGGACCGGACACGACCAGGAGATCAAAAGTGTGATCACCTAACTCCTCCCAGGCAAGAACCTTGCTGTGCCAGGGGTGCATCAACAAATGGGTATCGTTGTACCCAATGCTGTGCCAGTTGGGCCAGACCTGAGGAGTCATGCCCCAAACATGAATTAACTCCCTCGAGCACGAACACACGAGACCCGGAAGGTAGGGACCACTCCCATATTGCCAGACCGCATCGGCCTACCCGGATGATGAAAAAAATGAAGTGGACAAAATATGACAATGCTGCATACCACGAGTGTGCTGACCTGGGTTGTCAGAGAAAAGTGGCTGTGGCCCGGAGGAAGCTGCCGAGTGCCGGTGACGATGGCCATGATCTTGGCAGTGATTTCCTTGAGGCCGGTCAAAGAGGTGTCAACTGGAGTAGACATGGTATTTCAATTGAAAGTGTTGAAAGTGTTGAGATCAGGTAGAAATCAAGTTGTATTCAGGTTGAAATCAGTTATCACAAGGATGATGTTTCAGTAAAAACAAGATCAGTGATTAACAATGTAAAATTTCGTTGATTGTTTGTCCTTGTTTGGTCGTGGTTCAACTTTTGGCAATTGCCGGCGCCTTGTGTTCAACTTCGAAGTTATCAATAATCAGTTCATCACAGAACATGAACTCCCCTGCTACAGTTAGATTCAATGACCCTCTGGTCACTGAATATAACTCAATGGATGTGGATGAATCAACCGTGTCCCGGATGTCAACAGGTATGTTCAACATCCATCATACCTTATCAATTTACCAGACATCCTCAGATCAATTAAATCTTGGGCTGGCTGATGGCCCAGAATCATGTTCTGTGTCATCCAATGGTCTGGAGGTCTTTTCTCAAATTTCCGGTGAGTTTATCAATTGATATGATGACAATCTAATCATCCATGGTCACTCAAATCTCACAGATCATTCACCTCTGGCTCAATGTGATCAACCAGGCCTCCCGGTTTACCCGGTGTAGCGATGGTCGCGGCATTGGGCTCAAAACCACGTATTTCCATACTCATGTCAACACCCGAAACATATGCGCACATGTGTGACGCACTTTCGCACATGTCCGAGCCACTCCGTATCAGGATCCGGTGCATCGGACCTTCGGACATCGCATCGGCCTGATCGCACTTCACAGCGCACTTGTCCATCCCGTGTCTTGTCCATCTGAACTAGCCTCACTAGGTGCAGTAGTTATTTCCATGCATGTTTTCTGACATTTGGACCGTGTTATTACATGTCTGCAGCACCTCGTGTCTTATTACATAGGACATTGGACCCGAAATATATCGCTACTATCTTCACCTGTAGTTTTCCGAATTTCTACATACTTACTTAAATACTCTGTAGTGACCCGTAGCAATCATCATCCAGTAGTTGGGAGCTGTTTCCCGACTCTGCGGATCACCCAGAATATTCTCGTAGTTCTTAGTTGAATTGCGAAATATTACCATTCGTTCACCGTCATACTCCGTCACTCATTATACTCGCACATACCGCTCGCAATCCGACACTCGTTATAAAGTTTCCGACCTATTATCGTGAAGTCCGAAAGTCCGAAATCTCGGACATCACACTTTGGCTTCGGACATTGGATAAGTACCTTTGGACATCATCGGATTACCTTTGGACATCGTTTCGCACCATCGGACATTCTGTTATTTGCATTACTGACACATTTTTACTACTAATACCAATTAGCAATCCCTTTAGGATCGAACACACTTGCTTGCAAGTATAGCAGACTAGGTCGTGCTAAGATCTACCTAAATATTTGTTGTCTAGGTAGTACGATTTCTGCTGAGCCCAGCAGGAAATCAGCTTTCTACACTGGTGCACCAATAACCTACTTCCCATTGCATGACATGGATATGTACATAAGGGGAGACAGTGTGGTATAAGTACATCACTTCCTTCCCCTCGCTCTTGTCACCTGAGGAAGTACTGTCTAATGGCTTTGGCGTCGACTTACTCTGGGTGGTCCTCGCCGATGGCTCAATCACTGCTTTCTTTCCCCGCATCATTTTCAGAGCCGGCAATGTTTTCCTCCCTTCCATTGCAACATCATTGTCAACCTCACCAATGTTGCCATTGGTTAACCCTGCCAGGAGGTCTCCCATTCGCAATGTCAGCAGTGCACCACATTTCACCAGCTTGATGGGGCGAGGCTTCGGAATTGACGGTGGGATTGCCATCTCTGCATGTGATGATGAAGGACCTTCTCCGGTTCTGGTTCTCGTTTTCGGTGATCTACCATCAGCCGAGTCATTATCATCATCATCATCATCATCATCATCATCATCCGTATGATGAGTGTCATTCCCGAAATCACTGTTGGGTTCGGAGGATGAATCCCTAGGGCTTTGGATGATTACCCTTTGCGTGTTTTTGACTTTACCCGTCCGATGGGAAGGCGACCCGCCTGATACGACCGATGTGGAACAATAGAAGCTATGACACGAGTCTCAGTGTTGTAGATAAACCACTAAACATTAATAGTACCTATGATACAAGTCTAGAGACAAAGGGTCATAAGTAAGAGTCGGCAAGTGAAAAAACATGAACTGTACCTCAGCATTGTAGATAAACCACTGAGGTACAAACAATACGGCACATCAAGATTATGTAGTAAGGTATAGAGTCCAAGAAAACAAACAAGTGAAAGGAATACTACATAGTCGAAGTTGGAACACTCAACACACCCCCTCAACGAGACAATGGAACACCCCCTGAATGCAATACGAGTGTGAGGCCTGTGCGATGTGCGACGAACAACGGTTGTGGCAAGACTTTGGTGAATATATCCGCTGTGTTCTTATGAGTTGATAACCAGACAGGCAGGAAGGTGCCGTTTTCGACGTGCTGACGGATCAAGTGATAGCGCAAGTCGATGTGTTTAGTACGAATGTGGTTCGCTGTGTCTTTGGATAATGCAATGGCACCTGCGTTGTCGGCGAATAGGCGTAAAGGAAGTGGTATTGGGATTGCGAGACAGCCAAGGAATGATTGGAGCCAAAGTCCATCCTGGATCACCGCCGTCAGCACCATGTACTCCGTCTCCGTCGAGGAAAGTGCGTGTGTAGTTTGTTTCTTTGTGGAGTGAGACACCAGCCCCCCATTCAGGAACCACACATATCCTGAGATGGAGATCCTGTCCTCAGGACTCAACGCCCAATCAGAATCGTTAAATCTGTGCAGGTCAGGATTGACTGATGAACTGCCATAGTGGACGCGCATCTCAAAGGTGCCTGTGAGGTATCAAAGGACATGCTTCGCTGCTGAGTAGTGACAAGGTTCGGCGGAGACGTTGTGCTGAGCAAGCCGCATCACCGTCAAAGCTATGTCAGGTCAAGTATACATTGCGAGATAGAGGAGCTCGCCAATGAGCTTTTGATACTTGACCTGTAAGTCAGTGACATGCAGGTAAACGTCTGTAGGACGGCCGAATGGGAAGTTAGGATCCATTGGCAAGGAGACCAGGTTGCAGGTCGTCATTCCATGCTCCTCCAACAGGTACATGATGTAGTCTTCCTGGTGTAGCCATAGTTGGCGTGTCTGCCGGTTTCTAACGAACTGAATTCCCAGATACTTGGTCACAGGACCAAGATCTGATATCCCAAACTGTGTTGCAATCGCCTCATTTGTGCGGTCAAGGAAGGGATGATTATTCGAGCTGGTGAGTCCGTCATCCACGTGCCAGGCTATGACGCAGATCACATGCACCCCTTCACCATTGATATGGTCGAATATAAAGACCATGTAATCCGCCTCACATCAGAGAAAGCCAAGAGATGTCAAGACTGCACGGAGTAACTTGTACCAGTCGTAAGCGGCTTGTTTGAGTCCATAGAGCGAGGAGAGTAAGTGACAAACGAGGCGCGTGTGGCCATTGCTGAGACGCTCGAATCCAGGAGGTTGTCACATGTACACATCTTCTTGCAACTTACCCCACAAAAACGCGCGTTTTGCATCAAAACAATCAAGCTCCCAGTCGTGCATTGCACAGTAAGCGGTAAGAATGCGGATGGAAGCCGACTTGGCTACTGGGGCGAAAGTTTTCCCAAAATCAACTCCTGGGATCTGTGAGAATCCTTGAGCCACAAGACGTGCTTTAAACACAGGCCCGCCCTTCAAGTCACTCTTGAACTCTGGGACCCAGCGACAACGAATCACACGACGGCCAGCCAGGAGCTCGACGAGTTCGTACACGCACATCTCGGACATGAGATTCATCTCCTTTCGCATGGCTGAGAGCCAGTGATCGGAGTCTGGCCTGCGCATTGCTTCATCAAATGTGGCAGGGGGAATCTTCAGGTCATAGTCATGCGCCAGTGGGTTCCGGCGGGAATCGCTGCGAACGGAAAGGCAAGCAACCCCCATTACAATCAATCCTGCAATTACCTGAGGAAATCCGACCTCCTCGTCGTCGGGAGCGATCACATCAGGATCTACAGGGTCAGCGGAGGGTGGAGGTGGCATTGGTGTCGGAGTGGGAACAATTGGTACAGATGATGAAGGAGTGTCAGTGGAAGGAGGGGGAATCTCGTTGATGCAAGCAAGTTGAACCTCACGCTGACAAGCAAGATGCTCCTTGTCAGCAGCTAAGAGGCCCTTGAAAACCTGTCCTTTCACCGTAGGTACTGGAATGCGACTCGATCTCCGGATGACGTGATTGGGCGCTGATGAATGTTGCAGAGGGGGGATGATTGCAGGAGGTGCTGGTGCTGGTGCGAGAGCAGGTGCGGGAGTATGTCTCGTGGATGAGGAGGGTCCCTCGTCATCCTCATTGTCGCTGTCTGGGAATGGACAATTAGACAGACCTTCATCAAAAATGATGTCCCTGGAGTTGAAGAAAACTCCAGACACTGCATCTCGGCACTGCCAGGCCTTGACGCCAGGAGGATATCCCATGAAGACTGCTTCTCGAGAGTGAGGACTGAGTTTCTCTTGCAGCTCTGGAGGAATGCATGCAAAGCAGCGCACACCAAAAACCCGCAAATGAGCCAGATTTGGCTGTACACTGTGCAGCATCTCATAGGGTGTTTTACCTGAGGGTAGGGCACGAGACTCAGTGCGGTTGAACAGGTAACACACTGTGAGAGCGGCTTCTCCCCAGAGTCCTCGAGGCAAACGAGCAAAGTCCAGCATCGCATACATACGACCTTCAATCATACGCATCACCCTCTCTGCCTTCCCATTTTGCTGATGAGCATAGGGGGCAGAGCATTGATGTTGGACCCCTGTTTCCTCGAGGTTGAGAGTGAATGTGGAGTTCATGAATTCCCCACCATTGTCTGAACGGAAAACTTTCACCTTGAGTCCAGACATGGTTTCCCACCACGCCCGTAGGGTTTGCCATGCTTCCAGAGCCTGATCCTTTGAGGCGAGTAACTGTAAGTTGAGAGCATGTGTGTGATCATCTAAAAAGATGATGAAGTAGCGTTTTCCATGAGGAGTGATGGTGGGAATGGGTCCACAAACATCGCTGTGAATGAGGTCCAGAAATGCCGGCGCACGCACAGTCTCAGAAGGATTGAAAGGTTGGCGAGGATGCTTGGCGAGAATGCATGACTCACAATGACAGAGAGGTGCAGAGGATTGGATAGTCACTCCCTTTGCTACTCGTGAGAGACGCATGACTGCGTCCTTACCAATGTGTCCAATGCGCGCATGCCAGAGGTCCAGTGAGAGTGGAACATCCGTAAATGCCGCGAACTTTGGTGTAAGTGCACTGATGGGCGCTGATGGCGTGAAGGGAATGAAGTCAAAGTCTACTGCATACAGTTTACCTGTGGCGGTGTCTTAATAACCGAGGGTCTTATATAAAGTCGTGTAAATGTAATGACACCACAACTACACTTTGAAGAAGACTGCTTGCCAGTCCTCGATTAACACGGTCTACGACTTTTCCTATTTCGTGGTAGATAATGTGTGAGTTCTTGGGAGGCTCGCTAAACTAATCTTTTTATAAAGATCAACCTAGCCGGAGCTTTACTTTTCTTTATTGAAACTCAAATCTCTTGTCTAGGAATAAGCTTCTAGACACGTAATTTGGTTTCTGGAATGTATTTGCCTAGGAAATCTCCTTCTAGGCTCTGGACTTGGATACTGGAACTAGTGAGACGTGGTCTCAAATATACAAAATCTGACCAAGATCGCTTGGTCTATGGACACCTGACTGTGAGACAAATGATCTCAAATATACAATATATGTTCAAGATCGCTTGAACAAAGGGGACTATAACTTGACCAAGATCGCTTGGTCTATGGGACAACTAGTGAGATGTGGTCTCAACAATATGATAGATGACTAAGATTCGCTTAGTCAAAGGGCACAGAGCAATGAGACAAAGGGGTCTCAAAGACAATATATGTGACCAAGAACGCTTGGTCTATAGCACTAAATAAGTTTCTAAGGTAAGAAACTTATAATCTCAAGGGAATTCTTTTCCCTGCACTTGTCTCACTTCAAAGGGACTAACTTTGCAAGTGAAATATCTGATAGGCAGATTGCTACAAATGGGAGATCATATTTTTTTTGGGGGAGAATGGGCTCTCCTTATATACATTTTGTGTGGGAAAGTAACCTAGGTTCACAAACAATAAAAAATAAGGAGGACCAATCAAAATATTGGGTCAAACCCAATAAAAGAATAAAATACTTGTGAAAGATGGAGCTATGACATCATTGTGGAGCAGAACATTCTGGAATGTGGAGTAATGACATCATAATGACATCAAGAGTGACATCATTGTGGAGCAAAAGATTCCAGAACCTTCCATGAGTGAGTCAGAGTGAGTCATTGTGGAGCAGAATATTCTAGAAGGAAATGATATCATGGATGATGTCATTGTAGAGTAGAATAATCTAGAGCTTGATGACATAATATCTTTCAACAGAATACCTGCAGGAGTATCTGTGGAGTCTTATGACATCATAATGACATCATACCCTATGGGTACAATTTTATGAAGTGTCAGGTGAGTCAAAGCATCCTAATGAAAAAGTAAAGTAAAGAAACACTAGAGAAAAGTAGGTAGCAAAAATAAGACAGTTGGCAGGAATTGAAACACGGTCTTTTTGGATAGGTTTTTTATTGGCTTTGTACTTTTCTCTATGGTTTTCTCTAGCCAAAGTGAATAAGCCAAAGGCAAGGCTATACCTTAACCTTCATTTTCCTTCTCACATCAACTAGGTCTAAATGTGATTCCCATCTCACATTAGACTTTTTCCGTCAAAACGTATTCAGATCATGAAACTTGGGGAAAACTGGAAATATGGACCATGGTTTGAAACCAAGGTATGGGTTGACTAGTCTGAGGACTAAGCTAACAGACTTTATCTTTTGAGGGTCACCTAGTATTCATGTCCATGCATGATTCCCACATCATGCAGGACAGCGGGAATGAAACCGAGTGAGGTACCTTTGTATGCAAGTTCACACGTCATGTTGGTACGAAAGTTCACGTCCCAGCCCTTGGCATTCATGCATGAGACAGAAAGTAGGTTGAGTAATGCGCCCGGTGCATGAAGTCAGTTGGAGAGCCAAATACGGATGCAACACTGACCTATGGTGAACCAGACAATGCAACACTGACCTATGGTGAACCAGACAATGCAAGTTCCACGTCCCATCGTTTGTAAGACGCCATGGTTGGCTGTGAGGACATCAATGGGATCTTCTGTAGTGTATGTGTGGAAGAATCAACGGTCCTTGACCAAGTTAATGGTGGTGCCAGAATCGAGTATGGTGGCGAAAGGAAGTTTGGTGGCACATGCAATTTCATCTGGAATCTTGGTGATGGATGCGAAAGACAGGTCCTGCATTAAACTGATGATGTCTGTGGCTGCTGCGGCGATAATGGGAGCTGAAGGAGTTGGGGCAGGTGCGGCTGCCGGAGTTGCCATTGCGGCTACTGCTGCAACATTAGGCTTCTTATTTCGCATCCATGGCGCCTGTCCCTCCATTCCACCACCCTTTCCGTAGCAATGGGCATGGTCATGATCACCTTTATTGCACCCGGGAGTGGTGCAGAAGATCCCCTGAGGGTTATACTTGTGCATGCATAAACCAGTTATTGAGTTCACCCCAGATGTAGCTGGTGCGGTGGCTGCATTTGTGTACTCAGATCCTGGACAGGAGGTGTGAGCATGACGAGTGACGACATGGCGTGCGGCCTCAGACATGATACGAGAGACACAACTGTCGAAGGTAAAGGTCGGTACAGCTGGTGGGGTGATAGCCGTAGATTCATCATGCATTTGCTGTTCGAGTAGAGATTTGAATTGTTGCCATATGGGAGTTTGAGGGAGCCCCATCAGCATGTGATAAATAGTGTCAGTTTCACCCCAGGGTGCGCCCGCATCAAGCAGTCTTTCGCGGAAGACAGCGTGCTGTGCGACATAGTTGGTCGCATCCGCAGAATCTTTTATGCGCAACACTTGAACTTGCTGTCTGAGTAGATACTGGGCGCTCATGTCAGTACGATTGAAATGCTCTTGCAATATTTGCCACACCTTGCGTGCAGTGACTGTGTGTGTGCACAGGATGAGTGATGCAACAGATGAGCTGAGGCGTCGAGTTATGAGTTCCTTAGCCTTCATGTCTTCCAGCAGCCATTCACGCATTCCCGCTGTTTCGGCAGCCGTGGGGTTTGCTGGATCAACAGGTACAGGCATGTGAGATTGTTGACCGAGAAGATCTCCTGGTTCGGCTTTCGTGTTGATGTGACACCAGTGATCCTCGCACGCGAGTGCATACTGCATCTTGGTTGCCCATCCGACATAGTTTTCCGTTCCAAGCAGCTTGGGAATATGGTCGTGTTTCCCCATGACAATACCGCCGTGAGGAGTGATGAGATAAGTGAGCGGCGGGCAACAATTGAGACAATTATGTTCAAAACTTCTGTGTCTGGCTTTAGTTTAAGCCAGGGCTCATAACCTGTGGGACAATAGAAGCTATGACACAAGTCTCAGTGTTGTAGATAAACCACTAAACATTAATAGTACCTATGACACGAGTCTAGAGACAAAGGGTCATAAGTAAGTGTCGGCAAGTGAAGAAACATGAACTGTACCTCAGCATTGTAGATAAACCACTGAGGTACAAACAATATGGCACATCAAGATTATGTAGTAAGGTATAGAGTCCGAGAAAACAAACAAGTGAAAGGAATACTACATAGTCAAAGTTGGAATGCTCAACAACCGATGCTACCATGTCGCCATCTTTGTTCTTCCACGCTTTGAACGTGAATGTTGATCCTTCACCTTTCTCCTGCCAAGCATACCAGAAATTGAGGAGGGCTGTCGTGTCCAAATTTTGCAACTTGGAAGGCTCCTTCAAGTCAACATCCGCCGGAAGATATCTTCGTGACACAAAGTCATCCTGGCATTGAAGTATGGCACTCCATGGCACTACTGCCTTGTCGATCCCCGAACAAGTCCCTATGTCGATGCATTCAATAATGTCCTGGATGTAGCAAGGATTGACTCACAATAGTGCGATGTGAGAAAAGCCCTGACTATGGCCTTCTTCTCCTCAAGTTTTGTTTTGGTGATGTCCGGAAGCAACGGCATCCCATCCTCGTCAGTGTCGAGCTCGAAGGCTGGTTTTTGGATTCTCTTGTGACCTCCCTTCATCTGTCGGCCACCTTCCCGTGCTCCGGCACCTATCACAGAGACTATCAACACACACCCCTCCCAGTATCAACAGTTTAAACACTCACCAAACTGTTCCTGCGCATACTCCTGCCACACTGGCTCGATGTCCTCCCAGTCCTTTGTATTTATGAAGCTGTCCCCATCTCCTAATGCCTCATTATCATCATGCCTGCGTGAAATATATTGGGTTGAAAGATCTGCGATGACAGGTAAAATTCACTCACATCCCAAACAGCACCTCGCCCTGTTCATTCTTCCAAGCTGACAACACAAACACTCTCATCCTGCATTGCCTCCACATCTCCTTCAAAAAGTGCTCCATATATGCAGGTCCCTTCTTATGGGCGACCTGTGCTTATATCTCGGGAGGAGGACAGTTGTTGGACCATTCTTTGGTGGTTTCTTTTGCCTTCTCCAACTTGTCGTCAGACAATTCAGCCATGACTCTCTTCACAGCCGCCTGATAATGCTTGAACATACCAGGATCTCCTGGCTTTGCCCCGGACTCATCCTCGATCCTCTTCAGCACCTCTTCCTGATTCTCCTGGTAGATCACCATCCTAGGCATCCATTTCCTCCCATACTTTATCATGTCCTTCCTTTCCTTCTTTTTCTTGTTGTTGAACAACCAAGTCTTGTACATCTGAGCATTGAAGGAAGTGTAAGACATTAAAAATTTTGTTTCTCATCGCAACAAGGATGTATCACCTGCTTCCTCTTTTTCCATTGTCCTTGGTCCACCTTTGGCACAAACAACCTGGCAGCCCTGGCAATTGCAGTGAAAACTGCCCGCTTCTTGCTCCTTTTTGTAGAAGTCCACTCAGGAAGGTAGTTCTTCAGCTCAGAAATTTCGGTTTCTGTGAGCTTCTGTGTCTGGGGTTGATGTGCCCTATGTCTTCCAGGAGACAAGCGAGTGGAATGACCTGATTTTGCCATGGTGACTCTGATTGGTGAATGTGCTGAGGGTAAGCAAGGCGTAACTAATATTGGTTCGAAGTTCAACTTTGACCAAAGCCTAACAGTTGGTTAATCAACCCATATCGGACATGATGCCATTAATGGAAATAAATTTGTAATGAACAACCAATACTGCACAAACATAGCATTGGAATAACAATTTGTGCGACCTTCCTGAGCTAATGCTGTTCTTGCAACATTCAAAAATGAGATGAAGATAGGTCTATGCACCCCGCTGCAAAAATCCCACAGGGTAGAAGCAAGGGGCAGAAAAGGTAGGAAAACTTGGGTCAAGGTCCCGCTTGCAAGCGCAAAACAACATGCCTACAGGTCCATGTCTAACTCTCCCCCGGAATCACCAACACTTCAGCCTGTTCCGGCACCACCTACTTGGGAAGACTGTCCTGATAATACTTATGAGCAAGACCAAGGCTCATTTGAGCCTTTGCAGCTTCCAAAAACAATGGCAAGTGAATGTAAACTGTTGGAGTGTCATTCAAACCTTGCTAAGTATAACAAATGCAGAGCTAGAATGACTACCTGAGGCAATGGCTCCCAAGGCAGGAATCATATCTGCATCACCTCCTGGATTGAGAAGCTTCTCCAGAAGATAGGAGATGCATCGTCTGCAACCAGGATGGGGTCTACAAATGTCAAGATTGTCTTGGGGAGCCACTCTATTGCACGGGATGTTGCAGGAGTCAACATTGTCGCAATCCTTTCCACTGGATCAGTCAATGGAATGGTCAGTTCTTCGAGCAAAGTTGTCTCGCTCATATTGGACTCATCATACACCTCAGTCATGATGGCAAAGAATGTCCTGCACTCACAAATAGGTGGGATTTGTTCAAAGGAGATGAACCCAAGGACCAGCTTGAGCCTGAAGATCTACCATCTGTGTCGGGACCAGAGTTCCAGCCTAAGGAAAACACCATGGTCATCATTGACAAGTCCAGAGTTCATCGCCTCGAGGTTCGATGCTGTGATTGTCCAAACGCCATGAGTCCGGACATTCAAATGTTTTGATGTGGATTTTTCCCTGCATCATTCAACAAACCGAAGACTGTGTTCACCTTCAGAGTGCTTGACAATTTTCTATTGGACAACCTAGAATGTGGCACCTCCGCAATGAACTATTACAGCAAGCTCCGGCGAATGACCTCCAGCATGTTTCCTCACCTTGTTCCAGTAATTATATATCTTCTTCATCTAAAGGACATTATATTGACAAGGCACTTGGCAAGGACCGATACAGAGAGCTCATGAGAGTCACTCGACAGTGGAGGCAGTTGAAGACCATGAAATGGCATGGCTTCAGTCATCGTTCCAACGCCCCGAATGCTGGAGATCTCAGATTGTTTTGCCCAACATGTCCTCAGCCTGGGATCAACATATCCTTGTCAGGGAATGAAACACTTGATGAGTGAGTCTAGTTTCATACTTAAGTGACCTAAGTGATGATAAGAACTCCAAGCTGGAAATATACCCAGTCATTTGTGATGGACAGTAATTTCAAAGCTGAACACTTGCATCCCATCAAGCCATTTGATAAAGTATGGCTTGCAGATGGGCTGGGGTTCATTGTGGGAAAGGACAGGTATAAAGCGCATCTTGCGGAGGCTGCTGACACTTTGGAAAAATCTAGCTGCAACAATCACTGGGCGGTAAATCAAGCAAATGTGACTCAGCACAAGCTGGAGTCGATGGGTATCGGGGGAGTTGCTTGTGCCCGCCATGGCTGCTTTGTGCCTCATGCGATGGTCAATTTCCAGAAAGGCGAAAGGCAAGCCGAACATGAAGTTCTACATTCAAAAGTTGATCATGCATTGTTTGCAGACAAATGAACATGGATTACGCCCTTTGTGAGGGTGCCCAGCACAACATGGAAGGCATTACCAGGGCTGTCACCTTTTATGACATCAACTGTCAATACAACAAGCACCTTCGGGTTCAGGTGGATTGAAGCCAATTTCTTGAAATGGTACCGGAATTGACCATCATTCCTGGCATCGGTTTGTGGCACGTGCATGGACATCAAGACAGCTGCTATGTCCGATATGCGTCAAATTTCATTGAAGGCATTGGCCGGATAGATGGAGAGATCATGGAGACTCTCTGGGCACGTCTGAACCTAATTTCCCCCGCTGCTCGGGGAATGTCGTCCCCTCATCGACAGGAATGTTTCGATTTTTAGATGAACAATTCCAACTTCTGCAAGATGATCCACATGAAAAGGACCCTTTGCCATGAATACAAGCAGGCCAAGGCCGGCCTTTTGTTACTGCGCACCACAACTGAATCCTCCCTCGCGCTGAATGTGTTGGTGCTTGAGTGTCATCAAGGGTCCGGATATCGCGTCCCGATCACCGAGTCCTGATTATTGACGTCCAGATATCAATTTCTGAGTTGGCTTTGATGAACGTCAATAGGATCTGAGTCCAAATACAATGATAGCCTTCGCCTCAGTACCATTTTCAAATTTGTACAGCAGCATTCATACTTACATTTCTTTGCTTCTCTGTTCCCTTTTGACTTGTAGGTTCCTTTTGCAACAGACCGTTCTTCTTAGCATTGCCTAATGTAAGGTCGATGATATCGTCTGCGCTACTCCAACACAGGGCCGGCCTTTTGTAACTGTACGCCACAACTGAAACCCCACTCCCTCGCGCTGAATGTGTTGGTGCTCGAGTGTCATCAAGAGACACAGAAGGCTCTGGACGGTTATTGCATGCATCTGCTATGGATTTCAGACCTCGAGTGTCATCAAGAGATACAGAAGGCTCTGGACAGTTATTGTATGCATCTGCTATGGATTTCGGACCTCGAGTGTCATCAAGAGAGAGAGTTCGTACTTGGTAGTCGAAAGCAGGTACTGATGCGGGTAATTACACTTTCTACTTGTTTCATCTTCCACATGGTGGTAGGGTTTGTCAATCCACCCTAGCCCATCCGCATGAGGGAACCCCGGCATAAATATGAACTGAGTCCCTCATATACCATGCCCACCCAACCCTATCCCCCTCCACCTCATGAACCCCATGTCTGACAATCCTTCTGGAAAATCCAATCATACACCCAGGATCGTACCCGAATTTCAGCTGAAGGCTTGGCATGCTCATCCAAGCATTAGAATAATTCCCCACAGTGGTGAGAATATCAAAGCATTCAGGAATTGATAAATGGTCTCGATGATACAGGGTTTGATGATTGGAAATGATGGATAGCATGTTAAACACGGATGCCCAGTACTGGAGGATCTCGGACATTCTTGGCAGTTCCTTGCTTTCTGCCTTTTCTCCGAGGCTTGAAAATGTTTGTAACCCTGCCCAGTACTGCTCTGGATGCATGATCCTGAGTGCCGCTGATGTGATGGCTGCCGACCTTGCAATGGTGTTTAGGATTCCCTTCGACAATGGTCCCTTTAATGATGCAGATACCTCCAGGTCCGCTAGATTCTATGGGATTGGTGTGCTCAACTACCGAAATCATCATCCTATCAAATCCTACCTCGTGCCCCTGTTGAAACCATGCCGGAGATAAATTGATGCACCCGGCAGGTAGGCCAACATCTTCCGAGCGGTGTTTGAACCACTCCGGATTGGTTCGCCAATTCCTATCGACCTTCATACTTCTTTCCAGACTCGGAGACAGCAACTCAGTGGCTGCCCAAATTTCCTTCTGTGGTTACCATTGGGTATTTAATATATATTGAGTAACAATCTATATCACACACCTGTGTTTCTGCTGTCAGGGCGTCTGGGAGGTACCATGCAATGATGGTGCCGGACACATCTATAATGGTGGCAGGTATGTCCACAAACCTTGTCCCCTCATGGCCGGGAGGACATCTCTTAAGCAACTTCTCCTCTTTCTCCTCATTGTGCCCAGTGTTCTTCGGGGAGATCAATTTGCTATATCTTGCAATGTCAATGTTCATCTGAACTGTGATGAAGGAATTTGAATGATCAAATGAATTTTCCGAATCTGCAGGAAGACCCACTCGGATTTTTATATGCCTTTATGAGGCGATCTACCAATCGATCACAGGCCATCACTAGATCAGTGTCTAGGTTAGGAGAAGGTATCACCAGGGTCTCCTCCTGTCTTCTCTGCATTGAATTTCTGTGCAGTATATTCACATGCCTCATGAGTGACTGTCAGGGCCCAAGTGCGCCAGAGGCTTATTTCAATTGCAGAAGTGGAAGAACCATTCATGATGAAGTCGATCTTGGGAAATCAGAAGCTGAATGCTGGACGCCCAGAGGTTGGTGTTAAGGGGGTGGAGATAGTCAGGATCAGATAAGGGAGCTGAAATACCAGATCATTGGAAGTGTGCTGGATATCAGATATTTGTTTGTCGACTCCCGGGGTTCGGATCTCGGCACGCTTCACTCAAATTTTGGTAGTCAGAACTTGGCATTTGGTGTTCGGTAGGTGGTGAACATGAGGTTCTGATAAGAGAACCTTCCATGATGTTGGCTGTCGAAGATATATTACCACCCATTGCTCAGTGAAATACCCAATCATTGGAAGTGTGCTGGATATCAGATATTTGTTTATTGACACCCGGGTCTTGGAACTCGGTATGCTTCACTCGAATTTCAGTAGTCAGAACCTTGCTTCTCATACAGCAATACAACAGTAATGAACATGCAGCTGCAGGAACTCATTACGCTTCACCCGAATTAGCTACTCAGCAATTGGTACTGCATTGTTTTACAATTATCATTCACCTGTGCCCACCTGTCTATATTATATACTGCCCTCGGCCCACCCGTGTATGTGATAACACGTACCCTCGGCCGGCCCACCCGTCTATCTGATACCCACGTTCCTTGACACTCGGCCCACCCATCTAAGATAATATATATCTGGGCCCACCCGTGTATGTGACACAATGTACCCTCGGCCGGCCCACCCATCTAATATAGTATATATCTGGGCCCACTCGTGTATGTGATGACAAGTACCCTCAGCATACCCGTCTCTCTGATACCCACCTACCTTGGTACACCCATCTACATAATATCCAACTACCTCGGCCCATCCTGTCTATAGAATATTCATGTCCATCGGCCCACTCATCTACTCTACATATTCCACACATGGGCCCACCCGCCTCCATCGGAAATAATATCCCTCCCTGGCCCATCTGTCAACATCGAGGATATACATCACATCGGCCCATCATCCACTGGCCTGTCTTATACGGGATATTATGTAGGTCGGGTGACCCATATAATACAGAAATATGTCACTGTAATATGTGAACCAGTGACAATCAAGGACTTAGTAGGCATCATGCAAGTTGCACATTTTTCAAAAAGTCAGGTATTGCTGCAAGTCAGAAGAGACTACAGCGAGCCAGAAATGCGACTCTGGAAAGTTTAAATCCAAACCAGTCAAGGAACCTATGACGAGTGAGTCACTGATTTGGGCTCAGTCTGGGACTCAGCCATTACCATATCAACCGAATTCTGAACATTCTCAACTCAGAGAATCTTACCAGTGAGCACTGTGCATGTAAGGGCTTGTCACATTGCCCCGTGCAAACCAATAGCAAGGCCTAGGTCTAGTGCATCATTCGACACCCGCAGTCTTGCAGCCTCAGAGCCACAGCACCCTTTCGGTCCAGATGACTTAGACTTGGGAAAGGGTCAAAACAATGTTGATGTTGGAATGGATTTGGATCTGGGCCAAAATGGATTCGACCATGATGCCATTCATCACCTCACTGTTTCAGAGGAAGCTGAGCTTCATATTAGTGGGAGGCATATTCCGAGGCCTCTAAGTGATATAGTGCATTCAGCTGAAGATCTCAATATTTGTGATAATGTCAATGACTTGTCATTCCCGGCTCCTCAATCTAGAATTTGACGTGTCCTTCTAACACTAAGAGACAATCTTTGGAATCTGCCGGTTATACCCTCATCGTCCTTCATATGAGCCCAATCAATTCATTCCCTCCTCCTTACTGGCAAAATCATGTCCAATCATCATTCAAGAACCTGAAACCCCTGCGATCGGAGTCCTTCCGCCACCCTATCCTTTTCCCAACATAACCATATATTGCCTTATGAGCTGGATGCATTCAGGTAGTCACCGGAAGTCGGAAAATGAGGTCCAGCATCTTGTAAAAGATGTTCTACAAGCCGGGGATTTCGACGTTCAGCATCTCAAAGCATTCTCAGTGAGGAAGAACTTGCGAGAATTGAATAGGGACCATAGCGGGGAGAAAGTCACATTTCCTGACCATTGGATCAAGTCTGATGTCACCATTAACATCCCGACAAAGTCAAGAGAAGAAGGACCCATGGCATACACCATTGCCGGATTTCATTATCGGCCACTTTTGGAAGTAATCCACGCAGCATTTGCAGATGTGCAAGCAGGTGCATTCCATCTTTCGCCTTTCAAGTGGTTATGGAAGGATCCTTTGGATGACAATCAGGAACGAATCTATGATGAACTCTACTCATCTGATGCCTGGCTGGAAGCTCAGGACGATGTCCAGAAGCTACCCAAGGATCCCGGATGTTCATTGGAACGTGTCATAGCGGTCTCATGTTCTTTTCCAATGCTACTCACCTGGCAAACTTTGGCACCACAAAAGCTTGGCCGCTTTACCTATATTCTGGAAATCTGACAAAGTACGCCCAATCTTTGCCTCAATCCAGGGTGTGTCACCTAGTAGGTTTCTTTCCTTTGGTGAGTCCTCATGATTATTGGACAAACACAATTGATGTCAGCTCTCTCAGATTCCAGATAGCATGAAAAATGTTCTGAATAGCCTACCTGGTGTATTGAAGACTGGTATGACGTTGCTTTATACACACTGCTGTAGGGAGTTATTTCAGGTGTGCTGGGATATTTTGCTTGATGAAGATTTTCTTCATGCATACCGCCATGGTATTGTTCTCAAATGCATGGATGGAGTACTGCGGAGAGTGTTTCCACGAATATTCACTTATTCAGCTGATTATCCTGAGAAGTAAGTTTGTCACCTGTCTTTATTAGAACTCTCGGATCCCTTATGAATCTCTAGAGCTTTGATCGCAACTATCAAGGACATGGGTTCATGCTCATGCCCTTGTTGCATCACACCGAAGTCCTTGTTTAGTTATCTAGGTCTGCTAAAGGACATGAAGAGTCATATAACCAACCTTCGAGTATATACTATGATGAAGGTTCTTGATGCGCGCAAGTTTATCTATGACCAGGGAAATACTATAGGCGGTTCAAAGGTTGAATGCACCCTCGGAGAGGGCTTGTGGGTACCCACTGTTGTAAGTGTGCACAGTTCCTTGATTTTTATAGTTAGCTCAAACTAGTCACTTGCAGAATCAATTTGTCAGGAAACTCGGATCACTAGGCCTCGACCCGTTCTGAATGCTTGTCATCGATTTCATGCATGAATGTGAACTGGGTACGTGGAAAGCATTATTCATGCATCTCATCAGGCTTCTCTATGCCCTTCCTATGGGAAGTCAGCTGGTTGCGACCCTCGACGAGAGGTACGTGGAGTCTGTATAGAGTGTTGTTACCCCCTAACTGATTGCCTCAAATGCCACCATAGATTCTGTCAGGTCCCGACATTTAGTAATGGTGTAATTCGAAGGTTTGCAAATAATATCTCTGAGATGAAAAGATTGACTGCGTGAGACTTTGAGGATATCTTACAGGTTTGTTTGTCAAACATTTTTCTACATCAGGCTATCTGATAAGTTCTCCATCGGTAGTGTGCCATTCCGGTCTTCGAAGGACTGTTCCCCACCAACCATGATAAACTAGTGCAGTTTCTACTCTATCGCTTTGCACAGTGGCACACGCTTGCCAAGCTTAGGATTCACTCAGAATCTACTGTGAATCTCCTTGAAGAGACATTCAAGGCACTCTCTCTGAAGTTGCAGAAGTTCCAACGTGATACTTGCTCTGCCTTCACTACTACGGAGCTCCCAAAAGAGAGAACAGCTCGTCAAAAAAGGTTTGTGCAGTGCTCTGAAACTAACACCACTCCTCCAGAACCAAGCGGTGTGAAGGTGAAGAAGTTCAATCTAAACACTTACAAGTTCCACAAAATGGGAGACTATGTAAGAACTATCAAGCTCTTTGGGAGCACGGGTTCCTTTACAACTCAAATGGTTTGTATCTATTTCATTTTCATTATCCATCTGAAGTTAATCTGAACTAGGGAGAGCTTGCTCATAGAGCTCTCAAGGTGTTTTATCCACTGACCAATAAGTTAGACACGCCAGCACAGTTGGAAAAGCACGAGCGCAGGCGCTGTGTACTTTGAAGTGTAGCAGAAGCTGGAAGTACATCTTCAAGTTGATCGCTCCCCGATGCCCCCCCTCCGGCATCATCAGGAAAGCATCACCATATTGCAACTAACCAAAACACCCCAGTCAATCTATTTGTATTCCTTTGAGAACATGAAGATGATCTGGCTGCTAAGGTAGTGTCAATTGCAGTGAATGCACTTGACAGCTTTTCTCATGTTTTTGGCCAGGATTTCATGCCGAAACTAAAGGACCACGTCCTTTACAGGCTGCAGCAGCTAGACATCGGCTACTGTGATCACACTTTCACAGACAAAGAATGCAACTCGGTCATAATTCCAAATAATACAATATATTCAGTTCAGACGATGCAAATATATTACACGATGTATGACCTGAGGTGCAAGTATGACACCATCAACCCTAGAACATACGGCGACGTTATGGTAGTCTCGGAAGAAACGGCACCTAGTCACCCATATTGGTATGCCCATATATTGGGTATCTATCATATGGAAATGTGGATTAATGTGGATGGAGAACAACCTATAAAGCAGCACCTGGAGGTGCTCTGGGTCCAATGGCTGGCGCCATTGAGGAATCATCAGTCCGGCATGAAGCACACTCGTCTTCCAAAGGTTGCATTTGTCGACGAATCAGACCTGGATGCATTTGGGTTTCTCGACCCGGGGCAGGTGGTTCGAGGAGCTCACCTGATTCCAGCATTTGCATCAGGACGTGGTTCAAGCTCGCTTCGATATGGCCAATCATTGGGACATCCTGGGGGGGAGCCAGATGACTGGGAAGTGTACTACGTTGGAATGTGAGTATTTATATCCATTATGTTGCGCATTAACCTTATTAATTGCTGCTCGGAATAATGACGGTTTCACTGTGTCTGACTATGCATATTCATAAGCCTAGCTCTTTTTTGTACAGGTTACTAGGCTCTTAACAGTAATGCAGTTTCAGCACGCAAGACACTTTGCAGGATTCTGCCCGCATGCAATTTGAAACTAATAAGAAATCTAGATGCATGGTGTTTGCACAAGCTGCTGCTCAAGGAAGTCGGAAATGAATGACCCATCTCCTCGACTCATCACAAACGCTGAGACCGAGGTTTCACTAATGAAGCAGATTGTATCATTGACTACCTGGTGCGCATATATGCATCTGTTCTCCATGGTAGATGCACATATATTCATGTTTCTCAGGAGAACGGCATATTTGATGCCATAGACAAGCAATACCTTCAGAAAGTTATATTCGGCATTTACCTGGTAAGATTAGATATAATTTGGGCCTCTTTTCTGATGTTCAGTGTAGGACAGCAAAGATCCCACCAAGTTCGTCGATTTTGGTCATTAATCATTACAAGATCTCTGACAGACTACTCATGCAGCATTGTGGAGGCTTACACCTTCAATTTCCATGTGAGTGTCTAAGGCTTTCAGATATATTGTATTAAATGGACGAGGTACATTAAGTACTACAAGCTGCCTGGAAGTCACACTACCATACCGATCATGACTCTTGGCGATCAGTTATCAAAAATTTCCCTTGTGTGCCCAGACCCTGTTTCTGAGGCCCCTCAAGAAAGGGCAGGTGCCGACTCTCGGGGAGGTTAAGAGAAGTGTTAAGGTGCACCAATCCTTACTTCTCTGTAATCATTTTGTTCTCAAGTGCTTCGTCCCAGGCAATGATCAAATTGCTTATAACTACTATCAATCAGATGGAAAACCTTCCAAGTTCATGTCGATGTCTTTTTTTATTGAGTGTGACAGTAGCTCTATCGCACAGAAAACCATTACAGAAATTTCAAGTTGTTCTTCAATGAAGATGCCCTAGATGACTATCAGCCCCCTCATTTCCAGGTGGCAGATGCCAAGGCTAACAAATGGTTCTTTACTACCCATGTGGTGAACAAAGTACCAGAACAAACAAGTATCGGCCAAGTGAGTGCAGGATGGCATGGGTAAGCATCAAAAATTCCAATGCATTAGCTTAGATCCATCTTCTTTATTTAGCCTCGACATGAAAGTGGTTTCAGTATCATCAGTATCTTCCTTCTATATCTGAAGACAATGATACACCATTCGCAGGTATCACATCTCACACAGCCCCGAGGTTGACTCCAGTCGAAGAGGCAAGAATTAGAGTAGAGGACGCACAGTTGTAGAAGAAAGATGCATTGGAGCGCAATATCGTCTGGAGTGCAGATGAAGATGAGGATACTGAGGGTGAAATGGTAATCGACGAAGGCATTGTTTTGGCCAGGTTTGGTGGTGACGTAGTAATTACCCCCATCGGTATATGCAGCGAAGATGGAGAGGTTCGACCACTCCCTCAAGTCAATGTCACTTCATCTCCCGCTCATGTTCAGTATGACAGTATATTGGAGTCAACCCCGGTACATGTCGAGACCTGGTTTGTCACTCGCCAGTTCCTTCTCTTACCTCACTGATGCTTGCGTTAGAACATCCACTTCAGCTATCTCCACTCAAGAGGTTGATACCCAGTACCTTCAGGATCTACTTAGAATGAAGAATGATGTATCCACTGTGCCTGATTCAGAGATGTTGGGTATGATGTCTATTTGATGTATTGCATTGCACTAAACTGATTTGTTTACAGATATGGAGATGCAGGTACTGGAGGCGTCTGGACCATCCTGCAATCCAGGTACGACTGGTCCACAGATCCCTCATCATAGCAACCATTCCAAGCGGATAGATGAAGGCCAACTTGACTGTGACTGTGGGATATCGGTGCGTACACAGCGAAATGGAAAGAAACACAAGCTAATCTACCCTCAAAGAAGATCAACGATGCTTCTCTGTTGTGTGAGGGTGGTTGCAACTGTTGGTTCCACGTTTGGTATGGCATTTTCATCTCTCATACAAAGCAAGCCTTCTGACAAAGACCAGTTGACTAGGTGCATGGGGTGCATAATTGTCTCCTTTCTGAATACGTGATTTTCAGTTAAATGTGACGTAGGTATCATGGTGCACAAGACAAATGTCTTCCTGCTCAATTTATTTGCTTTAATTGTCGTCTCCTGCGACTCTCACCTGTGGGACATCATCGCAGGGCAGATTCATGCTGATATCATTGCCCGATACAAAGACCTCGCCCTTTTCAGGTACACAGTGGCCTGTCCCATGCGTCAAGATTACTTACTTTTTTTTTAGGAGGGCTATCAAAATTTACAAAGTGTATCAGCCATCTTTGGCATCACTTTTCAAGGTACACACTGGTCAGTTCAATTCCGATCTTGTTCTTCATTGTTTCAATTTCACATATCATCAAAGGGTGTGATACTGCACTGGTTCGTCAGGCGAATCTGACTTGGATTTATCAATGCTATGCCTGTCTGGTCCAAAAACTTCGAAGTATTTATACTAGTACATCATGATCATCCATCCATCTGGTGTATGAGTCCCTCAATGCACTCTTGACATCCTGAACTCTACCAATACTCTACGGTCTGAACTTGTCAGTTAATTTAGAACTTTTTTAGTTTCAAGATGGCTTACTTGTAGGCATTAACGCACACCACCTCAAAGTCCCAGTATGTGCTCAAGTTCAGCCATCTCCAATTCGAACATGTGACGCTCTCTCGCAACCCACAGGATCATCATTGATTGTGCCTCGTCTGACCAGACCGGGTGCGGGGGGTATGGAGGAAACGGCAACTCTGGTTGATAGATGCGTTGACACACACGGCGCCGCACGACAACCCAGGTATTGTACATAAGTTCCTTCCAAAATTTCAGTGTTTTAACTAACGAATGATCACATGACTTACCAACTGGTTTCCTGTCAACACAAACACCACCTCCCGAGGCCTTGGAGTGTGTTGAAGAAGATGCTGAGGTATCTACTGATGATCAGTGAGTAGCTGATATCAGAGAATAATTAACGTACCTTGTAGGCAATCTCTCCATTTGCATTTGCATAGTTGCTGTTGTTCATTGTAGTATTGTGTATATTGGTAGATATAAAATTGAATGGACAGTGAACGCAAGTCGTCGAGTTGTTGTCTAAGAGGATATCCCGATTTGGACAATGATCTATTTATAATGTCCTCCGGCATTTGCCGGAGGAGTAGTATACTCCAACAAATCAAACTCGGAAGGGCTCTATGTAACTACTAATGACTATATAATACACTCAGAGTGCTCTTTAGTAGTTTGAGTCCTTATTGCGTGGTGGGGTAGAGCAGCCGTTGCTGTGACAAGAGCTGCATTACAGATTTTAAGAGCAATATCTTGAATGAGAAGCAAAGTTAGCAAACGACCATGACCCAATCTAACAACATAGAAATTAACAAACCTGCAGACTAACACAGGGGTTAGTAACTAAGCTCTCCCGTGCCCAGCGCCATCAACCTCTTGCAAAATGTCAAAGCTCGTCACAACCTTGACATGTAGTTGATTCACATGAAAGGTGTGTTCTATTGCAAGGTCATAAATGACCTTCTAGTTAAAACATAAAAAAAGAAAAATAAGAACACTCACAAAACATATTAAGTCGATGCTATTGATCCTCACAGGCGGCGATGGCACATAATCACAACATTGTTATAAACTCGCATGCTAATTTAGTCTCGATGACCAATGTGAACAGTGCTTTCCGAGAGAAAGCCTTAAATAGACATATAATTCATAGCATAAATTTTGAAGAATGAGAATGCTCGACAAGAGGGACACACCTACGCTACCATCTCTTGCCGGCCATCACGTTACAACATCACAATCTTATCATGAACTGCTTGCAATAATCTAGATTTGCAGACATGAATGGTTATGTACCGACAACTCAAATTTATCTCAGTATATATTGACATATTTACTAAGAGCAGAATTGTATCCTTCTATATTTACCACAGGTACAATATCACAGACTGATCAATTCACTGATGAAGGATCTTTCGGCAACTCTCTCGCAATAATCGACATATCAGCCGAATGGGCGAAACTCCAACATATAATCTTAATGTGTTCACAGTAGATCACAAGTGGTGCAGTGATTACATGACTGCTTCATACTGGGGGAATTCTAACGATCACGCAACTATCTGCGCTTTTCTCATCAGCAACCATGACAGTTTTGTCAGTGTAGCCTATCGAACTGAGTATGGGTAAACTGATACTGCTGGCGCAGGAGCAGATTCACTATAATAAGTGATAACCACATCACGATCCACGGGACTATAAGAGTGTGTATGGCGAGGGAATTTAGCTCCAGAAGGACCCTGGCTGCTCCCTATACCGCATGTCCGCAAATGTTCAAAATTTTCCTTGCGGGGCGCAACACTTTTGAGGCTTGCGGGGCACACTTTGGACATGCATGGTGGCCAAAACATACCAAAAAAGGAAATTTTCCGAAACATATTACCGTCTACTGAAGTACCTAGGCAAACCTGCAATTCTGCTTCTTGCAAGACCATACCGTGAACTGCGACACAATAACCTCGCGCAGTGCCATCATCCCAGCTGCTTCCCACCTGTAGACAATGATAAATTTATGTTTTACAGTGTTTTATAGACTTCAAACTCACCGTTCAAAGGCCCATGGTTTCATAGTGTGATACCGGCCCTCTGAGATGCTGAGTGCGGATGTTCTGAGATTGTAGACAAGCTCCTTGATACTGGCAAGTGTCCATAGGTGTCCTGTAGACTTACTGTAGTGCCAGAAAGAGTTTTCATTTTCTTCAGGATGTGTCTTCCGAAAAACAAAAATTTAGCATGAATAAGCAGCGACAAAACAACCACTTGCCTGGATAAAAACACATTGTCCTATGTTCGTTAATGAAGGAACATCCTTGCTGCCAGCAAGGAGAACACTCTCGTGACGAGTGCCTTTACCTGCCACCATTCTTTTTGTACATACAGACCACTTGGCCGAGATAGCGGACCTGTGAGTGTTGCATGATGACATATGACCCAATTGCTAGTGGTGATATGTCATTGACATTCCGCATCGCAATTCCAGGAACTGGAGCGCAAAAATCAGGTGTTAGTGATTATGATTATGAGCAATTAAATGTGATACTTACAAAGATTTTCGAGGCGCAGCACAGCTGAGATGAGCTGCTTTGCAATGGTCCAATTGCCAATACCAGAAGAACTTGCAGCAGGAGCTGATGTCTTGGTAGCTGTCCAACGTTCAGCACGTGAGTAGCCACCATGTCGCTTGTGCATGAGGAGCTGCAGATTGTCATTTGTGTGAACTGAATGTCGAAGGATATGTTGGATTTCATTTGTGCATGCTATACCTGCAAACTTGTGAGCCTTCAAATCAGTCTCTCATTCCAAAATAACATACCACTATGATCTGACATGTCAAGGCCAGCAGCAGCGTCAAGCTGCATTGTAACTTTGGCCAGGTTTTTCGGCTTGTAGTGTGAGTACCTAGCCTTCATATCGAAAGATTTTTCAGAAAGGATACCTGAGTTTCGGTTATGAGCCTTTTGCAAGCGGACAACAGCAGCGACATCCAGTACACGATTGGGAGTTGTAATTGGAGTGACATTGGCATGCTCACTTGGCCGGTTCAAAGGAGGCGCTGGGTTAAGAAGGTTGATGATGTTTGGAACAACAGCAGGGTACGGGCCGTGGACTGGTTTTGATATGCGCTCTTCAACCTCTTCAGCATCTTCGATGTCAGTCATAAGTGTAGACATGTGAGATATGTGGTGCAGGGCTTTCACGTGTTGGACACTATCAGGAACTGACGGATCACATAAGTCATGGGCGTCACTCTCGGCCTGAGCAGCAGCTAGGCGGAGTGATGTTGTATTCTTCAAATCATCATTGTCATTCTCGCCATCCTTGCTGTCACTCTGATCCTCACACCTGACTTTCCGTTTCCCAGCTTGGGTGAGTCGTGCAGCCTCAGTTCTGCTGGCCATGAAAACCAATGGTAGTGGAGGTATGCTTGAGACACCAAGTACCTGTTGGGCAGGTTATCAGCTGTGGTACACATATTGACGGACACCATACTCACATTGTTGAACACAGCTACTACATCCTCCCACGCAACATTCGTGATGGCTTCAATTTGCAAGCGAGATGGGGTATCAGTTAACTTCTTGAGGTCTTCAGCGCTTAGCTTCTCCAGTGTAGTGTCATAGACATAACCAGATGATTTCTCCTTGCGTTCGTGGACTCCGGACTGTGCCAATCGAAGGAGAACCTCCTGTCACTGCTCAATATGACGCAATATACCCAGGAATTCAATGTAGCTGAAGTTGGTGAGAAATTCACGCGCAATACTAAAGATTTTCTCCAATGGCAATGAGCCATGCTGCCAAGGTAGGAAGGGGACAGTGGGGTAATACTCCCGGTAAACAAGTGTGAGTTTTATAAGTGCATCACAACATGAGTCAAGTGACTTGAAATTTTGGAAAGAGATAAAGCTGCAGCGGAGGGGGAAGAAGTGGCCATGGATGGGATGTTTGCTTTTGTTGGTGATGTGATTGTGCCAAAGTTGAAGGAAAAAATTTGCTTGCATTGCAGCATGTACTCGTTCGGCATGTGAAAGATCGCGCTTGAAGTATGCATCAAACAGTTCACCTATCTACATGTCAACTTTGGAGGTCAGACATGAAGAGAAGCAGAATCTTACTGCACACGAAATGCACTGCAAATGCAAGATGATAGGGCTTCTGTATCGACTGGCCATCACCCAAACCATAATCAGCTTTTCAATTTCATTCAGATCTTTCTCCAAAAGCTGTGCATCTGCTTTGTCTCGTCTCGAAACCTATTATTATTTTCATTCATTAGTTTTAAAACAGGCCATGAATAACAATCACTTACTCGTCGAAGCTGCCGCTGTAGGCTCTTATCTTTGTCCAGTGCACAGCATTGCTCACAAGAATATTTTCCATCAGGGACGAAGCGGTGTGTGCAAGTCGCAGAACATATGATACGCATACCACCATCACTGCCATTCTCTACAAACCAACGACGATGGCTCAACAATTCCTGCCCAAGAATTGCAAGCTCCTCCTCACTAAACTTTGTGATGCTGGTATGTGTGTTTCTTTGAGAAGGTATGATGTGTTCTTGTCCTAGCGCTGACCCTCCATACTTATATGGAAACAGAACTTTTACTATCTCACTGCGACTGGCAATGCTACCAACTCCCCCCACATCTCCGGCAACAGCATTCTTTGCAAGGAGTGCATATGCACCATCAGCCCGTCCCATACATGCAACACTGGTGTCTGTGCTGACCTGATCAACTTGTACCAGAGAGACAGAGGGTGGAGCGGTGTTTTCTGGAGACTTTTCATGAATTGCATCTGACGATTTTTTGCCTGCTGATGTAAAGAATGATGTGATTGATTTCATCTACACAAGATTTTAGTAAGTGAAAGAAATGTGATCATTTTGCTACGAACTCACGGGAATGTACTCTTGTTTAGTTCTCGACTTTGATTTTGATCCAGTCACCCAAGGACATCGCTGGAGGTGGCGGTCATATTTGCTAAGGTCGTATTTGCGTCGTTTAGGAAGTTTCTTTCAACTTTTGCCACCCTTCAGCTTCTGAACAGTCTGACGGTCTCCAGAATCTAGCTTGATGTCGACTCTGCACTGGCACTTGATGAAACTTGGCCCAAAATCAATGATAAGTCCTTGTGTCTTTGCCTCGTTTAACCTCTGGACTCGTTGTTCAGGGGTCGTCTGCTGTACTCTCAAGCCTGCAGCTGCCTGAACTCGATTCCAGTGCGTTCTTTTGGACTTTAGTCTTTGATTTTTCGAGTTACTAATTCAATACTTGCCGTTCATCATCAGTGTGGGCATCTGACTCGTCACTCTCCAAAATCTCAATACACTCCTTTGTCTGGTTATCCACACACTTTGTGGATGATGCCGTGCTGGTGGTATGAGAGGGGTGAAATACCAACTGGTTTCCATGGCTTGTAGCATATGTCAACGACTCATGTGCAGGTGACCGAGGAGCCTTTTGACTACAATTGTTCGGTGAGTGATGAGTTGCTGTCACCTGACAAAATGATAACTCACCAGAGCTCAAGTGCTGTTTCCATTCGAGGAACCATTGCAGACAGACAGGATCCTTCTCCGACATCTTGCTCGACATGGGAAAAGGTATGCAGAAAGTTGTGTATAAGGAGAAAATCTGCCTGACTTGATTTCGAAGATAGTAGCCCTCCTTCTTGTCCCCAACCAAAGATGGCATGAACGGGAGCATGAAGCTCCTCCCAGTGGTCCGCAGAATGCTGGAGCGTCAGGTGCTTAACTCCAAGGATACTCTCAGATGCTGGTCCTTGATTGCTGACTGTCAGAGCAGCTTTTTTCAGCTTGTCTAAGATATTTTGCCAGATCATAACACAGACTTCAGAAGGGTGCAGAGTTGGATGATACAAAGAATGCTTTGATTCTGCATTGACTACGACAACTAATGCTCTGCACAAGTGTACCATATGTCAGTAAATATAGCTACATGGTGAATCCCAGCGTCTGTTTAGGAAAACCAGGCAACTAAGTTGGTCAGTGTACTAATATTAGCATGGATTCACGGCCTCTCGAGGCGCTACCGACGGACATGGGGTATGCGCTACAGGCTTGGGAGGCGCACTTTTAGGAGTATAGGATGGGTAATTTCGAGGACTTGCGAGGCGCTACCGGTGGACATGCAATATAGGGAGCAGCCGGGGTCCTGCTCCAGAGCATGGCAGCGTTCAAATTCCTACGTTCATAACATTAGTGACAGAGCAATTCAAATTTGAGGCCTGTTGGCATGCAAACGCCCATCCATTTCGGTTCTGCCAAAGCACCAGTCCTGAACACGACACTTATAAAGACAGCAGTCTTCCCACTGCGCCCACCCACAGATATTGATCCTGTGTCGCATTGCATTATGCATCTCTCCTTCGTCGTCGCCGTCGTGGCTGTTTTGATAGCGTCTGTATCTGTTAGTGCATGCCCAACTCTTTGCATAGAGGACGAATGTTGCCCTGGTCAGAGGTGTAAAGCGATATACATCCCCGGAAGTGTGCGTATGAGAAGCTTGCATTCGGCATTTTCTCAAGACTCACTGGCGTGGTAGGACTCATTTGAATTCCTTTGTGTATCATCATGATGAATCAAGTTCGAGTGGCAAATCGCGACTGTGAGTCGTGCTTCTGGTTTTTGTGTTGGTGCAGTGTGGTTGATGCACGACACATAGGTAATTCGTTGCTGGTCTGACTGAGATGTTTGCTTCTGGACAAATTCAGTGCCACTCGAACAATGGAACTACTGGAATATAATAGAAGAACGTATGATCTTGACTTCATGCGACTGAAGTCAAAGTTCGGTTATGTTCAATAAGCGGCCGACAGCCAATTTGTATCATGCCTCGAGACTTGAGGCCGTTTGCGAGCTTGAACATTAAAAGCCTCGTGGGTTGGATAAGATGCATTTCAACCGGACGAAACCTGTACCTCAAACATCAGCTGGCAACAGCTCCACCTTGGCTTAAGTTGGTTCTTAAGGTAGGGGTGTAAAATCGTCCTCGGCAGAAATCATACTAATCAGTAAACCGGCGAGTTCTTGCTGACGATTTTTCAGATATACTACAACAGTTTAACGGTCAGATGAGAGAGAGAAAACAACTATAACCGCAGTCAACAGCAAGTCAACAGCGACGACGACGACGACGAAAGAAAGTAAGAACTCAAAAGGCATGTAACAATACGTGAATGTATTCCGCACTCGGTTATTCTAAGCTTCCGCGATACACAGCGCACCAGCCGCTCTCAAAGATCTGAGATGCATATTGACTTCATCCCAATTCCTACTAAAGCCCCGAACCTGGTCGACACAAGGGAGCCAGGCAGAAATGATGCGAGCGAGAGTTTTAGCATCTTCTAGTCGAAACTTGGATGTCTCCAATGCCAATCTTCGTAGGGAGGTGTGTTGTATTGGCTCAGAATCAGGATCGATATCGATAGTTGCATTATTGATTGTAACTCGCAGTGTATGCAAATGTGGACATAGAAAGAGCGCTGTGAATAATCCATGGAGAGAGACTGAACAAGGAATACCTGAGCCGACGATTTCCAGAGTGTGGATATGCGGCCAAGAAGACATAGCTTGGAAGAGAATAGCATTATCCAGGTAGATGCAGGAGTTAGAAAACCTGAGCTCTAGGTCTCGGAGCTGTGTAAAACAAAGGAAATGTGGAATTGGTGTCAAAGAGTCGTCTGGGGGTTCCAAGAATTCGTCATCAAGAGAACAGATGGAGATTTTTTCTAGAGTCTGACACGCTTTGCAGTGAGACAGCGCACGAAAAAGTTGCTCGGCCTCTTCTGAACACAGACGGTTGGCTTCAAACTCGAACTCTTTCAACGAGGGGAATTGCGAGTGTTGCATGACTGTGATGATGTCTGCAGCATCGTAAAGCTGTCGGAAGGAAAGAGCCGTGATGTTGAGGAATGGTGATAGACTGAGATCTCGTATTAACAGCGAAGGAGGGTCATTGCACCCTTGATCAATTCTCAATGTGAGAAGGGCAGGGATGTATGAAAGGCCCTTCCATGTTTCCAAGTCGAGCATTGGACAAGAAACAGTTACAAGCCGCCGCGTGCACCAACGGATCCTATTGGATAGCAAGGACAGATCACTTGTGAAGTCGCCTTTTTCAGGAGTGTAGATGAATAAGTGCTCCAACGCAATGCAAGGTATCACAAAGGATTGCAGACCCTCGTTGACAGTCTTCCATCGGTGCAGCACAGTGTAAGGGAAAAAGAGGTCCAAATATGTGGTGGAAACATTTAACGACCTCAGCCTCGGAAATATGCATGCCCCGGCAGGGATGACAGAGAGGAGATGGGGGTGATCAGATTGAATGCTTAATGTGCGAATACGGGAGGAGTGGTGCATAAATTGACGGCCCGTCTCATGGGCAGATAATGGCTCGACGCCTTTCGCCCAGGGCTTGTCCCACTAGACGCTCGGTCAGCCGAAAAGAAATGGACAAAGCGTAATGAAGTCGTGCACTGACCCTTGTACCACTATGATATATCAGTGGATGTAACCTCGTTACACAGCCCAGCAGTGGTTCTAACTCTTCGATCTCAGCCCACAGTAAATCCATCGCGGGCTCGTAAAATTTTTACATGTCCTTGCAAGCGCTGCAAGGGATCTCTGAGTCGATGTTGTTTGAGTAAATGATATTTCATTCACGTAGGCGAATATCTCCAGGAGGATTTCGGGAACAAGTAAAGCCTGATGCATCACAGGTAGAGTCAGGACTCAGAACTAGGTTTTATGTAAATCTTAAAAACATTCCCTATGTAGGACCAATGGGTGTTGTTACCTGTTATTTTCAGAATCCCAGTCAATGGACTGCACACGTTGCAGCACATAGTATAGAATCCAGATACAGTTTCAAACTGCTGAAAATGTGGATACTTCGTTGTTCAGTGCATCACTTCGAACATTTCGTCAACTTCCATTTTCTCTTACGGAAACTTTGTCAGCGCGAATGAATCCCTGACTCCGGGCCTTTGTAGAGAAAAGTCTTGTAGACGGGACGCTATAGAACAAGAGAAGAGCAAATATGAATTGTTTGCTTTGCACAATTTCTGCAAGACTCACTAGCTCGATAGGATCGATTCATAAATGTCTAGCATTTATATCAAATTTGAGTAGAAAGTCACAGCAGTAATCGTGTTTCTGATTTTGAGATGACGTACAGCGTGGTTGATGTACAATGCTTGTGCGATGGAGAACTTGGAATAGAGGGCCATCTCGAACGCTACGTATTGGTCTTGTCGCGGTTGTAAGCTTTGAACATCAAAAGCCTCGCAGTAGGTTCAATGAACACCAGCGTAATAAATTGATGTTCAACTGAAGTTAGCTTCCTAGCTTCCGGTGCCGATGTGCAAGGCGTTGGACTCCATACGACATTGCGGAGATAAGTCAGACTGGAATCATGGTTTGCGCTTGCAAGTTGCGTCTAGACGTGGGGCCCGTCAATGCTTACATCATCCATTTTGATATCCATAACTGGACGTGTAAGCCTAAGTTACTTTCCTCCTTCAAGTGACCTCATGTTTGACGCTGCAAGGAAATACGTGTATAACCGACGTCGTGGGCTATTTGAGACGTCGGTTGTTCTCTGTGGAGCCTATGCTGTGAGCCGCTATGTCAACGAGAGATTGGAGGAAGTCAAGGAGAAGGTTGTCAGAGAAAGGACTGCTCGAGAGGCGTATGTTCGCTGACTTTGTCAAAGATCATCGATTTACCTGCTCATTCATTGTTACCAGACTTCGAAGACGTTTTCAGAGTACTCATGATGATGCATGCTTTACTATTATGGCACTTATTCCTACACTGGCTGAGCAAATCCTCGAGGAGATGGATGTCGAGTCGCTCACCAACGAGCTTCAATCTCTGTCACGCACATCCCGTCCTCGACCTCGCTTTCAACATCCAGAGTCTCATTCTGAGTCTGAAGTTAGCCTCGCCTCAGATATGCACTCAGATGCTGGGTCTATGTCATTGTCATCCTACTCGGGCATTGATGGAGAAACATCATCGAACATGGCAGCTTCAACAGACAGTTGGGTCGATCGCCTTTCGAGCTCCTCATCACACAGGAGTACGAGTGAGCAGCTGCAACAACCTCATGATTTTCTTGCCTCTGCTGGTAGTCAACTATCTGACTCAATTACCACTGCTAGTTCTTCACTGAGCTACAATCCCGGTGTCCCTTTTCATGTGAGCTTCTCAAATCCGGAATATGCGAGTTCGTATTCATACACATATTAGGAGCCGCAGACTTCCATGTTTCCCTCCACGAGTGAGAATAGCACTCGAACGAAAGCACAACTATGGAAGGAGGTAAAAATATTAAGTACGTTGAAATATTCAGTATCCCTTACAATTTACTCACATAATATAGCACTGACACGTACACTGACAACACTCTATACCACTACTTTGTTGTCCCTCCTCACAAGCGTACAGCTAGCTCTTCTTGCACGTGAACGGTACATAACTTCGGTTCTTTCTGCCGAACGTGTCGAACGCATCCGCGAGGCAGCACCTACACTCTCTGGTCTCGTCTTCCGTGAGGCTGTATCTCGCATTGTTGACGTGGAGATGATATGGCCAGCATGGTCTACAGGTCAAGAGGAGTGGGATGAAGAAGTCGAAGGCGTATCAGAGGATACTGAGATGCGCTTCTTGACACTTAGCTGGTGGATACTACACGTAGGATGGAAGGATATAGCCGCGAGAGTGCGAAGTAGTGTCGAAGCCGTTTTTGAGGGGTATGTACTTTTTTCATGTAGGTGCTTACGCATATTTTACTAATTTTTAAAATATCAGAGTTTCCCTTAAGACAAAATTGTCGCCTTCTGAGCTCCACGTACTGATCCTTGATGTTCGACGACGCGTTGAGCGGGATGGTACAGGTGACAGTAGAGCAAGCATACCTGGCCGGTGAGTAAAGTCCCCCTTGTTGTCGGGTTCATTGACTCACTCTACCATTTAGCTTTCTTGGCTCTCTACTTCCACCGACTCCCGAAACAACAACCCACGTACTTGCACAAGGTGGTGCTCTCTCTCAAGTCCCTTCAAAAATTTCATCTCTCCCCATTTCCTCCATCTCGTCGTTAGGCGACAGCAATGACTCTCCGCTGATTGCCGGTCCCACCCCTCGTGTGGGTATCTTTCCAACCCCTCCCTCATCCATCCCCACCTCATCCCCATCACCATCCTCCAGCCGACCTGCCCCAAACACAACGTCCCTACTCCCAACCTCGCAACCTCGAGCCGAGTTCAATGATCCAATATTTTCCTTCCTCCTCTCGCAGACCAGAGCATATTTGTCCGGTCCAGATTTTGCTTATGCCCTCAGCGCTGCGCTCGACCGCGCCACGATGGTACTGGTCGATGGACTCCGGGCGAAGGTGTTCGTAGACTCAAACTCAACGAACGTCCCAGATGGGCTGTCAGTAACCAATCCGATTGATTTGACTGTGGAAGAGGAAACGAAGGAGGAGATAAAGATACGGTTGGCAGGCCTTTTGCCCGGATTAGCGCGGTGGAGCCAGCTGGCGTTGAATGCTGTGCCCAACGAATTGGTAGATGTGAGTGTTCGCATTTTCTTTTGGTTCTTTGCTTTCTGTTGTATTGTGTGACTTCTTTGCTTTCTGTTGTATTGTGTGACTGCTTTTTTTCGAGCAGTGGATACCACACTCATCTCATTCGATTCACATCATGCTGTGCTTGAACTGACTTTTTTTAACAGAATGTCATGGCGGTGCGCGAGCTCGGTGCCCTGGAGGCAATTGTCATGTCAGATTATGAGGATCGATACTCTAATTGATGTCGAGACAGAAAAAGTCATCTATTAACTGTTTGAATTGATGAATGACATGTATGCCTGGCGGCCTTGAGTGATGCATTAACGTCAGCATAGATCAAACACAGACAGAAAATGTATGCATATATAGGGAAGCACCTCGCTCCGAATTCGCAAGGGAAGAAAATAGCAGAAAAAGATAAAACAGATCTACAACATACTGACAGCTTTTGTCCGCGATTGCTATGGTTCGTGCAACCACTGACCGGCACCAAGTCATATTTAAGCTTGCGACCAGCCCTGCGTAGACAAGTCGAGTGGCATAACCAAGTTTTTAAATGTCAGGCGTAGTCGAGTCTACATCTGAATTGCACCCCCTCGCACGTTTGATCAGCCATACTCATCAGGTATGACGTTACTGACGTCGTGTGGGCGTCTCTCAGTTTGCATTGTATCGCAATCAGCGGCTGCCGACAAGTCCAGTTCTAATGATACTCTACGGGCCGCACAGGCCGCAGCTTGCTCAAGTTCAATAATGCTGGTTCAGTGTATAGTCGAGGGAACTGGTGGGAAGCCACGCTGTAATTTGAACAGTGCACTCATCCGTTCCTTCCCATCGGTTCCTGTTACTGTCCCCACATCTCATTTTGACATTGGGTCTGAAGTAACCCACGGGTACTAGTAGCTATGGTAGTCACATCAGAATGACTGTCTTTATAAGTCTATAGTAGCCTTGGACCCTTCCACGGATCTTGGATGCATTGAATTGCGGAATCAACACATTCTACGCAAATCTAGAAGAATATTCCTACTTCAAACTATGGATGTACATTAGGTGGACCCGAGCATAAATATGTCCAGCATTAGCGGGTTTGCCTTATAATCTAGAAGATACTTGGACGCCACACCTCTCGAAGATCTTTCATCTAAGAGGTGGCTATATCAGTGTCGCCAAAAAGTATGGTAGGCCGGATCATCATATCTACAACGAATCACGTAGTCTATCTACCGGCATGAAGGAGTCGAAGGGCTTGTTCAAGCGCCCCTAGCGGAAGCGTGCTCTTGAACCCAGCATCATAAAGATGCTGAACCGCCTCAAGAAGCTGAATACATTCATTTGATTCATCGACCAAGGAGTCCGAGGCAGGGCGTCGGATCAACCCAACATAACGAGCTCCACATTGTTCTACGCAGGTTTTCATTGCTGGGTGAGCAGCAATTTCCAGGACAACGGTATTCTCGCCCTCGTCGTGAACGAGCTTCTGCACGATGTCACCGAATTTCGTTGGGCGAAGAACATTGTCCCAGAAGTAGTCGCTATCAAGCGGCCTATTGAGCCAAGTACCGTCAATGGTGGACATTACTCGCACTTCGTGTGTCCCCCCACCCGACTTCTGGTTCAGGTCTAGATTATCCAGTGCTGCCTTGAACGGCGCCTCGATTGGTTCCATCAATGGTGTGTGGAATGCACACCCGACCTGAGGGAGCCTCAATGCAAACGTATCTGAAAAGGTCTCAGAGTTGCTCAGGAAAGCAAGTAAGGCGTCTATGAGGGTATGGGTGCCGGCGATGGCAACGGCGTGTGGAGAATGAAAGGATGAAATCCAGAGGCCGGATGTCGCCCCTGATTGAAGCAGCACGTCATCGATGATGAGCCGTGCTTGTCGTGGACTGACCGCGACAAAGATGGTGGCGCCGTTTCCCTCGACTTCAGACATGGTAGTAGCGAAGGCCACGGCAATGCCGATCGTGGTTGATCTATCGTAATGGCCTGCCGCGTATCCCATTACTATCTCCCCTATACTGAACGCCGATTAGCACTTTCAACTTCAGATCAATGTGATTACATACCTTGTGCCAATAACGAAATCTGCTTTGAACCCCAAATCTCGAATGAGATCCCACAAGGAGATTTGTACGTATACAAATGATAGAATGACATCATTTAACGACCAGGTACCACTGACGTTCAGGGAGCACTCAGCGCCCGGAATGAAGAGGCCTGTGCGCTCCAATAATGATGGCTGGCCATATACCTCCATTAGGATCCTATCGTTTTCCTTTATGGAAACAAGGAATGGAGGGTAGTTTTCCGCGAGCTGACGACCCATGGCTGGATGTTGCGATCCCATTCCGACGAACGCCACACAGAGCTTTGGTCCAGATCCCCTATCAGATAGTGGAGATGAGGGGGAGAGATCGCACCATAAGGACGGTTACTCACTGACAATGATCTTCGTCTTCATACAGTACTCCGACTGGTGGATCAATTTTTGAAGGTACGCGCCCTGAGTCAGTGTACAACTCCACGTGCTCTGGCATCGCGGCCGCCTGAGTGTCCGGTGGGGCAAGCAGAATGGATAGGGATTCCTGTCACTGCGCTTTGTAAAAGTACATAGCAATTCGAGATAAAATACACACCTCTGGGTGCACGAGCTCTCCCATGATAGTTGAGACGCCCATTTTCACTTCCAAAGTCGAACGTTAAATGTCGAGGAGCAACCGACGAACTCGGAAATGAAAAGACAGCTTAAACGCCGTCAAATATGTGAATGCTTTGCAGCAAGGTGGTCGATAGGCTTGGCGTGCGAGGGTATGGCGGCGAATCTCCACAGCGAACCCCGTGTTTTTAATCCCTTACCAAATTATATATTAGCACTCTGAAACGGGCCTCATAAACTGCCTGCGAATCGCCACATCAAAATGTCGGACGGTCATTGGCTTGTCTGTCAGTAGTGAAAGTAGGCTTCAGTGTACTCAACAAGAAAAAAGGCGGCCGAAAAACCTGTAAATAACTACATCATCTCAAGCATGTACATGCAACACTGCACCAGGTAACCACGATATTTTTTACAGGCCCCCGCTCGGCTCGATCCCATGAACCTTGATGGCTCTCTATAAGGTCAGATTAGTTTGCAAAGACGCAAACGAAGCTATTTGGCTCACCTTCACACCCCAACCAACACCCCTTACGCGACTACATCCCCACACCTTAATCTCGTTCAACTTCGTGCATGCTGTGACAACATCTTTCATTACAAAATCATCTAGCTCCCGGCACCACCCAGCATCTAGATAGCAAAGTTCCTTCGCACTCGTGAGTTGTGCAAGTGCTTCAGACGAAGCGCTGCGCAGTCCATTCACACTCAACCACGTGAGTGACTGAGCGGAGTGTACGATGGCAGCTGCGAGTGCCGCACTTGAGAGCTCTTGGTTTCGGGCAAGAGACAGCACGCGCAATGGTGGATTCGGCGTAAATGGTTCGAGGAAAGTGACACTGACCTCCACAGGGTCAGAGTCCACATCCATATCGTGGCCTTCGTCTTTCAGGGTGGATATAGGATAACCCCAGTTGCCAAAGAATTGCGCCACGCCTTCATCGGTAAGACTAAGACACTCGTCCAGTTTCAATTCGGACAAAACACGAGCGTATTTCCTGACACTCTCCTGGAGGACATGGTCAGTGAATCCTTCATGCTTTGAGGTATCAAGTGTTTCAAGGGTGCTCCCGTGCTTTTCTATGATCTTCATCCAACCATCTTCTTCTATGCCTATTCCTGGAAACGCCAGATCTAGCGTTCTCAATGGCGGCAGAGAGCATAAAGCATCCGCAAACTCATTGTCCATCAAACCAATTTCCCTCAGTGAGAGTTCTCCGATATTTTTGCAGCTATCTGCGAGCGTCTGCATACATTCTAAATCGAATCTTGGACTTTGCGTAATCTTGAACACTTGTAAGCCTGACATAGCCTTGAGGAATTTGATCCAGGCTTCTGCGCGTACGAGGAATGGGCCAAGGAGTGTCAAAGAAGTCAACTGCGGTATTGAAGTGGAAAAAGCCAAAAGGACAGGCGATGTGAGACGCCCACAATAATCGAGATGTAAGTGGGTCAAGTTGGGGTTGAGGGAAGCGAGAGTTGTCAGTGCGTCCGGAGTCAAGTCTGAACAAAAAGAATCGGATCAACTGGTACGAGCAGAAGGAAAGTGAAAACATACTAGTTGCATCGTAGAACCTTAGCTTCTTGTTGAGCACATCATAGAACAAATGTGCATTCTGAGGAGTGCTGTCGTTCCGCTGTGAGAATCTCACAGGAGTATCCCGGCCTCATTACTCACAGACCACGGTTCTTAGAGAGCGCTTTCGCGATTTCATCCATGTTCACGGCACCAATATCACCCAAAGCTTCCACATCGTCAATGTAACGGGTGATAAGCTGCGCCATGAAAGCTCGGTCGCCGTGACAATGAAAGGCTACTAATGACCCACCTCGATGCACATTGCCGCAAGAGATGGAAGACGACGTTCTTGATAACTGACAACCTCCCGTTTCTCCGTAACATTAACGCGTTTGCGAGGGACCGCGGGCTTCTTGAAAGGGTCGGTACCAGAAGCCTTGGCACAGTGGTGGCAGAGATAGCCAGGAGGCGGATTGGCTGCCATAGTATACTTTGTCTGCACCCAATGTTACGTCATGTGTATGTATTCTGAGTCAAACGAAATCATACCACAGTGAACTGCTTTTCGCATCTCGCACAGTTTTCAAAGCTTCCAGCTGAAGGTTTAGGACTACCATTTCCACCCACTGACCAAAGATTCTTCGACATTGCCCTGTATGCGTCCTCAGAGGAGCCTTCATAATCACCATCGTCTTTCGCCTTCTTCTTGGCCTTGGCTTTCGCAGCGGCAGTCGCTCGGCCCTTTGTAGCCTTTCGTTTTTTGACAGGAGATTCTTCCGCAGGCTCGTCGAGCTCGTCTGAGACGTAGCCAGTGTTCTTGTTCAATCAAAGCGTTAAGTAGACAATGAAAGGCTTTCATATCAACGACTTACCTTGCCTCGACCACGTCGGCCACGATGATTCGATACCTGGGGAGCACTTTCCTCTAGTTCCTCTTCCTCTGGAATATCTCCAACGTTATCCCCAGAGTTACTCGGGCCAGCTACAGATTGATCTTGAGGTTGGCTCTCAGGCTGATTCTGGGTAGCCACTCGACGAGCAATTGTAGTAGGATTAATGCCTAACTCCTGTTAACAAAGTTTTATTGAAGCGATGCAAATGTTTCAGGGGAAGCGAAATATACCCTAAGAAACTCAGTTAATGCAGATGTAGGTCCCCGAACATTATTTCCACGTCTGCTCATTGTTGGCAGCACTGAAAAGAAGTGACTGAAGGCTGTCGTGGACGTAAGTGTAACTTGAAACTTGACGCGCCTTTGTAAAATGGCTTATTAAATGAGACACGCCAGGTCACGTGCTACTCTACGTTCATGTCTAATTCTCCGCTCTTGCCAACGTTAGCGGCCACCCACCCTCTCCCAGCTCAGGTAGCTGGCCATGTGGGCATTGAGACAACGGAAGACAATTCCCTTTTGCTCAAGCCAGCCCTTCCTCGTGAAATTGAATTTTATCAACGAATCGCCGCAGCAGGCGATCACGATGAATTATCGAAGCTTAGAAAGTGGACCCCGAAGTTTCTGGGCGTGCTGAAACTCGAGGGACAACTCAAAGATTCAAACGCCGTTGGGAATGAAGGCGATGGAAATGTGGAAGTAGTTCCTGTACATGGCAATATAGCACCACAGGATAAAGATATGTCGTTCCGATCTGCTATTAGCGTGTCCCGTTTGTTCTTATCTGGTCCAGCACAGCGCCTCGTTCTTGAAAATATTGCGTACGGCTTTGTGAAGCCTTGTATTCTGGATGCGAAACTTGGCACTATCCTCTACGATCAAGACGCGTCTCCTGAAAAGCAAGCGCGCATGATCAAAGTCGCTCAGAATACTACTAGCGGCGAAATGGGCGTTCGCCTCACAGGATTTCAGGTGCCTGCTCATGGTTTTAATATCTAAATTAACACTCTAAATGACGCAGGTGTACGGCAACGACTCTCCCAAACCTATATTGACGCCCAAGTCGTACGGCAAATCAATCAAGAAGGAGGAGCTTCTTAACGCCATTAAGATGTTCTTTCCCGTCTCATCTGCACCGTATCCAACACCGGCGAACTCTACTGAGGCATCAGATTCAGACGTATCAAAGCCACATCTTGGTCTTCCTCCTATCATCCTTCACTGTGTTCTCACTACACTCCAAGCCAGCTTAGAAGAATTGAAAGCTATCATAGCGAACATCGAGATGCGCATGGTAGGCGGGAGTGTTCTCATAGTGTACGAGGGAGACTGGGAACGTGCCTCGAAGGTACTTTCCACGCCTTCTGGGACTACCACGACTGAAGACGACGACGACGACGATGACGAAGACGAAGTAGAGGTTGAGATAGATGAAAACGGACAGATCATTCTAGAGTCTATACCCGACGAAGCGATAGAGGAGGAGGAGGAGCACCAAGCGCCTTTGTGTTCCCTTTCTCTCATAGACTTCGCACATACTCGACTTATGGATGGGGCAGGTCCTGATGAGGGCGTGCTGAAGGGCATACAGACCATGATCGATCTTCTTGGACAATGGAAGGACAACATCACAGCGATGCTGCCTACGCGCGACGGATAACTTGATTGCGGTCAGTTGTGGTCTAGGGTTTTGTGGCACATAGCAGACTTGGAAGCCGGATCAAACGTTTGTATATCAGTAATGAGTCACGACTAATATATAAACTCGTAGGTTCAACTGAACGGGAGGGGACAAGACATAAACCTGGCATCGCAAAATGCAGAATAAATGGTATCTATAACTCATCTTCTCTATCCACATGTGTCACTATAGGGATACGATTAGGAAACTGCGGAATGTTCCAGTAGTACGAGCAGGCTTTTGAACGTTTGATGCGCTCGGAAGGACTCCCGTTGGGTCACGAAAGGATCAAGCTATGGAACAAGAGAGAGCGGAAAGCGTTAAATAATCTATTCCACTACGGGTAGAGTCACTATGGTGACAGTTGAACATTGAAGGACGACCGGGCGCTCACTTGGTTCTACTAGAATGGTAGCTCGTACGTAGCATTATAGTAAGGATCAGTGCACAGCCAGAAAACCAGAACTGCCGGATCATTTCAGAACACATGCAGACGTCACATAATAGTCAGGTAACACCGCCGTCACAGCAGTGGGATAGAATCAATAAGCTGCTGCCTAGGAATGGGTAAGCTGAATGTCAGTATGAGAAACATAACGATAGCAGGGAAGTCTAATAAAATGTCTGTAGATCTTAAAGTTTAAAGTTGTAGGTCCGTCTTTGATGATGCACGCTGAGCTTTTACAGCTCGTCGCTCTCCATCCCTGGCCCTTCGACTAGCACGCTCGATCGCGTCTTTCCACGATAAAGCCTCTTTGTTTGAAGTTGCTCGCAAAACAATGGTATCGCCACCACGTGGGTAAGCAAGGTGCAGGCGAAGCAGAGAGTCCTCTATAGCACAGTAAATTCAAGGTCGTGATAGGTAGAAATGTTACAAACCGCGCTCGTTTCTCGACCCCTTTATTTGCACTTCGTTGAGAGGTATAGGCTATCGCACCCGTCAGCACCCACCTAAATTCCGACAATGGCGACAAAAACACTCACAACACGATATAAACCTTTTCCCCCTTCGTGTGTCAGGACGAGGATGTCGCTGCATAGGAACAGACGAAGTTTGCGTCCGCTTTTGGCTTTGCATATCACCCCTTCCTTCAAAAGCTTTCGCGGTCCCAGGTGTCGTGTTGGAGCGGTGAGATCAAGGTGACTAGGAAGGCAACTCAGCGCCATCAGGAGCAAATATAGAAGACACACGTACCCCTGTCCAATCCACAGATCCTTGCTAATCTCGCTCAGCCTTTCCCTCCCTTCTTGCTCTCGTATTGTCTCGTTCACGTGCTCCAGAATTTTCTGTGCTGCTTTCAACGCAGCACTGATGTTTTTTCGTTCCTCTGCATCGCCCGGGAGCTGGATGGAGGCTGCTAGAGGTTGTCCGTTAGTTACGTTTTGGATAGAAGTATCGGTTGTTGAGGGGTGGTCTGTGTATTGAAGGATTTGGCGGATTAGAAGAGGGTATCGCGTGAGGCGTTGCACTGGAATAGGAGGTCAGCTACTGGGGGCTATTACGTCTGGTATCGAATGAACGTACTAGGTACAAGAAGATAATGTGATAGATCAAGATTTCGGGCAGAAGGGTCATCGCGGAGGCGCTGAGATAAAGGTCAGTAAACAGCTAATAAAACGTTGGCAGCATACCTGAAGTTGAGTAGCAAGGTCAGCATTGCTGTCTCTCATAGACCGAAGAACCTTAGCAGCATTGTGCTGATTCACGCAATACGACTAGAAAAGGTGAATAAAACGATGTGCAAACCAAGGGAACACACACCAGATAGAGGTGCATGTTAGGAATGTGAGTCTCCAGAACATCGCCGATGTGGTCGATGTAGAGCCGACAGTCTTTCTGACGTTCTTCGAGAACAGAAAGGAATGTCTACAAGAATGTTAATCACAACCAATAAGGGAGGGCATAAAGAACGTACAGTATTAGTGAGTAGTATGTCTTCAATATTGGCAAATATAACAGTGGTCGCCTTCTCTCCGAGCGTACCCATAAGTCGAGAGTAGAATAACTATCATAGTAACGTGAGTAATCTGAACACAACAATATTAATAACACTCTGGACCATACTTCAACGATGAGCTGCAGGTCGCGAACGTAATCTGCTTCGGTAGAAATAAGTTCGAATATCGCCTGCAGATCGTGAGACACAACAACAACACTGCAAGTACATTATCTCACTTCTTGTCGCCGCCGCTCCATCTTAGGAATTCCCTCGAGTGCTGACTTGTCCACCAAGCTCGCCCATGACTACTCACCTCAATACGGCGCCCGGTGACAGCAAAAAAAGACACGCACCGTGCCAAAACTAGGGTTCTCATCTCCAGTCTCACCACAAACAGGCGTATTGACAATAGGACCAGATATGACCAACGTTTTCTTCTCAGGTTCCGGCGTAGTCGACCTATTCGTATGTCTCCCCAAAAAGCTCAAAAATTGCGACGTACGACTCTCCCAATCTCGATGGGTAAGACTAGGCGCCAAAGACACAGCAGGCGAGCGCGGCGGCGACGAAGGAGAGGTATCAAAGGATGAGACAGACATCCTATTGTTGAAGTTCCCATTCGTCTTCTTGAAAACGTCGTACCGATCGAAAGCGTCGTCCAGACGAGACGTCGAATCGAGTTCAGTATCTGTCAAGTCGACAGTTGGCAATGGCGGAAGATTCTTGGAATCCATTGGTGCTATGGAAACCCGCTGAGGAGTCACGGGGGGAGGACGGCGCTTCTGTACTGAGGGATTAGGCGACGCCATCACACTCGAGCTCGTATCTACAATCAGACCCGCCGCCTCCAACACTCGTTGACGTTCAAGCTCTCGAGCGTGTTCGTCCTCAATAGTCCCATCCTCAGACCCTTCTGAATCGTCCTCTGATTCATCCATCGAATAATAGTCTTCGCCCTCATCGGAAGACCTGTCAGCGTGGTCGTCCTCATTAGGTGATCCACTGACAGCTGCTGCTCCCAATATATCAGGACGTTCGGCGCTGTCAATGTTAGTCGACGGCTTCTCATGCGGGTTCACGCGCACGAGTTGTGGAGATCCGGCGGCTGTTAGCAACGAAAATGGTATTTCCGAATCGTACATGTAAAAGAAAAGCAAAAGAATAGATTTTAGTCTAGTTGCCAACGGCGATCAAAGTTAAGAGGAAAACTCAAGGGGAAGGCGACAAAATCCACGAACCCTCTACTATCTCCAGGTAAGCTGCTGGCACGATAAAGACGATCCCATCTCGTTCAGCTTTCCACCAATCTGCTTCGCCTCTATCTATGATGGAGAGTTCGTCGCCTTCGGCAAAGGGAAGTTCATCTGCGTTCCCTCCTGCGTACGAGTACAACGCATTTGCTTTCACTACATACGCGATGAACATATTGAAAGAAAAGTACACTGATGTTTGCGCACCTGATTCCACCTTCTGCACGTATGTTTGTGGGAAGAATCCAGATTTGCCATCCTTCACGATGGTGCCATACCACCAGTCGCCTCCTGTCTTGGAGGGATGAGCAGTAATGATCAGATTCTCAACAAAACCTAACAAGATAATCAGCGATCAGTCGGACAGATCAACAACAATCATACTAAGATCCTCAGGTTTCTGTCCTTCATACGGGTAAAGCGACCACACACGGAACTCTAGAAAACAATCAGCTCAAATTCACCCTCTATCCTATCACTGCTCACCAATGGACTTATCAATATCATCCATCATATCAGCCGTTGCCTCAGACGCTTGAGTCTCTGGGATCACAGACGCCTCCTCAGCGGGCTCCTCCTCCTCCTCGATAGTGGCTGGCAAGTGGTGCACAGCGCCTTGGTCAGCAGCAAGGCCAGTATACCAGTCAACCGATTCCTTCTTACTGTGTCCTGAAGTTGACTCTCTAGTCATTTGGGGTGCCTCAGCGACGGGTTCTTGGAGCGAAGGAAGCACAAATGTTACCGGGGAGATAACAGGGGGAGGCGACGCTGGACGGGGCGCAACATTGATATGAGGAGGAGGAGCGATATCACCGATAACTTTGCCAGAGGCCGCTGCAGCACTGCGGTCATGAGTAACAGCCTTCCTTAATTTTGCTCCTCCTTGAATAGCACTCAAGAGGGCATTGCGATCGCCAGTTGAAGCTGGGGGTGCGATATCGACTGATGGTGGTGGGGGTGCAAATGGTGCGGATGGTGGAGAGGGTGCAATAGGTGCGGGTGGCGGCGGAGGTGCAGAAGGTGGCGACAGAGGGGCAGGACTTCGAGATTTCTCAGGTCCGGCAGATTGTGGCCTTGAAGGCAACAAGTTCCCAAACAGCTGCTGCGCCAACCCCATACGCGTATCCCTCGAACCCAATTCCTCATCACTACTATCATTCTCTTCGTTTTCCATGACATCATCCCAGTCATCTTCACTATCACCCCCAGCCGTGTTGTAGGTCGTTTTGCTCGAAGGTCCAGGACTTTTGGGGGGTGCGGGTGCGGTAGGTGGAGGCACAGGATTGTTGAGGAAAAAGGGGTTACTGCTACCGTTGCTCGCTGCAGGGGTCGAAACAGTAGATCCTCCCTCCTTCATCATTCGACTGAAGGGATTGGTACTCGACTTATTTACAGGCAGTGCGGGTGGTGGTGGCGCTGGTGGTGGAGCAGTAATGGTAGGCACTACTTCCTCAGGCCCAGACTTAGGCTCCACTGGAGGAGCAGGGGGTGGTGGCGGCGGCGGAGGAGGAACGAAAGCAGGCGGCGGCGGGACAGGAGATGTAGGTGTAGCAGGCGTAGTAGGGGATGCGGCAGATTTACTAGCCAAGAACTGCTTTCGGCGTGCCAGGTATAATTCTTCAGCACGACGCGCCTCCTCCTCCTCTTCCTCAAGCTTGCGGAGGAGGGCAGCACGGTCTTCTCGTTTCTGGCGAAGGGCTGCCTCACGGGCTTTGAGATCTGCATCCTCTAGGTCTTCTTTGGGTACAGCAGGTGCTACGGGAGCTGGCGGGGAAACAGCAGTGTGCACAGGGGTCAGAGCTGGGACTGGGGGAACAGGAGCAGGTGGGGGTGCAGAAGATGAAGTCGCAGACGGGCGAGAAGCAAAGCCCTTCCTCGGTGGGGGTGGTGCTGGTGCACGGGACTTCGAAGCTGGCGACGCGACCTTGGGTGCAGGGGCAGGAGGTGGGGCGGTGGTAGTGGGTGTCGGCACAGTAGGAGTAGGCGTAGGCTGAAGAGTCGCCTTGCCTTCCCTAAGAGCCTTCTCGCTTTCAAGTCGTTCCCTCCTAAGCCTCTCGCGCTCTTCAGCCTGTCTCTCAGCTTCCTTGGCTTTCTCCTCTGCTTCCTTCTTCTCCTGAGCTAGTCTGTCTTCAACGCTCACATCCAAGGTAGGTGATACAGTCGAGGATGGGGTAGAAACGCCTAGAGCTTGCATACGTTCTTCAAGACGTTTCTTAGCTTGCGCTTGGACAAATGCTTTGCGCTCTTCAGGCGTCATGTGTTTCACTCCCGGAGCAGGCGAGCGGCTGGGAGCTGCTGGTGGTGGTGGTGGTGGAGGTTGCGATATGTTGTTTGCTGGAGCAGCAGGCGGCGGCGGGGTACGCGTTGATGTTGACAGACTGCGATCCAGATCCAGATCCCGGTCGTCATGGCGGTCACGGTACGACCTATCCCTGTCGTAGTCTCTGTCATCCCTATCGTACCTCGATGCACTGCGAGAATAAGGTCTATCGCGGTCATCATCTCGATACCGCATGTAAGGCGAACGCCTGCCATCAGTATCGTCAAAACGACCAGATCTTTCGTTCCTTCTATCACGCTCTCTGGCGTATTCGCGATTTTCCCTCTCTTTCCTCGCCTGGCGGTCCTCGATCTTGCGCTCGAGCTCAGGTACACGCTCGTGCATGAGCTGCATAAGCTCTCTCTCCAACCTCCTACGCTCCTCCTCTTTGTTCGCGCTCCTCGGACCGCGGGAGACATAGTCCAGATCTTCTTGCAGCCGCTTAATGCGGTACCGTAGATCACTCATCTCACGATCAAGTTCATCGTCGCCGGCGTCTGCTACTGCGCCTGCATCGAGCATCTTTTGCGTGTTAGCAAGTTGACGTTTTATATCAGACATATCTGCGGCAGGACTATTATCTTCATTGCGTGAGCGCACAGTGCTGCGGTCGATGTGCCTGCTGCGAGGCTGGTAGAACCCGCCAGGAGGCTCTGCGTCGGTGTGCTTGTAGACTGTAGCATCTTGTCGTCCGCCAGCACCTGGCGCAGATGTAGAATTGAATGAGCGCTCTTTGAGACGCGAGACAGGAGTGTCGAGACCCAATGGTGAGCGGGCGCGTGTATCGTTCTTGAGAATGTCCTTGAGGAAATTAACAGAGGTATCAAGATCTCGGGAGGAAGGGGGGATGAGTTCGGGTGGGAGTTCGTCAGGTATGTCATTGCCATTAAGTTCTGGTGTTGCATTAGCCGTGAAGTAAACGAGGAAATACAAGGACATACTGCGGTAGATCAGGCCCATGGCTACATGGAATTCAGCAAGGTTGAGCTTGCCGCGGTTATCAGCATCAGCAAGGGTCCTAGATGAACATTAAAGATTTGATGTATAATAAAACAATTTTCATAATCACCAGATGCGAGCCAGTTCGTTCTTTTCGATTCCGCTCTGGCCAAAGACCTCGAGTGCAGTCTGACCGCTAATGAAACCAGTACCTTGGGCATCCCAGGATCTGAAAATCTGGTCATATTGCTTCTTTTCGCCTTTGGAGAGCGTCCATGGGATCTTGGGAGCAGACCCTATGCCTCGTGCCTGATTATGTTGCTGGAAGGACTGCTGCAAAGATAGACCGCCCAACTGTTGCTGGGGAGGGGCAGCAAGCTGTGGAATTCCTCCAGCACCATATGGTGCAGATATATTGGCAGGTAAGAACGAGCTAGACATCATCTGCAACCTTGGATCTACAAAGCCAGTTACTTGGGGTATCAAGGGCGCAGCAGTCCGACCGGCAAAGCCTGTTGGCTGGGGTACGAGGCCTGTGTTTCCACCGAATCCCGAGGGAGACGGACCTCCGAACCGCTGTGGATTTGCGAACGCAGTCTGTTGAGGTAACTGAGGCTGCTGCTGGAATTGACTTGGGATGGGCGGAACAGGTGGAGGCTGTGGACGACCCTGTTGCGCAAAGCTACTCTCACCTGGAAAACCCGTAGGCTGGGCTTGCAAGACACCCAGTCTAGAGGGACCTGGGCCGAGGTAGCCTGTCTGTTGAGGCTGCTGGTAACCCTGCTGTGGTCGTGGGCCTGGAAACCCAGTAGGCTGTGGAGCTATTCCACCAGGCTGAAAACCGCCACTATTTATCCCTCCAGGCTGGAAACTGGGTTGCTGCTGAAATTGAGGATTCTGGCCAGGCTGAAACTGTTGCTGCTGTTGACCTGGATAGCCCGTGGACATGGGATACTGAAATCCAGGTTGGCCCCACTGCGACATCTTGCCAGATTGCGGCTATGCAGATTCGAGCTGGTATGAAGATCAAGAATGAAAGAAAACAGGTCCCGTCGCTGTTGCACACGGTGATGAGACCCTTTAAAGCGGAGATTGCGCAGTTTTAAGTTCAAATTTAGAATTACAATTATGTAAATCTATGTAATTGATTGGCTACATCTAAGTGGATTGTCTCGCGGAACCATCACCTTTCTCAAGTATTTCGGCCCCCTAACTTAAAGCTCTCGAAAACAAGACACGTTTGTTAGCTCACTTACAACAGATGTCAAGACCTTCAGCACCGTTCGGTAAGGTATTTGTGTATAGGGTTAAGCACCTTGCGTCGTGCGTCTTCTACTGCCACACCATGCCCGACCTGCGGCAGTCTCCCGCCGTCGTGACTAGGCTACTCCCAGTGCGTCACGCGATAGGCTAACCACAACTCCATGAAGCCCGGCGCTGCCTCAAAACCTCGAAACCTCACGCTGACTCCGGTCCCCGCGCCAGAACCTGACTTCCCGAGACCCTCCTGCCATGGCTTCCTGCTAATCAGATCAAGAAAATGGCGGAGTGCTCATTCTAGTCAGTAAATAGCATAATACAAGGCGTGCTTCAGGCATCATAAGTAAATTTTATCACTCCCAGAATAACATAAAACAAGGAGACAACATAATTTATTTCTAAGCAAAAAAATGAAGGAGACATCTCTGATTTTGAAGCTCGTCCAACTTCAACGAAAGATCTCGAAATGGCCAACACGTCTAAGTCGTTGCTGTTCGCAAGTGCGAGGTGGTTACGTTACCGGCTTCGTGTTTTGTAATACCTGCCGGTAATGATGTGGATAAGACAAGCATTATACCTGGAACAGATGTGATTGAGGTCAGAGACATCTTAATGCTGAATAATTCGGTGATAGCGTGTCCAACATTGTCGGAAGGATATTGCATGATGAATTTGGCAGAGAGAAGGTAGGCTTTGGCGGAGAAGGACGAGGGCAGCGAAGGTGACGGACGAGTGGTGTTTGAAAACCTGACTTTGGAGCTAGAAGAGCACAGATGGCGAGTACTATTCTAGACCAGTAAAGAGATAGGCAATGAAGCCTAGCAGCGCGAGTTGTGAATCGAGTCGAATGGTGTTTAAATCGCGCCTTTCGTGCAGACGAATCATCCTTGACGCTGGCGAGCGCCAAAATGTTGTCCCGTTCGTGGTCAAGGAGGTTGTGCCGCCGTTGTTCCTACCAGTCGAAACGGTAAGTCGGAGGCAAATTACCAGCTGACGAGGTTTTCGAGGTCTTGACATTATGTTACGCTGCCGCATCGGTCTAGTGTTGCTGCCGAAATGAACTTGAAGTGGCTTCCGCTTCACGTCCAAAACTTTGTCCCGAAGTCAGTCGAAGTGGTGCTTCGTTCATGTCCGATCACTTGACGCACATCTCTCGTATAATTAGCTAAGACCCGAAGATCTGCGGCATTAGAACTTATAGAAGACTAGAAGTACAAGGAGCTAGGACTTCCTATGGCCGAATTTTGAAGCCTAAAGTCTCGATAGAAACATGTCCTACCGTAGTCGTTGCTATAATAAAAAATACCTGGGCGTTCCAGCATGAAGCCATCAATGATCAGGCGATCGAAACAGAGCGTGGCAGAAAAACCTTGCACTTTTCCAGATGATGAACTAGTAGAAGAAGGGGTGCGTCGGTAGCGGACTCGGAGAAGGCCAAAACCACGGAATCCCGTTGGCGAGCATGCACAGCACAGATAGGAGTGATCAGCTACGCACAGCGATTCTCCTGCGCCAAACGCTCATCCTCGTGACTACGACTTGCAATTTTTCGTTCTCAGTGTCGCTGTAAATTAGGTTGTTCAGCTCGGGACAAGAGTTCGTATAATGATAAACAATGAAGCACCTGCGCCACCCTTGCATTCAAGAATTGCTGAAATGCAATGAGTGTCCGGTAAATACAGTGAGTTCACGGATGTGGCAGGCCAGATCGTTGCCAGTCTCAGTACGAGATCAAGCATTTAAGACGGGGCGGCCATCGAAAGGTATATATAGAAGGCGGATGCACTGCGAAAGCAGGTCAACAGATAGAGTGCACAGACAACAAACAAGAGACTCGGTTGGAAGGGCAGACCATGGAACATGAGAATGACTAGAAATAACAGAGTGGATATGTGCACATTATAATTAAAACAGTGGTAGACACCAGAAAATGAATCGATCCCCCACCTGACGCCAATAATTGTGTTGGAATTCATACTAATCAGTGAATCAACGAGTTCTTGCTGACGATTTTGCAGAGGTACTACAGCAATTCAACAGTTAGATGAGAGAATACAACTATAAATACAGTCAACAAACAAGTGAATAAAGGAACTTGAAGGCATGTAACATTCCCGAACGTGAATGTATTCCAAACTGGATTATTCTAGGAGGCTCCCGCGACATACAGAGCAGTAGCCACTGTCAAAGATCTAAGATGCATGTTGACTTCATCCCATTTCCTATCCTTGCTATGAACTCTGTCGACGCCAGGAAGCCAGGCAGAAATGATGCGAGCGAGAGTTTCGGCAGTTGTTACTTGAAACTGAGATGTCTCCAATTCCAATGATCGTAGGGCGGTATGTTGTATTGGCTCAGCATCAGGATCGATGTCGATAGTTGTAACATTGATTGGAACTTGCAGTGTATGCAATTGTGGACATAGACCGAGCATTGTAAATAATCCATGGAGGGAGACTGAAAAAGGATCAAGACACGAGCTGTTGATATGCAGAGTGCGGATGTGCGGCCAAGTGGACATGGCTTGCAAGAGAATGTCACTGTCCAGGTAGATGCAGAAATTACAAAGCGTGAGATCCAGGGTTCGGAGCTGTGTGAAGCAAAGGAGATGCGGAATTACTGAAAAAGAGGTGTCTTCCTGGAATTCATCATTAAAAGCACGAACAGAGATTCTCTCTAGAGTCTGGCATGCCGTGCAGCGGGACAACGCACGAAAGAGTTGCTCGGCCTTTTCTGGATATATAACTTGGACGTCTAAGTCGAACTCTTTCAGCGAGGGGAATTGCGAGTGTTGCATGACTGTGATGATGTATCCAATATCGCACAGCTCTCGGAAGGAAAGAGTCGTGATATTGACGAATGGTGGTAAATTGACGATATCCCGTCCCAACGGCGAAGGAGAGACACCTCCATGATTAATTTCCATTCTGAGAAGGGTAGGGAGGTAGGAGATGTGCTTCCATGCTTCCCAGTCGAGCATTAGACAAGACAGAGTTACAAGCCGCGTGCACAAACGGATCCTATCAGCTAGCAGGGAGAGCTCATCTGCCATCCTGGTATCAGCATACACATCAGAAGCATAGATGCGTAAGTGCTCCAAAGCAGTGCAACGTATTGCAATAGATTGCAGATTCTCATTGGCAGTCAATAGATGACATTGGTGCAGCGTATGGGGCAGGAAGAGATCCAAATATTTGGTAGAAAGCGTTAACGACCTCAACCTTGGAAATACGCATGCTTCGGCAGGGATGCCAGAGAGAAGGTGAAAATGATGATCGGATTGTATTTTCAATGTGCGAATACGCGCGGAGTGACGCAGAAATTGATGGACCTCATGGGCAGATAACGGTTCGACGCCTATCATCCAGGGCTTGCACTATTATGTTGATGCTCAGTTAGCCGGACAGAAACGAACAAATTTAATGGAGTCGTGCACTGACCCTTGTACTGCCACTACGATATATCAGTGGATGCAACCTCGTTACACAGCCTAGCAAGGGTTCTAGGTGATTTATTTCAGCCCACAGCAAATCCATCGCGGGCTCGTGGAACATTTTGCATGTGATTGCAAGCGCTGCAAGAGATTTCCGAGCCGATGTTATTCGAGTGAATGAGGATTTATTCACATGGGTGAATACCTCCAGGAGGACTTCTGGAATAATTAAAGCTTGATGCATCACTAGTAGAGTCAAGACTCGGTCCAGAAACTAGGCTCGTGACCAGCCTGACTTATATACCACGGAGTCACGGACAAGTCGAGTAGCGATGCCAGGCTGGTACAGATTTGTGAGGGCATTTCTGAAATTTTGGCGAGTCTGGGACAAAGTACGAGTCAAAGTCTCACCTCCAAGCGGAATATGAATGTTTCCGTGTCCGTCGCTGTCTCTCACACTGGCTCACTGTCTACAACAGCGTCAAGGCCCAAGGATTTACTTCCGTAGAGTGAGCAAGGGAATGGGCGGGCAGAGTTGAGGCGGAGCATGAACATGCATCATTCCAAGCTTAGGCAGCGCATTGATTAGGCTGATTGGCATAGCCGATCAAAGTTTAACCTCCGCAGTGCCGGTTGGCTGCCGTGGTGTAGACCTTGGGGCCCACTGGCGCCAAATCTCTGATTTGTTTGGCAGGTGAAAGCACGGAGTTTGAAGCTTTGAAGCTTGAAGTTTAGCAGATGCCGGTCGTGCCGGTGGTAATCAATCGCATTTGAGACTACTTATTGTGAATAATACATCGTTGTTCAGTGCATCACCTCAGACATTTCGTCAACTTCCGTTTCGTCATGACTTCCCGCAGAGCCACGGCGTAAATTTTTTGACACAAATCAATTTTTTGGTGAATAGGAGCTATACGCGTCTGGTAATCGATGGAGCAAATTGATTGACGTAAAGACTGATTGTGCAAAGACCACTGAATTCCGATCACGTTTAAATCAACCATCGCATGCGTCTGGTCGGAGCGCACACCACTGCGGCTGGAGTGGGATGGCATTGACGCCGCGCTGTACCATCCTGTACCTGATATCCTGTAACATTCATATGTCATTTAAGTGGTGCTTACACATCAAGCACTACTCACATGCAAACGAGGAAGTGCCTCAGTGACGTTGAGTGCAGCGCCAGTGGGTTGCTTCCCACTCCAAAAGATTTCTGCTGATGATGCAGCACGTGGCCACACGATCGGGTCGATATTTTGGGGACCAGACTGCTCACTCCATAGAATTTGCTCGCCTGCAAATTGCTCAGAAAGATCGATTTAACCTCGAGACTAGATTGTATTTACCTCCGAGAACAAGCTCGTATTGCGCCTCGGTCAAGTTTGCCAACGGATCGAAGGTATATGCCTAACGAAACATTGCGGGATGCGCGGTAATCATGAACATTCACACTTGCCTCGGACCAGGTCTTGAAGGGGCTGCTACTTCTGTTCTCCCGAGGGATGCCAATTCAGACCGAGTACATTCGAAAAGATGAAAACTAACCCAGTTGGGTTGTCTCCCAGCCACTCACCAGCACCGGTATCCTGGGATAATAAGGATATCGTACTTTGTAGAAGAACTCGTCAACTAACCAAATAGAAGTAATTTGATGGTGCTTGGATGATCCTGAGACCCCTTTCTGCCACTGCTGCAGCATCTGCGGAAGAAATCCAAATCCTTTCAGTACAGCTGAATCAGCGAAGTTAGATCATGATAATATGGTATTTACATCACAATAGTCCTCGTTTGAGAGTGTGATATTCCAGTCGAGGACCATTTCTGGACGACAGTCTCCATTTAATACTGACATTCAAAGGAAGAAACGGAGTACATACCTTCCCATACAACAGGCGTCTTTCCTTGTGCAATGAGTGCACCATGAGTGGTCTGTGTGAACCTGTCAAGAGCACCGTTCAGCGTCATGCCGGTCATGTTGAGCTGCTGCTGCGTGAGGTAGGTCGTCGGCATAACAGTTCTTGTTGATTTCATCGCCCCCGGTGCTAAAATAGTATGAAGGGAGGGTCTTCGCTGACATCGGTGAGCAAGGAAGTAGTGAAGTTCATGACCTCTGGGAGTGCAAAACGAAGCTGACCGGCAGGGGGCTCGCCAGGCAAAGTCTGCCCATGGGCTAGCGTCAAAGCATGCAACATATTCGGGATAAGTGGCCCCAATGATAGCAGTGTGGCCGGGTGTATCGATTTCCTGGTAGGATAGTTGAGAAGTGATTCAGCAAAATTGACTGATGAGTACTCACCATCATAACATCGATACCTCTCTGCGAGAGCACAATGATGAAACAGAAGACCGTGAGAAAGGGAAACACGTACTGCAGCAGCATACTGCACGATGTGTTGGACATCGCTTGCTGTGTAAACTTCTTTACGAGAGTATGCGCCGTTGATGGCAAGCTCGGGATACTGTGCAACTTCAAGTGGAAAACTTTGACTGTCCGTGATATGCCAGTGGAAAGTGTTGATCTGTCTAGCTTGTGAGGGATGACAAGACAAGACGCTGGGAGAGCACCCGCCTTCACCCAGCTCATCGCGTCCAAAGTTCGCAGAATGTCGCTGACCGCGTAGTAGTTCCTCGAGGTGTCCAGTCCTAATCCCCGGAAAGGCTACGTATATGGGTTCATGCACCTGACGCCAAAGTGCAAGTGATAGCTGCTCACATACGCAGGAGTGTCCGTGATCGCAATCGGGGCAAGTAAAGTGTAAGTTACTCCTTCAAAGTGATAGAAAATCTGATTGAAAGTGGTGAGTCCTCTGTACAGACCCAACGTCGAGTTCGCTGTCAAAGTAGCAGCCGATCCATCTGCTGGAATGGTTAGTGCGTACTCCTCACTACGGGTTCCCAGGGGCTTGACAGCTTCTGAAGAAATGGGTTGTGCAGAAGCCCCACTCGCGAGAGATAGCGTCAACTTTGAAAGCGTCATCGCGCTAGCAAGTGCGGTAGTGTCATTCGCGCCGCGGTCTACGACGAGACGTCTAAAGTTGTCATTTTCGAGATAATACTGTGATTGCGCAACCGCATCATGTAAATCCGACGGCGCGCCTTCAATCTGGACGTCAAAGTAAAATTCGGGGGAAACTTTAAGGGCGGCCAGCCCGGTCTCGAGAGTAGTTGGGATGGGCCAAAGAGCCTGCACACCAAAAGGAAGGATGCATCCTGCGACAAGTGTCAGGAAAATAAGGTAGGGAGAAAAGGCCATGAATCAAGAAGCGCGGGTTAAAAGCGCAACCAGTTCACCTGCAGTTGCTTACATCAAGTCATAGCTACTGAGAGGTGAGGGGTTATATGCACTTTCAAGATGCGTACGTAACCTCGAAGAAAGATCAACCAAGAATTCCAATGCAAGTAGAAATTTTGCATGTGTTCAGCGCTGACAGGTCCGGCGTGGTCCGTGAACGGCCTCCGGAAGTTTGGATCATCCATATTCAAGAGGAAGATAGTTCAGAACTCACTGGTTGACCCTATATTCGAGTACCTGATGAGTTATAACTTATCAGTGTCGCCTCAATGTTTGCATTTCCAGTAGTAGCGATTCGAGCTGTTCTCAACTCCTTCCTAGGCGTTTGAAATTGTCGTTGATGATCAGAGACACAAGGGGAGGGGGCGTCCTCCAGCACGCACCATCTTACGTTAGGGACGTCAGTTTTGATGTTCTATTGGATTCAAACTGTGTCACCAGATACATTGGAGTTCTGCCAGGTTCTGCCACCCTCCCTTCCCATGAGTTCTGCCGTGGAACAGGCACAACCAATCTTACCAGACCAGTTGGCAGAACTAGAAATTCACCAAACTTTGATGCAAGTAAGGAGATCGCCTCGTTGCGAGCGGGAGAGGGAACTGGCGCAGAAGCACACTGTAGCAACATTCGGATGCCTGAAACTCACACGGAGGAATAGCACGGGTTCAAAAGCGAGGGAATGCGTAATGATAACTGAGACGCCATCAACATGACCACTAAACAGTCTCAACTCAACAAAAAAAAATAGTGGCGAAGCGAGTCGTGATATAAGACAAACTTGAAACCGTGAGAACAAGCCATAGTTTCGTGGGAAAGTTGTGGGAAAGCATCGTGTCATCGTCCAAGCCCCATATAATCTGCGCTGAGCATTCATCTGACCCACTTGCTAGTAGCGTGCTGTCCGCAGAGATATGCATGCAGCTCACTTCTAGCGAATGGCCTCGAAGTGCTCCCAGAATTCCCATCTCAGGCTTTCAAAGCTCTACTTATCTTGACGATCACCAACAGTCCGTCGATATTGCCATTGCCATATATCTGCCCTGTAGATATCCCGCACTTACTCAACTTCTCTACCCCCTTATAAGCGCTATCGCAGCCTGATCCATCTGCTGGCCATTGGGGAAGTAAGATATGGCTGTAATACCTGGCATATCATCCGCCGATGTTGTCACCGGTGCCAGTATTGTATTTCCGCATAGAACTCCATCGATGTGGAATTCATGGTCGCGTGATGCATCTTGAGTAAAACCGCAGTTGAGTAGCCAAGACATTTCTAGAAGCCTCGAAGCTGTTTTCGTGCGCTGTTATCCTAACGCTTATGGCAATTTTGAAGATAACAGCACGTTTCCTGCTAAGCTGATGGTCAGTTCACTCATGCTGACATCTCAGATGAGAGTTTGATGTTACAAGTGATAAGCCAAATTGATGAGCGAAGGCTTCTTGAATGTCAGCATATTTCGCTCATAGACATCACCGAAAAGCTGCACTGATTTTGAATCCGGTTCACTGCGCTGACACAACTTGAAGCATTAGCTGACTCTGCTGAGTGAGCATGTCAGCAGCTGACTCTGCTGAGTGAGCATGTCAGCAGCTGACTCTGCTGAGTGAGCATGTCAGCAGCTGACTCTGCTGAGTGAGCATGTCAGCAGCTGACTCTGCTGAGTGAGCATGTCAGCAGCTGATATGCTAGCCATGGCCGAAATCCTTGCATCAGAGCATCAATCTCATGTCTCTCGGACTAGTTTCCTCATACCATCAATCCAATCGTCCTGGAGTAAATGCTTACCCAATCCGTCCACTTCCTAGACCAACCCACGCAACATTAGATGCACATAGGGCTGAATACAAAGCCTCGTACTCCTTATCATCCTCACCGTGAATCCGATCGATGCATCTCAAAAAAGACGACCGACACTTTCATCAAACTTGTGACTTCACATATCTGACACTGCTCTCGTTTCGATATCTGCCACGATGGGTCCCTCTAATATTCATGCACGCAGCGTCCTGGAAAACTTCTTTTGTGTCCTTGTAAGATTTGCAAACTCCATTTCTTTTGCGCTCTCCAGATGAACATTGTTATCAGTCATGCGTGCAATAGTTGGTACGATACGCCTAACTAACGTTGAGGTAGTCAACGATCACGTTTCGATAGCCGAATCCCATTGGCTGTTTAGACAATATGATTATCTAGGTGATGCTATCCGAGATCGGTTACACACATTTCTTACAAGGTTTTACTACAATGCTTTGAACGCATCGCGGTACCGAGTCATCTCGACACCAGAAGAGTGAGCGAAAGACAGTGCGCTGGGCTTTTGTGATCGTGTTGTCACAGCTTCGATCGCATCGGATGCGAGGCATGAGCTGCGGACGATATGCAGGACGAATTTCTCGAGCGTGAGATATGCAGTATTTTCAATTTCCTGTCGTGATGATATTTAGGATCGTTGCTCTTCAGTAAAAGATAGTGCATGCCTCTGATATCTGTTTTATAATTGCAGGGTAGTCCACTTCGTGCACACCAGATCTCTCGTAGAATGTAATGTTCGTAATCACTCTCTGCTTTGCGAGGCGTTCAGGGGGATTAACGCCAATCAGCACGGGCATGACAAGGTCTTTGACAGACACCTTTGCAGTCTGCTGCGAGCTGTCTTGGCCTCTCGGTGTAATCACCTCGATCTCAAAGTCGTTCGCAAGTAAAATCTGTTTCGGTAGGCCGATGACGACGCGCACGGCATCCACATTCTCTTCAGCCAGAGCAAATGCTTTCTGAGTAACCTCATGCACGAGTGCACGAACATCGGTATAAGATTCCGAGAGCGATGAGACGGCTTTGGTGAGATGGCCATAGTGGATGGAGTCTATGACATTGTCGGATTGGCCGGAGATCTGAAGGAAAGAGGGTTTGAGATGGAGGTGGACGGTGATGAAAACGGGCTGTTCGCGCAGGCGTCCCCAGCAATCTTCGCCAATGTTTGCCGTGAGCTGGATGGTGTCAACGAGCACGACATCGGTGGTGGTGGGCAAGGACATTGGACGGTCAGCAGCTGCGTGGGAAATTCCGTCATTTGGTCCGCGGACAAAGTCTAATTCGAGGATTTCTACGGATTGAGTGCAGCAAGTCTTTGGAGATAACTACAAAATACTTAATATAAAGGCGTCAAAATACATGTAATACATCGATTCGACAGCGAGACTCGAGGGAGAAAGCAATTGCAGCTATAGTAAAAACCACCATGCCAACAATGACAGACACTGACGAACGAACACGAATGAATGTAGCCACTCCAGGATGTTCCCGCACATGAATATCCCATGTTGAAGTCAGGTATTCAAGGTGGCTCCTATATCATGCAGCGCAGCAGTTCTTAATGATACGAGATGTGTGTTGACTTCATGCCAAGCCTCCCAATAACTGACCTGGTCGACACAGGGGAGCCACTTGAAAATGATGCGAGCGAGAACTTCAGCATTTCCTAGAGATTCGGATGCTTCCAAGTGCAACTTTTTTAAGGAGGTATGCTGTATTGGCTCAGCATCAGGATCGATGTCGATGTTCACGGTGTCAATTAACACTCGCAACGATTCCAACTGAGGACATTGACGGATTGCGGTGAATAATCCGCGGAATGTAACGGAAGGTGCGATAATGCAATCTTCTATTTTCAGAGTTTGGATGTGCGGCCAAGCTGACATGGCTTCCAACAGAAGGTCGTTGTCAAGGTGGATGCAGGAATCACAACTACTAAGGTGCAGGCTTCGGAGCTGTGTGAAAGAAAGGAACTGTGGAATCACTGTTAAAGACTTGCTTTGGGGGTCGTCATATTCCTCAAAGATAACAGTGAGTCGTTCCAGGGTCTGTTTGCAATGGGACAGCGCACAAAACAGTGGCTCAGCCTCTGTCGAAGCCAGAACGTCCATATCGATCCAGAAACTTTTCAATGAGGGGAAATGTAACTGTTGCAGCATGGTGGTCGCATATGCAGCATTGTTTACCGAGAAGGAAAGAGTCGTAAGGTGAAGGAATGGCAAGATATGCGGTCCCAACAGCCGAGGAGGGGTGCCATGACGAATGCAAACTTTGATTTTCACCAGGGTACGGAGGTTGGAAAGGTGCTCCCATGTTGCCCAGTCAAGGGGTGGACAAGACAAAGTTACAAGCTGGTTGCACAAACGGACGTGGTAAGACAGCGTGAACAGTTGATCTACTGTGTTCTTGTCAGAATTCTTGTTTTAATAGATGAGTTCAACAAAGCAATACCAGAAATCGCATGATATGGATCACCAGGAAATACATGACAATGGTGCAGGGTATGGGACAGGAATAACCCCAAATATTTGGAAATTGGAAGACATAACCACCGCAGCCTCGGAAACATGCATATTTCGACGGGAATGACTGAGATAAGCGGGACAAGGCGATCGTCAGAGAACAGTATGGTCAGTGAACGAATCCGGGTGGAGTGACGCAAACATTGACGGGCCTCGTCAGCGGATATTGGTTTGATGTGTGCTGCCCACTGAGGGTCCCAGTCTCGCTATTCAGTAAATGTTGAGTCGATCCGCCGATGAACGAAAAGAAGTAAACAGAACGGGAGCCCAAAATAGTCTGCACTCACCGATGCACGATCATAATACACCAGTGGATGTAGCCTCGTTACACATCCCAGCAGTGGCTCTAGGCCATATACATCAGCCCACAGCAAATCCATTGCGGGTTCGTGGAAGGCTTTGCATGTTGCTGCAAGCGATGCAAGCGATTTCTGACCCGGAGACACTGGCGGCTTGTTGGCAATATTCATATGCGGTTCGCGATCCACGTAGTATGTGAATATGTACAGGAGGACATCGGAAACAAGTAAAGCCTGATGCATCAGTTCTCAGTCGATGGAGTAGTAGTACTTGCTGAGAGTGTTGCCGTTTAAACAACCCAGTTAAAGCAAAGTTAAAGAACAAAAAACGTGGGGTGAGAAACTTTCAATTCTTTCGAATCTCGCTCGGCAACTCTCAGCAGTACTCTGTATGTCATCCGAGCTCTCTGCAGCACGCTCCTCCTGCTCAAAAAGCTTTGGCAGCTCAACTAAGCCACATCGTTGACATATATACCTACTCCAACCGTCGCCAGGATTTTTGTCCGCGTCCCGCCCCTCACTGGATTCTTCAACCAGTCTCAAGTCTTACTCTCGTCCGCCCGTTCCGCTTTTGCGTTTTTTGGGAGTGCTTAGTAAGTAAACATGTGCCACTGTGGACCAGATGGATCAGCTGTACTTCCATAATACTAGGGTCGACAATTGTTAACGAGTCCATGCACGATGGAAACGCGTTTGGACGAAGCCAGAGTATTGGTTATATACACAGGCGGGACCATCGGGATGCTTGTCAGCTCGCGAGGTTACGTTCCCGAGCCTTATTTCCTCACCGACACCCTCCGGAGCCAAAAACGCTTCCATGATCCTTTGCAAGACTCCCTCTTTTCCAATGCTGCATCCGTAGAGGGCTATAGAGAATGGAGCAATAGCGGGAAGTCCACTCCAGTCAGCTCAGATAACATCACGACTCCGATTGCATCCAATCAGCCCACCCTTCTCGTCAGGTCCTCCCGCCCGATTCGTAACACAGCTATCCTTTTTCCGTCTATAGTTTCGCAGATTCAGAGAGTGATCGAGCAACCAGATTGTCGAAATGTTGCTGATGGTGTCTATGAGACACGTCTGCCGAGTCTTGTAACTCCTCGAAGTGTCGTTCCTGGACACGGTCATACGAAACGCATACGCTATGCAATTCTCGAGGTCAGTCGTCCGTATACTCTCATCACTCAGTCGATAGCTCAGAAAAATCAGTGGAATCCACTTCTTGATAGTAGCAACATGGAAATGGACGGTGCTCATCCTTTGCGTTACTCTTAGATTTCTCCCATTTACAATTTTAACTAGGATAGACTGGATCCGCATAGCCGCTGAGATCGAGCTAAATTACAATTCTTTTGATGCATTCGTAGTGCTACATGGCACAGATACCATGTCATACACTTCCAGCGCACTCAGCTTCCTGCTCGAGGATCTAGGTAAAACTGTCGTACGTCTTGCATTCTCCAATAATATGATCGTCCTCACGCAACTAGACTAGATCATTACCGGAGCTCAAATACCTCTCTCACAACTTCGGAACGACGCTGTCGACAACCTTCTTGGCGCACTGTCTATTGCAGGCAACTACATCATACCAGGTAATTTTGACATTTTGATCGTCTAGCCGTGGTTTATCGTTCGTTCTAGAATGCAGCTTGTATTTCAACCATACCTTGTACCGCGGTAATAGAGTATCTAAGGCCTCTTCCTACGACCTCAATGCCTTTCATAGCCCTAATTTTCCCCCACTTGTAAACGGTACGTAAGCACACATCGTCCTTGCACTGGTCATAAAATTTCTTTTAGTTGGAATAGATATAGTTGTTAATTGGAACGACGTCCTACGTCAGACTAGCCTTCGAAGATTCAGAGCCTATAAAGGAAAGCGTTAATGCTCCTATTCATTTGACAATTTTACTCACGTCTCCCTAAAGAAATGAGTCCCCATGTCGGTAAGCACCCACAGGATACATTTACATTCAACCTGACACTCTCCAGCAACTCTTCGTCTCTTCCCAGGCATGACAGGCGCCACTGCTCGTGCATTCCTTGCCCCGCCGACACGTGGTATCGTTCTAGAGACATTTGGTGCTGGAAACGCTTCCCAACGTCCAGATCTCCTCGCTGCATTCAAGGATGCATGCGATGGAGGCGTCGTCATCGTTGCTATCTCTCAATGTATCAAAGGCTCTGTATCAGGTGATTACGAAACAGGACAAACGTTAATCCAAGCCGGTGTTGTCCCCGGCGGGGACATGACTCCCGAGGTGTGTCATCTTTTAGTTATCGTCTCAGCTGACTGACCATCGAGAAGTGTGCTCTTACCAAGCTTAGCTATCTTCTAGCAAAACCCAAACTCACCGCAGCCGAAGTACGCTCACTTATAAGCCTTCCTTTAAGAGGTGAGCTCACACCACCGGTGCCATCTCTACCTGCGGCGCCGTCATCAGATGACGAGGACACCAACATTTCGGAACTGCTTTCTCAATTTGTTCGTCTCTCTTCGTCTGCACGGAAGGCAGATATCCCTCAAATTGTGATTGGAGAAGAAGCGCAGGAAGCTGCGGCTCCGTGGAGTTGTACTGCCGCAGAACGCGCAAGTGCGGAGGCTGCGCTCTTACCGTTTCTCGTGCATCTTGCTGTCGCGCGGAATGATGTCGAGGGACTCGCGTTCTGCATTACTTCAGCATGCACAGCCTCGTGTTCCGGTGTGGCTGAGGGAACAGCAGATGTTGTCGTACCAGGAGGTATTGTAAATTGTCTGGATGCGGGAAGTGGACGGAGTCCGTTACATATCGCCGCATTAAACGGGAACATGAGGTGTGTCGATAAATTACTAGAGAGCGGTGCGTTGGTGCATCTTCGGGACGAATTGGGACACACTGCCTTGTATTATGTGAGTGTTGTGTGGTTTTAGTTTTGGTTTAAGTGACTGACGTTAGTAGGCTGCACGCCAGGGGCATGCTGGTATTGTTGATACGCTTGTGAGCGCAGGTGCGAATCTTGGGGGGATGGAGAACGAGGCGGGTTACGTGGGGCTTGCAGTGCAGAATGCGGTTAATGCTGGAAATGAAGCTGTGGTGGAAATCTGGAGACGGGCTGGCGCGAAAATTGTGGATTAGTCACTACCTGAGAAATTGTCACTCTTGTGGCCACGGCGGTTTCATTTGTCTCGTTAGCGTTATGTACATAGTTTAGTCGTCGTGTCGGAAGCGCAGCCACTGGCACGATTGGCGTCTGTGGATCCGGTTAGATCTCAATCCGAAGCCAGCATCGTGGATTTCCGCACTAACACCAAGTACATAGAGCTCAAAACCTTCATGGAAGTATGGAGTTCCGATTCTACATAGCACCTTCGTTGAATGTCACGATACACGTGACAGACGCGTCGTGGGATCGTGTTTATTTTTATTTGTCTTTAAGAGGATAGCTCGCCTCGTGTTCCCCCCAAAAGAGTGTTTCACACCTTTCACATTTCCCTAGCCAGGACCGGTCAGTCCGCCTTATATAAAGGTCTGAGTTCCGCTGGCGAAAAGATTGGGGCTGAACTGTTCTTCTCTTTCTTTTATCTCACAGCTGGTTATCGCTGGAAGATTCTAACCTCCGCTAACACCTCTCTTGCTCATCTTTTGTCTACTGTGGACTGCTTTCGCACAACGATCAAATCAGATCACTGATTCCCAGGTTAAAATTCGAGTTCGAGTCAAAGTTCGAGTTGAAAATCTGCACCATGGCTTTAACGATGGCAGCACACCCAATACTAGTTAGAGACCACGCATCGCGCGTGACGCGGGCGGGATCCGTTTTTGCTGATGCAACCAACTTGCAGCGTCGTATCAGGTCTTCACCATCGACGAAGCATTATAACCCTCTTTTCCCATTCGCTTCCCGCCCGTCCAAAGCCCCACCCACCCTTTCCCTTTCAGCGACATGCGCTAGCTCTTCACAGTCGCAGGCGCTCCTACCATCTCTTCCCGATCTACTAGACGTCCGGAGTGTCATACCCTTCCCTTCCACGTTACCTGCACATGATGTCGCCATCATAATGGATGTCGATATGTTCGATGGGACAACCGATAGCGTTGATTCGCAATCTTCTCCATCAGCTCCGTTCTCATCTTGTAATGGCACCGCCTCCCCGTGCTCTGCGCAAACTCGTCTTCGTAAACGGCGCTCCCAAGCTATCGCCACGTTCTCCCAGCCAACGAGTCCCAAACGGGATAGAAAGTCCAAGTCAAGGGATAATAGCAAGTCCGGGAGTGCAGACCCGGCTGTGCGTAAGCGGTCTCGTAAGAGTTGGCGCCAAGTCGCGGACCTCATGCTCCTCGCTACCGTGCATCGAAGCCTCGTATCGAATTGCTGTACAGATCCGTGGGACTGTGTTCTTGGAGAGGATGTTGCGCCAGTTGATGCACAGACCCTTGAGGGGCAGGATGTGCTCCTGGCACGTAGGATTCAGACACGACTTATGGAATATGGATGGTCATTGGTAACTGATGGCATCCAGGAGGTGCCTCTCGATGATGACGCATCCATTTCTCCTTGCGCGCAAGAACAGTCATCCCGATCTATACACTCCGACACAAGCCTAAACCCCCACAATCTATCATCTGACACGCCCTCGCCACGATCATCCCCACCGCCCACAAGCGCCCCCATGCCCTCTGTCCTCACCATGCCTCAGCTTGTCGCCACGCTAATGATGCGATACAACGATCGATGTTGCACGCGTTCACGCTCGAGTTGGAAAGCTCGCCGTGCTGATCTGTCTTCTGGCCATTTCGTCGAGCGGAAGTCGTCCTTGTCTGTAGCTTGTAGCTAGCAGACTTGTGCGTGCTGGCTTCCCTGCTCTGATGAGATAGAGATTGAATCTCCGCTGCCAGGCATTATTGTATCTTGCTGCGGATGCACCCATATATCTTCGCCGCGGCCACGATGCATCTTTGCCATGATGCTTCACATCATTTGCCACGAGTCTTCATATATTTGACCATGAGGCATTTGTCTTTTTTTATGTATTTCCACGACCTTTAACGAGCGCTACGACACGTCATACTGTGTATTGATAGTCATTTAATTCTTCGCGGCACATGGTTGAGTCCGTGTGCTGCTAATTTGTGGTCTTGCTTGCGAGATCTACGTAGTGCTGTGCAATTCAGTGTCACGATGTTATGATCGACTATTGGTCATGCGACTGGTCCGGTGTGCAGTTGTCGACGAAAATTTTAGAATTTGCAACAGCTTAGCAGGAATTTCTTCGACTGAAATAAATTATTGTTCCAGGGAAATCTCATGTAATCAGAACGTTAACATAAACCGAATGTAGCGATTTTGATTGTTAGGTCACGTGCGCGTGTTGATGGACGTGTCTTCAAAACTTCATGAATGCAATGGCAAGCTGAAAAACCTACCCTGAAAATATGTTCTAATTTGCATCGAATTTAGGAGAAAGATGCCAGAGAGCATGGAAGGGGTTATTAACTCACCGCCCTCTTTGTATACCATAGTGACAAGCTATGTCCCTACCGAACCGGAACATCTGCCGCTGGATCAAGTTCAGGCTGAAGGCGCGGCGCCATCGCAGACCCCAGCGAAACAAACTCCGTCCGATATTGCTTGTGAGTGCTGGTATATAGGATTATGAGATTTAATTAAATCGGCGGAGTTGCAGTTCTAGCTTCCGGCCTCGGGGCCCGGGATTCGTGTCGTTGTACCTCCAGGTTCGCGCCTCCCAGAATTGATCAACTCCCACTCGGCTTTGCACCTAGTAGTGTCTGCAGCCACGATTTCATGGCAACCGTTTCTGGCAACATGCTCTCCGCCGCTCGTCGTGCATAACCCGGTAGTCACTCGGACTCACTTCTACTCATTCTGACTACAACTGACAATAATTCTACTTATATAGTACTAGATACTCAACGGATATATTTCTTCGCCACCTCTTTGGGCTGCAAACCTTACCCAAAGGACAGTCAATTTTTCGTCCAAATCAGAAGTGCGTGTACACCCGGCAGACTACTCCGTGTCCCGTCAATACCATCACCCGCGCCTAGCAACGGCGATGGCCCAGATACACCACTTCCACGTGCACGACATCCAGGACAAAGCGCACCAGGAGGAAAAGGCACTGCTTTACCTTTAGAAGACCAAGGACAGGTAAACTAAACCCCGCCACCCAGCTCTGTTAAACTAACCTGCACATTGCACAACAGCACATTGACTCTCAGAAAAGACAACTTTAACATCAAACTACGCGTTTATTTCCTCGAAGAGCATCTTACGCAGCTTGCACACCAATATCTATCGAGGACTGACTGCAACATGGGCGCAGGACTACCGACTACGAGCCAGAGCTCCTGCCTCTTGTTTGATTCGTTTCACCCAGCCTCACATTGACATCTCTGTCTCGTAGTCAATAATAGAGCAGCAACATATTTTGGGCGGTCAGCACTCAGGTTCGACCTTGACGCCGAGGTGGCCTCCTGGTGGTTTCGATGTACGCACCAAGTACAAGTTCTCATGTGGCTCAATAATATCATGATAGGATACGTGGGCCCTGCCTTATATAGCATATAATACAAACTACAGTGCAATATGCGACAAGAAAGTCCCAAAACTCAACTGAGAAGTATGATGCAAATAGTCCAAGTTACCCTATGTTTTATTGACTCTATCAGGACTGTCCAACCAAGAATCGGGGCCCATGGTAAGAGCAAGCTTCCCGACTAGCGTGCCTGCTGCTTCACCCTTCGTCACGAAATCACGGTTCGTGCAAATGATCATGCTTTTCTTGCATCGTGTCAGCATGACGTTCGTCCTGCGCGAGTTCTTCAAGAACCCTACACCCTGGGTACGGACGAGAGAGATGATTATGTGGTCTTCCTCATTTCCTACACCGCGTGTCAGCCAAATCCCTCCAGCATGTCCAGGAAACTACTTGCCTTGGAAGGAGTCCACGTTGAAGCATTTGTCCTCCCATGGAAGCTCCGCTGATTTAAGTTGCCCTTCGATCGCAGACCTCTGACCATCATATGGGGTGAGGATTCTGTACTGCTTGCCCTGGTTGTTGTATATACGGGCGAGCTTGATAACCACGTATAACTCTTGTTGGTTCTAAGGCAATGTAGTGAGGCGGGTATATCACGAGCATGAGGAGAAGTGTACTATCCAGCTCTTTCCCGATTTCTGCTGCTGGCCCTTTTTGACATCTAGGAAATGACATGCATTATTGCTAGTGATATCGTGCACCGTCATCAAAAGTTGATGAGTGTATACATGACGGGAAATGAAGCTGCCAATGACAAGTGGCATGCGGTCTGAATGATAAAGTTCAAACAATGAGGGGACAGAGTCGAGATACGAGCTTACATTGGATATTCAAAAAGTGTGCCCGCTGTCGAAGGTGCGGGAACTCAAAAATACTTTGCAGCTGCTCGACGTCATCTTGGCCAAATGGCGCCACTGATACCCAAGTCAGTATAAGATGGAAGAACTACCTGGGTCTTACGTTGCTTGTCGTCACCGATGAACACCATTTTTTGGAGGCTGCGTTGGAAACGCCGAAGCAGCGGCAGGTAGTCTCCCACTTCGATTTGACTCGCCTCGTCGATTATTACCGTTTGAACCGGAACTTGACGAGTAAATTCTTCAATATGAGGATTGGACAGCATACTTAATGTGCAAAGTATGACTCTCGTGTGTTCGTTTGTGTGTTTGTTGAGCAAACGTCGGCTAACAGCCACAGGCCCGCCGCCAAACGAGTCAGATCGTATAAAACAATGTTCCAGTCTCTCGTAGAGGTGTTCGTGCCTGAAACACAAAGACTTAGTATAACGGGTAGATGAGGGAGGCACGATATACCAGTCATAATGGAAATCTTTGGATACAAGAAGCTTGAAATTACGGAAGCCAACTTTATCGAGCTTTTCTGCGATATTCTTGACAGCAACGTTGGAATGCGCCACAAGCCAAACTGTACGCTCCTTAGGGCCGGTGTTGATCATACTGTTGACACTAGCCGCTATGACTGTTGTTTTTCCAGTGCCAGGAGGACCTTGGATAAGTAATAGACGATCACTGTCCGCTTGCGAAATAATTCGCTCCACTGCACAATACTGCGAGTAGTTCAATAGGCCGTTAGGATAGTAGACAGACGACGCGGTGGAAGTACACAGGGGCGGCCATGAGACATTTAATGATGGTGCCCAGATGCTGCGGAAGAATGGATGTTTAGTCAATGTGATGTTGCCTTGAAGCGTTCTCAGTACTACATCTTCTCTGACTGATTCAGCGGCCGTCAAGTCTGCTCTCCCGAAAGTGGTCACAGAGAGGACCTTTCCCGGAGCGTTTGAAACGCCTTGGACCTTAATATGAGCCTGTTTTCCATTAATTCGCCTTACGCGACCAGTGATCGTCTTTCCATTGAGCGTTTCGATGTGGATGACCTGTAAGTGCGAACGCTTAAAGTTGATGGCATGATGTATCATAAATTCACATACTTGAGATTCAGACTTCATAATACGTGTACTGAAGCGAGTGCACTCGAGTTTGATACTGCCCTTCTTGAAGCTGAGGTCTGCATTGACATTGTTGACGACTTGTGTTGGCTTCAAAGAATCCATAATTTCAGCATCACGAGAAATTTTGGCCAGCGCGCTCAGATGCTACATTTTGGATTAGAAGGAGAGATATATGACATGACGAAGATTACATACTATATCCGGGATTGTGTTTGTGTCGATTTGAGATATGGCAGCAAATTTAAGCGCCATGGCATCAAATGTGGAAGCACGACATGCTACCCAAGCCTGGAGTGCCACATCCTTGGATTTTGCGCTACCCTCTCTGTGAGCGAACAGGGTTTCCACGTTGTCCTTATGGAGTAAGCCCTCGCCACCCAAGGCGTTCATAATTGCCTGGAGGGAGCGCCGATCATCAGTGGTAGATGCCGACAGGATGTCAATTGCGCCATTTATATGAAGCGAGAAGTCTCGGAAGAGAGCAAGTGCGATTCTGTCTATCCTATACCCATAGAGTTTGATGCCGATGTTGCACAGAATTTGGTCTTGTATGAGGATGCGTCCTCGGGAAGCAGGAGGCAGTTGTTCCTGGCCCTTCTTCTTCTTCTTCTGCTCCTGCTGCGGATCCTGTTTATTCGCAGCGGAGAAGTGGACGATGAACACTCTAGTGAGGGTCGCAAATGCCAAAGAGGAAAGAGAACAGTCCGGGTGATATGCGGCTGCCACACCAACGGAGGCGTCTGAAGCTGAGTTGATAATACCCTGCAAGGCTAGAGAAGAGATATTTTTCTCGTCAACGTCTTCAATGGTGATGGGCCCATGTTTGGCCTTATAAATGTTCTGTTGCAGAGTGAAGGATGTGTGGGTCATGAATCACGGTGCTGAGAGAGAGAAAGCGCACAACGTCAAGGTGCTGAAAGTGAGGGTGTAGGAAGGCCACAGCTATTTATTACCAGTGGACGAGCGTCTACTGTGAATGAATGGTAACGGTGTTTTACAGCAAGTCAGCAGTGAAAGGGCATAGGTTGGCCGCCGTACCGAAACACGAAGAAGCCTACCGGCAGGAGTTAGTACTATCCTCGTGGTTCTTAACTTGCAACTTAAATCATCACCTCGTCCAAGTCTAGACCATCACCATGGGAATCGCGGAATATCATAGTCAATATGATAGTAATCACGTCAGACTCAGAGGCCACCGAGGGAGACTAGTAGCAGCTCTTGGAGGGACTCGAGTGTAAAACCGTGCTGATACAAAAAAACTATCATTATGGCGAGTGATACACAGTTGAATGTGTCGTAATAGAATAGAATGTTGCACTGCCTGCAGGATTAGGTCGTGGTGAAGTGGGCGGAGGGGAAATGAAGAAGTGAAGAAGTTGCAAGTTCTGGGACCCTGATTTTTTTGAAAGGGTACTGGGGATTTCGGAATGTTGAGTTTGGGTATTTTTCTTGCGTGCCAGCTTACGACCATCAAACACCCGGCGTACGCCCCATCTTTGATCTATTACCTAGGCGGTCCTGTGATCAAATTACAGTGATAATATAGCTGGAACCGAAGGTTCGTGCCATATTTCCACTGCTGGTCCATAATCTCGTCACCTCCCACGCACAGCCTGATCTGCGTTCTAGAATTGTTCAAGGACCCAACATGAATTCAAAATTTAGGTTGGTGGTCACTGCATAGACGCATGGATCAAACGAGACACAATTCAACAGTGAGCAGCCAAAGTCCACGATCGGCTGTGACACGCCAACGCCGACCATGTCTGTCTATGACCAATGGGAAGAAGCACGGACGCCAACGGTCAAACGATGAGAGGTCTCCCTGGCAAGGTACAAGATGTTGTACACCTGCCTGGGAGACGAATCATCACAGGTTCGTGGGACGAGATACACAGATAGGAGACATCACAGATGACGAGATGAGGGTACTCTATGTTTAGCATTCACTATCATAACATTGACTCCAAACGACAAAACTATTACGAGTGGAGGCACTGATAGGATAGTGACGTTGCGAGAGGTGGAGACCGGGATGGTCATTGCCAAATGGACGGGGCACACTGATTGGGTGCAATTAGTGTGCTGGAGTGGAAATTGATGAACGAGTACCTCAGGGAAGTGCATCATACTGATAAGAACCTTCCACGCTCGGGGATTGGCTGCCGTGCGTCTCATGAACTTCGACAATGTATGACACATGCCCAATGCCCATACCCACATGTAGCACGGGAAATGTCCCGAATAAGGAAGTGTCAGATTTGAGGAATTTCGGTGACACTAGACTGTGTTTGTTGTCGTGCAGCGGTCTTGGTAGAAGTAGCGAGAAAAAAAGTTCTTTTTTTTGGTGGAAGGTCAGAAGGGCAATCCGGCCCCGATAACGGTCCCAACCCGCGCAAGAGGAGAGACGAGGCGAGCTGCGAGGACGGGTAGGCAACCTCGCAGCATCAAACTCAGCATGTCTAGGTAACAGCCACCCAGGCCTCTGAAAGAGGGATGTAGTACTAGTGTGTAGTTGAAGCTGACTACCTTTAGGTACCAGTAGTAGTGTAGGCTGCGTGGATCTGAGAGACGAGGACAAGGGAGTTGTGGGTCACGGTGGTGCAAAGACAAGAGAGGCCACGAGCTACACTGCCGCTGTCACAAATTGAAAGTCATATTCTAAGCAATACTCGCTCGTACCTCGCTTCGGGATAGAATACCAATACTTTCAAGAGTACGATGTCGACGAGACTTTTTGCAAGAGAAGAGAAAAAGACATACTATCCCTTACGCTCTATTCGTGACGGTCCACAATTTCGTGAGTCACACTCAGGTCACGAATAGTAACGGACAGTCACACTGGCCGAATCTACAGTCCGCTCGGCAGACGTTAGAATCTTCGTGATTCGTGATTCGGGATTCGTGAACTTCAACAGTGATTGATTAGGACGCTACTTATAAGTCTGTGAGCTACAGTATGTACCGAAAAATTATATAGAACTAAATGCAATCATTAATGATGTGTAAAATATTGCTGAGGGAATGTATGTGGATGTGGGTATTGATGCATACTAGTAGATGGATTATGAAGTCCGTGACTCGGACTCGGATGCGCGGGTTGAGCAAAAAAATATGGTGGATGTGGTAGCCCAGCTCAGCGCTCGCTACTTGCTCACGCGCTCACGGATTGCAGCTGCAATGAAACACGCTGTTAAATTCAATGTCCGACGTCGGCAGCCTCGGCAGGTGACACTGAAATCGTGATTTTGGCTGCTGTCACGCTGAAAACACGATCTCCACCATTTCTCAACAGATTTGTTTCGTTCCACTTGGAATATGCTAGTATATAGTATATAGAATATACTGAGTGAAGTAGCTAAGTAATTACATTGAAGTTGAGTGCTGCAGACAAAAATCACGAAATTGTGGACCGTCACGAATAGAGCGTAAGGGATAGTATGCGTAGTGTATAGACATCCCAAGGTGTATAAAACAATTAATTGAATTATTTCAAAAATGTATGTTGGAGATATCCGAAAAATTAAGATGTTGCGCCTCCCATTTTTACTATTCAAATCTGCTTCTATCAAACACGCTCACGGCGTTCCAGCCTGGCCGTGGAACTCATCAAGAAAGATCCGGTCTAGACGCTTTTTTGTCATTATTCACACTGGCGGTTTCAGAGTTTTGCCTCAGGCAAGATTTTGATTGAAATGACAAGCCATTCGTACTTTCACTGCTAGGCAAATTTCGACAATTCGAAGTAAATGTATAAAATACTCGAGTTTTTTTCTGGCCTAAATTCGATCTATTTTGGAATGCGGCAATCACCGTAACTTCTTCTAGTCCATTACCGTTCCACGTACACCTACGTACTAGTAAGGGTCCAACTCAAGTTCTTGTCACAATCTGGGATCATTTGAGGCAGTTTACACAACTCATGTACAACTTCAAATTGCCTGCAGGTGTCGATTTCGGGTATACTATCTGCGCCTCAACCTGTTTGGAAATTCAGACGGAGCGCTGGGCTCGACTTGAATAATGCTATAAGGACACCCTCGTTACAGAGTTGCTTCAAGTTCCGAGCAACCCCTTTGTACCATTGACACAGCTCAAATAATTCTCAGCCTTTCATATATCCACTTCATCATTACAAGCTTATCTCGTTCAACAGACCATGTTGAACTTACTCTCCAAAGATCGAATAGTCAACGAGACAGGCCTCAGAGCCGCCTTACATTATCTGGACGCAGTTTCAAGTTTAGGAGCAACTGCATTACGAGCCACGGTCGAACATATGTTGTCATCGCCCCATATCTTTGCATATATTATCTCTGGTATCTCGCAGACTTTCTTCGAGCATCATCAGTTCTGACTTTGTGACAGTTTGGGATCGCCGCGAGGCAATGATCTCACAGGTCATGACAGACTTTCCAACGAAATCTCAAGATTATCCAGCATCCATCGCGAGAAAGATGCTAGACAATCTGTCTATGTCCTTTCTAGCTTTGCCAGCCGAGTCTCTAGCGATGGATATCTCAAGGGATATCAGCCGCCACCGAGGCTTCATCGAGGGCGCTTTACCTGTACTTTGTGCGTTGAACACTATGAAATTTGCTGATGCAGGGTCATTTGAAGACGAAATCGATCTCCACGACGTCGAATCTGACGATGGATTCGTCAAGAAGAAAGTGCCTCAGAAAATGCGCAAGAGGAATCGTCCGAAAGCTCAGACAGTCGTCGACACATCGCTCTTCGTGAGGCTTGGTGCGGTTGTGCCTCTCACAAACGAGGCTGCTGCATCATTGTCTACTTACATTCTTGCGAAGCTGAAAAATGCTCTCTCAGTGAGTATCCCCGCTACTTTTTGACGTTTCCCCTGAAAGCTCTCCGTAAGTTCTACCTCTCGCTTCTGCGGAGGACGGAACTAGCAGGCGACATCCAAGCCTTACTCCTCCCAAACGTGGGAGAGTCTGCTAAAGATGTTGCGCCTGAAGTTTCGTCGACCGAGGATGTCGAGAGCCCAACAAACATACCCAATGCGTATCAAATGGTGCAGCCTATGAAGGCTGCGCTTTACTTTGACAACGCGGACGGGTTCGGAGAGTGGCGAATCCTCATATCTACTGAGGCCTACAGAAATTTGCGTGAATTTCGTAGAACAAATAAGAAGATACTCAAGATCATCGTCAAGAAGATCAAGTTTGTCTTCTGATAAAGTTCACTTCTGCGATGATCTCATCGTTACCACAGACAACTATCGAATGGCCATTTCTCAGATGATAATCACAAGCGACTTAATGGGTTGGATGCAGGCATACCAATCTACGATGCCGAGATTACAAGGGACCTGCGATTGATAGTAGGTGTAATTTTTCATACGTCGCTCAGAGCAGGAGATGAACGACCTTTTCTCTCAGTACCAGATCGATTGTGTCCCTGACCAGGATGGAAAAGTAGGTCGTTCTTACCTCAACATCGAGCATCATACTGAGACTGGAGCCTGACAGTCCGAAAGACAAGGTAGTCAAGAGCAATTATAGTTGTCTACCATTAGCACTCATATGAACTCCAGTAATCAAGGTATATGGCATTTATACGCATGCTCAGCTTGGCGGGATATGGAATGCCTTGGGTAGCCATCTCGCACGTAAGGGCAGAGAATATCGTAGAAGGTGAGGACATTTTTTAGCGCTTGATGCAATCCAGTAAATTTTTGCCTGTGCAGGTGCATCTTTCGGAACAGACCAGTCATTTCCAATGACTGCGTGATTCTGCCTGCGTCGTTCCCACTGGCCGAACCTGAGGCAGAATGCTTAGGAAGCCCGCTTGACCTTAGTGATAAGGACATGGACCACGTTGAGTAATTTTGATTGCCATTTGTGCGGTCATTAATCCGTAACATAGCTTCACTCTTTGCTTGTGTATGAATTTTCCGCTATCCTCATACAAATTGGTTTCCATCTAACGATTTTCTAGTTTGGAGAAATATGTTACATTCTCGCAAGTAAGCCTAAAATATGGTTGATTGGCATGCGAATATTGACTTGATGATCTCTTGCTTTAGGCGTTCCTGCATAGTAAGTGATCATGTAGTTGGCTTGGCACCTCTTCTCATCGTTGCAAAAGGTCTTATCGCAAACCAAGACGTGCAGCACGTCTTTGTACTCACGTGAGTTCTGCCCCAATGAGAGACAAATGTACTAATCGATGTTGGTTTAGACCTCAAGAACAAAATATTGTCGAGTGCACCACGTCGTGTTACGTGTTGGGTCGCAGTGGGACAGGGTGAGTCCGGCCCTTGGTATAAGTAGCTTATTTATCACACTCAACTAGAAAAACTACGACGATGCTGTTCAAGATTCTCGGCATTCAGCGAGCTTGGGAGATGAGTGGCACTGACATGCCGAAGCCACGCCAAATCTTCGTTACCAAGTCCAGAGTGCTCGCTACGAAAGTGGAAGAGTATTTCACGAAGCTTCTCGAATCTCTGGCGTTAGCAGGCTATACCCTGGAGGAACTCGCACGGATGAAAGCACAAAGTGTTCAGGAGGGCCTTGTTGATCTCGACGACCTGCCTGACTCACAGATGAATATACCCATGAGATACAGCGAACTTGAGGATAAACACTTTCCTCTGTTTGTGACTTTCGATCGGGTATGTCTCAATCCGTCATCCGGACAGTTCCCAAGCTAATCGTTTATGTAGCTGGCGAAGATGATCGCGGCAGATATCTTGAGCAAGGACGTTTCTAAGATCTTCAGTGTTGACGATGCTGAGGCGCATGACTGTTTCGTCACCTATGACGTATTCGCAAATCAATACTGGCCTCATTTTCCGCAGAATCTCACCAAGAATCTTAGTAGGGTCCTTTTCTCTTGCGATTAAAATGAAGTACTGATACTATCCCATCAGACCCGTGGTTGGTTTTCAGCGAATTCATGGGCGAGTACTATCTGTATTAGCTTGACATTGACAATTGCTGAATATACATACAGGGATCATCAAAGGCTCCGAACACGCACTGGCCTGTCCTGAAGGAATTCTCGATCGCCCAAACTACCTCCGTCTTCCTCATCGCTCTAATCCAAATTTTGCGAATCAGAGGGGAATGTTGTATGACATCTTCGAGTATTATACGAAACTCAAGCGGCAGCGACGTCATCATGATGTTGCAGACCGGTACGACCTATTTCCCCTTTTCACCCACGTAATGTCACGCTGTATGACCCAACAGCACACATGCGATACTCAAGGTCTTGCCGAAGTTCCCTGGCCAACAGATCGATTATCTGTATGTCTTATCTTCATCGATGCATCTTGCCTCTGACCACCTGCACTAGGTATGTCGACGAAGCACAAGACAACCTTCTGATCGACGCACTTTGTAAGCAGCTACTCCATTCCTCGTTGACAGAGATCCCTGAAGAAACCTTTCGTTGTAGTTTTGAGGCAATTATGCAGGAATCCAAACGGTTTGTTCTGGGCTGGAGACACCGCACAGACAATCTCTGCAGGGAGTTCCTTCAGGTTCGATGATCTGAAAGCATTTCTCTACCGTGTGGAGGTCAGAAGACAGTAACTTAGCTTGGGCCTGAATTGATACCTTATAGCAGCAGCAAAATATCTCGGTCAACTCCGCTGGAGCATGTCTTCATCAGCCTATGATGTTTCAATTGGCGATCAACTACAGATCGCACGGTGGAATCGTCAACTGCGCGCATTCTGTGATCGAACTTATCACAAAATTTTGGCCCAACACAATCGATAACCTTCGGCCAGAGAAGGGCGTGGTTGACGGACTGAAGCCTGTATTTTTCACTGGTTGGGATAACGACACTGTTCGTTATGAACAGTTCTTGTTCGGAGCAAGGTCAGTAGATCTGCACGATATCCACCCTTTCCTCCTGAGCAATTCCCAGCGGTAGTCACATTGAGTTCGGAGCTCAGCAATGTAAAGTGATTGGTTGTAGGTTTCATTCATACACTGACAAGGTATCTAGGCATTCTCGTGCGTGACGATGCAGCACGTCAGAAGTTACGAGACCAAGTTGGTGAAATTGGACTGATTATGTGAGTCGCATTAAGACTACCTTTGTTGTATTTTCATGTTCATGCATGTATGCAGGACGCTTTACGAGAGCAAAGGCCTGGAATTCAATGATGTGAGAAAACTAAGTTTGTTATCTGATGGCTGTCTGACTTCGGCCAGGTGCTGTTGTATAACTTTTTCGAGGATTCTGTTGTCGATCTGTCACGATGGCGCGTAGTTCTCAATGGGATAGATGATCAAGAACATGCACCAGACTTTGATCGTGACGAGGCGCGATACGCTGGGGTTTGTAGCGAGGTAGGCACACCAATCGTCGAAAGAAACTTCCGCTTATTTTACGTAGCTCAAACTTCTTTATGTGGGAATCACTCGAGCAAGGAAGAACATGTGGATCGTCGACAAATCTGATAAATCAGACCCGATGCGTGTACGTTTAGAGCAGCACGTTGGCGTAACTCGATCTGATAACCATTTACCTTCAGAGATTCTGGACATCGCGCAATCAAGTCCAGAATTGTACCCCCGGCACCGATGTCCCTCATCTAGCCGTCTCCTCGACTCCAGAAGAATGGGCAAACTTCGGGCGCTCACTATTCTCGCACAAGCGCTACTCGCAGGCTGTCCATTGCTTTGAACGTGCTAATCTTCCTCGTGAAGTGAAGGTCTGTGAAGCATATCAACTGCGAGAAGTCGCACGTTCTAGTGTCGGAGTGGCCTTACCTAGCGACCAAAAAAGAGCTTTTAACGTGGCCGCCGATGCCTTTGCTGATTGTGGGGCGACTGCGACAGGAAACCAGAAGCTCCAATACTATCGTAACTCGGCGGATTGCTACGTTCGAGCAGGAGATGATCTTCAAGCTGCGAAGGCCTATTTCAATGCTCAAGAGTTCGAGCAAGCAGCGAAGAGATATCGCAAAGTTGGGCGGTTTGACAAGACCCTCCGTGTCCTTGATGAACATGGCACGAACATACCTGAAGAGACCACGGCGGAGTTATGGAATGTGTGCAGACTGTTTTACTGCAGTAGGAACAACACTCAGTAAGTCTTAGACTCTCCACGATGTTTTTATTCAATAACAATTGCGCAGGCCTCCCTTGCCCCTTTTCTCATCATTTGATGAGGAAATCGAATTTCTAGAGGACTATGACCTCGATTACGCTCGTGCCTCACTGCTGGAATCTCATTCAAAGTACTATGAGGCCGCAGAGCTCCACTTGTCAGAGAATAGGCCCTTGGAAGCTGCCCGGGCATTTATCAAGGACGACAGCAACGTCGATTCTACTACCCGTGCCGCCGATACTATATTGGAATACTTCTGGCGCAAATGCTCCTTTAGGATCACTGCAAAATCCGTTGTTGATGAGCAAATGCCGCATTTCATCGCTCTCGCTGATCAGCTAGAGACGAGCAAACTAACGCCAGCTACGCGTGATTTAGTACGTATTAGAAGTCTCAAAGCTACCAGATAACTAATCGACATTCAGATATCGATGTTTCAGAACATCTCTCGCGGAAATCATGAGCCGTTGAGAAGTCTTGCGCTTGCCTTCCAGGGACATCATAACCGGCCAGCGGCTCTCCTTTGTCTGGACCATATATTCTCTCGAGTCACAGACATTCGAACTTTCACGGTTGATGAAATGCAACGGTTCCTTCAACAATTTTACGCCTATGCGCGACTGCTCTATCTTATTTTGACCTTCCCTGATCCTATGGAGCATAGGGGTATTCAGAGACTGTTCTCCGTCATGCGGTTGTCCGGTGACGAATTCCTCATACCCGTTGGAACGTTCCTCCACAACAAAGTGATAGAAATCCGCCAGGACATCACGTGGGTATCGGAACATCCGTCTGGGTATACAGCTTCTCGTAAAGACGTCACCCAGCTGCTACAACAATCCATTCGAACGATCTTGAAAGACAAAGTGTCAGAGGTCGATGATATGTGTTGCAATTCTCCCGTCTTCTCGCAATGCATGCAATTCTTGATATCTGGATCATGTCGAAGAGATAACTGTCCCCAAGAGCATGTTGCAGTATCGAAACTGGATCGCCAGTATTACAATGGCCGTGTCGCCATCCACATCTGGCAGATTCTGATCTTGCAATTGATGTATTCCGCTCACCCATACATTGAGCGACGCAATAGGTGTGCCTAGAGGTAGCTTATGATCGATTACTCATACTGATCACTTCGTCAGCATGAGAGACTGGCTCAAGCATTTGTACGAGGCTATCAATCCACCCTTCTTCATTCAAGGTTCCCCCGCGGACCTTGATATGAACATGATGCCTCTTCGTCTGGACGGCATGAAAGTGGTTAAGCTCTGGATCCGCGAATCCTTCTACTCACTCGACCCATTCTATACCCAGGCTGAATTTTTGACGATGTTGATGGGGATAACCAGCCTGAGTTTTGCTTTTGATAGGAGTGACGCACCTGCCTACATCTCTCGAGCAAAGTGTACGATCTCTGGACCGTTAGAACTCGTTCGCAAAGGGGACAAACGCTATATGGTTCATGACCTGCTTGGTTCTTACCATGGAGCTGCCCGAAGTAGCATCTCATCGGGAATTTCGTATCTTCTGTAAGCGTTCTTCTTGTCCCTATGTGCAATAAACTAAGTGCAATTCAGGCATGTTCTCGATAATCGTTTATATGCCAACCTCTCCGTGTTGTGCGACTGTATCGAGGACATCTGCAGTGCTTTTGTAATCAAGTGCCGAATGGACCCAGCCTTCAATCAGTTATCCCTCCATGATGTTGTCCTTCCATGCAGCTGGCTACTGTTTCCCCACAAATACACTGCGGAGAAAGACACTAATCTTTTTCTGATGGGCAAGCTTCTGGATGAGATAGCGAGGCTGGTCGAAGCGTTGCGCGTAGAAGCCGGCATGGGTGAGTCTCTCAACTTTTCAGAGATCCGAGACTAAGATCAAACAGAATTCCTTTGGCTGAACCATACGAAATTTACGCCCATTCTCCGCAATGTTTTCATTTCGCGGATGTGAGTACAGTCTAGTATCCGTTCGTCGGCGAGGCGCATACTGATCACGTGTATTACAGCTGCAGGATTCTCTGCCTTCGTACGTTCACTGTCTCTTTCAAGACCCACTGGATGTTGAAATGTGTTCTTTAGTTGCTCACAACATCAGGAATCCCTTCATGAGAGACAAAATAGACATGATCATTCTTTCGCTGCACAAGACCAACCCTCCTTCGAATTGGCCCCTGGCTAACTATAGGAAGCTTGTGGATGACGTGGTCAGGTACATGACACCCTTGCCAGGACGGTCGCCACCCTCAGACGGTTACCTGCGAGCCCTCCTGGCTTTCGACGACAACAAAGGAGTGAGCAACCTAGTGCATCTTGTACACAAAACGATGAATCAGTATACCCGAGTCCATGTAGTCCGACGGCTCGTATACGAGAAGGTCATCGAGATCCCTCATCTCCTTTCATCTTACGCAGTGGTCGCACAATCTACTCTGAGAGTGGAGGCCCCGGCTTTTGTACCTCGCTTAGGACCCTCCAAGGACCAACCAGAGGTTACGCAGGAGGAAGATGTCACGGTGAATGCTGATACCGAGACCCGTGACGCGTTGGAGAATGAGGCGGTGACGTTGCTTGCACCTGATCTTGATGAGTCGCTACGTTCCAACAGACCATCGGTGGAGGAAGAAGAGGCGGCTCGCAAAATTCAGAACGTATACCGCCGTTACGTTAGACGTCGCTCGAGTCGTGCAGTAAATGCCGAAATCGATGTGATATTCATGACATGCCTGAAGGAGACGCAGTCCTCTGAATGGCTTCCGGGTTATTACAGCTTCCTTTTCCTTGGACCATTGCCTCACCTTCTACTATGCCTGGAACGAGGCATCGCTCTGACTCGCGCTGCCAAAGCGAAGACGAAAGGCCTTCTCAATAAGGAGTCTCATGAAAAGCTCGAGGAGTTGGGCAAGCAGAGAAGCGAGATAGCGTCTGTCCTCACTTACTCACCAACATACAATAACTAACACCGTTCTACTTACAGTGCACTCCTCAGGAAGGGATTGAGATTGCGCAAGCAGCTAGAACCTTCCTCACCTGCTCATCGTGTCCGTGACATTGACGCACTCAAAGGTGGAGTTCTAGAGGTCAAGGAATTCATGCATAGGGTTCCCGGCAACGTGCAAGGTATACAATCCGATTTTCAAATGGCCTATAAGGGTATTGTTGCAAAGAAGGTTCATGTGCCAGTGGGAAAGGAGAAGGAGAGACCTGCTCTGAATGTCGAGGATATGGACTATTGATCTTTCTTAGGTTGTGGAAAGTCGAGACCGCTATTTCGCCGGTGTATCATGTGTCATGTACGTATTTCTGTCAATCAATGTCTGTGCGCGAGAAACAAACGTGAACGAAGCGGACATTTGTTTTCATGATGAGGAAGTATCAACGGCGTACTGAAAGACAAGGAAAAGTGCGAAAAGCAAAGATGAAGTAGTTGCCCAAATGTTGCAATGCTAATTGTATCAATGACCATTGATATGTGGAGATGCGCAGCAAATGAATAGCACGATCTGAGCCCACCATGGGATGGGTGGTGACTGCGGGGTTGCTGCACCCGCTGTGGTAGTGCTAGTACCTGAAGCAGGAGGTGTCGCCAATGTTGAAGCATGGGCAGGCTGGATGCGTGATGACGACGCCTGAGCTTGGTTTTGTCGCTCATATTCTCGTCTTGCTCTCTTGAATTTTGGCCCCCGAGCAACAAACAAAGCCTGAAATCATTTAATCACATGGATTGCAAAGGCACCAAGGAGGGCCATACCTGCTTGTCCCGTACTGCAGCCACTTCGACAACGTGAGGACGACTTGGACGTTGCGAAAGTTCTATGTTTTCGTCGGTGTGGGGTTGAGAGCGGAAGAATGAGGACAGTCGGCTGATGAGTGCATTTGGATGCGAAGTCGATGGCGTTGTGGGACGATGTTCGGCTTCTTCGTTGGTGTTGAGCCGAGATCGGGTAGAAAGTGAGGAGGCAAGACGGACAAGTAGTACACGTGGATCAAATCGCAAAGTCGTGGGGGATTGCTGGAGTTCATTTGGTGAATCATTCTCAGGTGAAAAGCGGTGAATGAGTGTGGACAGGCGAGCGAGGAGTGCGCGTAGACGGAACGCCAAGGGCCTTGAAGGGTGCGGAGGTTCAGTCGTTTCATCATTGTCGGATCGAAAGTGGTGGAGGAACGAGAAAAGGTGAGCTAGGAATGCATTCGCAGAGGAATGGGGATGTGCAGCACCAGTTGAGGAGGACTGAGAGCAAAGGTATGAATAAGAAATGATAAAGATAAGTTGGTTACGCACATCAAAATGGGCTTCCATGCCATCAAAAAACGTTGGCGAAAGTTCGTCTATACCGTCGAACTGGCCAGGACACCGCGTAGCATCAGCCTAGAATAGTACTATTATAATGAATGAGAAAGATTGTGAACTCGGCACGTACTTCCAAAAATGATTTGTCACTGAGCGAAGAGCGAGGTGTGTGTTGTATTCCTGAGTCATCTTGGGACTCCTTCTGTTCAAGTCTCTCTTTCGGTGCCTAACAGCAGACATTGTTAGTGGGAGAGAGCGAGTGACATGTTGACACTAACTGTGACAATATTAGGACCAATGGAAAGTAGATCCTCAAGGCCAGCTTCTCTGAGGATGGCATGAACGTCCCAAGTGTACGCGTTTGTTTTTTCGCAACCAGTGACTAGCACCTTTGCATCAGGGGAAAGGGCTGCGAACCACAAAGCTTCATCATGCTGGAGTGGTGGCCCGACTGGAAGGTTGGTGTCAAGATTCCACAGACGTGCTGTTTTATCATAAGATGCACTTGCAAGGAGGCGGTTGTTCTGAGACAAGGAGACGGCAGTAACATGGCTTGTGTGACCTTCAAGAATAGCGATTTGCTGCCAAGTGGCAGTGTCGAATATCCGCATCTGGTCATCAGAAGAATCAGATATAAGTCTATTCCCATCAGACGACGTCCATGCCAAGCTGCGAACTGTGTTTGAGTGTTTGAGTGTTTTGAGACGCTTGCCCGTTTTCGCATCCCAGATTTTTACAGCGTTCTCATCATGTCCGCCCGTGGCAAGTTTTGACGAGTCAGGCGAGTACATCACTGCATTCACCCGGGCGTGACTGGTTTTGATTTCCAGAACAGTCTTGCCTCTCTTGACATCCCAGACTCTTGCTGTCCCGTCCCAGGACCCACTTGCCACTCGCTTATCATCTGCACTCCAGCACAATGATTGCACAATATGGGCGTGTCCTGTCCATCTGGCAATGACTTTCTTCGTCTCGACATCCCACAACCTCACTTTCCCGTCATAGTCTCCACTTGCAATTGTCTTGCCGTTTGGAGACAATGCAATAGATCGAAATACTACGTTATCATCATCTCGCCAGTCCTCGTCTATCTGTGTGCCGCTCTCCAGGTCCCATGGTCGGAGTGAGCCGTCCGACGAACATGTGATGATGTGTCGTCCGTCAGGCAAGTGCACAACGCCGTTAACCTGTCTTGTATGACCTTGCATCGTGTGGCGTGGCATGATCACTGACGTCTTACTGGTGGGTGAAGACATGGTTGGTTCTCGGATGCTCAACTAAGGTTGATCGTGTGTACGAGAGGGATCTTGGATTTCGGTCAGGTTATCCGAATGAATTCGCTGGTAAGCAAATCTTCAGCTTTAGGTTGCAGAAGCGTCAGGTACCAGTCATGGGAAGAACCTTTCAGATGAGCCCAGTGCGCAATCACCAGAGATCAATGGGTGTCTGGTCGGGAGTGGAAGAAGTTGCGCAGTTGTTCGTTCACACAGCTTTATTGCTATGTAGGCGAGATGTCATACTACCGGCAACAAGCGGACCCCTGACAAAGACATCCATCTCCAAGTGGGTCTCCAGTTCTGGTACTTTTTGGGTATTCAACGACACAGTCGCAAAACACATCGTCGAAGCCTTTTACAAGAATTCGTTCAAGGATTTGAAGGATGGTAGCGTGTAGTGTCATGGACTGTACGAAGTAGCCCGGGTACTCAACCGTGCCACACACGCCGTGAAGACGAAAGTGCTGCTCAAGCAGATGGTTTTCATGCATATAGATGTGTACTCTACGCCGTATTCCTGTCGTCTGGTCCATATTCACAAGTTGTCCCTCCACACAGGCCCTCGCAAACCTCAAGGCTGTTTTTGAAGCTAGCTCTAGCTCAGTTGGCAAGGTCGTCAAGAGTACGGTATCTTGCTGATACGGTCGTCTTTGAGTCAAATCTGACGGATGCGTGGACGATGATGCATCGCATAGGTGTTCCTTAAAGACATAGGGGACTTTGCTACGGTAAACAAGATTTATGAAGAGTTCTTTGGCGGTCCGGAGCATAAGCCTGTACGGTCGGCTGTTGAAGTTGATCGGCTTCCGAAAGATGTTTTGTTTGAGATCGAGTGTAGCAGGTTAGTCACTCATACTATGAACTTCTTCTAGTGTACTCATAACGTGCCATTTCAATATCAATGGCAAACAAGTGATTCATAGCTATTTATGACGAGGGGTACCGCGAATTGATATGTAGATCGTTGGACACACGTGCGATGACAGAAACTCACGCATTATACGTTCGGAAGAGTATCAGTTTCGGCGAGCACATAATTTAGAGATAGGAATGGCACTAGTTTTGCGAGATGCTTCCCGCTGATGAAAGATCGGAATGTCAGATTTTCAATAAATCTATGTTGGGACTGACCTTCTGACCGCACGAGTTCGGACGCAGGACAGTATGTGAGGTGCTTGCACTGTTTTTTTAGCGTGGTTCGCTGTAAAATAAAACACATTCAGCGATCTGCGATGCCTTGGACCGCCATATTGGCACTAGAGTCTGGACAGGATCGACCATCAAGACTATTGATATATCCCAAGCGCTTTAGCGGGAATAGTGACCATGAATTCGCCATAAGTGTAAGGAGGTACGAATTCCTCGAAGGGCTCCATGAAGTCTTTCAAACTGCAACTGTAGGTCTTCATATAAATTTATGCACGGCAACAAGCAGGCTAACTGCCAGCCCGATAGTTCCAGCTCGTTTACTATATTCGGTGCGCTTATAGTGTTCATATCGAGGCACATGACAGCTTCTTCGACTACTGTATAGCCTGGAGTTCTACGTCCAGTCTTGATACAAGGAATGTCACTCTGCTAGCCACGGACACCGGCTATGGATTTCCCTTTGTACTCACTTACATACAAATAGTCGGTTCTCACTTTCGATAGCTCCGATGAATAAACTCCCCCTCACTCATTCTCTCATGGTCCGAATCATTCCCCGTCGAACTCAATAAGCAGCCTTACATTGACTTGATGACTATCCTTCTCACGACCACAGAACCCTCAGTGCTGAACGGAATAATGTTCTTCAATGCACACACTCTACGGGCATTAAATGACTCCTTCAAATTCATCTCGTCGCTCGACCATGCCACAACACCGAACCTTTGCTTTGATTTAGCTGCCAGTGTAATTTTTTTTTTCCCGAGGTTTAACCTCGTCGTTTCAGCGCTAACAGCCAGAAGAATATAAATTCAACGCGGCTGAATTTCAAAAGCCTCAGATACACGTGCCCCCTTCGCAGTGAGTAGCCCTCTTGCGCCACATCATGCGAATATCGCTGAATCGACGTATAGCACTCCTGACAATTGTCATAGCAACTTCACGCACATCGCATAGCTAAAATTTTGTTTGTGAGTAGTCTCTTAGTGCTCACAGCCATCACTAAAACACGGTTATGACAGGTACCATGAAGCCTATCCAGTTCATCTACCTCTCCATCCTTGCTGCTCTCGTTGGGGTAAATACAGTCCTCGCCGATGAACTTGGCTCAGCGCCGGTCTGCTTGGATGAGTGCGGTGATTCCCCTATTCCCTGCTCAAAAGGATTGAAATCTACCAAGACGGGCAATTGCTGGACGTGCTGCAGCATCCATTGACGCCTGGATCAAATTCCTGGGTATTGTCGCCAATTTTGTAAAGCACGACGTTATAGATATGTGCTACCTACAGATAATGTTCTTTGATTATTGTCATAAGAATCACGTTCCATCTAGTATACGGATAGTTCTGGTCGGATTCGATGGTGGCCTGTCTCAGTTTACGTTACTACACTGATTTTTGACTGTTCGACTTGGATGATACATCTGCCAAAACCTTGCTGAATGGAATAACGGGCCAAATTATCCGGGCTACGCATAAATGTAATACAGTTTGAATTCTGAAAGCCTCAACGACAACTGCCTCGATCGAGAACAATTGGCAGATGATGCAAGCGCCAAGGTAGCGAGTGCCCGCTGTTGTATAACGATTCTACTTGCTGCTGATGGTGTCAAATCCATGCTTTCCTCCAGTTCAATTGCAGCTTTCCACAACTCGAAGCAGGTCCTTCTGAATGCCAGCATGACGACATCGACATCGACAATGATAATGATAGTCTGTCAAAGTCTCTGAATTTTACACGACACTGTCCCACTCCACCACCTGACAAAGATCTCATCATGCAGCGTTCACCATCTCCGGTTTCTTCTCCATTTCCGAGTCACCACTACTTTTTTCTGTTGTGGTCACAATCTCCAGGTTTTCCACCACTCGACGAGAACGGTCACAATCTCCAAATCCCCCTCCACCCGCCCGGGCTCTCCTAGAGCAATGTGTTGTATAGTACTTCCCAGATTTTATTTCGCGTGCAGATGTTTGTGCTAGACCACGCCTCATCCTTAGAGATCGACAATATCACGCTAAACCCGTGACTGGATCCGATGCAGAAACTGGCATGAATTCGATCGTCTTCGAGCGTGTACATGTACCAACTAGCAGTACCGTACAGGGCAATGCTTGCCGAGAAATTATTGAAACTGTGTGTTACATGTCTGTATTTAGTTTTCATTTTTCCACGAAACAATGTGATGAATATGTATGGTTCAGCCATGGAGTATAAAAAAGTTACTGACGAGAGACCCACATGTACGGGATATGCAACACAGTGGGGATCCTATGTGGTGCTAACGATAACACCCTCTTGGAGCGCATTTTTTCTTTTTCCCTTCATCGTCAGGCTGGAGTGTGCCTGCAACAGGAACACGAAGCCAGGTGTGAAAACACGCAACCCTGCTTTGAGTTCCCCATGTATCCTGCCCGACAAACACAGTGGCAGGAATGCCAGTTCGCGTAGCATAGAAAGAAGCAGCTTGCAGCGGATACTCTGGAAGCTCTTTGGAAACTCCGACCAAGCGATGACCAAGGACATGGGGATAGCGGAGTACTATCGAGGCCACTTCACGGCATAGCTTTGAAACCAATCCCAGTGTGAGGACGTCTTGTAGATCAAGATACAAAGCGATCTCTTGCCAAAGTTCCGAGGGCAGTGTTGTAGAGGTAATGCTGGGTGGTGCACTGCTAATCCCCTGAGCAAAGGACTTTTTGCGCCATACATCTATTCCCTCATGCCCATGCCAGACCTTCATAACACTCACATAGAGTGCAGGGTCAATACGATAACCAAGGCGAGCAAGAGCGGTGATTCCTGGCGTAGAAGGAGACACTGCGAAGAATGATGGCAAAAATTGGAGGGCAGTGGTATGACTAAACGTCGTGTGTATGTCCTTTATCACTTTGACGATTGCACAGTGGGAAACAGAGAATGCAACTCCAAAGTAATCGCCTGGAGCATCCCGCTGCTCTAAAATTGATTCGATCAAGCGTGACACAGAGGCCTGCAGGCATCTCTCGTTGTCTAAATGCATTGCGAAGCAAACCACGGTGTCTTCGCGAACCCATACACATTCCTTTCTATCCGGCTCGGGAGGCTGAACCAACACGGATGGCGCATCGAATATCTGAGGAGCAAACGCAAAGCTGATAACGGAGTATGCGGTAAACCATCCATCATCTGTGAGTTGGTTGTGATTGGATATGGTGTCGAATTCGTGAATTAATTGACCAAGTTGAAGGCGGGGCATGCAGCGCCCAATGATCATCTCCAACAATGAGACCCGAACCTGCTCATTTGTAGATAAGATGTCGCTGATGCCGAGCAGGTCGCTCAAAGCCGCGCCAGGGCCCGTGCAAGCCAAAGATCGATATGTCTCTAAGTCAGAGTCGTCTATAACTGGCGCCGCTGGCCTCTTGTACCTCTCCTCAGGGGGACACTCTGGTGAACAAGCTAGGTTGTGGTAGTGGTCTTCGGAAATGTCTTGAGGAAGAGCTCCTGGTTCTGGAAGGCATTCCAAGGAGTAAAATGGTATTCCGTTTACGTCGAAGATATTGTGATCAAGGTCGATCCCATAGGCCCACTCTGCATCAACGTCACAGCTAATGTCTACGCGCCGATCAAAAATAGTGAGACCATCATCAAGTTCTAGGGGAAAAGATTGGCCGTCAAACTCGTCCAGCATCTCTTTTAACTCCTGTTGCTTGGTTGTGATGGCATTTGGCAACCGCATCCATTGAAGCACCTTCACGCCAAGACCCTCCGGAAAAGAGTCATAATGACGATAGTAGCAGAAATACATATTTCGATAACGGTAAATATAGCATCCACGAGTGCCCATGTCTGCAGGTGGAATTTCTGGACAATCGAGAGTGTCATGTTGGATACTCCATTTATAAGGTATGACATACCTGCAGGGTGCACTTTGGACTACCACAACTACAAGACTGTCGGACGAGAAGTGAAAGTTACAAGTAGCTGGAGTCAACCAACACGTCACGTGACATTTCAGCATGCGTTTCAAATTCAGGGAATTCAGTTTGACTTGTCACGCGACCGTGACTGACGCGTTTACTAGTACGCGCCGCTGAACGCCGCAAGAAGCGACAAGATCCCACTTCTCGAACGTGGATGATCCAAATTTCCGAAAGGCATCCGCGCTGGACCTATCAACGCCGGACACACTAACTGCATTGGAATTCTGGGTCGCTCCTTATATTTAGCGTTACGTACGCATGTTGAACCAGCCGTGGCTTTTAATATTAGTATAAACAGCTGCAGTTGAACTGGTCGCATCTTTAACCGGCACATCTTGATTCATGGCCTTTTCTCGCTACCTTATTATCCTGGCACTTGTCGCAGGATGCATCCTTCCTTCTGGTGTCCAGGCTCTTTGGCCCATCCCAACCACTCTCGAGACCGGGCTGACCGCCCTTAAAGTTTCCCCCGAATTTTACTTTGACGTCCAGATTGAAGGCGCACCATCGGATTTACGTGATGCGGTTGCGCAATCACAGTATTATCTCGAAAATGACGACTTTAGACGTCTCGTCGTAGACCGCGGCGCGAATGACACTATCGCACTTGCTAGCGCGATGACGCTTTCAAAGTTGACGCTATCTCTCGCGAGTGGGGCTTGTGCACAGCCCATTTCTTTAGAAGCTGTCAAGCCCCTGGGAACCCGTAGTGAGGAGTACGCACTAACCATTCCAGCAGATGGATCGGCTGCTACTTTGACAGCGAACTCGACGTTGGGTCTGTACAGAGGACTCACCACTTTCAATCAGATTTTCTATCACTTTGAAGGAGTAACTTACACTTTACTTGCCCCGATTGCGATCACGGACGCTCCTGCGTATGTGAGCAGCTATCACTTGCACTTTGGCGTCAGGCGCATGAACCCATATACGTAGCCTTTCCGGGGATTAGGACTGGATACCTCTAGGAACTACTACGCGGTCAGCGACATTCTGCGAACTTTGGACGCGATGAGCTGGGTGAAGGCGGGTGCTTTCCCAGCGTCTTGTCTTGTTATCCCTAACAAGCTAGACAGATCAACACTTTCCACTGGCATATCACGGACAGTCAGAGTTTCCCACTTGAAGTTGCACAGTATCCCGAGCTTGCCATCAACGGCGCATACTCTCGTAAAGAAGTTTACAATGCAAGCGATGTCCAACACATCGTGCAGTATGCTGCTGCAGTTCGTGTTCCCCTTTCTCACGGTCTTCTGTTTCCTCATTGTGCTCTCACAGAGAGGTATCGATGTTATGATGGCGAGTACTTATCAGTCAATTTTGCGAATCACTTCTCAAGATTCTACCAGGAAATCGATACACCCGGTCATACTGCCATCATTGGGGCCACTTACCCAGAATATGTTGCGTGCCTTGACGCTAGCCCGTGGGCAGAGTTTGCTGGCGAGCCCCCTGCCGGCCAGCTTCGTTTTGCACTCCCAGAGGTCATGAACTTCACCGCCTCCTTGCTCACCGATGTTACGAAGACTCTCCCTTCACACTATTTTAGCACCGGGGGCGATGAACTTAACACGAACTGTTATGTTGACGATTACCTCACGCAGCAGCAGCTCAACAGGACCGGCATGACGCTGAACGGTGCTCTTGACAGGTTCACACAGACCACCCATGGTGCACTGATTGCCCAGGGAAAGACGCCTGTTGTATGGGAAGGTATGCGCCATGATTCTTCCTTTGAATGCCGGTATTGAATGGAGAATCTCATTTAGAAATGGTCCTCGACTGGAATATTACGCTCTCAAACGAGACTATTGTGATGTCAGTATGATAAAATAATGATCTGACTCAGCTGATTCAACTGTATTGAAAGGATTTGGATTTCCTCTGAAGATGCTGCAGCAGTGGCAGGAAGTGGTTTCAGGATCATCCAAGCACCATCAAATTACTTCTACCTGGTTAGTTGATGAGTTCTTCTACGGAACACAATGTTCTCATTATCCTAGGATTGTGGTGCTGGTGGGTGGCTGGGAGACAACCCAACTGGGTTAGTCCTCATCTTGTCGAATATATTTGATCTGAACTGACATTCTTTGGGAGAGTAGGAATAGCTGGTGCGACCCCTTCCAGACTTGGTCCAAGGTAAACATGAATGTCGAGAATAGCCACGCATCTCACAATGTTTTGTTAGGCATATACCTTTGATCCGTTGGCAAATTTGACCGAGGCACAGTATAAACTTGTTCTCGGAGGTAAATACAATCTAGTCTCGAGGTTAAATCGACCTTTCTGAGCAATTTGCAGGCGAGCAAATCTTATGGAGTGAACAGTCTAGTACCCAAAATGTCGATTCAATCGTGTGGCCACGTGCCGCAGCATCAGCAGAAATTTTTTGGAGTGGCAAGCAGCCAAATGGCGCTGCACTCAACGTCACCGAGGCGCTTCCTCGTTTGCATGTAAGGACTGCTTCTTGATCCGGATGTACTCAAATGACATGAACGATATAGGACATCAGGTACAGGATGGTGCAGCGCGGCGTCAATGCCATCCCACTCCAGCCGCATTGGTGTGCGCTTCGACCGGGCGCATGTGACTTGTAGGCTTGATCTAGAATTTGATCGGAATCCTGGGTCTTTTCACGATTGGTCTTGGTTTTAATCAGTTTGCGCCGTCGCTTGCAAGATGCATAGCACTTATTCACCAAAAACATGAGTTATGTCAAGAAATTTATGCCTCAGTCTTGCGAGAAGTCGTGCGGCGAAATGGAAGTTGGCGAAATATTTGAAGCGATGCTCTTAACCACGAAGTATCCACATTCAGCAATAATTAATTATACTCTCCTTGGAAGTCCGAAAATAACAGGTAACAACAGCCATCGGTCCTACATAGGCAATGTTTTTGAGATTTACATATAAAAGCTAGTTGAGTCTGAGTCCTGACTCTACCTGTGATGCATCAGGCTTTACTTGTTCCCGAAGTCCTCCTGGAGATATTAACCTACGTGAATGAAATATCATTTACTCAAACAACATCGACTCAGAGATCCCTTGCTGCTCTTGCAAGGACATGTAGAAAATTTTACGAGCCCGCGATGGATTTGCTGTGGGCTGAGATCGAAGAGTTAGAACCACTGCTGGGCTGTGTAACGAGGTTACATCCACTGATATATCATAGTGATACAAGGGTCAGTGCACGACTTTATTACGCTTTGTCCATTTCTTTTCGGCTGACCGAGCGTCTACATCATAGTGGGGCGGGCCCTGGGCGAGAGGCATCGAACCATTATCTGCCCATGAGACCCGTCAATTTTTGCGTCACTCCGCCCGTATTCGCAAATTGAACATAGATTTTGATCATCCCCACTTTCTCTCTCTTATCCCTGCCGAGGCATGCGTATTCCCGAGGCTGAGGTCGTTAAATATTTCCACCAAATATTTGGACCTCTTTCTGCCTCACTCGCTGCAGCGGCTGTACCAATGTCATCTATCCACTGTCAACCAAAGTCTGCAAGGGCCTTTTATGAGACGTTGCACTGATTTGGAGCACTTATGCATCTACACTCCTGAAATGGGCGATGATGACAGCACGGCAAATGAGCTGTCCCTGCTACTATCCGATCGGATTCGTTGGTGCACGCGGCTTGTAACTCTGTCTTGTCCAATGCTCGACTGGGCAACATGGAAGCATCTCTCCTCCCTCCCTACCCTTCTTGAATTGTCAATTGATCAAGGGTGTAATGACCCTCCTTCGCTGTTAAAACAAGATATCGTCGATTTATCACCATTCCTTAGCATCACGACTATTTCCTTTCGACAGCTGTACGATGCTGCACATATCATCGCAGTCATGCAACACTCGCAATTCCCCTCGTTGAAAGAGTTCAGGTTCGAAGCCAACTATCTGGGTTCAGAAGAGGCAGAGCAGCTCTTTCATGCGTTGTCCAACTGCAAAGCGTTGCAGACTTTGGAAAAAATCTCCATTATTGCTTATGATAGCAAATTCCTGGACTCAGACGGTATTTTGAAGCCAATTCCGCATTTCCTTCGCTTTAAACAGCTCCGGACCCTGGAGCTCATATTTTGTGATTCCTGCATCTACCTGGACAACGACATTCTCTTGGAAGCCATGTCTACTTGGCCGGATATCCACACTCTAGAGATCACCAGCTCACATGCCCTTCCTTCTTCAGTCACCCTCCATGGATTATTCACAGCGCTCAGTCTATGTCCACAATTGCATACACTGCGAGTTGCAATCGATATTACCACTATCGACATCGATCCTGATGACGATCCAATACAACATACCTCCCTACAAAAAGCGGAATTGGAAATATACGAGTTTATAACAGATGCTGAATCGCTCGCTCGCATCATTTTCGCGTGGCTTCCTTGTGTCGACCAAGTTCAAAGGGAGGACATTTATTGGGATGAAGTCAACATGCATCTCAGATCTTTGAAAGCGGCTGTTGGGCTGCATGTCGTGGGAGCCTCCAGGCATTATCATTGAGCTTGGAATACGTTCGCCATACACTGCCTTCAAGTTATTTTGTTCTTTCGTCGTCGTTATCGTCAACCGTTCATATAGTTGTTTCTCGTCTGATCGTTAAACTGTAATACCTCAACAAAATTGTCAACAAGAAGTTCAGAACTCACCGGTTCACTGCAGGATTAGTACATATTATCAGCCTTTGGCGGGTCAATTCATCTTCTCGGCAGTCCACCACCGTTTTCTTCATCATGTATACTTATATCTGATTTTGATCTCCATGGTACTTACGATCGACACGTTGCAGTTGGTTTGTGTAGAAGAACTTTGATCTTTCTATCAACGTTAAATTTCTATAAAGGACAAATGGTCGTTGCTGAGTAATCAAGCTCTCTCCCCGTGCTCCCAACGTGCATGTCTTCCGTTCCAAACGGTGCAGACATCTCTGCTGGTACTCACCCGGATCTGTCGCTCGGGTCGTTCGTATCAGGTCCAAGCACACCCGGCAGACCACTCCGTGTCCCGTCAATATCATCACCCGCTCCCAGTAACGGCGATGGCCCAGACACACCCCTTCCACGTGCGCGACGTCCAAGACAAAGCGTACCAGGAGGAAAAGGCGCTGCTTTATCTTTGAGAGATCAAGAAAAGGTAAACAAAACCTCACCACCAAACTCTGTCTGAATTAACCTACAAAACAGCACATTGACTCTCTCAAAAAAGAAAACTTTAACATCAAACTGCGCGTCCATTTTCTCGAGGAGCGTCTTGCGCAACTTGCACCAGACCAGATCGATGCTGCTCTCAAACAGAACATTAATCTCAAGATTGAGGTCCAGCAACGTGGTCTTGAGATTAAGAAACTCAAGAAACTCGTCTTGGAGCTTGAGCGTGAGTTGGAGCGTCTTCAGCGTGGCTCAACGCGCGACCATGATCTTGAGTCGCGACTTCACGAGCGCGAACGCGATTTGGAGACTCAGCTACATGAACGGGAACGGGATCTTGAGATGCAGCTTCAAGAGCGCGAGCATGAGATCAGGGAGTTGAGGAAGGCCCAGGTTATCATCGAGCGCAGTGGTGATGACTCCGTAGATCCCATTTATGCACGAAAAATTGAGGATCTGCGTGCGGAGAATGAAGAACTTCGTCGTGAGCTCGAGCAGCGCGATCAACTTCTCATTGTACGCGAGGAGGAGAATGAGGCACTTGCTGACCATGCTGATCGATTACAACTGGAGGTTGAGGATTTGCAGCGACGGAGAGAAGCGGAGAGCATTGAAAGGAGTGAGAGTCGGGCTCAGATACTTGAGGAGAGAGAGGAACGCGAGGCTGTGGAGGACGATCTCAATGCAATCCGGGACAAGCTTGCTGCCGCTACCATCGAACTACAACAGAAGGAGGACGAATTGGAGCTCAAGAACAAAGAGATTGACGATTTAATCCAGGAACATGATCGCGTCGTTGATGTTGTCGAGGAGGAGTGGAGGGGTGAAGTCGAGGAGGCCAGGAGTCAGGTCGAAGAGCTCAGAGATGTTTGTTTCATTGTCTTATTTGTCCTCCGTCTCTCACCTATCGTATAGGTTCTTGCAGAACGCGAAAACGAAGCAAGAGAACTCCGCCTCAATATCACAGAGCTTGAAGCCAATACCAACGACCTCCATGCTAAGTTCGAAGCCACACTCGCACACCTCGAACAAGAAGCGGAAGACAAAGATGCCGAGCTCCGCGCTGCGAATGAGGAGATTGAGCAACTCGGAAAGCAAGTATATGCGCTCGAGGAAGACGCAGATCGCATGGCTGAGGATCACGAACGTCAGAGAGAGGAGGACGCAGTCGAGCGCGAAACGCTAGAAGCACTCGCATCTGCACTCAAAGATGTACATCCATCTCCATCTCTCATTTAAAATCCAAAAGCTCACATATCGTAACAGAAAGTCTCCGGACTGAAATCTCAACTTCAAGACCTCCAGGAACTCTACGATCAATCTGTTCAAGACATGCACGCACACCGGGCCCGTCAGGAAGAATTAGCGGGGCACATCGAAGACCTAGTAACTCAAGTGAAACACGAGCAAGAAGCTCGGGAGAGTCTTGAGCGCGAGTTCGACGATGTAGAGAAGACACACGAGTCTGAGCTTCGACGCGAACGTCGTGCACTCGAAGACAAAGACTCTGCACTGCGTAGCGCCCTCGATGACCTCTCGCGCGCACAGTCCCTCCTCACACAACGCCAATGGCGACCTCGAAGCCGTCCAAAACGCGCTTCGAGACATGGAGCAACGGTCTAAAGAGCTAGGGGAGACCCATACAACCGCACGGTTCTCATTGCAGCTAGAAGTTGACAGGCTGAAACGTGATGTCGACCGCTTAGAGGACGAACTATCTCGTACGAGGAAAGATGTCGGCGACCGAGAGGGTACGACTCGTGATCGTGAAGATCTGATTCATAAATTGCAGCTCGAAGTACAACAGCTCACCACACAACTCAACACCCAAACTCAAGCACGTCTTAGTCTCTCAGAGAAACTTGACAACGCGCAAAGCAGTCTCAAGACTGCTGAGGCAGAGTTGTTTGGGCATAAGACGAGAGTGAACGAGCTGGAGACGCGATTATCTAAGGACCAGCGGACGTTATTGAGTGCCGAGAACCAGTATCGTGATCAGCTTACAGAGCGAAACACATTGCTGCTTACGATATATCAATACATGGATAAGATTCTCGGCGTGGATAAGACTCCCGTAAGCTTCTTCATTTCTCTCTAACACGCGTCCCTCACTCACAAAAACATGCTATTTCGCAGAAGAAAGGCAATCAAGCAGAAACGAAGCCCTTCACCAATTTCAGTGTTTTCCACGACAACCTCATCACACGACTCAAAGCTCTATCCCAGATCCAACTCGACTTTGAAAAACGCGTCAAAGATGCGGAAGGGAAATTCACCGAGAAACTTGCTGAGATGCGGAGGCAGCTTGATGTGCGGTGGAAACAGATCGACAAGTTTGAGTCGAGCGTGAAGGCATACGGTGAGGCAAAGGCTACGTGGAGACGGAAGTTTACTGCAAAGGAAGGGGAGATTGAGGGGTTGAAGGTGTGTGTTTTTATGAGTGTTTTTGAATTTACGTTGACTTTGATTGATACTCTTACCTCATCTGCGAAGGCTACTAACGCAGAATTGACCTCACAACTAACGATATCCCGACGACCGACCCAAGGCGACTCCCAAGAAACAAAGACGCTTCTTTCCCGTGCAGTAAATGCCGAGAAACGTCTCGTGGTGGTTCAAAACCAGCTCCTCCTGAGCGAGGAAAAGATTTCGAATATAAACCAAAAGACGAATACGGCTGATCAGAAGTGGGAGGCGAGAGTGAAGGAGTATGAGTCAAGGTTGAGGGCGGGAGAGGAGAAATATAAAAGGGAGAGGCAGGGGGCGAAGGAGAGGGTGTTGGAGTTGGAGAATCAGATGAGGTTTGTGTTTATTGACCATCTCTTTCCCTCTTTTTTCCTGCTTGGATGTCCAAGGTCTTGTGCTGATGCATTTGCCATGGTAGGAGTCTAGAACGCCAGAACGAACTCGCTCAAAAACGGAATGCGCAACTGGATAATGTGGCAGAAACAAATAAAGCTCCTGCACGGTCCCGGTAACGATACCCTCATCAATTCTTGTCGTGTCCGCGATGGCCTTCTCATGCTTGTCATGTCCACGATGGATGTTCTCCCTTACGAGTTTTGTATAGCGAAGGTGTGCTCTTGCTTCGTTCGGTTCTTGACGTCACAGTTTTGTATTAATTAGTAGCGTACATCTCATGTATTTTTCTTTCTTTCTTCTGCTCTGGGACAATGATCATTGACTACTTACTTGCATAGTGGCCCGGGGAATGAAAGTGTGCATGACAACAGCGAATTGCTGGTGCATCTCAGTTCATTACAACAGTGGCGTTTTCAACATGAATGAAGGGAGGATGATCAGTAAGTCGATGATGGTCAAATCATAATTCAAAGAACCCAGTTGTACTCATCGCTTCCAAATGGCAAGCTGACATCAGGTCGCAAGTAACATGACAATACTTGAAATACTCAATTGAGTTTTCTTGTTGTGCATGATAACGTGTATGCATTACATATCTCGTCGCGCAGCACGAGCACATGTTCAAAATTACCATATTGGCAATTTTAAAGTGACCTTATTTGGTAACTCGCAAGAGAAGCGTTGTCTGTACACGTACGAACTGTGCAGTCTTGCCGGCAGGTATGTAACTGATTGGGCCTGGCTGTGGCGTTGTGCATGGGTTATGATATAAATTCCTTCCCCGCTATCTACGAGGCTCAGCTCACCAGTTCACGATGACTTCAGAACAAAGCCCTCTGCTGGTGCTCACCGCGCATGAAGCTATTTACGACAGATTCGCGTCACATCAAAAGAGGTGGATCGGTCTTTCATGCGTCTTCTTTGGGCTTCCTAGCCTGTGAGTACTGGGAGCTGTTGATCCAGAGGCGTGATACTGATGAATCACGCTTCGGTCAGTGTTTGTTAAATTGTCGTTCGTGCCTTCCATTCCCCAGATAGCTAAAGATCTCGACTTAACGGATGCTGTCGTCAGGTGTGTCGTTTGCTCGTCTGATATGTACTAGTGATCGAGTCATATCCCAGCTTGGCTTTCAGTCTGTCGATCTTGGCCTATGCCATCGGATCATTGGCTTGGGCTGCCTATTCATCTTTCTGTGCGCGCATCCACGCACTTGCGGTAGTCTTTGAGTTCTAACTCCAGTCCTAAAGACGGACGCCGATCAATATATCTGTGGTCAATGCCATTTCTATGTGTTGGGAGTTGCGGTGTCGCTCTGTCGACTTCGTTACAGAGTCTGTTATTCTGGCGATTCGTGCAGATGTTTGGATGCTCTGGTGGGGTGTCGTTGGGGACCGGTGTGATTGGTGATATCTATAAATTGGAGGAGAGGGGGACTGTTATTGGGGCATTCATTAGTGTGAGGAATCGTGATGATTGGTTGGTTGTTTTCGGTTTGGTACTAACACTGCTATCTCAGGTCACAAACATCGGGTGGGGTGTTGCCCCGTTTGTTGGAGGTACATACATTCTGGATGTTTATAGTCGCTGACTCTAACGACGTGTTTGAACAGGTGCGGCGACGCAGTATTGGTCCTGGCGCAATTTCCATTATTCTATCGGTGCATGGGGCTTACTCGAGATGCTTTTCATATACCTTTCGTTTCCTGAGACCAGTCATCCCGGCACATTGGGTATCGATAAACTGCCATCCAGGGGATGGATCCATATCACACGGATTAATCCTCTAAGGAGTCTTTGGTTGCTTCGCAGTCCAAACCTATTTGCTGTTGTGAGTGCATTTACCATGCGCTAGTACGAACTCTTGACTGTGTGAGATATAGATGTTTGCGTCAGCTCTAATGGTCAACACTATGTATGGTGTGTTGTTACTTGTTATTGATTGTAGTGATTCTCACGTAAAACGATGTAGTTCTTAACATACCGATGGCGTATACTATTGTGAGCTAACAATCGTCTTTCATCTTGTATCCTGATCGCGGTATAGGCCCCCCGGTATGGGATCACGAACGAGGCCATCATCGGGGCGCTTTTTCTCCCAAATGGACTGGGATGCTTCAGTAAGTGCGAAGCATTGTACTCGTAGTGCACCAACACGACCTTGAACAGCTGGAGCTCTGGTTTCTGGCCGCCTATCGGACACTGTAGTCAGAAAATGCCGGGAGAAGCACGGAGGAGCATGGTATCCCGAAGACCGCTTAAGAGCAACGTGGATAGGGGGACTGTTTATTGTCCCGTTGTCTATTGTGGCTTCAGGGTTGCTCACGACGTATATTGGGGGCCCGATCGGCCTTGCGCTAAATGTATTATGTCTTTATGCGATGGGAATGGGGGTAAGTCCTGCCAGTTAGATCTCTCACCTCATACATAAAGTGATTCGCTGATTTATAGGTCGACTTAGTGATAGATCCTATTCATGCTTACAATGTGGACGTAGTACATTCTCGAAGCGCAGAGGCCACGGCTGCTTGCATGTCAGTCTCCATGATATCACGTGACTATCACTGTTCATTTACCTATCAGAGCGAGCTGGTCGCTCATTCTGTCTGCTACCACTGCTATTATCATTCCATCGATCGAGCTCATAGGTTTTGCGTGGACGAACAACATTGCGGCTGTCTTCGCGGTCATCGGACAAGGGTATGAGTCTTTTTGACTGCAAGAGTGGTGATGCTGACCTAGGACCGCTTCAAAATTTCTTTTGTAGGTTGATTTTCTTGACGATTCGTTACGGGAATCGCATGAGGGCGAGCATAGATGTTGGATTCTCGACCGTGGAGAATAACTGACAGATTGGTCTTCGTTTATCCAATGTATTATAATCAGTCTATGTGGAACAATATATCTGTCATCATCGTCAATAGCCAGATCTTTCATAACGGCTCACAGTCACCTTGAGCGAAGCTGATGCCCTACGCTAAACGCCAGGGGTGAAGTTGAGCGAGCAACTCCATCAAGTGAGTGTGTGGCAGCTTGCGGCAAATCACGAGCTGAAATCTTCAGATTAATCACTGGTGAGTGAATTCGAGGGGTGAGGTAACATGATGCGGTCGATTTCTCTGCTGCGGTTGATACCGTGATCTGTGTTAATAAGTAGTTGCTGCGCTCGTCGGGAGTCTACAGACCCGGGGTCTAAGCATGACGCTTACCACACGATGACGCAGCCAGGGCTTCTGATATTTGGGCACCGCATCAGATGGCACTGATCCATCTATATATAGCTCGCTCTAGACTTTGTCTTCTATCGTCCTACGTCCTTCCACGTTATCGACGTCAAGCCGGCGTCCAATAGATAGTCCTTGAGAAACATCATCGCGACGTGCCTTGGATCTTCAGATTTGTAATGATGGTCCACGTGGCCATGTGCGTCGCGGAAGTTTTTATCAAAATCCAAGGGCTGAATATTCTGATATGTATGGGAAACAATTTAGGACTTTCTACGACAGGTATGGACCTTCAGCATATGTGGGCGCGCGAACCTCCGTCCACAGGAATCACAAACAGCCTTGACCTTCCGCAGATGCATCTCGTTTACATGACGAGTCATGCAATTCTTCTTGAGAGTTCTTGAGCATCCGTGCCAAGTGCACTTGACTTTATCTAGGCCGGCCTGCGCAATAGGAGGAGGTGGTTGTGGGTCGCGTCTGACCGAAGACTCGGACGACATCTTTCCATCAGCTGAGTACGTGCTATGCTGCGGTAGGAACTCATATACACCCAACCCATAGTTGACGATACCAGAGGTACCACTGTGCATCATGTCTGGTCGTGCATGGTAAGCATTTTAAGGAAACTGCGCATATCGCAAACTTACCTTGGGGGAGTTCACCAACGGGAGCGCCCTCTGCTAGGGTACTAGTATACCCTAGAGCGCCGTACTCAGGCTCTAGGTCCGAAAGCTGGCCAAAGAATGCTGGCGACTCTGCCAAGATGGAGAGCTCTGGCGGATTCACCGACGGTGAAACGGCATCCGGTTCATCTAGCGCAAGTGGCAGGATGGTCTGAGGCCCGTCTTTAATGATTGCCTGGAAGTCGACGTTGCTATCCAATGTGCTGTCATCCCCCATAATGACGTCTGATTGGCAGGTGACAAGGAGTTCTGTGATGCGGGTCCGGATTTCCAGAAATTCATTGCAGACACGGTCTATCTTATCATGGACTCGATCAAGCTGCTCGAGACATGATTGCAGACCTGGTCTCATTGCCCCTCGAGGAGCATGCCCTGACCATATCAACTGCGTGGTTGTTAGTGACGATTCTGGCCTTAGATATACATCCATGGTAAGCTCATGCTTAAGTCTACAAAGTGTAGAACAATCTTACCTTTGCAAATACAAACTCATTTTGAATTGCCGGCAATTCCTACGAATGCAAGAAAATGTTTACAAGCCTTTATATATTTTTACCGAGAGAGCCATATATACTGTATCTGACGAAAAAGGGTCTCCGGCACTCAATCTTTGGCTTGTTTCCTGTACTCAGGCTCGTGTGCACTATGTGATGGCGTAGAGCCAGATGGTAAGGGATATTTTTATACATTGTTCTGAGTTCCGTGATGGAATAAGTGATGGAATCTCTCACCGAGTGCCGAGAAGGTGTACTTTTAGAAGACATCTAGCCAGATTCCTAACCAGCGGCATGCATGGAGAAGGTTTTCATAAGCGCTCCCGGTTATGGGATCACGAACGAGGCCGATGATCATCGGGCCGTTTTTCCTCTGGAACAAGTAGACAAACCGTGAAGCTTTGAGGGCGGATAAACCGGCCCGCCAGATTGCAAGTGTGCCTTATAACTTATAAGCGTTGGAATAGCGGAGCATCCTACTTACGGAATATCTTGTAATAATATTCGACTGATTTATTTTAGCCTTAAGATCTTGAGATCGAGCATCGGAAAGACTGGCAGGTCCACGGTTTCCGCAGTACTTGCGTCCTTTGTGCCCTGGGCAATGTCAGAAATTCTGGAATTGCTTGCATCCATCCTTTCCTGTCATCTTGGTTTTCAATCCGATATCTTTCACTTCGTCGAGACAATATTTACTATGATCGCCTCCTGGATGCATATGATCTGTCTGTTTCAAGTTTTCCAGACTTTCATGTACATAACTTACTCCCCCAGGCGATGCGCTGTTTCCAGTAATGTAGTTAGTTGTTACGCTTGTCCGCTACAGAGTTGAAGTATACCGAACCAGCTTTTGAAATTTGCACATCTCTATCTCCCCGAGGCAGGCGACTGGTGGCATCAATATCTCCGAGGCAGGTACTGCCAGTGGCCATCAACTTCCGAGTTGGCCATTTTCCTCACCCAGGATCTGGCATCATTGCCACCTCCGAGGCAAATGCGCACGGTATCTCTAGTTAATAAAAGCCCGGCCGGCGGGAATGGCGGGCTGATCACATCACGGCATTCGTGCGCCTGGAGGTCCCACAGACTAGAACGAGTTATCCTACAGAGTACTCCTCTGCAAAGGACAGCAATTGGAATTCAAAATAAAAACAAAGCCTCATCTTTGAACTATACAATGATATCATGATCCGACGCGACCCTCTATCGCGCTGTTGAGATAGCAAAGATGAACCAAAAAGTCGTCCAAGGTGAACTATCAAACGAATGCTCACGCATGAGAATCAATGGCGATGACCTGATCGATGCATCCCTCTTGTATTCTCCGACACGCTGAGCCTTCACTAGCAAAAATGGACCAAAAAAGGACCGTTTCAGGAGAACCATCCTCGCTCGCGTGAGACTCAGCTTCTACAAATAAACCGCTGAGTCAGTCGTTAATCTGGAAGTTGTCCATCAGATACCGATCACATGAGTAGACAAATGAGAATATTTTTCGAATGGACCTTGCCCGCGAAGGGTCTCTTCAACGGTTATCAGCAGGTCGTGAAGTCCGTCTACTTTGATTTCATACGTTATGGGAGTCTCCTGGGCTAGAACAGGCCTTCGTCTGATTTCTGTGACACGGATGAAATGCAAGCCAGATACAGTCTGCAGTCTGCGAAGCGAGGGAGCTCTCAGCTTTTCAAGCTGGCCATAAAATATCAACGCCGTATCTGTATGTGCAGGTTGTCACAACGAAGAGACATGCGTGCGAATATGATCTTCAGACAAAGATGAAAGGGTGCGTGGCGATCTCCTGTAGGAGCCGCCTGAGTGGGTTCTGCTTCTCACCGTAGGTTGTTCAATCCAAACTGCTCTTGGAATAGCGAGTTCTGCTTCGCATAGACATACTGCTAGCACAAATCTGCACAACGAGATTGGCTCGGACTTTGAAAGAAGTTGTGGCAGATCAAACCATCACCCATCGTCCATCATGACATATCACGTGATTCGCAACCATGCGCAAGAAAGGCGCATGGACCTTAATCTGGACGGGAACGCGAAGTTGAATTGACAATGAATACACAATTTGATCTCTCACCCATACAGTTCCTCTTAACACCAAGGCGACCTCAGATGTCCAAGACGCGCATGGGACACAGAACAATGATCCAAAGAGCTCGGGGAGACGCATAGTACACAAGATAGCCTAGTTCTTGCCGCTGCTAGAGGTCGATAGACTGAAACATGATGGCGATGGCCTTGAAGACGAACTTTCACGTGAGTGAAAAGATGTCGGCTGAAAGGCATGACTCATGACTGTGAAATACCCAGGCTCAAGCGCATCTCAAGACCGTTGAGGCAGCATTGATCAGGTATAGGACGGGAGTGAACGAGTCGGAGACGTGGTTGTCTGAACATTGCTGAGTGCTGGAAACCAGTATCACTGATCAGTTGACATAGCGGAATCCCTGGGGTGAAGGTGGGTTATGGTTTGGATTCGTGTTGAGTATCTTAATCTGTGAAGGTCACCAACGCAGAATTAATCTATCAACTACTAACAGTTTTACGACCGACTCACCAGAAATTAAAACCATTCTCACGCACAAGTAGACACTAAGAGCTCTGATGGTGGTTCAAAACCAACTCCTTCGAAGTAATTCCAAGGATTAAACCAGAAGAAGACTACGAAGGAGAGGGTGTCGGAAGCTGTAGAGTCGGATGGCTTTGTTTCTTCCTCTCTCCTTGTATCTCTCTTCTCGCGTATCGAGGTCTTGACGTTGGCTGAGATGATACTATCAGATTTAGAGTGCTCAGGCTGCCGACATAGACTGATTTTTGAGCACGTGACCAGACACGAACGAGTTTGTTTATTTCATGGCAGTGCTAACTAGTGTTGCCGCGAGGCGAATCGAATCGAATCGAGGTGGAAATTTGTGGTACCTCGACACAGTTCGATACTTACGAGTTGCGCCTCGTTCGACTCGCGAGTTACTAACGAGTTCGGAATTATGCGAACCGGTGGTTCAGCCAATGAGAAGCCAGGGATGCTAGATACTGCCAACGACGATTTTTGCAAGTAAATACACGATGAGCAGACAGAAACTACAATAAACTAGTTGCAATCAATTTCCCTTGCATTTGCAAGCAACTGATCGAGCTCGCGAAGATTCCCGGCAGCCATTAGCTCGTCAACTGCTCTTGAAGTCACAGGTCCAGATATCGTGTAGTCCTGCTCATTAGCTACCAGGTCCTCCGTAAAATTGAGGCGGTCTTGCTTGTAAGTGAACTTCAGAACTTGTAGCGCCTCGAGTATGGTCGGAGATAGGTTGCTGCGCCGTAGAGTGCAAGTCTCTTTGCTTGATGAGAATGTGCGCTCGGAAGGCACAGATGAAGCTTGAGCAGGCAGAACGTCCATGGCAACACGAAATAGAAGCGGGAATGTGTGTTCTTTTTGCTAGAATATAATACTCCTTAATCTTATGAAATTAATGAAAAAAAATGATATGACATACCTCCCAGAAACGAACTATATCCGTTGTGCGTTCAGCCACGTCAGGTAGTAATCCTGCATCTTCATAACGAGAAAACTCGCACTCGGCATCTTTCCTGTCTTGTTCGAGTTCCTTGCGAATGAGTTCCTGCACAGTTTCTGGTGCTGTCGTTGGTTCGGAGACAATGATGGTGGGAGTCAGAGGAGTAGCGCTAGTAGTAGGAATCGAGGCTGAGCGCCGAACAGTTACATTGAGCTTGTTCATGCGCCCGTATCCAGCAGACAACGACCGGGAAGAAATTGCTGTTGAGTTGGTGAGCTCATGCTGTGATGTCGAGGGCGTTGATAGTTCCTGCTGGGCCTGGCTAACTCTGATGGATGTACGAAATGAAGTCAGATATTTAAGTGTTTTCCTTCAATTGAAAATTTCAGTGTCCAGTCAGGGTTTCAATAGCCGAGAGTGACAATCCAGATTCCAAGTTCTTTTGGATGTTGGAGGGGAACTTAGTTGCCAATCTGTGTGCCAATTGCAATGAAGGGATACAACAATAATGACCATTATGATGTAGTACAGGGGATTACGATGTATGGATGTAAACTACATGAACTCGTTTCTAACTCGCGAGTCCAACGAGTTGTAACTCGATTTAGTTCGGAAGGTTCGAGTTGAAACGAATTGGGTCATTTTCGAGCCGAGCCGAGTTTAGCTCGAGTTGACCTCACCTCGACAACAACACTAGTGCTAACTGCTGATTGAACCAGAAGGTTCGACATAAACATTATTGCGTGCCCGCAAAGTACGCCTCTCATTTCCCAACTTGAATTACTTCCTTCACGACTCATTCTCATCTTTAATGGCATTATGATTTCCACTATCTTCGATGGTGCTGTCCACGTCAATTCTGACACCACCCTCGTTGACCGTGGTGATGATTTCGCGAAGGATACGAGAAAGCACTTAGCCTAAGGTATGAAGTTTTACGGTCTACTCAGCTTTAATTGCTTAATGTTTGAATCTTTGTAGGATGACATCATGACAGCGACTGTTCCAGTAGCAAATCTACTCCCAGGCACGAAAACATTCACGATCGATGACTCAAGTGGGCCCTCTCAGCGGACGCAGCTCCAACCCTCTGTCCTATAGTACGGATATCTTATGACCAACAATGTTTTGCTTCTCGTCCACACTTCGAATCTAACGACCACGCCGCTCTCTCTCGGTAGTATCCCGCCTCGACCGAAACCCCCGGATACCAAATGGCATCAAAATTCCCGCCGAGGCAGACACAAGGTATGGAGATACTTTTCGAAACCAAATGTCACACTTATTGTCGTTTATTAGCACAAAACTAGATCCGCTTGCTTGGCCGCTGTCCGTGGCAGTATCGAACGCTTCTACGCCAAGCAACTGGAACACTACTATGATCAGTGAGTGATTTCTGGCGTCGTCCGGTTTACCCC